GCTAAATTACAACCTAATATCCCAACCCCTGCTTCTTAATAGCGTTCTGCATAAGATAGTATATTATTTTTAATATTTCTTTTATGTTCAACTCCGGAGATATTCTTGATCTTAAAAATTTGTCTCCTAATATGCTGTACTATTTATTATCCATGGGGCAGAAATGCTCTGTAAGTTTTAGTATTATATGCAAATAGTGAATTGAATCACCTCAGGAAAAAAATTATTATGTCGCTCAAAAGTAAACGCCATGCTCAAATTAAAATTGAATAAACATATTGTCGTGGAGATAATATTTATATCTTAACTATTGTGTTTGGGACGGCGGCTTGCTAGGAGTGGCCGCTCGTTTATGAGACACGTTATCATACCATCTAAAAAACGATGGCAAATTCCCTACCAGATCATCTAACTACCACCGTTCATCTTGGCATGTGGAAAGTTGATTGAGTTTTTGACAAACGGTACACGCAGTCCACTCTTGACACTCAAGACCTGAGCTTTTTCCCAATCCCAAACATTGCCAATGGTGAATGGATCACGTTGAATGAGATTCAAAGCTTCCTTCTTGTCATAAGCTTGTAGCAGAACCCAACTACCACGCTCTATATTCTCTCCATGATCGTCGTACATAGGGCCTTTTTCGCAACGCGTTAGCAATCATTACCTTCCACACTTTCACATTTTGTATCACCTCCGGCAAGCCAGTATTCTGATTCTTGTTCAACAAAACGTTCGTGAGGGCTAGAGAGCTTTAGAACCATGTCATATTCGTGAATTTGACCAGGACTTACTCGGTCCAGGACTCTCGGTTCTTGAGACCATCAGGGCCATCTGGTAAAATAAACAGGAACTCGTGCTTTTCAGGCATTTTTGTGCTTCCAAGTGGTGAATTAGGTGAATAATTGAGGAATTCGCCGTAGTATTTTGCGCTTCGCCAAAGCTGATAAGTGATATCTTCCGCTTTTCAAGTCAAGCTGGTCGCTGATATTCGAGCTGTTGAGTCTCACGTGGAATCACTATTCCCGAGTCGGACGCTCGGCTCTAAACATGGCGGAGATAGCCGACTCGGTGAAATTTTTGACCACGGAAACCTCACGGCATCATGAAATCACTCTGCATAAGCGGCGACAACCAGATCTACGGATGACGCGCTACCGGACCCTTGCATAGTTCCGAGCAGTGTGGCGCTTTCAGTTTAGCAATGCCAAGGTCGGTACGGACTAGTACTTTATATGCATACCGGAAAGCAGGATATGGTCGTGTTGCATCATTTCGCTCCAATAACATATCTGCTGGAATCTGTCCGAAGGGTGCGTCTTTGGGTCACATCAAAGGCTGCATTGCAGATCATGTCGTTTTCAAGACTTCGCACCGATTCAAAAGCAAATTGCTGACGTGGCCCCCTTTACCTATGTATTTTTTCGATGCAGTCCCCCGAGGTCATAAAGTCGTGCTGCGAAATGCGCGAGGGATGGTATGTAATGTCGAAAACAGCTAGTTGACGTGTCCTAAAACCCGGCGCAGTCCCGTTTTGTTCCAAGGCCCGGGCCGGTCGGAGATCGTGTTATCAATTCTTAGCGGGCGATCCATCCATTTTCGTAGCGATAATCACAATATTCAATCGCATTCTTCATTGAGACAAATTTTCGTCGGTGCTCGTCTGCAGTTTTCGTAAACAAGAAATTATCGTCTAAGTTTATGTACTGTTAATGTCTCTTCAAGTGCCAAGCAATGCAGTTTCGACATTACTCCGTACGGCGCCAGAGACAAGTTCCCGTTGGTATTCTCCGTGTCGCGTCGCGTCACGGTTTGACTCTTTTCAACCCTCCATCTCTCCCGAAACATGGCACGGAAGACCTCTTACTTTAATGGATATTCGCCTACGAGCCAGAGTTGACGTTGCTACCAGTACGTTGCAAAGAAGTCTTCGGAAATCAGAATCGGGGCATTTTCGCAATGGGAAAAGACCTAAATTGAAGCAGACATATGCCAATCTATGATATGAATGGGCCATCATGGACGAGGATTGGTCTTACGAGTTTTAAGGTTATGTGGCGATTCATGTTCAATATAGCTCAGTAAAGAAAATCAATGTTTCTTGGTCTTCTCCAGGGCTGTCTCAATAATCATGGTGAAAAATAGAATGATTAAGTGGTTTCATGTAGGAAAGGAATGGAATTCTCTTATATAATTAGGTTGCGGGCAGGAAAATAACAAAATTAAAGTCATGAAAGGGCTCGCAATGTTCGCCGGAATTGAATCCCATTGAAAACGCCTGGGCAAAACTCAAAGAATGCATATATAAGGAGACGATTGAGGGTTCGTGGGAGGACCTAGAAAATGGTTATTTTGTCAAGTTGATTAGCTTCATGGATTCGCGAGTTAATGCACTTTTGGAGGCTAAAGGCTAGTATACTAGATATTAGCGTTAATCCTGAATAGAAAATAAGAAAATAAAGGCCAATTGATTTTTATTGCATTTTTGAATGAATTAGACCCACAATTCAAAAATTGGCCGAGCAATCTGGTTTTAGTAGTTAGGACCCTGGGCTAGTGGGTAGGTTACATAAGGGAGTCGGGGGCGGGTCAACGGAGACTTTTGGCTTAGTGCTGTAGACTTGTTATCGCTCCGGAAATGGACCCTGACAAATCGACATGCCAACAGCATCAAAGAGACCGCATTGCGCTTTTACGAGTAGACAAGATGGCTTGGCGACGCCCTCCTCTTTGACTTACAAAAATCCAAATTATTCCTATTTCTTCCGCAAAGTTGAACCTCTTCTCCCGTCTCTACAGTCAAGCAGGATTCAATTCTATTCAAAATGACTACTTCATCTCTAGAACTGCAGGAAAATGAATCACACGATCCCAATATTCTACTTTCAAAACATGGCGATGGTAAGTATTTCTCAAAAATATCCTGGAAAAGCTGTAGGTCTTTTGGACGCCTTGACTAACTCCTACAGATTCAGGTATAGGTTCTACAGAGGCTGCGAAAGACGAATACGTTTACATTGGCGATGGCTACAACTTGATTCGACGCATCATCTTCATCATGACGGTGTGCTCATCCATGTTCACCAATCAGTTGGGTCTATGCAACAGCCTCACGACGCTCGAAATAATCGGAGAGTCCTTTGGTGTCACTGATCCTGGTAAACTATCGTGGACAATCTCGGGCTACGGATTGACTCTAGGCACATTTGTCTTGATAGGAGGACGTTTGGGTGACGAGTTTGGCAACAAGGCAATCTTCATCATCGGTATGGGCTGGCTTGCTTTGACCAGTATGATGGCAGGAGCCTCTGTCTACTCCAGCTACCCCGTCTACATTCTTGCTCGTGTCCTGCAGGGCCTTGGTCCCGCTTTAACTGTGCCGAATGCACTCGCCATCATGGGGAAATGCTTCTCCGAGGCCCCTAGGAACATGGGGTTTGCATGGTTTGCTGCATCAGCCCCAGTCGGTGCAATGGCAGGTCTCCTCTTTGGGCCTCTCTTCGCCATGGCGTGGTGGCCATGGATCTACTGGAGTCAGGCTTTGGGGGTTGCCTTTCTCTTCGCCCTCGCTATCGTTGCAATCCCAAATATGCCTGTCGAGGGTGAACAAAACAAGCGACGAACGCTTCGCGAAACTTTGGACCGCCTTGATCTCCCAGGAGGTGCAAGTGGCGTGATAGCTCTGGTTCTGTTCAACTTCGCCTGGAATCAAAGCCTGGTTACTACGTGGCACGAGCCTTACGTCTACGTATGCCTGATTCTCAGTTTCCTGTTCCTGGCGGCCTTCTTCTACATTGAACTTCGTCTTGCCCGCTATCCAGTCCTACCGGTCGCAGTCCTCACTTCTGACATCGCATTTGTCTTTGGTTGTACAGCAGCGGGCTGGTCCACATTTGGTATATGGGTAAGTAATGATATTTGACTCGAGATAATATAAATCTAACGGTCTGTCTAGCTTTTCTACGTCATCCGAATATCCCTCAATATCGGCGGCCAAACACCCATTCAGCTGGCTGCATGGCTTTCTCCCATCCTCATCACCGGCATAGGAACGGCATTGATTGTTGGAAAAATAATCAACAAGGTTCCAGCCTCCTTCATCATGTTGTTTGCAATGCTTTGTTATTTCATCACTTCCCTTCTCATGGCTTTGCGACCCGTACACTCGACGTACTGGACCTATTTCTTTTTCGCCACCATCATTGCCACCTTTGCGATGGATTCATCCTTGCCTGCTGCCACAATCATTTTCTCGAACGCAGTGCCTCGACAGTACCAGGGTATGGGGTCGAGTGTGATCATGACGATTGTTGTCTACAGTATATCGTTGGGTCTTGGTTTCGCTGGTACCATTGAACTTCAGATCAACAATGGCGGAAAAACCGCGGCAGACTTACTTCATGGCTACCGGGGTACTCTCTGGTTCTCTGTCGGGTTGACAGCATTTGGCACTATCCTCGCCCTTACCTTTCTACTTAAAGATCATCGAAGAAGAAAGTGGGCCAATAATGAGAAGGAAGGGGAACAGACTGATTCAACAGACGCTTGAATTGATAAAAGGTTGATCGCTCATCAGCCATGGATTTTACGTTGCGAATGAAACTTGCGAGCTACTGCGAAGAAGCCACGAAAGCAGAATTGGAGTTTTGACCAGGTGAGAGTTCAAGACTCCAAAATGACCAGGCAGAATTAGAGGAGTTTAGTTGAAATAGGCTTATACAACGAAAATTTCCACTGGCAGTACTTGTGAAAACATGGGGGTCAGATTCTACAAAGATTCCCGACCCCATTTCTACTTGGAATGTTCAGTGCAACGTAATTACAAGGTATTCCTTGTCAAGAATATCCTGAACTGTGGCCTTTGGTCCGTCATCCGTCATCCGACGCCTGTAACCTGTTGTCTATCGTTTATGGCGTGACCTCTTATATTCTGTCGTGTGTCGTCTATCACCCATCAGCTAAACTCCGACATGAAGTCCAACCCTTCCAATCCCAGCCCATTAAGGTTTCCCGGACTTTTGAGCGAGCTGCGTGAGTTTGAGAGCATCGGCAAGCGGCAATTCGTTGTCCAAGCTCAAACTTCCGAAAATTCCACAGCACATACTTAGGTATGGCAAGCTTTTCTTGGAACCGGTAGTCACAATATCCAAGAAAGTCACACAGATCGACACTGCGATCAGATTGAGAAGCTTGCTAGAGATGCAAGATTAGCCAACTGATTCTCCTTGTGTTATATGTCCTTTTCTCACCCGTCGAGTATGTCACAGCTTGAGATTCGGGCCGCGATAGCTAACACAGCTTGGGCTGATTTTACGCAAAGCTCCATGCTCGTCTTGCGATAGTGTTCCGAGATTAGTCCTTGAGACTTGACTCCTGTCCACGGAAAGAAAATGATAAATATGGCCTCGTGATACGTGTGAACCATGGTCAATGTCAAATGGCGCGTCTTCTGGTCGTCAAGGGTGAGATTCCCTGTTTCGTGCCGATGGATATTCTGCAGATGCATTGGAAGACCTGATCGCCAGTTTTCGAGGCCCTTGTGTGCCTGCATCAGATTTCGTTCTCGCTCGTCCAAATTTTGGCTAAGAGCCCTTTGGCTGTAGAGCGTATTGACTGCTGAGCTGAGAGCGTTGGCATATTGACATTGGATGCGCAGCCAATCTGTGTCCTTGGCGACTTCGGGTAGCGCATAGTCAGTCCAGTCGCGGGTGAGGATCTGTTTCAGACTGTTGTCAGAGTCAGAAAGGCAAAGGTGGCACACCCCGAACTTACAGGTGGCATTCCATCGCGTATGGAATGGACGACTTCAATCGAGTAGAGGTACCATAGACACCTCCTTGCAAGGTACTCTTTCTCTTTTGTCATGGTCATGTATACCGAATCACGATTCATAAATCTTCTGGTTCTGGCACAGCTGACTGCGTATGACAAGAGCTCAGTATAAACTTTGCGATCGATCTGCTCAGAAATTGTCGCCTGGAGGTTGGTTAGCTGTTGAAAGTCGAAATTCAGAACATTGATCGTACCATTGCTAAGATTGTCTGATCAGTCAACATGTGGCCAAATTCACGTTAGGAATTTCTCACTTACCTGCATCTTCAGGAGTGTGTCGGGCGATCGCTGAACGGCATCGCGAGAGTTTAATGCCATTCTTATTCGAGCGATCGCCTTCCTGCTCACATCAGAGCCTTCAGAGGACTGGGATCTTGTAGCCAGGGCGTGAAACCCAAAAGCCATAACAGAATCAATCAGTGGCTTCACTGCTAAGCCCTCAATCGATGGCGACTCCCTTGCTTGTTGGACATAACTGTCGAAATGTGATCTCGTCAAAAAGGTGGAAATGCTAGCATCATTTAGTCTTATCGCAGTGGATGATACGGAAGGTGCGACGTACCCGAGAGGTTCTTCGAAACAAGCTGCTCAAGTTAGCTTCTGACGAGAAGGTGAAGAATACGGCGTGAATAGGGCACGTACCAGACTTGCACTTTTCAGTCAACGCTGTGTCGCTCCAATACCAGCGTGAATGGATGCAGTCATATTCCTCGCAGTTGATACCGAATGACATCTGAGACTGAGCGTCGGAGAGTCGTCTGAAAATTCCATTCACTTCGTCTTGTTCACTCCTGCTTAGATTCCCGAGTCGTCGGCGCTCTGGCGAGAAAATTGCCGTCAAAGAGAAATCGATTCTTGGGGTATGGTCTGAACTCCCACATAATTAGCAACTGTCTTCTTATCAGAGTAACATGTACCATCCTGGAAGATTCCTAATTGCAATCTACAAAGACTGTGTCAGTTCATCAGGTTTCCATACGGTCAATTGCTGGAAAAGTGCAATGAACTGCCTCCTGATCAAAGCTTACCTTTGAACTAACTTCTTCCCACAACTTCTCATCATATCTGTCCCTCGTTTGTCCAGTCAGAGGCGGAAAATTCAGCTGAAACTGTGAGGTCAAAGTCGGGTTTGCTGATCTATCAGTGGCGTGTTCGACTGGATACGGGATGTTAAAATTGGCTTCCGAATAGGTGTTTTTCGAGGGCGACCAAGGTAACATTCCCAACCCGTTCATGTTGCTCATGTCGACAGACAAGGGTGCTCCTAGATTGTCACTGCCAATCCATTCCATAGATGTAGCCGAGAAACCGTCGTGAGCATACCTATCAAACATCATCTCTTGGAGACTGGTGCCTGCATTTCCGGAAACAAGGTTGCCTGCTCCAAGTCCTGCGGCTGTTGATTCTGGCAGTATCTGTATATCATTCGGCGAGGGAATGTGTGAAGCAACTCCAGAGCCATCGCTTTCCGTGTGCCACCGCTCTACTGAAATGTCCTCGGTTGTAGATGCTGTCGGAGGCCTGTTGGTCTGCTGCTTCTTCGAGAGCTGGTACTCGCACTCCAAATCATGCAACTAATGAGGCGCATTAGCCGATGCTAACGTTTTTGAAAGAATTTTGTTCTCACGTTACAATATCTACATGGTGTCGCACCATCGCCTGTGTCATACCAAAAGTCAACAAAATCACATCGACTATCGAGGTGGAGCTACACACAGCGGACTTTCTTCGACTTGCACATCTCACATGCACCTCTGCGCCGTGACATCCATTTCTTTTTCCTTGCAGAAGGAGAGACTTCAACTCGGTCACGGTCTGCTTGCATCGTTGTACAAGGTGTGGTGGGCAAATGAGCAGTTGAATATACCTTGATTGTCCTTTGTGTTGGGACCGGCCCACGTTATTGGAGTCATTGAATAAACCCCGGGCCACCGGCGGAGGTTTTTTCAAGGAATATTTTCCGCCATCGGCTTTGCCACGCTGACAAGATGTGCTGGTCTGAATCCTGCTGTCGCAACATGCATGACTTCCCTGCAGCTGAAGATACTGCCCGTGCTAGTGCTAGTGCTTACCAGGCTGGTGGGGCGTGCCGGTTACACCGGCACGCCGGGGCTTCAGTAGTACCCGTGTCTTGGCCTAAATAGGCAGTGCCTCCACGATAACCTAGCGGGCCGCGCCGGTAAGACAGCCCGGTGGATTAGGGTGGAGGCACTTGCCTGTTTAGGCCAAGCCACAGGGACTCACGCTTGATTGTATCTTTGGGAGTTTAACGTCATTCATCAGATCCTTGATGCAATCTACAATTGGGAGCCTTGTGTCCTCTTTCCAAGCTTCCTCGGACTTGTACATATCACGTAATGCCGGAGCTCGCTCGTCAGAGGCGATATTTTTCTTATACAGACTGTCGCCGATGCGTGTGCGGCTTTCTCAATAAGGCCTTGCAAGGCTTTTTCCTGTAATAATGGGTAAATGGGTGCTTATCGTAGCTATTCATTTTAGGATGTTTAAAGAATTGTGGCTCAATCTGATCGTCAGTCCAACCGGCGGTTGATGCAAGGTTTTTCAATATAATGGCGTAGTATTGTGCTCATGCACGTGGGCGTAGCCTCACTGTTTTTTGGTAGGCGTAAATCTTCTGAGAATCTTTGTTTGGGTCTGGGCCGTGGCGAGTTCGTGCGGCCAAGTGCTCGTAATCGCCGATGATTGCTTTGTTCGTATTATTTACGGTACCTTTGCTACTGATCGACAAAGGGTCCCCGGAAGGATTTTTCGAGTGAAATCGATAAAGAAATGATCGCTCGGGCGCTGTTTCCTTGCCATTTCCTTTTCTAAGAATTAGGCATTGACTGTACTATGTACATATTACCGATTAATCTAATTGACTCAGAGGGATCTCCGCTGAACGCGTGTCTGGTGATTCACTGTACTCGTTTATCCGTACTATAGCCTTCGACCCAGGTCAATGTTCGTCCTCGGTAAATCAATGCTAAGTATGCTGCTCGTGCTCCAGTATCGGTGAAAAGGAGTAGATTGGGGCTTGTTATGACATGGTATACTGCAAGGGAAGTTTTCGTGGTTCTGCAATGCTTATCGCGGGGACGTAAAAGGGCCGGTAATTATTATAGACTTTAGTGTTTCCAGGGAATTGGGAAGGTATCTGATTGTCACAGAGAGATAAGAAAGTATCTGATGCAGAAAAGGCTTCGCGTTGAAGTTGTCGTCTTGCTTCGACCTCAAGTATTCTACCAGGAGAGATGGAACTCGGAGACTGTCGTCAAAAACGGTCAATGTACGGTAATATTCTCTTGCATTATTAACTACGGTTTTTCTCCATGAGGAAGGGCGGGTACATGGGTTGTCAAAAGCGCCAAAGCTTGCTATGACCCTTTGATGACACTTATTTGGTGAATATGATAAAAGCATAGCCAGATCGCCATTGAGATAATTCGTTCACGACATCCAAACGAGCCATCATCTCGTGAGCAGCATCCGGGGTAAGTCAATAATAACTTGATATACCATAACCATAGGACTCATGCCTTGCTCTCCCAGATCCTGGATGGGAGGTTTGAATGTCTGAACAACTGGCGTCAAAGTCGCTCCTGTCACAATTCCCCCACCCGGAATCACAATCTCACCTCTATATACCACAGCGTCAGACCCGTGAATTGGAAGAGGCATGTCTGCATATTTGATCCAAGTATTCTTGGCGGCGTCATAAGCCTGCATCTCAGGGAAAACGGCAGTGGGAGTACTGCGGTCCCCTTCTCCACCTGCCGTGAACATCTGAGAACCGATAGAAGCAGAAGCGACACCTCCACGGGCAATGGGCATGGGTTCATACCCTGTTGACCATTGGTGAGAGGTGAGGTTGAATCCAAACACTGTGGAGACAACATTTTTGTTCCCAAACGCTCGTCCCCCCAAAATATACAGCATATCCTGATATATGCCTTTGCCAGCGTGATCACGCGGAGCAGGCAGGTCCGGCAGAATTGCCCACTCTTGGGTTCTCACGTTGTACGACGTGAATCGAGACACTGTTCCTTCCTGATCATAGGTAATGTTTGTGTATGCAAGTCCTCCGGGGAGGTAGATTGTGTCGTCGACAACCAAAGTTGCTGCACTGCCAATTTCTCGTCCTTCGGGCATGCTAGGCAGTACAGACCACTTGTCAATGGTAGGATCATAGACCGCTGACCTGCCTGTCGCATTCCAATATGTTTCATCGAGTGCTTCCAAGCCACCAAGACAGTAGATCTTGTCATCGACGACGGCGACATTGGCATGGTTCAGAGCCGCAGGCATGGAAGCCATCTCCGTCCAAGTGCCGGTTATCATGTTGTATTTCTGGACGATATTGGTGGTAGCATATTCCTTGCCATTCCACGGTAGGATGCCACCAAGCACGTAGATATCGTCGTCAACTAGCACCGCTGCGTGCTCTTGGCGTGGATATTCTAAGCCATCCCGCGTGATATTGGGCAGCGTTGACCATCTACCAGAAAGAGGTGTCTCGTATGTTGGAAGACCCTCACAGCCAGAAGCCAGAAGCAAAAGCGCTGTTATGACTGCCGAAAGCATCTTTGTGGTATGAAAGGAGTTGAAAAAGCACTAATTGAGCAGCGCGTAAATTTCACGTTTCTGGTTGTCAACTATGAGCGCATAGAGCCAGCGGCGAGATTGGCGCTAGCTTTGAGAGGCCGGGCCAGCAATGCCTTTGATTTGTAGAGATTTTTGAGGAATTGACGGAGCATTTGGTGAATGGTCTGCTCGCATTCTACTAGTCCACGGGTTGATAACATGTGAAAGACCGAACAGTAGCATTATTGGATGTTGCTGGGGCATGGTAGTGTTCCGGCCAAGTACCAGAAGTCCGAGGGATCACCGACAGGACTTGCATGGTATCGTCATACATTAACCTCGACATCGATAGTCTTACAGCTCCACTCAACGTGGCGACCCAGCTATAAGATAAGCAAATTGCCAGAACGGGGAGGGTCCACAATCTTTTATAACCGAATAGCCGAAGTGGTTCAGTGTTGAAGGAATGTTGGATTCGAAACCGCTCGGCCTCCCAAAAGGACTTCGGGATCTTGAGGTTGCACTGGTGGCCTTGTCTTGCCGCTATCGGTTTTGGGCGCAGCATAAGATATATTCGCTTCGCAGCATGCGGGGCATATTCCTCCTGGTCGTGCTCGCGCCAAGGCTGGTAAGCACCGCTCGAGCATTGAACCCCTCCGAATAACGCAAACTCGATATGACCGGCAACTGATGTCATCTCTCAGGTCTGTCGGAATTGATCATGCAGGGGTCTCAATTTCATTGATGGGTGGTCAAAGTATTTGCGACATGGGCTAGTGGATCCAGGAGCGATTTAATTCGTGCTCCGGAGGATTGGATGACCAGAAAAGATATACCGGACACTGAGTGACATCTGGCATCGGAATATCCTTTGCTCTGCCACATACAGTGGCTCTATTCAATCTGGAGATTCCAAATTCAGTCATGTCTCTACTTCTTCAAATCTGCATAGCATTGACAGCACTTTGGTCGACAGCCACCTCGCGATACACAACTCATGGTTTCGATTTCCAACCCGATCACATACTCCGAGTGTCTGAGGAAGTGTTTCCTGTAGCTTGCGTGACTCGGCCCAGCACGTTAGTCAATGGTTAGTCTAACTCCCGTTTCCATCATAGTCGCCCTGTGGCAAGCTCATTCATTATCAACAGGAACCTCACCAGGCCCAGCCATCTACCTGAGGGAAAACCAACCCACTTGGGTGAGAGTATACAATGATCTGGAATCAAAGAATACTACTATGGTATTCACAAATAATCTTGAACAATGAGACCAGTATCACCTGACAATATTTCAACAGCACTGGCATGGTCTAAGTCAGTCCATTGCTCCGTTTTCAGATGGCTCGCCTCAGGCAAGTCAATGGCCTATCAAGGTTAGTTTGCCGAGACGCCGGGATATAAAGAAGGATTCGCTGATCAAAGGAAAGCCGGGAGGGTACTTCGACTATGAAATCTGGCCGAAAATCGGTGAGGCTGGCACATATTTCTACCATTCCCATGTTGGTTTCCAAGCAGTATCTGCGACAGGGCCTCTTATCGTCGACGAAATGTACGGCAAATCGCCACCTTTCACATACGATGACGAACGCATCATGTTCATTTCCGAGCTTTACAACAAGACCGACTCGATGACGGAGACCGAGCTACTCAGGCCCTACGATGTTGTACGATGGTTAGTCGCAATTTATGCCGTCGACCCATGGCGTTGAAACTGATCTCCAAATGTTTTGTTCATATTTTCCAGGACTGGCGACCCCTCAACAATATTGATGAATGGAAATAGTTTCCCTGGTATGAGTGCGAATGAGACAGATACACCTGAGCCGTGGGTCATGCCAGATCCATCCGTGGTGTCAAGCTGTGGCCCTGAAGTGATTCAAGTTGATACCGACAAGACATATCGCATGCGAATTATTGGGGGACCAGCTCTGAACCTCGTGACTTTGGGATTCGAAGATCACCAGGAGCTTTCTGTCATGGCTGCAGATGGAAAATACACCAAGCTGGCGAAAACGGAACGCATCCAGATTGCCTCCGGCCAGCGCTTCGATTTCCTTCTCCGCACGAAGACAGAGGATGAGCTACGAGGTCTTGGGAAAAGCGCTTTTTGGATCCAGATGGAGTCACGCTATCGACCTATGAACGTCTCTTCTTACGCCCTGCTGTCGTACAGCACTCCCAGTGATGTTGCATTCAACCAGACTACAGACTTGGTGCCTCCCGAGAAACAGCCGCTCAGCCTGCCAAACAAGGTCTACAATTGGATGGAGTATGTTCTTGAACCTTTGGAACCTAACGGGTTCCCAACGGCCGATAGGGTGGACCGGACGGTGGTCCTAACATCGCTCCAGCTGATTGCGAAGGAGGGGTGTATGCGGCTGTATCTAACCACACTTGGACCGAGACCAATCAGCACAGGGGACACACCCCATTCTGGAAACAGGAGCACCAGGCAGGGACTCCATACCTGGTTGACATCTTCAGGCGTGGAGATAACGCCATACCAGATTACGAGACTACGGTGCAGAAGCATGGGGGTTGGGATCCCGATCTCAACGTGTACGTAGCCAGGGTTGGTGAAGTCATCGATATTGTCATGGTCAACCAGCCGAATGGCCTGGCCATCGGCTTCGACCTTCATCCATGGCATATTCACGGCGGCCACATCTATGATCTTGGCAGCGGGCCTGGCACGTACAATGCGACAGCTAACGAGGAGAAATTGAAGGGTTACAACCCCGTGAAAAGAGATACCACCATGCTGTACAAATATACTCCGGGTCAGTATTTAGGCGAGAATAAGAATTTTACGGACCAAGGATGGCGGGCTTGGCGATTACATGTTCAGGATCCTGGGTAAGACTCCTTCACTCACCTTTTGTGAAAAATCATTGTTTGCTGACGCCGTGTTATTTTCGCTCTAGGGTGTGGATGGTACACTGCCACACACTTCAGCATATGATAATGGGAATGCAGACGGTGTGGATGATGGGCAATGCATCAGATATCACGCGCGGAGTATCGCCGGGTTCTGTGGAAGGCTATCTACATTACGGAGGTGATGCATATGGCAATGCTAGCTACGATCCCTACGTGCAACACTATTTCGAAGGTGGGCTGCAACAGATCATCCAATAAAGGGAGAATATGTCAACAGGATTGGAAAAACGTAAAGGGTTACAACCCGAGGGCTGTATCCTAGTGAGGAGATAATTATAATCTATGTAATGTCCAAAGTCGAGAGTGGTTGATTGAACCTCCCGGAATTTGAAGAGTACATTGGATAATGAATCCTAGTGATTTTCTATCATCGATTCCTGACTGATTTCATTGACCAGCTCGTAAAGTACTCTTGTATAACAGCAGAATTCGGGTCTCCGACCCGGACCGAGTAAAGTGAATGCCAGTATTTTCAAGATAAGAAGGCTCACAAAAGGAGGATATAATCCCATATATGAAATTTATCTACCATGTATTCTATCATGCCTGGAAATCTGAATTACACTCATGGTCTATAAGACCATTTAGAGTAGAAGCCTCCGCTTTCGAGCATAAATCAATCAAAAGGCTCAAAGCTTTGGCTTCGTAGCGCTCGCTGGCGAGGTTTTACCAGAGACGGAGTGATTATGTAGTAGAGGCCCTCAAGTTTCAGGCTCGATAGAGTGGTGTTACTATTTCCAAATTCCGGCCGAGGTCTGCCTCTGGTCTGTGCCTGTCCGGGACTATGCACTGGGCACTTGGGCTTGCCGATTCTTCATGCAGATCTGGTCTTAGTTCACTTCTATTCTTAGCAGAGTTTGGCTTGTGTGTTCCTATAAGCTAGCCTAGTAGATTGGGAATAAGCAATGAAATAGGTGGCTTCTCTTAGCCTTGGTAGCCTAATTCCATGAGGTACCCGGGATGACATCTGTGGCGTCCTAAAATAAAACCAAGAGATCACATTGGCCATACCATAACTCTAACACTAACCCGGCTGGCAGGTTTACTTATGCGCTGCAATTTTCGGTTTGGAAAGTGTGGAAGTTACATTACCACAAAATATCGACTTGATTCCTCTTTGGAGGATCGTCTTCATTGCGTTCGGAAACTCGGAAAATCAGAAATATGTCGGACATGCAGAATTCTAATTTCGGGCTCCACAAACGTACCAATACCAGAACTGATATCCGATACGTCAGAATCAACCATGCAAGAGTCTTTCTCGGCCTCATCTCCCATCCCACACCCAGAGAACCACAACGACATTCGGTATCGATAATGGGCTGATTCCGCCGACTAGTTCGTGGCGAATCCAACAGTTCAACGAGAACATTCGGCTTTACCTCCACATGGATGATGCCAGAGCGATGGAGTACTTTACCGAGGAGCCGCTTCATCCAGGCATGCTGAAGCCATATTTGCATCCAGGGCCTTTTCGGGGATCTCTTACAACACCGTATCTACCGGCTAACTTCGGAAAAGATGATAATATCCAACGGAACGGTCGGGAAGGCTCCGACCTTTTGCTCGCTGGTACCTGTGCCCGGCATTTAGATTGCGTTTTGGGTAGGGTAAACAATGCAAAGATCAATCGTCGGCTAAAGACGAAGTTGTGTCTGCAACCACGTGAATGTAATCATCAGCACGAGCCCTCCTTCTCAAATTTTCCATAAGTCTACGGGAAGCTATCCCGGCATTCTCACATTAGTATCACTTATCACTCAAGTCATTACAAAATGAGTTCGAAGTTCGACGTTTTCATCTGTGGCAGCGGCACCGCTGGGTTCGCAGCGGCGACATGGTTAGCACGATACGGTATTCGCTGCAAGATCGTCGAGTCTCGATCTGGGCCACTGGATGTTGGGCAAGCAGATGGAATTCAAGTCCGATCTGTGGAAATCTTCGAAAGTTTCGGCATGGCCGAGGAACTACTCAGAGAAGCCTATCACAACATTGAAGTTGCCTTTTGGGGCTCCGACCCTGTAAGACATGGCATGGGCATCGTGCGCAAACGAAGCGCGCACGCCACGACCCCGGGCCTGTCACACATGCCTCGTGTTATCTTGAACCAAGCACGGTTCAATGGAATGTGGTTGGAAGCCATGAAGCGCCTGAATGGGCAGGGAGTTGACTACGGATACAAGGTGACGAAAGTCACGGTTGATGAAGAGAAGGCCGTGGATCCAGAAGCTCATCCGGTGACCATTGTGACTGAGAAAGGTGGTAAAGAGGAGGTATTTGAAGCTAAGTATTGCTTGGTAAATTACGATCTATCCTGCTGTTAGTAATACTTGAGGTAACAATCTGTAGGGAAGCGATGGCGCCCATAGTGCTGTCCGAAAGTCTTTGGGCTTCAATATGGTCGGAGAAACTTCTGATTCGATTTGGGGCGTGATGGATATCTTTCCACGAACAGACTTCCCCGACATCCGGAAACAATGTATCATACAATCCGACGCCGGTAGCATTATTACCATACCTCGAGAAGGTGGTGCTATGGTTCGAGTCTACGTGGAGCTCGCGTCAGGGACCAGAGCGAAAGAGGTAACACTTGAGCATATACAACTTGCTTCGCGTCAAGTCTTTCAACCATATACACTCGACTTTGCAGATGTATATTGGTGGTCAGCCTATCCTATTGGGCAGCGCATCGCGGATCACTTCACAAAATCTAATCGCGTCTTTCTAACAGGGGATGCTTGCCATACGCATTCTCCGAAAGCAGGCCAAGGCATGAATGTCAGCTTGCAGGATGGGTACAACATCGGCTGGAAATTAGCCTCCGTTCTCAAAGGCCATGCTAGGCCCGAACTGCTCGACACTTATGTCCTGGAACGACAGAAGGTAGCAGATGTGCTTATTAACTGGGATAAAGTCTGGGCAAAACAGATGTCCTCGATAGCCACAGAGGACGGCGGTGTCGTTGATTCTAACGGCAAGATTGACTTCAGCGAAGTCTTTGTGAAAGCAGAGGCTTTTACAGCCGGACTGACGGTCACCTACGACGATTCTATAATAACTCACGCCCAAGGGAGTAATCAGGAAGCGGCCACAAATCTCAAAGCGGGGATGCGACTTCAGGGTATCCAAGTGGTTCGGTTCTGCGATGCAAAAGTAATGAATTCAGTGAATGCTCTACCCTCTGATGGGAGGTGGAGAATTGTAGTCTTTCCAGGGGACATTCGACAGCACTTGGCTTCCAAGAAGCTAAATCAAGTGAGCAATACTTCAATCAGAATCCTGGAAGTACATATATTCTAATATATCGCTAAGCTTGGAACATATCTGTTCTCAAATAATGGGCCGATTCGGAAATACCTACCTCCCGGCGCGGATATCGACAGCTTTATCGAGGTCATCGTAGTTCTCTCTGGGGATAGACTCGAGATACAACAAGAACAGATACCAGATGATTTTTGGCCTGCGACTGGCAAATACAGGATTAGAGGTGAGGATGGCTCTTACCAATCAATGATTTATCTGGCTAACGACACAACTAGACTTGCATAAAATCTACATCGATGACGAAAGTTATCACAACGGCCACGGCCATGCATACGAGTTTTATGGAATCGACCCTGGACAGGGGGCAGTTGCCATTGTCCGCCCAGATCAATGTAAGTCTACTTCACTAAGTTATTTTCACACTGAATATTGACCTGCGACAGATGTTTCGAAGGTCGTCGATATGAAAGACTATGAAGGAATTGGCACCTTCTTCGAGAGATTTGTGCAGGAAAAAGAACAGACAAACGGATCGTTGAGTGATCATTTGGAAGATGACACTAGCGGATAAGTCAACGAGGATACGAATAGCCACGTAAAGGGACATGTGAATGGCCACGTCGAATTGTGAGGAAGGATGTTGAAACTGAATGTACCTCTTCTCTCGTCGTGTATTTGAAAATGGCGTTATAAACCAAGGTCTTGATTACGTAGCTAATTTCGAAGGCGCCGCTACTAGTAATTTGTAATTAATTTCTTTCATCTTGTCATAGATACGAGATGTTTTCTTCCGGAGTTGTCGGCAATATTGACATCCACAATCTCTACATCTGGAGGTTCAGTGAAGCCTGGAAAACGTGCCGTTGAAGCCTGCTAGGTACACCCGACATGTGCTGTGACGGGGACAGATCTAGAGCCTTGTGGTGGTACCAATTTCTGATATGCGAGAGGGAGTACACCGGCATACCCAGTTGTCACTGGCACTAGTACTCATTGCCTAGCCTTAGTCTAATCTAGTAACAGATAATTATTTTTGTTCGAGCATACCTTCAAGTTATCAGTGCCTTGAATTCGCCAGGCCTCTATTTCCAAGGTTTTCAAGTTTCCAAGGTTGTTTGGAGTCACATATTTCCCTGATCCTTAACCCCCAGGGCTAACTACTACTAGTAGTTGTACTACTACTACTACTACTACTACTACTACTACCTACCTACTAATTAGTAGGTGGAGCCGGGGAGGGGGGGGGAGGGTTTCGTTAACTGTTGTCCCTTTGATTGGGTGGCTCACATCTATCATGATGATTGTGACTGGATATATATCAGGGAAGATAGTACTAGTACTCGATATTATCCAAGGATGTAAGGTGCGGACACCTAGTTTCGGGGTGGGATCTCCGAGTCCGTATCAAGCTCCGAGGGTTACAACTTGAACCTAAACTAGTCTGAATAGGGTATTAGTAGTAACCGCCGAGACTAAATAAATAAATGAATAAAAGGTCAAACTTCCGACCTCCGTATCTAGAGTTCGGGTTCCACGGTGATTAGGTCAGCAATATCGGTTTAGTTAGCCGACTCGGAGATTCAAAGGACTCGGACCCGGGGTAAGTCGGTAGTGGGTCGAGCCGGCCGGCTAGTAGCAACTCGTACAGGCACGCACGCCAAGTGGAGGGGGCGCCTGCCCAGGTGCCTCAAGCGTTTCTTTGTAAGAACTTCGTTGCTTTCAGCCCCTCGGGTTGACATATTTCAAGATCATCCCCGCCGAACGGGTTGAGGATAACGTGCATTTCCGAGTCCGTATTGCCGAAGAGGCCACTGGAAATCCGGCGTACTCCTCGCCGGTCAGCAACCAATGACCACGAGGCTTTTGCCGGGAGAATTGCATATGCGAATACTACTACGGAGTGCATGAAATGTCTGCTATCCGTGACGCAAGCCAACAATTGCATAATGGCAGAGTATGACGCTTGGGGATTTTCTGAGGTTTCCGCGTTTAGAGCGGGGAGCTGGGTTCACAAAGCGCATAAATCGAAGATGGAGACCATGGTGATCTCCCCCCTTCGAATCATCAAGTACAGCAATCGGTTCCTGTGACGCTGTACGCACCAAGAATCCGATAACAACCTGCCACTTGTCATGCATGTAAGTCACTTTCTCCCTTCCACAGAGAGGCAGCAATGACCGTTTTGTATCAAGGTCATCGTCGTTGGAGCCGGCCCTTGTGGCTTTTCCTTGAGCTTGGTCCTGGCCCGGGCTGGTATACGCGTGACACTGCTTGACAAAGCAGACGGGGTAGGTTCTCAGCCACGGGCTGCACACATCTTTGCTCCTGGCATACAATTACTTAGGCGTGCTGGGGCCTTGGGAGACGTTCGGCGTGCCGGTTTTGTGCCTAATAATGCGACGTTTCGCAAGGCCGATGGCACACCGATCGTGACAATTGAGGATTTTGCACCGTCAAAGAGTCCAGATGCTACGACTGTACTGCCCATAGACACCCTGGGAAAGATACTATCATCTCATGCGCAGAAAAATGACAACATTTCCTTGATATGGGGTTGTCAGGTTCTGGACGTCGGGCAAGACAAAGACTCTGCATGGGTATCAGTCCGCGAAAATGGCGGGACTGAGAAGGTTATGAAAGCAGACTTTGTGTGTGGCTGTGATGGAGCCACTAGTCAAGTACGCAAGTCGTTGTTTGGCGGGGACTTTCGCGGAAAGACCTGGGACGACCAGATGGTCGCAACGAACGTAGGTGGACACTCGAAAACTCGAAATTCTTGCTAAACGCATGCAGATCTACTATCCATGCGACAAATGGGGTTACGATGATCTCAACTTCTTCATTGATCCCAAGGACTGGCATATTGTTGCTCGCTTGACGAAGGATGGACTTTGGCGTGTCTCATACCGAGAAGACGGTAGCAAAACCCTGCGTCAAATTCTTGATGATCACCCAGCCCGTTTCGAGCGATTACTTCCCGGCCACCCCAAGCCTGAGGATTACACTGTTCTCAACATAAGTCCATATCGACTGCATCAACGATCCGCAGAGAAATATCGAGTGGGCCGTATATGTCTAGCAGCCGATGCTGCGCATCTCTGCAATCCGTGGGGCGGCTTAGGTCTGACAGGAGGTTTTGCAGATGCGATAGGACTATCCGAGTGTCTCATAGGTATTCATATGGATCGGGCGGATCAGAGAATTTTGGAAAAGTACGACGAGGTGCGTAGATCTATTTACAGAAATTTCACAGATCCAGTCTCAACGACCAACTTCATGCGAGTCTCAACTTCGGATCCGGACACGATTCTGGAAAAGGATCCTGTTCTTGCCACCGTTGCTCGTATGGAGGGTGATTCCAAAACCAGGGACGATTTTGACAGGGTAAGTTTACAATTTAGTACATCTTTTGACTTGGTCTCACTCATTGCAGCACATTTACGGAATTCTTCATGACTTTACTCAATATTACACTGTTGGTATGGGAAAAGCATCACTTTGAAGTAACGAGGGTATTTGGAATTTGGTGTTCTGGCAGATATCTGGAATTCAAGATTCTTTCTGGCCTGGCCTTTATAGCAATGTGATTATCTATATGATACTATGCAATATGTTTGTGGCGTCTTAAGGTGATGCATATGGACTTGAATGCAACCCTTTAAAATTACTTCCTATAAGACTATTTAGCATAATCGTGAGCATACTCATATCCTCGAGACTTACAGCTTAATATACGATAAAACGGATCAGACAATGCAGTAGTAATGATTTGACGAAAGTAACAGCTGGAGAAGAAGAAGAAAAGGAAGAAGAAGAAGACGCGAAAGAAGCGAAAGAGACGAAAGCTATTCGCTAGTATCATAGTTAGGAAGGCATATTATAGTAATTTGCTTGTAAGTGAAGTCGTGGAATTTCCCTTCGGCGTGCAATTGATGTTTAATATCATTTCATAAAATAGTAAACTAATTACAAGAAAACTTCCAATCTCAGTCTTTCTTGGTGCCATAAGCACGATGCAGAAGATTCTTCACTTCCTGATCTTCAATTCCACCAATAGGCTTAAAGTGATGCGATATAGCCATCCGAGAATCTTTCTTCCAAGCAACCCGACATGTAGGAGTGGCCATGGACTTCGTCGACCTTATGCCAAGACCAAGCTGACTTCGGTGCATAAATTGATCGCCTCCAGGACGTGAATGTGCGAGTGATATAGTCAAAGCATCGATGAGGTGTCTCTCATCGAGAAAGTAATAACCACTCCTCTTCAAATTCTTCACGAGAGCGTCGCTTTTCACCGCCATACCAATGCTTCCCATGAAACCAATGTCAATTACCGAGGCCGTAAGATTCTGGCCATGACGATAATTGACAAATGCGTCTAAGAACGAGTTCGCCGCGTTGTAATTTCCCTGTCCCCATTGACCTGTAGTGCCGCAGATTGAAGAGAAAAGCAAGAAAAAGTCTAGATCAGCAGAATGGGTAGCGTGATGGAGGTTCCAAGTGCCTTGAACCTTCGGCTGTACACTCGTTTGCCACTCGTCGAATGTCATCTGTGACATTAAGTTGTCCTGTGATACCAGTCAGCAAAGTTTAACATCAAAGGTAGATAAACGTACCCGCATGACAGCCGACATCTGAATGACGCCAGCGATTGGAGTCGTCGCTTGTTTAATGGCTTTTTCTACATCTGGCATATTTGTGACACTACCCACAAACGGTGTGACCGTACATCCTTGAGCTCGAAGTAAGTCAAAAAAAGGCGTGGTCTCGGGTCCTTCCTTCGCAGAGCGAGAGAGGAAAATGATGTTTCGAGCTCCATTCTCTACCATCCATGTCGAGATCATCCGGCCGAGTCCCCCCCAATCCCCCGACTAGTAGGTAGCAGCAGTTTTGGCGAAACCGGACAGTTCCGGGGACCATAGCAGTCATAGGGCTGAAGTTTTGAGAGCCAACATCGTGTTCAGCAGGGTGGGCGGCAAGATGAGCATACTCTGCTTCAGCTGTTGTCCATTGGAGCCTCGGTATTTTGATCTGTCCATCAACAATCGCGTATTCGTAGTCATGTTCGAGGTCTTTCGACTTGGTGCGACGACTGAGGCCTTTGTATAATTTGAGGAGCGATTTGCTCAAGCTGGCATTCATCGTGCGCTTCGGATCCAGTTCCACCGTAGTAATGTCCTTGTTGAATTCAGATCTGACTGTTCTCATCAGTCCGAGTATCATTGATGAGTTAGGATTGTTGCAATGAATCTGGGCACTTGGAGTAACCCATAGCATTTTTCCTTTCATGCCTGAGACAAGCCTAACAAATTTAGACAGTTCAGCCTCCGTGATGTTGTAAAGATATGGCTCGTCGAAGTCGACAAATACAATTATATCCCTGCTAGGTGGTATGTCGTCATTTATCGTCTTTTTCAAGCACTTTATGTGATAGTCCCCGAAGGTTTTCTCAACTTCGCGAATGAGAGGAAGATGATACGCCGGACCGACGACCGTAATTTCCGATGAAGTTACGGGCTCACGTTGTTTCAGCCTCGCAAAAACTTTCGGGGCTGAGGTCGATTTGTTATCTTGATCGTCAAATACGAAATCATTCTCTGTCAGTGCCGTATACACATCTTCAAACGAAGACTTGGTCTCAGATCCAGTTGGTGCATTTGAAGGCTCTGTGGTCAAGTAATCCTAGAGATGATTATCAGCATTATTTACATCGTCGTTTCATCCATAGATACGCCACATACCCTCAGTACCAATAACCATTCAGGCTCTGGAACGAACTCAAAAAGTACTATCTGTCCCTGAGGATGAATAAGCTGTTTGAGGGTTTGTGCACCAATTGTTGCATTGCTCGCCAATGCCGAAAACTGGATATTTATTAGCCAAAGCCCTGTCGAATTTCCGCTACTCTTACATTTGTAATGATTACGAGATCATAAGTTCCCGCCTTCAATCCTTGCTCTTCGATACTTTTCTCGGAGTTGAAAAAGAGCGACTGAACACTGCCGTGTTCCCTCAGGCTCTCCTTTCCATTGGTCGTAGCATCCAGTGACGTCGAAGCGGACAGGTAGGAAGAATACAATGGCTCATCAAATTGAGTTCGAAGAGCCTTCAGCACTCGATTTGTGGTGTCTTTAGTGCCACTTCCGAATTCGAGAACTTTTAGCTTGGGGTTCTTATAAGCTAAGAGCCGAAGTGATTCGCATAGCGTCCCCCGTTCCGGACGAGTGGATGCAATTGATCAAGTAGTAGCTGTCTCTCTCTGTCGCTTCTCGAGAATGGTGTATCATCTTTGAGACATCTCTCCAATGCAAGACCGAGGGGGCAGAGTTCTGTCGCACTTATCTGAGCCTTGAGCAATTTGATAAGGTTTGTACGGCTGCTGGGCCCGCACACGACAAAAGGAGATACATCGGGCACTAGACCAAATCTTCCCTTTCTCCTGGTGCCAATCCTCTTCAGAATCCTTTTCGAGTATGTTTGGCTTTGTGCGCCGATATCCTCTGACCGCAGAGCATAGAGTAGAGCTAAGCGCTCGAGGGCGAAGCTTGGATCTAGATCAGACTCAAAGGATGACAAATATTGATTCAAGTTGTGGTAGGTTGAATCAGTGTCCCAATTAATGAAAGAAAACAGTTTCCTGTCTGATTGTCCTTCCAGGTCGTGGATTGGGGTGATTTTGCACTGTCCGCTCAGGATTGGAAGACCACTTTCATTTACAGCGGAAATGTTGCACGTCGAATCCTGAAACTGACCCGAATTCACAACTCCGTTGACTTTAAGCTTGCCCCACGCTTCTTTGGAAACGAAAAGGTGCTGGATCGATGTTATAACAGACAGATCGGCCAAGAGCCGACCTTGGCCTCTGCAAGCTGCGAGCATCGAGATTTGCAAACAGTGATCGATGAAGACTGGATGAACGACATAGCCCGTGGTGTCGAGCATTGGCATAATCGTGGCACTCGCTTTCTTCTCTGTGAAGTCTACCGAGATATCACTGAGGCCTCGCTGTGAGGCGCTATACTCGATGCCACGATCTGCGATCATATCATACCAGTAGTCGGAACTGACTGACATGTGGGAATCTTCACTCAGAGTAAGATTTTGCAGAATTTCCGTGTCAAGAACAGCTTCCCGTGCTATTAGACAGGTGCACAGCCCGATCGATAGGCCTCCATTGTGGGAAGCAATCTCGATCTCGTACCACTGGCTATTTTCCTCATTCGGGCTCTGTGGTCGCAGTTTCGTGTGAATTTCAAGCTTGTCATCTGAATTGAAAACCAGAGCAGAGCTAATGGAGAGATCCTTCACAGTAAAAGTCTCCAAATTTGATTCTGACAGCTGTCGCACACATTCACCGGCTATTGCTACGTATCCAGAAACTGGAAACGTCTTCCTGCCGAATAGTAGTTGATCATAGAGCCATGTATCATCTTCCAAGTTGAGGAAGCTCGTCCACGATAGCTCATTGTCACTGCTTTCACGAGTCCTTGAGCCAATAAGCCTCTGACTCGACCGTTTCTGTACTTGATGCATGTTCAGTTTCAAGAGTCTCTCTCTAATATTGTCTATACCATTCTGAAGGCTGTGTCTGATATGTGAGCTCATTTGAAGGCTGAGCTGCGGCCTTAGACTTTCCCAACGTCCCTGTTTACGTATGCTTGCTCCGGCGTCTAGTCAGTTACCTTGGCGGATCCTGTTCAACCCTTTCCGTCTCGGTTAACTTTTCCAGCAGATCAACCGAAGCGGCATCGCGCCATATCCATCCCTGCAAGCCACGATCCTTAACAGAGCTCCAACAACAGTTCTTGAGGCAAATTGAATTTCCGCCTCTTGTCGGAATTTCGGAATTCGTTAAGAAGTACTTTTTCGCATGTTTTATTCGGTAGTAGAGGAGCCGAGGTGCGGATGGCCTTATCGTATCCGCCGTAATTCTGATACAGACATGGGGGCCTAGGGTACAGTGGTGTTGCAAAAGTTTGAAACCCCATATTGCCTATCATTATTTACCATCTGGTAATGAGAAACTAGTAGCTACCTGAGATGGAATAGGTTGGCCTATCTATTCCATCTCAGGTAGCTACTTGTCCGCGATTAGAAGGCGGAGACATGAATAGTCAACATCAAACTTCTGCAACGCCGTTGTAAAGAACATAGACTACTAGTACTGTATAATGGTACACGTTACATATTACATATACCGGCTATCGGATTTTCAAGGTTCATATCAAGATAGACAACAGGTCTGACAATAGTACTAGGATAACCTACAGGGCTTCTCTACGTATTGATGTCACAGAGTGTTGAGTCTGCATCTCCCTGAGCCCAAGCTCCAGGGGTCTAGTGCCCCATAGTTAAATTCCGAGCGACATGTGAATAATGGCCGTTTCCGGGCCTGGTCCGAGAGCTGGTATACTATGCTCATCGTCTGATAGGCTCCATGTGATCCACAGCAAATGGCGAGATATCTACAATCCGAAGAACTACGTAAAGGGAGTTTCGGTTCAAGATTGCATCATGTTGAGAGGCACACTAAGTCATAGACTGTAATGGTCAACAGTCGCAAGAACATGTCTGTTGTGAACTACAGTGATATGAGTATTTATATGGGACTGATGCATCAGAGCTTCAATTCTGGACTGTCAACTTGAAGGGATCCACTCAATTCACATTGATCCTTCTTTTCTCTGAATCATCTCATAAACTTCCCATAACAACATCATGGCTGAATCATTCAAGCTGTATGTATTCGGGGATGAGACTGGGGACTTTGCAGAGTCACTACAAAGGCTATGTGAGCGACGGAAGGAAGTTCTCCTCCTGCATTTCTTAGAAGAGCTTAACAAGGTTCTGAGAGATGAGATACGCCGACAGCCTCGCGACGTGCGCGTGCAGATTCCAGAGTTCACAGATGTGCTGGATCTTGTCAGACGATATCGTCGCTCAGGATCCCGCAATCAGATCCTCGAGACCACTCTGACTTGCGTGTGCCAATTGGCAACTGTCATCAGGTATTTTTATTGATAACGTGTCTACGGCCACTACTAACTGAGAATTTAGCTTTTTCGGCAACAACGCATCTCAATACTTTACTCCCTCCGACAGTGCTTTCGCTGGATTTTGTACTGGATTGTTGTCGGCCTCGTCGGTAGCTACCAGTCAAGACACTTTACAGTTGATCTCCAACGCTTTGACAACTGTCAGAGTAGCTTTCCGTATTGGCGTCAAGGTCGATGGAGCTGCTCAACGATTGTCGAAGGATGGCGATTCTGCTGTCACCCAGAGCTGGACAACACTCATAATAGGGGCTCAGAAAGAGGCCTCTATCGCGGCGCTGACACAATTCAATGAATCTAATGGTATTCCAAAGGCTAATCAGGCCTACATAAGCGCGAGCAGTAAAGATGTGGTTTCGATTAGTGGGCCTCCGGACACTACTGCCTCTCTGCTTCAGCATTCAGAATACCTTCAGAAATTCAGGAGAGTCTCGCTTGACATATTTGCACCTTTCCATGCACCGCATCTATACGGCGATGACGATGTTGCAGAAGTGTTGCAGCCATTATCTCACAAGGGTGAGAAGAGAAAGTTCTTCATCCCCGTCATCTCAGGCTTCGGGACTCGATACTCTCCAGATTTGGATGTTGATACTCTTATGGTGGATGTCGTGAGAGACATCTTAATCCGACCACTCTCATTTGAGAATGTCATGAGCACAGTCACAGAAACTACGACAGCTTCGCCACAAAAGGATTGTCAAATCTTCTCCGTTGGGCCGTCTCAGGCGATACACAGTCTTGCATCAACTCTGAAAGAAGATACCTCTTTCAATGTGACCACAGAAGGGCAAATTCACACGAAAAAGCCCGACTACGAGCCTTTGAATGGATCTCAGAAGATTGCTATCGTTGGAATGGCAGGTCGCTTCCCCAACTCTGAAGATCTCGAAAGCTTCTGGAGTACATTACAGCAGGGATTGGACCTACATCGACGGGTTCCTCCCGACCGTTTCGACATCGATACACACTACGATCCCACTGGGAAAAATCTCAATTCTAGTCACACTCCGTACGGCTGCTTTATTGAGAGGCCAGGTCTATTCGATCCACGTTTCTTCAATATGTCCCAACGGGAAGCCTATCAAACAGATCCTATGGGAAGACTTGCACTAGTGACAGCATATGAAGCTCTCGAAATGTCAGGTTTTGTACCTGACAGAACACCATCTTCCATGTTGAATCGGGTTGGTACCTTTTATGGACAAACAAGTGACGATTGGCGGACACTCAACGCCGCAGAGAAGATTGACATGTACTACATCCCGGGAACGATTCGAGCTTTTGCCACTGGTCGAATCAACTATCATTTCAAATTCAAAGGACCAAGTTACAACGTTGATACAGCCTGTTCGTCCAGCTTTGCTGCAATTCAACTGGCGTGTACGTCCTTATTGGCAAAGGAATGCGATACTGCTCTGGCCGGAGGACTGAATGTCATGACAACGCCAGATCTCTTCGCAGGTTTGAGTCGCGCACACTTTTTGTCCAAGACCGGGTCTTGCAAAACCTTTGATGATGGCGCAGATGGCTTCTGTCGTGGCGACGGTGTTGGTACAGTTGTATTAAAGAGGCTTGAAGATGCCGAGGCTGATAACGATCCAATTTTGGCTGTCGTTCTAGGCACGGCAACAAATCATTCCTCTGAGGCAGTCTCAATCACCCGACCTCACGGACCGGCCCAGGAATTTCTCTACAGAAAAATCCTGAATCATACAGGTGTGGACCCTGTTGATGTTAGTTACGTGGAGATGCACGGCACAGGAACGCAGGCCGGTGATGGAACTGAGATGAAGTCCATCACAAATGTTTTTGCTCCACGAGACCAAGGTCGCCGCAAACCAGATCAATTGATGCATGTTGGTGCGCTCAAATCAAACATTGGTCATGGTGAAGCTTCTGCCGGCGTGGCATCTCTGATCAAAACTGTCATTATGATGCAAAAGAATGCTATCCCTGCCCATGTTGGTATCAAGACTACCATGAACAAAACGTTCCCTCATGACCTGCACGAAAGAGGTGTTCGCATTGCTTTCAAAGAAACCCCCTGGCTTCGTCCCGATGGGCAAAAAAGGCGTGCCTACTTGAACAACTTCGGGGCTTCAGGGGGGATACCGGTCTCCTCCTGGAGGATCGTCCAGCTCTTGTCCCAACAGTTGACAGAGATCCCAGAACAAGCTTCGTTGTTTCGCTAAGCGCCAAGTCAGCATATTCTCTAGACCAGAATATCAATCGACTTGCAGCTTATCTCGAAGCAAACCCGGACACATCTTTGCCCGCGTTGTCATATACAACCACTGCCAGACGAATTCACTACCCACATCGTGTCTCTTACGCAGTGAGAAGCATCCCGGAAACAATAAAATCATTGAGGTCAACCCAGCCTAAGGCGATCAAGCCCGATCCGATAAACTCTGGTAAAATCGCTTTTGCATTCACCGGGCAAGGCTCGCATTACACAGCTCTCGGAAAACAACTTTTTGAGGATTCACAAACCTTCCGAAATGATGTGATGGAATTCAACAGAACTGGTCAGAAGGAAGGCTTCCCTACTTTCTTGCCCCTAATTGACGGCTCTGAGGAAGTCGGGTCACTCTCGTCAGTTGCACTCCAGCTTGGGCAAACATGCGTTCAGATGGCACTTGCGCGGCTCTGGCAGTCTTGGGGCATCACACCAAAATTTGTTCTTGGCCACAGCCTCGGAGAGTATGCTGCACTGAATGTAGCTGGTGTATTATCTGCCAGTGATACAATTTACCTCGTTGGCCGAAGAGCTCAGCTTCTGGAGGAGCTTTGCGTCCCGGGCAGTCATAAGATGTTAGCCATTGCAGCATCTGTCAGCTCTGTTAAAGAGACTCTGGGTGACAAGGACATTGAAGTCGCTTGCATCAATGGCCCCAATGGGACTGTCATCAGCGGCTCCGCAGAGCAAATGGAGACTTGCTCCAAAACACTCAAGGCCATCAACATCAAGTGTTCATTGCTATCGACAGCTTATGCCTTCCATTCGGCACAGATTCAAGTCATCGTTGAGCAATATAGAAAAGCGGCAAGCTCAGTCAGTTTCGGAACTCCAAATATTCCCGTTATCTCTCCTCTACTCGGGGATGTTGTAACTGACGGCAATGTCTTTGGAACGGATTATCTGTGCCGTCAAGCTCGAGAAGCTGTGAACTTTATGGATGCACTCAAAGCTGCCGAGTCAAAAGGAGTTGTTGATAACAACACAATTTGGCTTGAAATTGGTCCCGCGCCTGTCTGCTCTACTTTCATCAAATCATGCCTCGGAAGCAAGGCATTGACTTTGACGTCGCTCCGCCAGCAAGAAGATGCATGGAAGACATTGTCTGACACACTTAGCAACCTATACTCCAGGGGACTTTCAATCGAATGGGAAGAAGTTCATCGTGAGTACGAGGCTTCTCACACCGTGCTAGCTCTTCCGAGCTACCGTTTTGAGGAGAAAAACTATTGGCTCGACTACAACAACAACTGGTGTCTGACTAAAGGCCAAAAGCTTGTCGAGTCAGCCGCTCCAAAGCGTTGGAAGCACTATTTGTCAACACCGTCTGTTCAGAAGGTAACCAAGGAAGATTTTGGAAAAACAAAGATTACCGTTGTTGCCGAATCGGATCTGTCAGATCCCGATCTGAACCACGCAGTGAATGGCCATTTGGTGAATGGATCAGCTCTTTGTCCAGCAGGTGTTTACGCTGAGTCGGCGTTGACGTTGGCGGGCTACATCTACAATAAGATCAAGAAGACAGAAAGCATCGGCATGGACGTGCGTGCTCTGGAAATCATGAAACCTCTCATCGCCAAAGGTCGTAATCAAAAGGAGAAGCAAGTCTTCAGAATAACTGCCACCGCCGACCAACCTCTGAAACTATTGAAGATCAGTTATAACAGTGTCTCTGCTGACGGCAGCTTGGGAGTGTTGCATGCTACCTGTAAGGTTGAGTACGGAGACACCAAGATCTGGCATGCGGAATGGTCGAGACTGGCATATCTCGTCCGATCGCGGATCAACGTTATGAATGACGGTGTCAAAGGTCACCAGTATCAGAAAATCGACCGCAAACAAGCCTACGAAAGTTTCTCAGGCTTCGTTGAGTACGACAAACAATACCATGGGATGAAGGAGGTAGTCATGGATCAGAAGAACCTCGAAGCCACCTCAAAATTGGAATTCCAGCCGTCGAATGATTATGGTGAATTTGAGATAGACCCTCGGTTCATCGACAATATCTCCCATCTTTCAGGATTTATTCTGAACGGATCCGGCACAACGGACACCAAAAAGCAAGTTTACGTATCTCACGGATGGGATCATCTACAAATTGCTCAGCCTCTATCAAGCAGCAAGTCTTACAGCAATTATGTCAAAATGCACGAGGTCCAGAAAGCTACCATGTCGGGTGATGTCTACATTTTTGATGGAGAAGAGATGGTTGCGCTCGTAGGAGGTGTGAAGTTCAAGGCTATCCCCCGAGCTGTCGTCGATCAACTCTTACCTCCTCCCAAGGGGGTCACGACATCCTCTTCTCGAAAGGCTGCCACCAAAGATAAGCCTGTCAAGGACTCGAAACCCGTGAAAGAGTCCGTTGCTCAACAAAAAACAAAGTCAACTGTGACTAAAGTCAGCCAAAAGCCACAGGCTCCAGTTGCTTTGCCCCAAAAGCAGAACAAAGCAATCATTGATGATTTCCTTGCTTTACTAGGCGAGGAGCTGGGCGTGGAGCCGTCGGAGCTTCAAAGATGACACCACCTTTGCTGATATTGGGCTGGACTCCCTCATGTCGCTCTCAATCACAGGACGTCTTCGCGAGGAACTTGAATTGGAGGCTATCCCGTCCTCGTTGTTCACGGATTTCCCAACCATCGGCCCGGTGAAAGCAGTGATCATGGAGCTTACGGACAGTTCTTCCGATGGAACTACGACACCTACCACTGATGAAGAAGGCCCGACTACGCCAGATGCAGATGAGACTGAATCGCTCAAGGAGATTCCTCTTGAATCCGCACCAGCGAATCCATCTTCCAGCGAAGCTATGGATGGGCTGCTAACCATCGTCTGTGAAGAGATAGGTATAGACCTGGCGGAGTTGCTCGAGGTGCAGCAATTTGCTGAAGCTGGTGTTGACTCTTTGATGTCACTTACCATCACTGGGAGAGCTCGTGAGGATTTGGACATGGACATTTCGTCCTCGTTCTTCGTGGACTATCCTACTGTCGACCAGGCAAGATTGGCCATTGTATCTCTCATGGGTAGTGGTGATTCTCTCGTGGGTAGCGATGATCATACCGGAACCACTACACCATACAGCGTCAACGATGATGCGAAATCATCAACGACCTCTTTGACTGCAAGCTCGGTAGTTGCAGCCAGCGTTAAGCCTGACTACAACTTGGAAGTGCAAGACATCAGTCAGTCCACTCAACCTGCAACATCAATCGTACTGCAAGGGAGTCTGAAGACTGCTTCAAAGACTTTATTCCTGTTACCCGATGGATCAGGTTCGGCAACCTCATATGCTGCTCTTCCCAAAATCTCACCAGATCTATGTGTCATCGGTCTCAATTGCCCTTTCATGAAAACTCCTTCCGAGTACACAGCCGGAATCGAAGGAGTTGCTTCACTGTACCTTTCTGAAATCAAGCGAAGACAGTCCGAAGGTCCATATATTCTCGGAGGATGGTCTGCTGGTGGCGTGTTGGCGTATGCCGTGGCATGCCAACTGATCGAAATCGAGGAAGAGATTGAGGCTCTCCTCTTGATCGACTCGCCATGCCCAATCAATCTCCAGCCACTACCATCTGAGCTACTACATTTCGTCGACTCATTGGGATTACTGGGGGTTCAAGGATCAGCACCAAACTGGTTGATCCCCCATTTCGAGGCATCAGTCAGGAACCTTGCCGATTTCATACCATATCCCATGGATCCGGAAGAAGCACCAAGAACACATATCATCTGGGCTAGTGATGGACTTGTCTCGGAATCGGATGAGAAGCAGTTTCCGAGATCTGATGCCGAGGCGAAGAGTGTCAAGTTCTTACTTGATGATAGACAGAGCCTCGGAACCTATGGATGGGAGAAGTTGATCGGCTCGGAAAACATCAGCGTGGAATTCATGGAGGGCAATCATTTCACAATGATACGTGAACCAAAGGTAAGTTAACCCATATCTATCCCACACACATGAAGATACTAACATTCTCGGGCAGGTAAAGCAATTGCCAACTATTCTAGATCGCATCATTGGGGCATAAGGCGTTGGATTGATATTTATCAGAGAACAGAGGCCAAAGATTGTAGTCTTATTCTCCGACTCATAAACGCTAAGATCTCCTACTTACAAACATTCATCTGATATTTTAACTATTGGTTGTACGATCATGAGATGCAGTAATGACTAAGATCCTGGTAAAATCAACGCTTAAATTGGCGTCGAGTGTAGCTGTTTCGCCATTCTTGGCCCCCTTCCAATGGCAAACTAGTAGCTACCTGAGATGGAATAGATTAGCAACCCCAATCCATTTCAGGTAGCTGCTAATCCGCCATTAGGAAGGCAGAGACCAGGACGGTTAGGAACCTGTGCTGTGCCACTATACCTACGCTTTTCTACCTGCCTAAATACCCTGGTATGCAACTACTGACCACCATGCGCTTATCGAGCACCGTGCGGGCATTCGTTTCACAGCGCCTCGGTATCTTTGTGTAATGAGGAAACAGTAATTAATTAGAAACATACCAAAATTCAGATATCAGATCAATTCCTGGAGATACAGGGTATCTTCAAAACAGCATAAATCGTAGAGTGGTCCCCCAAGAGAAAAAGAAAACTAGACCGTTTAGAAATGGAACCCCTGCGCCATGCTATGCAATACGCCAAGGAAGTTATCAAAACACACAGAGAAACGCCACCAATCCAAGAGAAAGGAAGAAGAAAAAATTACCCATCGATGCGGAAAGTGGATCATGGCCGCGAAGATGGAAAGTGACTTCGTTAAGTCTCCAAAAGGCAAACCAACCCTAGCGGGGTTCGGAGTAATCGTTCAGAGCAACGCAGACAGCGCCGCGGTGGTGTCCGCTGTATTGCCGGATGATGTTACCAGTGCTTAGTTCCCACAGACGCGCGTAGTGATCGCTCGACACTGTGACCAAATAGGCCGAGTCGGCTGAGAACGCGCAGTCCCACACCCAGCGCTGGTGGTTGACGAGGGTGGTTTCGAGGAAAAGAGTGTTGCTGGTAGGATCCATGGGCGGTCCATCTGGGGTGGTAGTAAAGGTCTGTTGCGAGGTATCTTCGCGTGGAGTGCTATCGGTGATCCGTAGAAGGTCTCGGTCTGTGGTCGAGTCCCCGAATATGCGCATCAGTTCGTTGTTCTGATTCTTGGCGGAATCGCCATTGCTTTCACTATTCTCGTCGGGGTCTTTCTGGGCCTGCCGCTCGCTCCATTCTTTGATGGCGACCTTTGCTGGCACGTAATCCGCGTCCAGATTCCACACCTTTGCGGTGTGGTCTGCGGCGCAGGTGGCTAGGTGTTTGACGTCGGGGGACAGAAGAACGCGAGTTAGGTAGTCCCTGTGGGCCTGAAAGCTGCAAATAGGAATTATGCGCGTGGTCTCGTCAGTGATAACCATTCGCCAGATGTAGACGTTTCCCTAACACCTCGGGTTAGTACGAGTACGGGGTCGCATAGCCGGGGATATTGGGAAACATACGACTTTGTTTCCCGCGCAAAGCAAAGATCCATCGCTAGCGACGCTAACGCTGAGAACGGATGTATCCTCGGCGGGAATAAGCTGGTGGGTGCAGACACTCTCACCAAGATCCCACACGCGCACCATACCAGCCTGATCTCCACTGATGAGCTCGCCCTGGTTCGGGTGAATGACCACATCGTTGACGGGAGCCCGGTGCACGTAATTTCGTTGCAAACTACCTGTGCGTGTATCCCAGACCTTGACAGTGCCATCTTCCGAGCTGGTGACCATCCACTTGCCTTCGCAATGGAACGCGACACCGGTGATGTTGTTGGTGTGGCCCTCGAAGGTCATCACAGGGTTGGGGTTTGTAGACTTGATATCGTAAAGCTTGACATTATTGTGGCCAGCAGCCGCGAGAAAGCGTTTGTCGGGAGTAATGCAGAGACGGTTGACCTGGGAGTCGGGGTGTTGAATGGTTCGCGAGCAAATGCCGGACAGCGCTTCCCAGAAGCTGTTGCCGAACGTGTTAGCAATTCAAGATGCCCCATTTAATCGAATTGAAACACTCGGAGCTTGAGAAAGCTTTGGCTTACCGGATGGTATGGTCATACCCCGCTGCGACAGACAACTGCGATCAGTTCAAGCTCGGGAAGAATGCGGGGAGCTTCTTCATAAACACGGTTTACTTACCTGTGCAGAGAATAACGCTCATACTGACACGATAGTATGGAACAATGGTAAATTAGAAGGGCGATATATGGCTATTTCAAGGTGAAGAGGCTTTGAGCGACTGGGGACCTGGAGAAGAGGCTCAATAATTCGGAGGAGTTGGAGTCGGCGATCGGAGGCCCGTTGCACTTGGGAATGTAGCGATCACGTGTGAGAGGCGGTGACATGATACTGCCGGGTCAGAGCCACCCAGTATACGAGTAGAGAAATGTACAACCCCAGACAATATCATCATGCGCTATGTCGACTTTAGAATTCACTAGATGTAAAATGACGCAGGCGGGAGGGTACAGTGTTCTGGGTTCTACTAGAGTTAAGATACGTTGGAGACTGCTGTTTAAGGATTCCATATTCAGGGCAATAGCTAAGCTATCGAATTCTTAACTCAATACATCGTGCAGAGAAGACATGTTGCCTCACAATGGTGTACCGGATTATGCGAGAGAAGTGAAGAGCCAGAGCAGTCTGGGTCTTGAGCACTGCACCTCATCGAGCCAGTTCTTCTTCCAGCATCCGGGCCAGCTCGTCATCATCTGGATGGTAGTCCTCTCCATTCTCACTATGGCGCTCGTCTGACTGTCCAGCTAGCTGTGCCACAAAGAGCGACTGGTCATCATCGAAACAATTATCTGCTAAAGCGTCGTGCTGTTCAACAGAGGGAACTGCAGTGGGCTCCGGTTCCTCATCAAAAAGGCTGTTGAAGCTGGAACTTGAAGTAAGCACGCGGTTGTTGACTTGAACATTAGGCGCGGAAGCTCGTGAATGTGTCTTTGTAGAGGTGGAAGAGGAGGGCATCTCCTGGATACGTCGGATTGGAAGATTGGTGTGTTCGTAGGATTGCATGCGGGCGACGTCAGATGAAATGAAAGCAGCATTCTCGTCATTCGCCATATTCTTCGTAATGGGTTTCGGTGGCGGAGCTAGCAAGCCTTTGGGCTGCTTGGACACTAAGGCAGAACTTGAACCTTGAACGGGGGAGATATTGTCGAAAAGAGCTTGAGCGGCCAGTCGGACATTCAACGGCGGTCGAATCCAATCAAGCTGCTTGTGTCTGAGGACGTGACGAAAGTCGGTTAGCTGGGGTTCATTTGCTGGTGGGCCGAGTTGAACAGTTGGGAATCCTAAGGTACTCACATCCTCTGCGCCTTCGTCGGTGAGATCAATCACTACAGAATCCTGGTGGGGCACAGCAGGGGTTCGGTTTGGCATCGATGAAATTGACGCTGGTGACGGGTAATTGGCTGAAGGAGCCTTATTACTGGGCTGCATGCCGAGTCCCTCCAAAACCTGCATCGGATCCACTCCTGGGGTTTTCAAAGCAGATATCAAAGAGCGATGCTCAGCCAAGAGTTGATCATATGCGCCTTTCCATGGCTCGGACCCGCCCCAGGAGGTCATCTCGGGAGATTGTCGCGATGGAAGCGCGGGCGATTTCTGAGAAGCCCGGTAATCGGTGAGAAGGCTGTTGTGTGTTCTGGCTAGATTGGCATACTCATTCTGGCAGCTCTGGAGTTCAGCTTTGAGGTTCCTGGTGCGGGTTTGCTGTGTTGATGTCACACGCCGTAGAGTCGTAATTTCTGCCTCCATTTCGTCGATCTTCAACTTTCCCGTACGCGGATCGGGCTGGGTGTAGCTGAGGAGTTTGTCCCGATATCTATTGCGCTCTATGACGAGAACGTTGATCCGGCGTTGGGAGTTTTTCAGCCGATGCTGAAGAGCCGAGCTCGAAACTTCCACATTGACGGTGCGGGTGTGAAGAGACGGAGCGGAAGGGTAATACTTAGACACTTGGTAAGGTGACAAGAATGGAACTGTTCGTTGAACAGTTGGGATGGAATCCGCAGTGTCGTGAGGGTCCAGTCCGAACCGAGTCATCGCAGCGACACTAGCTGGGTTGCTGGATCCTGCAGCCGAGAAATTATTCGTGGAGACCATAGGCGAGGCCCGGTTGGCGATGTCCATACGGGACTGCGTCTGCATGGCCAACGATTCGAGCGAAGGAGAGGGAACCGACTGGCGTGAACGCTTTGGTGGCGTCTCGGCTTCGTTGGGGGAGACCTCTTCGAGGGAACGCTTGGCCGGTGTCGAACCAAGGGTGGAGATATCGATTTGATGGACGACAGGATCAAAATCGGTCAGAGGATCGAAATTATCCATGAGGCCGAAGTCGAGATCCATGCTGAGGTCGAACTCTGAGAAGTCCATTGTATGGGCGAAGGATTGTGACTGTGATCCAGGGGAGAGTGTAAGCCCCAGATCCTCAAGTGCAAACTTGCTTGACTCTCCTGAGTCACCCAGGGACAACTCACATTGCTCCATGATGTCGTTCATTTTGCACGGTGGATACGGTGATACCAATGCTCAAAACTAATTCAAGGCATGTTGCCTAACGATAACCGCCGCGCCTTTCTGCCTGCAGATTCTCCTGGTGAAGACAAAGGCTGAAGACTGGCTATTTATTGTTAGACAGGCACACAATAGATGATTCAAGAGAAAGATGGGGTTTGACCTTCGCTCGATGTTCACTGGGAGGAGTTGATGAAGTGAGGATGGTGCCTGGACAAATGTTTACCTTTTTCCTTTTTCTGCCTGGATGATGCTCACCGCCTACATATTTCTGACCGCCTGCTCCACCCAACCATGGCATCAATCAGCCATCGCCCTGATAACTCCCGCTGGTATGGGGGATTTCCGGTGAACTATGCTCTTGTTTGTGGACTTCATACTTATGGGATGTAAACGCTTCATCGGGACATGGCGGAAATTGCCTCAGCTCCTTATCGATATGGACTTCCAGCGCTATGCTGTTCATGGAAATGTGGTGGAGTAAGACCTTAAGAGGGAGTATATAGCCTTCTCATCCAGCCATATCGGCCACCACTCTATAACGCATGTAAACCTTGGAACCTCTTCAGGGGCACAGACTCAAAATTATCCGACACGAGCCCAACCCATAAATAAGCAATCCAGCGCCTGCAGCTAAAACGCCACAATGCACCGAAAAACGGGCTAGCGAGCCTTATTTCGGCAGCTGTATCAATAAACAGGCCATATTTACATAAGAACTGAAGATTCCACGGAAAACAAAATGATTTTATCTATATTGATGACTATCCACAAATCTAAAGCGTAGATATCAACCCAAAGTAGGCGATCCAAGCTTGACCCAGCGCTATTGATCGTTGAAATCGTAAGATGTCAAGGCAGAAAAAAATAAATAACTAGAGAATCCGGCCAATATGGCACATCAAAAAGGTTGTTCAAAAATAGACCTTTGATAAAGGGGAGTCGGATCAGCTCAGCTCAGCTCAGCTTAGCTCAGAGTGTATCACCATCCAACAGTAGATGCTTTGACCCGGCAGAAGACATCATCCAGTATACCTAAACAGATACACTCTAGTCCGTAGTAACAGCATGGGGTTCGACGTGTTGTCTCTCACGATCAACAGAAGTCGAACGGCCAGTCGAAGAATCCGCAACGGAACTCTTCTCCATCTCGCGCCAGTCAATGCCCTGAGACTTCAACTGCTTGCGCGCCTTATGGCCGCCACAGCAGGACGCGCAGCAGGAGCCAAACTGGACGATGAAAGCGATCAGACTGAACCCGGAGGCAATCCACATAAAGACCAGCATCTGAGTACCGACGTGGGCATGAATGTTCAAGCTGGGGTCAGCATTGGTAAAGACGGTAGAGAAGATCTCGAACATGACGGTGGCCACGGCGGATGCGACGATGGTGACGAGGGCGGTGAAGAAGGCGAAAAAGAGCATTGGTAAAGAGCGCAGCCAGATAAAAGTGCGACGACGGTGCGGAGGTTGACCAGCGGGTGTGCTTTGCGTGCCGTTGGTGCTGGCGGCGGCCCAGAGCTTAATTGTTTGCGGGGGCCGCGAGGATACGGCGAGTGGGCTGATGAAGATCATGATAAAGTTGAATACGGCGGCGGCGATAAAGAGGCCGAACATCCAGTGTGAGGCAATCCGGGCCAGTTTGAGAGGGTCCTCGATATCGCTTGGGAGAGCAACTGCGGGAGAGGAGGTTAATATAGTTGTTCATATTGATAAAGTGTATCCTTATATCAAGGAAGGGGGTGGGGTTGCTGGAAAGAGGTAAACGTACTACTAGCGCCGGCAAGCAGCTCGCTCAAGATGATTTCGACTGGGTTGAAGGCATAAAGAGACTTGGGCTTGGAGCAGCTGGTGATGCCCGCATTGTTGTAGCCCTCACAGAAACCCCACAGACCGACCTGGTAGAAGTCGTGAAGGCCGATTGAACGGGCGATGGAGTTGATAAGTACGGCATTAGGCACAGAGACGGGGATAATGTCTGTTAGGTCGAGGTAGAGAAAGTAGGTACTGCGCAAGACTGGTTTGTTGGAGAGATTGCCAATGCAGACGAGAAGGACAAAGATCCAGGCGAGGAGATATAGCAAAGACCGGATGATGCGATGGGTGTGTACTGTGGACGCGCGGCGGCGTGCGAGAGGGCCATTGGCGCTGCGAAAGAAGGGCAACTTGCGAGTAGCGCCTGAACCTGAGCCTGAGCCTGAGCCATTGGTGCTATCTGGCCCGTCGACCATGGCGAAGATGAATGTGTTGCAGTGCAGAGCAGTGCAGAACAGAGCAGAGCAAAGCCGAACAAGGTGGACAGGGCAGAACGGCACTCAAGCAGGTAAATGTCAACGGAAGCAGGAGTTTTATTTCTCCTAATCAGATCGGGGCTTGGAGCTCCCGCGGATCGTCAGTGGCGTTCCACTAGCGGACCTTAGTGAGGGCGATCATGAAATCAGTGGAGGTGCGTAAGGGGGGAATGGATATAGAAATTAGACAGAAGAGAAGGATGCGAGGGAGCAGAGGGAAGAGAGGGAAAAGAGGAAGAAAATGAGGAGATAGTAGGAGGGGGGGGGGGGGGTCGAGGGAAGTGGTGTACAAAGCTGTACTCCGTACGAGACAATTGACATGAGAAAGTCCGAAACTCACGATGGCCAGACCGATTGCGATGTGAGATGGGTGGGTTACTCAGGGTCTCTCATTCTATTATTGGCTTATCGACCGGGCACCAAGTGGCGACAACGTCAGCACTTCCAGGCGAAGTGGTTTAGTAGTGGAGAATATATGGAGCAACTTCGGGATTTAGTGTATTTAGTGTAGCCTAGAATTACGGCACTGACAAGCGACCCAGTGACGGTGAATATTCTTCGTACTCGTGTACGAGCACTGGCACTGGCACTGGCACTGGCGAGGTGTGACGGTGGTTGATCGACAGTCTTGTATTTTCCCTCTCTTTCACCCCGAGTTACCTCCTCCTCTCCTCCACCATCATCACCACACACCCGCATCCTCACCACCCCCCCATGAGGTTTACCTCGCTGCTGGCCCTGGGCCTAGCTGGTCTGGCTTTAGCCAAAGATGGTACAACCACCGAGACCACCGAGACCAACACCAACACCGATCTCTCCTCCACCATCACGGGTTCTTCAACCTCTTACAACTGGTCCGATGCTTCCACCATCACCAATGCCTCAGCTCAAGTTCCCACTGGTAGCTATCTGACCTACACCTCCGTCATTACCCTCGGTAATGGCGACCACAAGACCGTGGTCTCCTCTTCACTCAATGCCAGTGCTACCGCGACGGGCAACCAGACCCTTCTCCACACTTCGACCTCGGACTCCGTCACGGTGCTGGTTGGCGGTGGTGGGACAACCACCCTGGGCAACAATAGCATGAACGCGACCCATACACATTCTTCCACCAGTTCGATCCCAACCGAGACCAACACCACCCCTTGCAATGGGTACAGCGAGTTCTGCTTGCGCAACTACTCCAACATCACCAATGTCGCCGCTCATAACAGCCCGTTCGTGGTTCCTGGCAATGCTGCCTCCAACCAGGCTCTCAAGGTGACCGACCAGTTGAACGACGGCATTCGCATGCGTATGTCTCTCCCCTATCCTCTGCGACTCAATTGACCTCACCTCTGACCAAAAACCCCCCCCAAAAAAACAGTTCAATTCCAAGCCCATAATAAGAGCGGCGAGATTCACCTCTGTCACTCGAGCTGCGACATGCTCGACGCCGGCACTCTGGAATCCTATCTCGCCCAGGTCTACCAATGGATGATCAAGAACCCTTACAACGTCGTCACCTTCGTCATGGGCAACTCCGACAACCTCCCACCAACCGCTTTCGTCGACTCCATCGAAAAATCCGGCCTGAAAAACATCATCTACTCGCCCCCGAAGGCCCCCATGGCCCTGGACGATTGGCCCACTCTCTCCGAGATGATCCTCTCCAACAAGCGAGCCGTTTTCTTCATGGACTACGGTGCAAATGAGACCGCCGTGCCCTATATCATGGACGAATTCTCTCAGCTGTGGGAGACACCCTTCTCGCCCACTGACCGCGATTTCCCCTGCACCGTGCAGCGTCCACCGGGCCTGAACCACAAGGATGCCACCAACCGCATGTATATGATCAACCACAACCTCAACCTCGAATTGAACTTCGGTTCTATCAGCCTGCTCATCCCCAACACGGCTTATATGGTCGACACCAACAGCGCCAACGAGACCTTATATGGCAGTCTTGGTAACATGTCGGCGAAATGTTCTGGTAAGTGAACAAACACCGCAGCGAACAGCGTTTGTTCATACTCACAATTTTCTAGAAATGTGGGACCGCCCTCCCAACTTCCTGCTGGTCGACTACTATAACTGGGGCAAGCCCAATGGCTCTGTCTTCGAGGTTGCGGCGAAAGCGAACAACGTCACCTGGAATGGTAACTGCTGCGGCAGCACTTCGGCCGCTGCGCACATGGCAGTCGCCAGTGTCTCGACGATGGTCCTCATCGCAGCAGGTGTCCAGTTCCTTCTCGCGGCATTCTAAAATGACGATTCACGATCTAGCCTTTTTCCACTTGATTTATTTCGACACATTTGGGTGTACATATCGTAATATAGATGGACAGCAAAGCGCAGTATAACAAGCATTAATTCGATTCCCATCCAACAAATACATCAATTAAACCTCAACCCATATACAACGTAGTATATCATCCTCTGCCCAGGTGTGAATGAGTAGACAAGTACCTTACAAGTGCCTTCTGCTCTACTCAAATTACACCTATATCCACCCACATCACGTGCCCCACCCAACCGCAGCCATGAAAACGAAGCCAACCACCAAACCCCCAAACGACCACACCATCCGAGTCCCCACCACCAATCCTCTCACAATACTCGAATAGAGAGAGAGCGAGAGAAACCGAAAACGCCGCCACCGCGCACCAAACCCCCTACCAAAAACCGCAAAAATGGTCGACATCGTCCCCCTCTCCAGCTACCCCTCCTACATCGACCTCCTCCCCTCAATCCAAACCTGCAACATAACCAACCTACCCGAAAACTACTTCCTAAAATACTACCTCTACCACGCCCTAACCTGGCCGCAACTGAGCTTTGTCGCCGTCGTCCGGCCGAAGAATGGTTACAATACTGGCGGCACCGGAGCCGGGATCGCGGGGGATGTCTCGGGTCAATACCCCAAGGTCGTTGGATACGTTCTTGCAAAGATGGAGGAGGAACCTGCGGATGGGAAACCGCATGGTCATATTACTTCTCTGAGTGTTATGCGGACGCATAGACGGTTGGGTATTGCTGAGAGGTTGATGCGGATGAGTCGTGAGTTTTACCCTTTGCTTTTTCACCTCTTACCTCTTTTCTCTATACTTTTTGCTTTGTTCTTCATGGTGTGTGAGGGTCGGTTGGAATTGTTCGAGTGGGAGAGATCAATTGTCTTGTCCGCTCTGTTTTCGTCTGGTCTTTGGCTGGCAGGTGAAACCGAAGCTTGCACCGGTGATTCCGACCTAGACCTGACCCCAACCCCAATATTAATACCAATACCAATGCGAATGCGAATGCGATCCCCATGACAACCACAAACAAAAGAAACCGCTAACTCGCCCAGAACGCGCAATGGCCGAGTCCCACCGCGCACACTACGTTTCCCTACACGTGCGTGTTTCAAACATCGCCGCGCTACGCCTATACCGCGACACACTTGGCTTCGAGGTGGAGAAGATTGAGAGCAAGTACTACGCCGACGGCGAGGATGCGTATGCGATGCACCTGAAGCTTGAAAGTATGTGGATGGACTGGAAGGCTGTTGAGAAGCGGGATCGGGCGGAGGCGAAGAAGAATAAGAAGGAGGGCGAGGATGGTGCCGATGATGAGGAGGATGATGCTGACGAGGGCGATGCGGTTGGGGATTTGGGGAAGGCGGAGCAGAATGGGGAGAAGATGGTTAATGTTAAGATTGGGAGGGCGCTTGGTGTTGGTGATTTGGTGGAGAAGAGTGATGTTCAGTCATAACTGGCATGGTTCGATGAGCTTGGCTCTGCATAGAGTTCTAGGCAGTACTTGTAGTGCTACCGGCCTACGAGTACGCTGAAGAGACTCGGAAAAAAGAAAGGAAGACCCTAGCTTGGGTTGAAGGTAGTTATAGTTGATGAATCTACTAGGTGTATATCAATCAATGTATATGCAGTGACTATCGTTACTTCGTTGATGCTACCTCACCCTGGGCGTTCCCAATTGCGCCTTGAAAATATATACGCCAATAAATAGAACACTGGCAGAACAGGAAAAGCGAAGGAGCAAAAAGAATCCAAAAGAAATATACAAAAATGTATCAAGCTCCATCCTTTTTCTTGCCCTCGTCCCGCTTCTTGGATCGCGGTTTGAGAATATCCTTTATACGAGAAGGCCCTCCACTCTTCTTTTTATCCGGGGTATCGGCTTGCGTTTCATGCATGCTGGCCTGCGAAGAAGAAGGAGTATGAAGGTTACTCCTGTTGAACTCTGAGCTCGTCTCCGAGCGCACAGGAAAGCGCTGCGGCTGAGGCTGTGCAAGAGGCGGTGCGGGGGAATCGTCCAGCGAGACGTTGTTCAATTTACCATCCAGAGAAACTTGTTGGTCATTGGCACTAGCCTTCGCATTTTCATCGGCTTGGACAGGGCCATGTCGGCGGCGATTGCGCTTCACGCGCCGCCGAGCACGCTGTTCTTCCCTTGCCCGTTTAACAACGTCCCGGAATGCTTTTCGCGTGGCACGCATCTCCTCTTTCATGGCACGGCGGTCTATAGATGCGCGTTGCTGTTGCTCGGGAGATTCCCACCGGCCCCAGTCGTTGCTGTCTGTTGGCTGGGTTTGCTGGGGGCGGGTCCCTGGGCGCCAGTTCCGGCGGCCGGAGGCGCGGGCTTCGCGGCGGGATTCTTGGAGGGTTGTGAGTTGTTGGCGGAGATCGACCGCTGCGTCGTATAAGATTCGGTCGTGTCTGTCATCGAGGGATTGGAGTTGTGTGCGGACTGTGGTGAGATCCGAGGCGTCTAAGTCCGAGGTAGTGGAGAGCGAATCAATCGAGCTTAAGGAGGACTCGGATGAGGTGGATGCTATAGATATACGGCGCGTTTGTTCAAGGGGAGGTTTATCGTCATCTTTGGGGAGTGGTTGAGGCTGCGTTGTAGGTTGCGAAGTTGGTTGACTGGGCGGGGTAGGGTTGGTGGTAGGGATGCTTGTGGGAGTGGTCGGGTTTGATACTGTGCCAGTGGTTGGAGGACTCCAAGTTGGATATGGAGCGTAGCCAGAAGGAGGATATCCCTGATATGCAGGTTGCTTCCGCCCAAATCTTGCCTGCTCTTCGATCCAGCGGCCGTGTGCGAGAGCTTGCTCCTCGACTTGTCGGCCATAGTTCATGGCATGTTGACTGAATTGGTTACCGTAATGCTCTAAACGCTCACCATACTTCTGTGCTTTAGAAGTAAGATCCGATAGCCACCCGCCCTTGCCGCTACCAGTATTCCCATATTGTGGTTGTTGATAACCCCAACCGTTCCACTGCCCCCATGGAGCGGCTCCAGGAGGTGGATATGGATAGTACTGCGGTGGCTGATGATTTGGGGGTGCACCATGGCCGGGAAATTGAGGAACTGCATATGGCGGTCCAAAAGGCATTGGCGGGTGCGGCATCATGGGCATCGGCGGAGCAGGCCAATTTGTGGGTGAGGGGGTATTCTGGCTACTCGCAGACTCGGGCGTAGTTTGAGCTCTGCTATCTATACTTGCACTGGCCCCAGTTCCTTGATTCGCCTTTGTCGCGGCTGGATAACAGCGCGGACAGAGGGCAGAGGATGGCGCGGCGTCGGGTTCCCCAACATATACAAAGACGATTCGAGTGCCGCGTACCTCAAAGAAACACTGGTTCCATTCATCCACCACGGCAGCAATGCGAGCCGGTCGTTGCTCATCCGTCTCTTGTGGTCGATCCTTTCGGTCCCGCTGGATTTCCGCCCGCAGCTGTCTTGGGAGATGCTGAGACGCAGCAGCCAAGCCCAATTGAGGCGGGAACAGATATCGCAAAAAAGTGTCCCAGTCCTGTTGCAGGACCTCATTCATCCGCGTCGCCCAGCAACGGGGCCTTCGCGGGAAGTCTTTGGTTTGACTGCGGGGGATATCGTTATATGGTGGTCTAGCAGGCCTTGGCTCTCATCCAACCCTGTCGCAGGCCGCTGCTCAAAGTAGCTCGCAGCGGAGACGAAGTGGGTTGGCACAACGGAGGAGGCTGCCGAGGAGGAGCTACCTGCCTCCGGCGACGGACCTGAAACATTCGCACGCGATGGGCCATTGGCATTAGCCTGGTCGTTATTCCTATTGCTGGCCGGCGCATTTAATGGATCAACGGCGGCATAAGGCGGTGGTGGGACCTCCTCCTCCTCCCGGTCCATTGTGACAAGGCTGGAGGGAGATCGTCGGAGAAAGGAGCAGGGAGCAGAAGTTGAGGCCTAGGAGGATTGCAGATATTCGGCAGCCTGTCAAGGCACGTCACCCATGCTGTGCGATTCGGTGGATGATCTAGAGGATCAAATGGGGATGGTGGTCGAAGGCAGCAGAATTCCGGGCTAGTAGGTCAGCACCGAACAGCTTGGCGCGGGGAATCGGGCTGATCAGAGATGCATGTCTCACCGGACTGGAGGGCCAAGGGGAACTGGCCAGGACAGGTATATAGTCGCGCGGTTGCAAGAAGTTGCAGAAGTGGAATGAGGTTGAGGTTGCGGTTGGGTTGATGGTGCCATTCCTTTGGAAATCCGCCAGCGGGGCGATAAGATAGCCCACCTCCGCGGAGGTGTGAGACCCTACCCTGGGTGAGGAAGGTTAAACCATGGATAGAAGGAATGAATATAGGTGGAATGATGTGGATTATTTTAGGATACACGGAGATACAACTAGACAGGGTCTACCATGTAGGTAACGGCTCCCCTAATACCCTAAATAGTACTGGAGAATATCCCCGGACAAATCCTATAGGAGACTCCGGTAATATGTAGCCTAGTAGTAACCTTAATACTTTAGTAACAGAACAGTCTATAATGACCACAATATCTCTATTATTTCGACTAGTAGAACCTTTATGCTCCCGGGTAATTAGCAATTGTTCAGGAAATCCCATATATACATTACCACAACCCTCAACCTGACCCTCAATCCCAAGCATCACCCCACCCATCGTCTTCATCGACATCTTCCTTTGGCTTCGTATCGATCTTCTTCGCTGGTGCCGCTACTCGCGGCTTGGCAGCAGCAGCAACAGTACTTCTCGTAGGTGCCGAATTGGTGGAAGAAGATTTATTCAAGCCCTTTGGAAGGGGCTTCTTCGCCTTTGACTGGTTCTTTGCAGCCAACCACCCAGCAAAATCAGGTTCACCTCCATCATCGAAAGATACGGGCGGGGCTTGACTTGCAACTGGATCCGGTGATGAGGGTTTAGGCGATGCAACGGCAGCAGTGAAGGGATCAGACTCTTGATCGTCGTCGTCCATTGCACCCCAGGCATCGAAGACATCGTCACCTTCGTCTTCAATTTCCTGCTGTTGCACAACGGGGACAGGTCTATCTGAGAGTGATCGGCCCAGTGGCTGTGCGGTTGGGCGCAAGGGTGTTTGCTTTGGAAGTTCCAATTGCGTAGATGGTGATGATTTGGCAGGACGAGGAACGGACGCGGATCTGGCTGCCTCGGTCTCTGCTGGTTTGTTGATAGCAGCTGTAGGCTCGATCTCGCCGTCCGCGGCTGCGATCTTGTTGGTGAAGGAGGATATCGCCCAGCCGGCCCAGGACTTGTCGTTCGAAGTCCCGATCCGAGCACTTGGGGTGTCGGGCTTGCTGGGTTCTGCGGGTAGCGCAGAATCGGCCATGGTGGTGGCAAACTTTCGAACACGTTGGATGTAAAGGTCGAGGGTTTTGTTGGCTTGGTCGCGAATCAATCTGGAAACTGTAAGCGGAAGAAGGGGTTGCATTATTTGTTCGTAGACTCACTTTTCCTTGTCTAGCAGAGCTGGGCAAATGGCGGGAAGAATCTTTGCAGCGCAGTCCTCCTCGGTAAAAACATCAATTGTGGCGGCCAGCGCGAGTAGACCGGCAACTCGGGCATGCTGAAATGGATCGCGAATGGCTCTTGTGAATGCAGCAATGAGGACCTTTGAACGAGTCTGGAAAGATGTTAGTTGGGATCAGGATTTCCAATCATAGTTTCAAACTCACGCCCTGGGAAAGATTTTTGGCAATCCGGCCAAGACAGATCGTAGTGTTCGTTCGGATACCAGGTTGCTCATCATTAGCGGTGCGGGCGAGGAACCGGAGCAGTTCGCCATTCACGACCCTGTCACTAAGTTTGTTGATCACCGTCAGAACCGCCTTTACGGTCTGCTCTCGGACCACGGGAGCGGCGTCGGTGAAACCAGAAGTCTAGAGAAATGTCAGTTATAAGGCAGGTGTCTGAGGAGGATGTGATAGACTCACCATCGGGGGGGAAGATCTTATCATTGACAACTTTCTGAGGAAGATTATCAATCATTAAAGGGAGGTTATCCAATAAACACACGCGGAGAGCTCGATCAGGGTTTCCAAATAAGCGCACGATAACAGGCGTTAATTTGGCATTGAATTCATCCGCTGATAGCTTAGACCCAATCTTGATGGTAGAAGCAAGCACCTTAGGGCCACCACCGCCAAACTCCACTGACTTGAGCAGCTCAGGGAGAACCTTCATCTTAAAAAAGTCTTCTGGGAAATCATCCGAGAGTGTGTTGAGCTCACTAATAGAGTTGAGTCAGTAATGAAAAGAGTTTCATGTCAGACGGGATACGTACTTTATGAATTCCTCTCGTTCCTCGTCACTCTTCAGTCCCAGGTTATCCATATCCTCTGTCAACCGAATCAAGGAAGTTTGGAAGAACCCGCCATGCTTCTTACCCTGCTCAACAAAGTGAGCAGGACTCAGTCGGAGTTTGGGATTGGCTGTGCAGAGCCGCTTGTAGCTCTGTTGCATAGATGGAGGGATATTGGTCGTCTTGCCAGCTTGGTCTCCACCTGAAAAATGGCCATTGAAGACCTCAAAGATCAATGTACCCAAACCATAAGCATCTACTGCTGACAATGGGTGTTTTTTGATAGTGTCCCATCCTCCCTTCACAATTTCCGGTGGTGTATACCGATGCGAATCTGGGACGAGACTTCCGTATGTCTAGGTCCTGGTCAGTATTATATTTCTTGTAACGGTCCTCCATAAGGATACTGACATAGATGATAGCGTCATCTTCTTTCATGGAGCTCAATATATCAAATCCACCCAGTTTCCATTCACCACTCTCACTTGTATAGACCGAGGCGGCGCGGACAGCACCATGGACAGACGAAGCGTCTTCATTGATGAATTTGAGAGTAGACTATATCGCAGTCTGGTTAGCAGCTGCGCAGACAGAATTTTTGAAGCCCACTCACCGAGATGCCGTATAATCCCCATTTCGCGGTCTCTTCACTCAAGCTCCGGCGCTTGACTTGCCACTCGAGGGGAGCGACTCGTTCGGTGACGATATAAAGATTCGATTCGGTCTGCAGTGTGAAATAAATTAGCCCCGCGCTCACAAGGAAGACCGTATGGATTGCTAGCATAGAGCAAAAAGGCCAAACATACCTCGATCGTATCCAACACCTTGATAACACCAGGATGTCTCAATGTCCTCGACTTTCGAACAGCATTTTTGGCCAAGGGCAATCGCGACTTATTCGCGTTAATGTCGAACGTGAATACACTGCATGCAGAGCTATCGTCCTATCCAACCATCCCATCAGTATAAGCCATGCCACGCATTCGCCCGCGGCCGAAGCGCATATCGTAGTGTTGGAAGCCATCCTACCCGTTTCGTACCGTTGTGAAGCGTCCAGATCGAATCGCCGATGTCGACTCGATCACCCAGTGAAAAAGGTAACGAGGAACCCTTGGCGATCGCGGAGGCGACGGCGGACTTGAGGAAATCCATGTGCGTGGCGGTGATTATCTGGCCGGAGTGTTTGGGTACTTTTCGCCTAGGAATTCGGGGCGGCCAAGCCAATGGCGGGTGAAGTTGAGTTGCGCGGGGTCGGGGTGTGAGGAGGAGGGTAGGGATAGAAAGAGGAGGGTAGAAAAGAACAGAAAGAAAGAAAGAGAGAAAGCAAGAAGAGTATGGAGGAGTCGAATACTTCAATGGGGGACGATCCAAGAGGGAGTTGCGGCCCCGCGTTCGGCCTGAGGCACGTGGATTTATTCCAGCTGAGCTGAGCTCTCCTCTACTTCTCTTCCTCTCCTTCTCTTCTCCCAACACAATCACCTTTTCACGCGCAAACGCCAGTTAAGTCTTTTCCAAATTCCTGTGAGTCCTCTCCTTCAACTACCCCTACCTACACTGCACACCCCAATTCGACTCTCTCTCCTATGATGTGAATCCTGGTAAAAGGTCAGACCGCGCAACACCACAACCCAACAACCCCCAAATCCACAAAAACCGAAGGTACACGAGATATCCACCCAAGGGCCACCAAATCAACTCTCCCTCCAATCAACCGAGAGCCCAAATCAACGCGTCTCCGCCAAACCCAACCCCGTTCATCACGATCAAGCTCCCCGTTACTCCCGAGTAACTATCTTATACCAATGGTCCCTGCACCAAAGGCATAACGAGACAATGGGAGCTTGAATCTTCCACCCAGAGCAAAGTCCGCCAGAGCACGCGTCTCCCAACATCTCAACTCCACTTCTATATTACTCTACTTTATACCGGATCTTTAGTACACCTACCTACCCAACACGCCTGTTTTCAAACCTTCCTCTCTCCCCGCAAGCAAAGCACGGTTTCTAAAAGGCAAACGAGGGTCCGAGTCTATGAAGTGGCTCTCTTCGGGCACGGTGGCTAACAGTTATCGCGGGACCTTGGGTGTAATGCCGTCTACAGTGACTGCGATTTTCCTCACCTGCTTGCAGGGTGAGGTTAGTCGTGGAGGCCGTTTTATCTGGGGTTCCTTTGTCCGCTTTTCTCTATGAGGACTGTATAGGAACCAATGGCAACGGCTGACAGGCTGGAAGGCTCAGTGGGATTTGTTGGAAATGCTTGCGTGGAGGGGGGAGGGTTTGCATGGTGGGAATGCTGGGTAGGATAGATACTAGGGATTGGGTGTGGAGGAGGGTATGGAGGCGGAGGTGGGAGGGAGGTCGTGTGTGTGATACCCATGTATCTTATCTGGCCGGGTGGAGTTTTGGGAGAAGGTGAGAGAGGTGTTGGGGATGGGTTTGGCTGGCATGCGCCGGGTTTTCGTGAGATTGGAGTGGGTTGAGGGGATGAGGTTGGTTTTTTGGTGGATTGTTTCTGCACCGCGGGGGTTTGTGGTGGTTTTGGGGTTGGGTTTGAATGATGATCATTTGAAACTGAAAAGACCTGAGGAGAAAGTGATAGCTTCATATGCTTTGTTTACTTTGATTTTCTGCTTTGAGGACTTGATTTGGTTCCATTACTGACTTGTCTTGAAGAATAGGTTACGGAAGTGGTGTTTATCAAGCCAGGTGCCAGTGCATGATCACTCCAGTTCTAGTTCATAGATAGTTGCTACTACTAGTGCGGGTACCTGATAGGGCATGTTCAAGTTCAAGTTCCAGTTTAAGGTTGTCCATGTGGTTAAATATATCTTTGTATTATGGCATCTAGTCGGGATCGAATTCCAAAGTTCTAGCTAGTTTCAGTTCAAGTTGCTGTAACTTGAATAACTCGGAGTTTGAAGGTGATCGTACTCTAGGGCTAGTCCTAGTAGTAGTAGTGACCTTGGAATATATTTCGGTACCGCAGTTCAAGTTCAAGTTGATACTACATTCCAACTTGCCCAGGTGAACTTGAAGCTCTGGTCAGGAAACTTCCAAGGTTGAACTTGAACAACATGAACATCGTGAATTATTTCGAACTGTAAGTTGAATATACTAGTACTCTAGTATCATGATGTTACGCTGGGCATGGGTAGTAGGTACCTAGGTAGTAAAGATTCAAGCTGAGACCTACCTAGGTACCTAGGTGGTGTCCACATGTCAGAATTCTCACAGTTCCAATGAAATACGGTCTCCGAGAGAGTATTTCCAAGGCTGTGAGGTTTAAAATACTACTAACTGTCGGAACGACCGTATGCTCAAAGGTTGAATTGCCAGATGAACCGGTATGTTGGCCTGGGGAGGTAGTACTGGTAGTACTTGTAGTATCTAGTATGTATCAACTCTCCGATTCGGAGTCGTAATTCCTAGCCCAGAGTCTAGGAGTATAAGCAAGCTACGGCCACGGCTACGGCCACGGCTCTACCCAAAAAGGATATTTTTATAATCATTCATTGGATCCCGCAGGACTGCTGACAATCACTACCAAACTTCAAGTTGTCTTGAAGTCGGTAGTTCCTCAAGTGACCAGAACTCGCCCGATACAGCTCACTCTCATCCCATCCCATCCCACCCTCTCTCACCTCCCTCACAGAAGCACAGCCACCACATTCCAATAGTTTGAAGACATCGGAAAACAAAAGAAGAGGAGGACCACAATGATTCTCATTGAAGAAAATTCCATCACGCTGAATATGAACAGTTGGGAAAGGGGAAAGGAAAAAGCGAAAATAAAAGAAAAAGCCGGAAAGAAAACAACACTGATAGAAAATCACCGTCACTCGTCACGATGTGGCAGAATGAGGCAGCACGAAATTTCTAGGTGCGATGAACTTGGGGGTGCAGAGCGCTGGAGGCAGCGGCTGAATTGGAAGACAATCCAGAAGAACTTCACATGCACAAAGCGTCCGAGTCGAATGCGAGTGATAAGAGACATTGTTACATGTATTTCACTCGGTGAATCTGCGAGTTTGTTGTCAGCATTAGGTATGCAGGTTGGAAGCATATCTACTCACATCCCAAGCTTCTCGGTGGCATTTTCCTCATTACGCGATCCCTAAGTGTAATGCGCCAAACCTAGGAGGGCGGATGGAGATCAAGACATTCCAACCTTGATCCAATAGTTGGTTCTCAGATCACATGACGGAATGAATATCTAACAGTGAGACGGGAAACCCAAATCTCATCATCAAGTCATGTCATTCATTTGCCCTCGTCCGTTGGCTCCGCAGAGTGTGAGCCAGCAGCAGCGTTGGCACCCGCATTGTTGGCCATTTGAGGGGCCATTTGAGGAACCTGGTTAAATCCATTGCTGGGGGTTCGGTGCTGGTTCGGAGGGAAGTGATGCGGCTGGTGTGGACTGGAGGAAAAGTGAGGTTGCTGCTGGGCGTAACCGCCACGACCTGGGGGCACTGAGATGGTTGGGTAAGCCGCGTGAACCCAGATAGGGCGAAAGATGAACTCACTGTGCCCGGGTTGCTGAGCTCCATATCCTGGCTGGCCGGGTTGACCGGACGGCATAAACATCATCTGCGGAGGTTGGCCGGACTGCGAGTTTTGATGCATCATCATGGGCGCGCCACGGCTTGGGCTGGGATAACCGCTGTGTGGCTGTGGGGAGAGGAGCATGCTGGGGGTAAGCGTGACCTGGGGATGGTGAGTACATCGGCATCTGTGGGTTATAGGGCGACATCCCCTGGGGAACGCCCATGTAGGGACCATTGGAAGGTTGCTGCATCATTGGGGCTCCTCCCATAGCGACGCCTGAGTTCATGAATTGGGGTCCACCTTGGTATCGAGGTAGGTGGCCAGGCTGAGGGGCACCGTAGAATCCCGGCACCGGCTGTCCAAATGCCATTTGGGCATGGGGACCCATAGGGGATGGATATCCCATGCCGCTCTGCTGCATCCGAGGGGACGGGAAGACCTGGGACGACGACGCGGAGATCTGCATGCGATGCTGATCGTCCATGTGGCCAGACGCGGGGCCATGTGGGCCTTGATGGAGGTGGGGTCCGTTAGGGGGACCCGAAGCAGGAGCCATACCTGGATGGAAGGGCATCGAGTGTTGTTGAGGCAGATGGGGATTGTTCGAGGCGGACCGTCCTTGGGGCGAAACCGACTGGATGCCACCGGGGTGCTTGAACATCTGGTCAAAAGTCTTGTCCTGGTTCGCGTCTGGGTGATCCCATGTTGGGAGCGTCTTGTAAGGAGGGGGGATACTCCCGTTGAATGCGTAGGACTTCTCTGTAGAATCACTGCTCTCCTTCTTCATGCGTTTGATCGGATTGAACTGGTTATCAATCGAAGGTCTTTCGGAGATGGGCAGAGGCTTCTTGTTGCCGAAGAATGCAGATGGAGTTGTCGCACGAGAGCCCGATCGATTGCGCGAGAATGGTCGAGGACTGGCGGCAGCTGCGTTGGTGCTGCTCGCAGGACCAGCAGGAGCGGCGCTGGGAGGGCCACCCGGGGTGAAGGTGCTCGCCGCAGGATTGGGCTTGAACTCCATCGCCCGGACATTGAATTTGGAAGCGAGAGAAGATGTGGGAGCCTGGCTCTTGACAGGGCTAGTGATTCGAGGCTGCTCATTTGCAGGGCCGGTAGGTGGGCCACGAGCATCTTGAATTGGTAGAGGTGTGGGAACCGGGCCCATGCCTGCACCCTTGCGCTGCTGAAGGTTATCCGCTAAGCGATGGCTGAGCATACCGGCACTAGGACGACCGGGCTGCATGGGCTGCTGAGGGAATCGACCTCCAGCTCCAGCTCCAGCTCCAGCCGCATGTGGACCGGTGGGGGCATACACTTGGCGGTTCCGGGGAATGCATTTTGGCGATCTGCGGGAGCGGCTGGGGGCACAGCTCCAGTGGGGCCGCCTCGTCCAGCTTGTGGCTTCTGCTCGACGGGTGGAGAAGAGATCTTCGGGCTGGTCTTGTCCTCGGATACACGATTAATGATGGATTCTTGCTTGGTGCGATCCTTGGCTAGAATGGGAACCAAGTCCTTGGGAACAGGGGTGTGCAGCTTGAAGTTCTGGGAGAACTTCATCAACTCATTGAGCTTGAGAGTTCGGTCATAGCTGGCTTGGTTGCGACGGCGTTCCTGCATTTTAATCTTCTCACTGTTGGCAAATTGGCGGAAGTGATCCAGCACTTCGGTTTCGACGTTAGCCGTGACATTTTCCGGAACAGTACGTTGCTTCACAGAGGTGCCAGGGGCGTCGGAGCTAATCTTGGCAGAAGTGGACTTCTGCTCAGTTCCAGCGCTGGCAGCTGATTGAGTTGATACTTGGTCCTTTGGAGCACTCTCGGTCACGGGTGGCTGAACAGTAGAAGGAGAAGGAGTAGCAGCCGAAGCGGCCGGAGTAGCTGGTTTCTGGGCAGCAGCTGGAGGCGCTCCAGCTTGTCGGCGCCCAGGTGGGGTGTATTTGTTTGGCTGCCCGGAGAGGAGAGGAGGGAAGATCTTATTCTCACGACGAACACCACTGTACTTATCCTCTTCATCCTGATCACCGGTGTCGGGCGCGACTTGACCTCTCTCCTCACGCATGTGAGGGTTGTCGGCACTGGTGCCCTCAATTTCCGCAGCAATCTTGGCTGCCGAAGCCGCCTGTTGACGATAAGCAGGAGAGCTGCGATCAAGCGAAGTTGTGTAAATGTTTTCGTCGTAGTCAGTCTTCGCGCCGAATAGCTTCTCGTTCGCTGCGAACTGGTCCCATCCAGCGGTGTGTCCCATCGAGCTATCCAGAGACATATCGGCTTCGTGTTCAGCGGGTTCCCAGCGTTGCAAGGTGCGCTCCCGCATTGCCAGGTTACCCGAGATATCAGCATCGGTTCTGAATTTGGCTGCCCCTAAGGAAAAGATGTCAGTGATCGATCGGAACTGCATTGTGACTTTGCGCTTACCATTTGTTTCTTTCGCCGACACTTCTGCCGGTGATACATTGGGGACTGAAATGTCTGCGATGTCCTTCACATCAAATGCCATGCTGTGTTCCGGGGCAGCTCCAAGATACGGAGTTGTCACATCGCTCACGCCGTTGGACTTGGGCTGGTTTTCCTGAGAGGTACGCTGCACCATCTTCAAGAGGAAGGAAGAATCGCTGGCCTCGAGAGTTGAGGAAGAGAAAATGCCGGTATATTTGTCTCCATTCTTCGTAGTAATTGTGGTATGCAGACCCTGAAATAAGTAGCATGTTAGTAAGAAGTCGCGCGCGCAAGATGAACTGGACTGCACTGAGCTCAACTTACAATGAAAGTGGCAAACAAGAAAACCAATCGGTCGTGCGCATGGTTATCGAAAGTGTTGGATTCCTTCTGGCCCGGGCGAGGGGAACCAGATTGCTTCTGCGCCATGTTTCCGTTTGATGAGGCGTGTGTGGAGCGTTGGGTGATGGGGTTCGTCCCTTGAGACCAGGCCTTGTGGGAGTTGGAGCGTCTATAGGAAGGGACATGGCCCGGTTAGCCGAGTACAACAAGTAAAGATGGAGTCAGAGAAGCAGATAATGGTTGCCATGAGATCCGACGCTTGCAATTGGTTCTCTGGGGCACACAATGCCATGCCAGCCCACAATGCGAGAGAGCTCGCGACGTCGAGGGGCACGTGCACGGAGTGTCCATTCATTCAACAAGGACGAGCGGGGGGGGCAGGAAACCCCATGGGCTTTCGTCCCAGGAACGAGATCTCAGACAAAATGATTGTGGAGCTTGCGGAGGGCGACGAAGGGAGGGCAGATAAGGGGGGCAAAGGGCGTGTTGGAAGAGGTCGAACGTACCGTTGACCAGCGTCACCAGGGCTGCCAGATTGTCGGCGGCCGTCTGCCTTGGAGTTGGCGCTTGATCTGAGAGTTGATCTTCCAGGATTCTGAGAGGGATTGTTGGGATTGCCTGAGCTGTTCGCAGCCGGCGTCGAGTTGAGAGTGGAAGCCATTGATTGACTCGGGAGTCAGGGCAGGCTTGCGTCGTGGAACTTAGCACGGCGGAAAGCCGCGAGGAGGCACAACCAGAACCACCACACACCGCCTGCACAAACAGGACAAGGGGGGATGGGGGTGGGGAAACGATGGTATGCGCGACGCACTGGGGGTAGATAAGGGGGTTGAAGGGGTGCTGAATGACGAGAGGATGTTAAGAAGACAAAGACTGGAAGGAGGGGAAAAAAGGGAATGGAGGAACTGGAAATTGATGGAAGTCACGGGGAGGAAGAGGAAGGAGGAGAGCAGAGAGAGAGAGCAGCAGAAGAGGGCAAGTGTACGGGTAATACCCATGATACATACAATACGGTGCGACCCTGGACTCGGACAATGCACAGGCAATAGTTGGTATGGTGATGGACAGAGTATATATGTAAGGATATGTACATATATTGATGTATGGAATATGTTTAATTTTTGTTTATTCTCACATATGAATTCAATATTCTTTATAAAGACAGACATTCTTCCACTATTTATTCTTTCTTCTACTTCTACTTTGGTGGGGGCGCAACCCCAGATGACCGTATTGCCAGTACAATACATGCTACTGTACTGACGTATGCAGTGGGATATGATTGATTATTATCCGAACATCTCATGGACAGGTCCATTTACATACGTGCATACTACTCTTATTTGTTTTTTTTTTATTGTACACAGAAATGGATATGATAGTCTGTCAAACTTAGCTTGACCCACAATTCAATAAAAGAGATCAGAGTGCATACTCTGTACTCCCAGCGACGTATTCCATCCTCATCCTCATACTCATACCTAGGGATAGTTAGTAGGTATACATAGGGATAGGGCAAGACGTATGGAATTGTCCTGCATTAGGGCACGCTAGGTGACCCGCGTTCATTTTGAGTCCAGTCGATCATGCCTGTGACTGTGACTAGGACTATTGTGTGCGATTTTTTATATGACCATCCTAGTTAAAGTCAAAAGAAGCAAAGTCTTAAGGCGACCGGTTGGTGTGGTCAGATTACGGTGACGCCCAATAGAGGAGACTAGTTAATTAGCGGATGATGCCCTACTGGGAGGCTAAGAATAGAGAATACTATACGAATACTCTATGGGTAGGTATAGGGCTAATACTAATTTTGGTCGATATGTACTGCCATTCCTATAACTACTCCTATACATAACCTTAGGTGAGCCTGTGTGGATAAGCGCGGGAGCTGCCGCGGCCACAGCCAGCTGAAGTGGTGGTACAGACCAAAGAAAAGGTGCCTTAGTGCCGTGGATCGACGAAGGCCTGCTGTAGGTCGAGAGAGCCTAGGCTAGGGCCTTAGGGCCCGGGAGTGCTGAGGGCCTTTTGCTTAGTGTCTAGTGCTTAGTGCTTAGTCTGCCCTATACCGTATGTAACCGTATCTTACGGGCGCACCCTGCACTCCGCTGCGCTCTGCACACATGCAGATCCGGAGGCTGGGCCAACCACCACCAACCACCAACCACTCCCCCCCCTTCTCGTGCCATTTCTCGGTTCTATGCAGTCGACTCCCGCCTGGTCTCATCCTTCCGGAGACCAAGATTCTAATCCTCGTCCTCAACACCTCTCGGTTTCCGGCAGCACCGACACCTCCTCCATGGCCTCAGCGTCAGGTCGCAGTTCGTCGGCCTCTGGCCGCTCCCAATCCACCAAAACAGTGGTAGGTGCTATTGATCCCATCTTGAGAACACTTCCTCGTCAATATGTACGAGTATCTTTGTAGCTGTTCGCTGACCGGAGCCGCCCCATCGCACCCTCGCACAGCCCGATAAACAGATTTCCCAAATCGAAAAGAGCGTGACGCACCTCCTAGTGGCAACCAAACAACTCCTCGAAACCTTGACACAGTGGTCTCGAAAAGCCGCCTCGGAAACAGATGTGTCAGATGTTTACGTGCGCCTCGGTTATGAATTCAACCTCGCCTGTCGCGCGTTCAATGCGATCGGTGTCGAGACCTCGGACTTCGGTCCTGTGCCCGATGTATTGCGCACAATACTCGAAGACACTCTCAGCCAGGATGCATCTCCGCAAAGCCTCGACCGATACCTCCCCCAAATCCGCGATATCATCATAAACCTCCTCCACGGCCTGAAGAAGAAGCAAGCACGCCTACGGTCTCGACAGCAGAAGGAAGAGGGTCGAAGTGGGATGCCCGGGCGGCAGGCGAGTGCCGGAAGCCTGTCTAGCGAGAAGACAAATATCGGACAGCTCTATGATGAAACCGCCGCGTCAATACTACCTCCCGGTAGCGTGCCATCTCCCAAGCGCTCGGCGCGTCGATACGGAAGCAATGGTTCGTTGGAGGACTCGCCCGCCCAACAAGGCACCTCACCGGGGCCATCTGGTTCAAGCTACTCGGAGCGAGATGCCACGCGCAAGGAAACCCAGCAGCTGCTCTCCCAAGCGACATCAGATAGTGAACCGACACCCCGGGCGACTCCATCGGCAGCGCCGCCAGACTTCCCTGCCCCGCCGCCTCCACCGAAGCAGGACGATGCGCTTGGCGCTTTACAGAGAAGTGGTGAGCTAGAGCGGCGCGCTTCGCGTCGTTTCTCTGCCTACCAGATCCAGAAACACTTGGGTACATCGTCAAATGGTGTGCCCGTTATCCCCTCACAAAACTCACCAGTCCCCAATCGGGGACGCGATGTGCGCGAATCGCTCAACGCCGTGCGCCTGCGAGGTCCCTACCAACACTCGCGCCAACGATCTACGAAAGGCTCCCAGGACGTCACTAAAGGAGGACAGGCCCAGGCTGCTGCAAACATACCCCAGGCGGTACAGGAGGAGCCTCCGAAATCCTCCACTGAAACCGCGGAGCCTTCCCCCGCACCCGCACCCGAACCCGCAGAAAATAAGCCACCACCCGTCGAAAAGGAGCTACCAACGAGCCCTATTGCGGATTTGACCCCCCCTTATTTCCCACAACCACCCAAGACTGGCCCCTCTCTCGATGACGCCTTTGACCCCGAGAAGAGTAGCTCTTCTCCCGTTCGCGAGACAGCCCCGGAAACACCAAAGAAAGATCGAATTGAACCAGCTGACATCGCCACACCTCCTCCGATCCCTCAGCTCGCTGTCGACCAACCGTCCCCAGGGAAAGAACTGACCTTGTTCCTGCAGTACAAGAGCAAGATCAAGAAGTATGTTCTGCTAGAAGGTATCGCGGAACTGACCATCGGGCGACTGCAATTGGCATTCATCGAGAAATTCGCATGGAATGTCCACAACAACGGCATGGACCTTCCTGAAATCTACATCCAAGATCCGATTTCCGGAATTCGCCATGAGCTGGAAGATTTGAGCGATGTCAAGGATCGTTCGGTTCTCGTGTTGAATGTGGATAACCTTGATGAAGTGAAGAAACACTTTGATGATAGTTTCGGAAACGTGCGGACTCTGGTGGAAAGCGTGAAAGAGGCGCTCAGCGGTCAGGGAACCGTCATTCAACGTGTCTCAGATCGTCAACTGGAGGCCGCAAAGGAAATGGCTCGTCTCGCAGCAGCGCCCTCATCATCATCTGCCCTAAGCGTGGGTAGCAAGATCGCCTTGACTCCTGGAACTGGTATCCCTATCGGTGAACTTCAAAGCTTGCGCCGTGACTTGGCCGTCGTCAGGCAAACTTTCACCAACTTCCAATCCGATATCACTGGTTCGATGACTGACCTTCGTACCAAGGCAAGCCTGGTCAAGACTGCCGCGGAGGATGTCGCCGTTACAAGCTACGAGGGCGATGCCGGCCGAGCACGTGTTGGAACCGGCAAAAAGGAGTTGGCTCGTGAATCCGAGCGTCTTGTCTCACGCGTCGACGATCTCCAAGATCTGGTCGAAGATCTGCGCAAGGACGTGGTACAACGCGGCGTTCGCCCATTGCCACGACAACTGGAGGGCGTCAGCCGCGACATCAGCAATGTGACGAAGGAAATCAAGAAGATGCAAGACTTCCTGGGCCGCGAGAAGCCCATCTGGACCAAGATCTGGGAGAAGGAATTGCAACTCGTCTGCGAGGAGCGAGACCAACTCACAATGCAAGAAGACCTCGCAGCGGACCTGCAAGACGATCTCGAAAAGGCCGCGCAAACTTTCGCCCTGGTCGAGCAAGCCACCAAGGAACAAGCGCAGGAGAAAGCCAACGGTGCTGTCACATTGCGCGCTACTTCTCGTACCCTTGGAATTGATCCCACAGTTGATCCGGTGAAAGCCAAGGACGGTGTTCTCGGCGAGGTACGCGCGCTCCAGCCCAACCACGAAAGCCGAATCGAGGCCATCGAGCGCGCGGAGAAGGCCCGCAAGAAGGAACTGGAGAATCGCCGTGCCAACCTCTTCCAGAAGGAGCTCGGTGCTTTCGTGCAGGAGGATAAGCTTAAGAAGAGTGGTGGCGTTGAAGAAGCCGAGCGTCTGCGTAACGCTAAAGACGACCGCATTCGCAAGGAAGTCTGGGACAGACAGCAAGCCCGCAACGCGGAGATGGAGAAGGCCGAAGCCGAAGCCGCAGCAGCACAAGCAGCAGCAGGAGAGCAAAAATCCGAAGGCGAGAACGTGGAGTCCGGAGAAGCCGCGGTCGAAGGAGAAGCAGGTGGCGGCGAGGAGGCAGCACCCAAAGATGAAACACCGACAGAAGAAGAGAAGAAAGAGGGAGATACTCCCGAATGATTCGAGCGCAGAGAAAGCGCCCGAGTCTTGATTTTCCTTTTCCTCCCTTCTCCCCAATACCCTACCCTACCCTAAACCACATCACACTCTCCAATTTCACTTTTGACAATTTTGTGCATTCTTTGGCGATGGATTTGATTTCGCATCTCGCGTCTATACCTGTGGCGATTCCCATGTTATACCACCCACACCCCATCCCCATGCGTTGTTTTTCCCCTGCTTTCATGTCACTTATTGACGATACCCTGCCACGACTGTGGTTTGTTTCAAGAATATCTTGTTCACATTGCGCGTGGAGTTGGCCCGTGGGTTAATAGGTAGTTTTTATATTTGCCTTTCAATGCTTAATGCGATGCCAGCCTTCATACCCCCTTATATCTTCAATATCCAGCGATTTACCAAGGACCTGCTGTGAACTTTTAGAAGTTCTCATCATAGCGATAAAGGTATTAGACAATAAATCCTCTTTATACTGGGAGACAGATACTAGTTTGCTTGCTACGGAGTGACCGATGATACTGAGGCTACTAAAGGTAAGAATAAAGGGATAAGAAACAATAGTCCCAGCATAATTCTTGCGATAGCAAACCAAAAAAAAAAAATTCAAACTAGGGGGACCTCCTTGGATTTGTAGCTGTCTGTATTCCGATAGGCAGTCTATCCCCTAGGCCTGCGTTCCATAGCAGTTTCCCCCCCTCCGCCCAGTATAGTGAACCTGGGCTATACTATCTAATACACAACCGATGATCCATGTTTTCTTCAGGAACCTCCGTTGCGGAAGCCAGATCAATAACCACCCGCGAATCCAACAACTTTCCATATTAGCAGCGCTCCATAATGAGCTGCGTCTTCAGTGAATCATGTGGGAGCAACCAACCCTTATTCTGCAAAAAGGCGGCTAGGTTTCTCTGCTCAACTAAGGCTTCCGTAATGCTCTCCGTCTTAAAAGACGCCTCGACGACATACTCGTATCCAGTACCCGCGAGGTCAGGGAGGGGCCAGACCTCGAGGTATAGTTTCATCCTCTTCCACTTGCCAATAGAGCGCCTAGTGAGGACCGGGCCAAAAATACGCGATACCGCTAACAACCCGGTGCCCCATTTGTTAGGCTTCCAATCATCGAACTTGTCTGGCGCTTCGGCGATCAGCATTTTCTGCGAGTTGCTCGTCCCCGGTAGGTCCATCCCGCTATTACCATGATCCGGTACAGTTTTCTTGCGACTGATAGAAAGTGTCTTCTTCTGGTAACCCCATTCGACTTGCGCCTCGTATTTTGTGTTGCCAGCCTTAAAACCATCGATATTAGCAGCAGTAAGAGCGGCGTCAATATCACTATCCGTAATCGTATACCGCTTCTTATACGTCAGCTCGAGGTCATTTTGGCCTTCGGTCTTACGAATACGGGCGATCCAGTCCGCGGTAAAGAGCTCCTGAGAGCTCGTGTCGAGGAACTGGACATTTAGCTTCGTGACGGTCGGGGAAATCTCGAAGGCAGATAGAACGGTGTCCATTAGCTTGTGTTTAGGACTAAGCACCACGGCTGGATTGAGCAGGAGTCTAATCTCGTAGTCGGGCATCATATTTGGCAATGTCTGGGTGGGTGAGATGGCGATGGCGGTCATAGCGAAGTGGCAGTATAAAGGAGAGATGTATGGTGCTGTAAACTCGCGAGTAGGCTTAGATAAAGCAACTCGAGCAATAGAGGAAACTTTATTACACGAGTAGGCCAGGGTGATGCTGTAATGGCTGTTATTAGACTAAAGCGAAGTAGTAAGCGCATATGTGTCAATTAAATCCCATTCGTCGAGAACCAGCGTTTTGCATGTCTAGTATCTTAAGATAACCGTTTTGAGTTGATATTAAGTGTTGACACTCTACATACGAAAACAGACCATGGTTACTTAGATATCGAAAAATCGACGATACTATTGACTTCCTCACAGGCTAGAGCTTTATGCCACTGATGTCGTTCGGCAAACCCTGGAATGCTATGCGATTACGTCGACTCATAGAGTCACAAGAGAGTATTTTATAATACTCTGCAGAATATATCGCATAGCATTACAATAAGATAGGGAACAGGTAGCGTCACTGTGAAACCCGCATCATCAACACCTCGTGCCAGTACCGTGTGTGTGCTGCCAAGATCTTTACTAGTATACGTACCAGGAGAACTGGCTGTGTCTCGCACGATAAATGAGCTCACGCAAACCAAAATAAGCTTTGGCCATTAGCATCTAGGTAGTAGAAGTATCTAAAATTGCACGATACGCATAACTTGTGGTGTGTGTCACTTTTATGTCAACAATGAAATAAAGTTTAGTTGAACTTAATAGCATAGATCCTCCCCGCAGAACCCCGCTTATTATCCGCAAACGGCGCCCGCCCTATCCGAGCATAGCCTAGACCATAGCACTGGCGATGAACAATACGACAGTTGAAATCCCTGCGATAAATAAAGATGTCATTTGCACTAGCACAACCAAGGGAAGGAGATTTTGAATACTTAGTTGACAGTCGGGCAGCAATGCTGGTGGAAGGACCAGGAACCTTGGAATGGGAGAAACATACAAATATGGGAGAAAGACATGGCTATTGTCTAGGATCCCTTGACATTGAGAAAAAGCAACCAAAGCAGCCGGACGCATATGGCAGCATTAAGCCTAAGGACGAAACAATAGAAAAGCACTGACTAGAGGAGAGCTTGGAAAGTCCGAAGACGAATCAGAGATCAGCAGGAAGAGTCAATCACGGCAATATTTGGCACCCATGCGAACCGATCAGAGACGAGGACGACGAAAAGTGTTTGCTATAGCAAGTGGTGGCGCAGCAAACTTTTGCGAGCAGGTCGTGCAGAGTACAAACCCCTCCACTTCGTTCCTCGGTTCAGGGCACTTGGCGCGAAAATTGGCTGTGTGAATCGCGGCATTCGTTGTCAGCGTCAAGAGTCTACGTCGCATAGGTCTGGGGTTATAGTAACCTCTTCCACTCCGTTCCTTCGTTTCGGCTTACTGGCCACTATCATGGAGCGGCGACAACCATGGTAGACATTATGGCGAACTACTTGGCAAGAGTCTGAGTCGGAGTTTGTCTGACTGGTTGCAAAGTGTCAGTACAGACCTCGGGGGTCAGAAGATCAGACTATATTCGCATGAATAGTAAAGGTGAAGCACGAGGTGTGGCAGATGCGCAAACAGAAAACTATCCACCAATCAAAAGCGGGCTCGGATAATTTTTATTATAGCGTGATTGCAAGTGGTCATACATTGCACCCGACTTCTGACACTGAATTTTGATTTGGTCGTTGTATTATGCGGATCAGAACATTATGGCGTCAATCCTCAGGTGTAGAGTTGAACTCTCAGAATCTATGCCATCTACATGCGATTCAGGCATATCTCAGTGGTTGCACGATCTGTCCGCCTGCCAATCACATTATCTCTTAACTTTCGCTATGTCACTAACAATACTGCGCAGGGCTAGGACCTACCTTTTTTTTTGAGAGTACTCAGTACCACACTGAAAGATGGGAAAAATCGGAAGTCAATTCTCAAAAGTGAACGAGCCTTTTTCTGATTGCCAAGTGGTGGCTGATCTGGTCGGGCCAGCTCGATGTTGGTAGAGAGCTTTGGAACGTCTCCATCCTGTCCCTTAGGTGGCTGCTGGGATTGACTTACTTGGATAGGAATTAATTTACGGCTTGGTTGTATCATAGTTTGAACTTGTTGAAATGATCGCCTGATCATTTCTTTGTTTGAGAAGTATAGTCCGGTTAAAACGAAACTGGAGCATATCTGTCCAATTACTGAACACCCAAAGACAAACCACGATGGGATCGGCCGATCCCATAGAACGTCTGGCCCACTGTGGAGGTAGGGCGTGATGTGTGATCGATCATTCTAGACCTCTCAATGGGTAACTTGACCCGTATGTGTCCAAGACGCCATCACTGAAATGCTTTACCTGGACGCCGGTCGTACCTATAAAAGCCGGTCCAATTCCATTGTTTAGACCCAACACACTCCTGTACGAGATTAAATTCCACGACTAATAAAAAGTCTGAATCATCTTGATCATTGTCAAAGTTTTGAAAACAAAATGCCTGTTCAGGACTACGGTGTTTGGAAGGGGTTACCTGTTCATTATGAGTTTGAGCACGATTACGAAGACCCACATTCCCCACATCTATCTCTATATTACCATGATAATTCTGAAACGGAGCCTCAATTTGACCGCAAGTATCGTCAGAAACACAAAGGCAAACCTCCGAAAAAGAACAGTCCGAAAGAAATTCCCGGGCTCTTCCGCGCAGCGATCAACATCAAGTCTACTGATCGGGACTCTCGACTTGCTTATTGGGTGAATTATAACATCAGTGAGCATCCAATGGTCCAAGAGCTAGCCAACTTGGATTTCGGCTTCCATGATCTCGAGGATCTTGAAGGCAAAGGCTTGGACTATATCCGATCTGGCCTATTTGATACTAAGAAAGGTCGTGTTCTTCCCCATGACGTCGAAGGCCCAAATAATGATATGATTGATGTCTTGGAGCCTGAAGTAAAGGAATCAATCGACAAACACGCGGATATTTACATTTTCGGTTCCCGCTTCGACACAAAAAATGGAATTCACAATGTGCACATGAACCAGGGCAACATAAAGAGATTCAGACGAGATGACGGAGTTTTTCAGGATGGAGGTCTTCTTATCAATAACAAGAAGACTGGTCGATGGACCGGAATTTTCCTTGCGTTTGCATCACAAGCTGTGCACACAGACAATGTTACCGGTCATGCTATATCGCGTTTGACTTGGGGTCAATTCCTTCCCACAGATCTCATTGAGAATTCAGTGGCTATCGAAGAAGCAGTTGTGAGAAAGCAAAACTCAGTCACTCTTAAGAATCTGACAAACCACCAGGTATCTTTGGCGTCGTGGCAGCTCCATAACTCAGCTGGTCAAGCCCAAGAATTTCCTGGTAATGCAGTTTTGAACCCCATGTCTACCTGTGGCTTTGAAGTGCCGAACCTCCATCTTTTGAGCAATGGTGACATTATTACTCTTGTTAATGGAGACGGGTTGAAGGTTGATGGTGTGAGTTATAATTCTCAGCAGGGAAATATGGAAGGCCAATCGGTCGTTTTTGCGCATTAGGCCTTGTCGAAATGAAAGGTCAAGCCAAAGCGAGCAAGACTGGAAAAATGAAGCCGTAAGACAAGGCCAAAAGAGCGAAAATGAGAGAAAAAAGGAGCCAAAAGTTTGTATTGGACTTATCATTATATGTACTTAACATAGTTAGTTTTTCGTGTTGGCTGAATAGTATGTGTCAATTTCTATTTGAACACTAGCTACTACTGAGACTTCAATTTGATGAACATTATCTGTTCCAGCGAATTCAAAAACAGACCGTTAAACTGAGTTCAAATAAAGATAAAGCAATTTCAGTGTTGATTTTATTTTAGGGCAGATGTTCTGTTGTTTCAACTTGAAATTGATGCCAAGGCCTCGACTCTCAACTCTCGACTGGCTGCCTAACAAAGGGTCTCACTCCCAGCCATCCAATTTCCACACCTTAAAACCCACCTCGCGCCTGTCCCTTTTTTGATCGCCAGACTATCCTGGACTCCGAATCTATTTGTATTACGAATTTCATGAGCTTAATGATCAACGATTCCTAAGTCCGACCCACACCAATCCACAACATCGTGTTTCTCAGCCTCATCTCCAACCCGGCTAACCCGAGTCGGTCTATAGACATACCTCTGTACGACGCTTTTCTTCCAGTGGTGTTTGCATGAAGCACTCGTGCTAATTGGATTACACAGATCTGATCAAACATTTACCTGGTATTCCCTGCATTTGATCGGATTTACTGGGCTCTTGCCTCTACACTACTCCCTGGCTGACCACAAGCGCACGATCACTCATTGGAAGCGCGCCCATGCATCTCCAACATGTACCAGCATTTCTATTGCTCTTGTCTATATCAAGGCTCAACCATGCAAGCCCGAATGAGGATACCCTCCTCCGCCGACATACAGAAATCGAAGCGCGATTTGCAGACTCGCCCATCCAAGGCGTTCGGAAGATGAGCGAGGACGAAGGAGAGAAATTTTTCTTCGAATACTGGCAATTCGAACAGGCTTTGGACAGTACAACTGGGAATCTTTCCTCTAATGCGGAAGTGGAGAGTCGGTCTTTGGATCAGGACTGGGACGAAGAGACTGGTTCTTCACCAGTCGAAGGCCAGGTCCTCGCTCGTTCGCATCCACTCACATCTTCTTTCTCTGGCGTCGCGGACCCTGGCTTTGACCTGCGCAACCTCTTTGGACGGGATTTCAAGTGTCCGACTGGGACGGATGCATGTTTGAGTATCAATCGGTCTGATCGCTGCTGCGGGACTGGCGATACTTGTGAAGTGATTCATGATACGGGCCATGGAACTGTGGGGTGTTGTCCCAAGGGGCAGAGCTGCTCTGGGAGAATTGGGTCCTGTCAGAGTGGGTATACGGCTTGTTCGAAGGCGTTGGGTGGGGGGTGCTGTATTCCGGGGTTCGCGTGTGTAGAGGGTGGATGTGAGTTAACCGATTCTCAATGAGATCGCGTCAGGATTAGAAGTGGAATGCTAACTTAAAGAAGGTGCATATACCTCGGTGGTTACAGTGACAGAGGATAACACAGTGACGACTTCTACAATCACCTATTCGACTCGACCGCAGACTACCCACTCTGCATCAACAGAGACTACATCCACCGCGTCCACCGCATCGACGATATCCACCGCATCCACCGCATCTACAGCCGAGTCCACCTCCACTGGCACGGGAACAGATACTTTGGGTGCACCAGGACGCCCGATCATATCAACGACAACGACTGGCACCCATACAACGACCGGACGGACGGATATGTGTCCCACGGGGTTCTACGCCTGCTCCGCTGTTTACCATGGCGGTTGCTGTCAAACAGGGAGGAATTGCGATACGACTTCGTGCCCGACAACCCAATCCACCACTTTCACCTCGAACGGCGAGACTATTGTGGTCCCGGTGGCTACAGGGGACTCGGGGTCACGGTCGCGCTCAGGGAAATGTGCGCAGGGGTGGTTCCGCTGTGCAGATACGGTAGGTGGGGGATGCTGTCCGCAGGAATATGTATGTGGTGCAAGTTGTACGGCGACGGGGTCGGCAGCGACAACAGTGGCGAAGGAGCAGCCGACGGGGGGAGCTCAGACGGTGCGAGTTAGTACGGTGATGGCAATGGTGTGGGTGGTGGTATTTATGTGTATGTTTATGTGTGGATGAATGTGGATGAATGTAGATGCAAATGCAAACGTCAGGGCATTTCCTTTTTCCCCGACCCCACGGGGGCTGAGTAATACACCAAAAAAGTGGGCGGGAGCGGCAATTCGTTCCTTCCCTGCCAGTGCGGTGTCTGCGTCTGCGGTGAGCTCCTCTCAGTTAGAGTCGCGCCTTCCGCCTGCGTAGCCTGCGCACCTGCCGTACGGAATATCGCCGAATTTGGCCGACCGTCAGACCGGGTGACTCCACTCCACCTTCTTCCCTCCCCATCTCCATCTCCATCTTCTCCATCTCCTCTCCTCTTTTTCCCTCTCCCCTCCTCATCCTGCATTTGGTAAGTCATTCCGCCCTTGCTTAGAATTGGAGTTTTTCTCTTTTCTCTCTGCCTTCCACTCTTATCCCTGTCCGATCTTGCCCCGTCCTCTTGCTGAACTGCCTCATCAGGTCCATCGCCATCATGTCCGACACACAACAGAAGCCCCTCCCCTTCATCTACCAATTCGCCGCCGGTGCGGTGGCCGGTGTCTCTGAGGTATGTCACAATATTCCAATTGCTCGTGTGAATTGTTTTGAATCCACCCCCCAAAACTCCAAGCGCCGGCGAAGCACGCACGCAGTGGCTAATCAATCTCCCCGCACGACTAGATCTTGATGATGTACGCTCCAACCTCCGTTTCCTTTCGTCGCAGCCATTCTCCCGTGGCGAAATCCGATCAATGAAGAAATGAACAATCAATCCTAACCTCAGATTATTGCAGGTACCCATTGGACGTCGTCAAGACTCGAGTGTAAGCACAACCCACTCATCCGCCCTCGGGACCGTCACCCGAATCACTCCGCAGTGACTAACTTCCTCCTTCCCTACAGTCAACTTCAGAGCGGTACCCCCGTTCCCGGCGCCGAGCACTACAATGGCATGTTCGACTGCTTCCGCAAGATCATCAAGCAGGAGGGGTGAGTGTTGACGAATACCCGAGTTTCCAGGCAATGGCAATGGCCATCGGCATTTGCTCCGAGACTGACCAAGACCCACTACAGTTTCTCGCGCCTGTACCGCGGTATCTCTGCTCCCATCTTGATGGAGGCTCCCAAGCGTGCGACCAAGTTCGCCGCTAACGACAGCTGGGGTACCTTCTACCGCGGCGCATTCGGCGTCACCCAGCAGACCCAGTCCCTGGCCATCCTGACTGGCGCCACAGCCGGTGCCACCGAGGCCTTCGTCGTTGTTCCCTTTGAGCTGGTCAAGATCCGTCTGCAAGACAAGGCCTCTGCAGGCAAGTACAACGGCATGCTGGATGTCGTCAAGAAGATCGTCCAGCAGGAGGGCCCTCTGGCCATGTACAACGGTCTGGAGTCCACCCTGTGGCGCCACATCCTGTGGAACGCCGGTTACTTCGGTTGTATCTTCCAGGTCCGCGCGCAAATGCCCAAGCCCGAGCCCGGTAACAAGAGCCAGCAGACCCGTAACGACCTGATTGCCGGTTCCATTGGTGGTATCGCTGGTACGATCCTCAACACCCCCATGGACGTCGTCAAGTCCCGTATCCAAAACACTACCAAGGTTCCCGGACAGACTCCCAAGTACAACTGGGCCTGGCCTGCCATTGGCACCGTCATGAAGGAGGAGGGCTTCGGTGCGCTGTACAAGGGTTTCATCCCCAAGGTGCTGCGTCTCGGACCCGGTGGTGGTATCCTGCTCGTGGTATTCACTGGTGTGATGGACTTCTTCCGGAAGATGCGCGAGGAGAAGTAAAGGGGACAGGGAAGGAAGTAAACAAAAATTTGCCACGTCCCGATATACCCTGTTCTCATTTTGTATCACCGGTCATGTATCACAAGCTAGAGCTTCCGCTAGATGGATATATACAAAAGACATGTTTCGAATTTTCACAAAAGAGCATACGAGTAGTACTAATACTCCGATCAATTCCAGTCCACAGTAATAGTGCTAGTACTAGTACTATTTAAATTCAAACCCACCTCCTAGACCCAAAGCCAAAATCATAAGTAACAAACTCCAGGGCTTCACCCACCTGGGCGTACTATTGCATACTACTCCAGGCTATCAGTACCACACTGAAAATTGAACCCATCCTTGGAATCTGATATCCCCAAACCCCCAATATTCCAACTCTAGTGTCGCCTCTTCTTCATAGCAGCAACAGTAGGAACAACAATAACCAAAATGAGAGTTATCATAAGTCCAAAATAGAGAAACGTCGACGCAACAGTCTGGCAATGCCGATGTTGCGAGTCTCTCTTCTCACGTCTCTCAAGCTGCAGATCACATGTTTCGCAGTGGAAATGTTCTCGCGGTGGCTGTTGCCCGGCAGTAGTAGATGATCCGGATGCTGGGGCATCTGCCTGTGCGGGCAAATCGTGCCCGTACTCGTGGGTGTGAGCCTGGCTTTCTAGGTCGGCTTCTGGGTCTGTGGGTGGGATGTGCGAGTACTGGTAGTTATTTTGTTAGTCACTACAGTTCACTAGATTCAAAGTAGGGCTAGCTTGGATGCAGCAGAGTGGGCGAGGCTTTCTGGGTGACATACGCCTGTTCTTTTGTTTTGGGGCCTTTCCTCGAAGAGCTCTTCGTAGGCGGGGACTGGGTCGGTTTGTTTCAAGTTGGAGCTCATATTGATTCTTTTTCTTGCTTCTTGTTTGGTTTTCTTTGTTGATGGCTTTTGCAGATTGGGGTTGCTCTAGTGATGAAGGGTAGAGGGGTGATACTATATAGGTGAGGTCAGATGTGAAGGATGAAGGATGGTGGCGGTGCTCGGACTGCTTGGGGGCTGAATCCAGGCATCCACGTTATCATCGCCGTGACCGCAAGGGATATACTATTGGCAATAGCATTGCGAACCTTAGAATTTTATAGGAATTAATGACCTCGGAGATAATGCTTTGCATCATATAGGGAGTGTTCTGAGCGACTTTAATTATACTAGTATATAGACTGTGTTATGAATCTTAGGATCGGCGAAAGCGGGACTCGAAATTCTTAACATGCATGTTAAGAAAATGGCTATGTCAGAGGGCTGATTGCACGAGACTACATGCTACTTAATTACTAACTAGTATTAGATTGATTCGTATACACTTTCGGCTTCGGTCCTTCTACCTCATAGCATATTCCACCTGGGCAAGATTCACATCACAGTTTCACATCAGGGGTCTATTCTAGAAGCTAGTATACGTCGATAGTATACATTCAATTCACAGTTTCTTGACGGACTGATTATGAGCCAAGGCAAAATTGTGCTCTGATTCCAGCCATATCAGCAGCATCTACAGGGTTTGTGTTGTCTTCGTGATCCTTTTCATCGCTCTCTTCATCACTCGCCACGGCTTCCAAAACATCAAAATATGCCATAGCTTCCTTCTCGCCTCTTATCTCTCTTCTCTTCCATCCTCATACATCATTATTATTGAGTCCTCTCCTCCACGCGTACTAACCCACTAATGCATAAAGATTTATAGGCGTGTCGTGACCTTTGTGATCCTCTTCATCACTCGTATCTTCAAGTTCTTGATCATCAGTCATATCTTCTTGATCATCAGTCATATCTTCCTGATCAGGCTCTTCCTCATTGGCCATTTCCGAGGTCGGCAGTGCAAATAATGCTAGTTGTTCCATATGACGGCCTAGGTGTCTCCTAAATTGTTTGCCAGATGAAACAGACCCTTGGCAGAGTGGACAGTCTATAATGGCATCAGGGTCGTTTGATACGGAATGCTGGCTCCGCAAATGGTCAAACCATTCCCATCCACTCCCATACAGGCGATTTGGTGTTGGACAGTCTGGGTAGAAACAAAGATACGGCATAAGATCGCCAAAGACATGGCGAGCCCACGCTCGCCGACTCGATATGGAAATGACGGAGAAGCAGATTTTACATTCGAACGGGGCTCCGACCGTAAAACTTGGAAGCGAATAATACGCCCCTCCTCCGTTACCCGTGGTCCAAGAGATACCGCTTAGGGACGACGGGTTGCTTTCGGCATCTTGGTCGCCGTTCACAACTTCCGCCTCTTCATCGTCACCAGTGAACTGATTGGGATCTTCGTCGTGCGCGTCTCGTTGGCGCTGACGATATCGTATCACTGAGCGACGCCGGGTTATTGCAAGCCCGAAACGATCCACTATTGCTTCCTCAGTATTTGGATACTTGTCAGCAACGTGGAATCGGTCAAATGGTAATTCAAGTGGTGCGTCTGAGTTCCCGCTTCCGAGAAAGAAAACTGCGTAATTTAGCAGCTTATGGATCTGTTGGATAACCGAGGCAGCGCTTCTGCGTTTGGTATACGTATACCTCTTTCTATCATGAACGGACGATAGAAAGTGTCTGTAGCGCTCGAGAATCCATCTAGGCGACTCTAGATGAGTTTCGATATCGATTCCAACTACTGGGCTACCCTCGGTTTCGACTTTTTTCAGATTCAACGCATAGTCTTGTCTAATAACTTCTGCGGCTGCTTCAAAATATTCCATGAAATGGAATTTTGCTTGATCAAGCCAATCCCCAAGGGTGTTAATATAGCTTTCTTGCTGCTCGTCTTTGAGATGGTGAAGTTGGGACACCAGTATGTTATGTTGCGTTATCAGCCTGGAAAGCTGAACTTGGAGATTGTACGTTTCTGTGTTGTCCTTCAACGAAGTGTCGGCCCGATAGCTTTGGACAATGTGATCCAAATAAGCAATGTAGCCCGCCTCAGATAAGTTCATTTGGTCTAGTTTGATTTGGTGTTCGTTTTTAAATGATGGAGTGCTCGTCGACCTTTTCAACTGCTCATTTCTTGGAGAATTCTGGCTCAAATTTTTAAGAATCGGATCATCATTGACATCAGGTTGGGATTCCTTCTGCGCCTCTGAAAAGAGCTCCCAATTCTCTTCGCCAGGGTCCGGTGGAATCTGCTGAGATTCCATGAGCTCAACATCTATCGGATTCTGGTCTGCATATTCGAAGAAGCCTGGCTGTAATCCATCCGTGATAGTCTCTGAGAGTATTCGCTCTGCAGAAACTCTCGTTCGATGGGTCGAGCTCGAGACATCCGAAGATGAAATTTGCTCCTCTGTGTACCCATCGAGTGAGATCCTGGAGAACAACATCAGGTGGCTTGAAAGGTGCTGGATACCACCACCGGTCATCAAACTATCTTTTTGATCACTTTCTGGACAGAAAGGACATGTTTCGAATGCGAGGTCCGTCGTTATGCTCTGAAAGCATGCGTCGGCAAGATCATCTAAATCTTCTTCCTCGAATTCACCATAATGTTGATCGTACATATGTTGGAAAAATTCAGGACTTGTTGGAAAAGACAATTTTGTCTCATGATCCAAACATGTCCAGCTCTTTAATTTGTGACCATTCTTCATGTGATTCAGCCAGTCCTTTTTTGACGTGAAGAGCGTAGGTGACATTGGACAAGATTCCAGGACACAAACGTATGGCATGATGTCTGCCAAAATGTGTTTCCTATTGTGACGGGTTAGTGGGATCAATAAAGGCGCGGTAATAAACTTCGCATGAGAGGGAGATAGAGCTCCATGTCATGAATCAGGTCTCAAAAGGTCATGATGTGAACTTACTTCCAGTTATCTGACTCAAATTCTTTGACAGGACAAACCACCAAACAATAAGGGCATTCCAACTCCTTTCGACCAAAGGGGACATCAGGTGGCCGTGGAAGCTCCAGGTCTTCACCCGAAACCTCTGATTGTGAAGCTCCTATTGACGACTGAATCGAGCGATCCAGTGGGACTTGATCAACTTGTGCTGTTGTCGCTGTCAGTAACGAGCGCCGCAGATCTAGACGAGGTTTAATTTCGAGAAGCTCCTCTTTCAGCCCTGTCGCTGTCACGGGCGTTATGACACTGAAGCTCGGCGTTAAAGTCGACCCCCCGCGAGACGGCAGCTGTGCAGGGGCTTGCTTTTTCGCGAAACGATTAATTTTCTGTGACTTGAGGTATGAGAAATTCCTTTGACGTAGGTATATCGTGTCGACCAAGCGCTCGCGAAGCTCTTGACCAGCGGTACATCCTTTCAAGTAGTGATCAATGATTCTGCTGGTCGCCGTACGAAACTCCGAACTCAATTTAACCCCGTCAGGCCCATATTCGGTATGGTTCGCAATTTTAACGAGTCGGTGAAGCATACCCGAGCGACGAACGGCTCGAGAAAAACGGAATAGCTGGTCGAGTGTGTCCTCAACATTTGATGCAACGGTTGAATCTCCGGTCAAGGGTTCTTCGGTTTGGCGAGGCGTAGTCTTCTGCGTATCTGGGGAGTTTATGAGCACATGAAATGCACCGTTACACAAACTTGAAGAAATATAATATTACCAGCGAGGCTCATAATCAAGTCGTCTAAAAGGTCATCCATTGTTGATTGTAACAAAGGGGCCTTTCGTAACCTCCAATCCATCGATGCATGAGGGGATTCAAGCACATGGTTGTTGGACGTCCACAGGTTGAACCGGAAGAGTTGGTTTTCGACATGCTCCAGGTCCGTAGGGTTGTTCGCAGACTTCTTTCGCCATTCCTCGAACAAATTCGCCGCCGTTTTGGCCTGGGCTGCTATAGACATCGTCGGCGTATCGGAGAGGGGCGACAGATTGTTTAGGTTTGCAACATCAATGCCAACATCACCATTTAGCCGAATGCGCTCTCGTGGCTCTGAAACCTGACGAAGATGCAATCGGCATTCACCCCTCACTCTTTGGCAAATAAGCCTCACCTCGAAGCCTGAGCGGGGTTTATGCAGAGCTGACATTGCCAAGGAAAAACTCTCGTCTCCGGATTCTCCTTCATCTCAGCCCTCCTAGACTTGAATGCTTCTTTCATTCTGCAGCAAACTTGAAAGACCCGTGTCCATTCTTTACCAGCCACTAAATTAAGATTCAGGTTTGGAATGAGATGGTGATTTGCGTCCAGAAATGGACCCCACTCACCAAGCCGTGCTGCCAGATGCCGCAGCAGCACTTATAGAGGTGATCAATCTGGACCAGCCGACATCGCGGAGCCTTTATCGGAAGTTAAAACTTGCCTTGGCACCTTTTCATGCTGAAATCAAGTCGCCGGGTGTTGTCCAGGCGTTGCTTCACCGGAAACCTTTCCAAGTCGCCCTACAACGGATCGCGTCATCTTTGAACGAGCTTCTTTCCGCTGAATATGTCCAAGCACAGTATTTGCAGTTATTGGAAAATGATGCATCTCGTCACAGCAGCGGATTCTCGCTCCTTCGAGGAGTTTGGGGTGCCGGTGATGAAGGGCCATCTCCCGCCGAAACATTCCAAAATTTGCTCCATCGCCCGCACCCCATCCTTCATATCTTTCACCACCTGATTCAGCGCTGCGATACAAGGAATCTTGATCTAAAGCAACTCATAGGCGGAGAAACGAGCCAGCTCAAGGAGGCGATCACCCGCGTCAAACGCTGGAATTCCATGGTGGATGAAATGTACGATGACTCGGATTCAGAGTCCTCCGAAACCGAAGCACCAGAGCCTCCAAGTCTCGAACTCATCTTTAGTAAGAAGCATAGTGTTCCCTACTCGTCGCGTGCGCTTTATGAAATTCTTCACCAAAACTGGCCCTGTGGAGCTGATGTACACAACCACAATGGACGACTGGGCCTTTGCTTCGAGGCGAAGTTCTGCTTGGACCCTCGATGGGCATCTGGGAACCATATCAATGATGACTTCCTTATGCTCCTGAATGGACCGGATATAAGACAGGAATGCAGGATATGCACCAGTACTTCTGGGTAAGTCGCAACGAGCCCTTCATGTAGTTAAACCTGGTGCAACCTGATTAACACTACTCTCACCCAGAACTTTCAAGAATACGGCACCGGCCTGCCTGATAGACCATGATGACCAGTCCAGAAGTGTTTGCCTATATCTGACCATGGATGAGGACAATAAATTATGGAATGACCACCAGTCTGCCCAACCGCTGGAAGTCATGATGGAGGGAGAAGTATATGTGGAAATGAGCCTGAGCGAACTTTTGACCACAGTCAAACCAACCTATACCGCCAAACGAGTTATGGGGGTGACATTGGCACGATGCATTTTGCATTTATTCGAAGGACCTTGGCTGCAAGGTTGTATGTCAATCAACGACATCTTTGTCTATTGCAGAATCGAAAATAACCAGCCGCATCCAATATTCGACAAAGTATTCGTTGCGACAAGATTTGGAAAATCTGGAAACGAAGGGGGTACCACACCTGGAACGTACAAGATTCACCCATTCCCCACGATCCTAGCTCTTGGAATTATTCTTATCGAATTGGAACTGGGTGAAGATCTTTCCGACATCAAAAAACACTCCATATTCACATCTAAGAAGGGTCAACCATTCTATCTCGCACGGTACCTTCTAAAGGAATTTCAGAAACACTTCACTATGGATTCTGGGCTCATTCGCGCGGTCAAATTTTGCATTGATCGCGCGTCTTTTCTCGCTTTTCGATACCCTCGACTCAAGTGCCCTTCTTTTGAACCAAGAGTTCATTAATGTCTATTATGAGAATATTGTCCGCCCATTGGAACAAGATCTGGTTAGAGGAGCTCATTGGACTTGGGACCAAGTTGATGAGCTGCGGCCTCCAAGTACTGATACCGGAGTCTGCAAGATCATCACTTCCAAAACATTCAGTCCTATGCATGATATGCTTATTGATAGAGCCAGCGTTCATTTGGCAGACTCTCCAAGCAATTCAGCGAAACTCAATTTCAACAAACGCTCAATCAGCTCGAGTGACGTCATTGAGGAAAAGTGGTCCCATTCAGTCACAATTGAAGAAGCTGAAAGAAGACACTCGTATGACTCGCTGGGTCATTCTTCGGTATCATATGTTGAAGATCGTCGTGAAATGAATGGCCAACCTGGTTTGGTCTTGGAGTACCATCCCACTAGGCCACAGAGCCGCGACGATTTCCAGATCGCCATTATATGTGCTCTCCCGACAGAAGCAAACGCAGTACAAAGTATCTTCGATAGGCATTGGGACACCGAAGGCATATATCAGTACGGAAAACAGGCAAAAGATCCTAATTCCTACTCTACTGGTTTAATTGGAAACCACAATGTTGTTCTAGCGCACCAACCGCGAATGGGCAAAGCCACGGCTGCAAATGTTGCAGCAGCATGCTCGATGAGTTTTCCCAATATCAATCTCGCTCTCATTATTGGTGTTTGTGGAGGTGTACCATTCCCTGGGACTAAGAAGGAGATACTTCTTGGGGATGTTGTCATTAGCAAAGGCATCGTGCAGTATGATTTCGGAAGACGGTATCCCGACGGCTTCCGACCGAAAGTTACCATTGATGACCAGCCTGGTCGACCCAATCGGGAGATCTCATCTCTCATGGCTCGACTGGAACTTAATATGCAGCGAGTGAGTTTACAGCAGGACCTCGCTAAATATCTGGATGAATTGGACTGTGCTACATCGAACCCCTCTGGAGACTTCTACCCAGGCCACCTACGAGACAGATTATTCGACGCAGAATATGTGCACAAACATCAGTTGGGCAGTTGCAACATGTGCAAAACCAGTGTTTGCAATCTGGCGATGCAGTCTACATGCCAAGATCTCAAATGCGGGGAGCACAGATTGATAGGTCGACTGCGTCAGAACGAGAGAAACAGGCCCTCCCTCCACTTTGGATTGATGGGATCCGGTGATACGGTTTTAAAATCAGCAGTAGAGCGAGACAGAATCGCCAAAGAGGCAAATGTGATAGCATTCGAGATGGAAGGGTCGGGTGTCTGGGAGACGATGCCTTGCGTGATTATCAAGGGGGTCTGCGACTATGCAGATAGCCACAAGAACAAAGAATGGCATGACTATGCGGCCACAACAGCAGCGGCCTCTACGAAGGCATTCCTGCGACACTGGTCTGTAGGCATCCAATCAAGAAACTCAATATAACGCCCGTCTCATCGGCCCATCATTTTCCCAATCAAGGGAGGCCCGCGTGACATATTCCCTTTGTAACTACATTGCTGACCCGAACGATCCGCGAGTAAGAAGTCGGTTGCGAAAGCCCCGCATGATAGGATTGGCTAATAGGAAAATCCTAGCCAGCACATGAAGCGAATAATAGAGTCGATCAGTCCTCCCCCGCAAACCTTGGAAGGCCAAATTGGGCCATTTCCGTGGATCGGCCCACGGTGGGCCAATGAGATCAGGCAATCGCACGCATTATGACCACAACACCCGCAGGTAGATTACGTCTACGAGTCACCTTAGTACTTTGATTGTGCCCACCCCGCATTTCAGGCTGGGAGTGTTGTGTATATAAAATCCAGGGTCTCTTCCTTCTCTTGTGAACCCAGATTCCTCATCTCTACTGAGTTCTTCAGGAAACATCATACCAGCCCACATCACGACCATGGATAAACACAATTCTCAATGGGTGTCGTTCCACATCCGGGACCACCTCAAGGACGGCGAAGTTACTGTCCAGAACACTGTCATCGAAGAGTAAATCCGGCCCTTCCCGGTGTAGGTGTTGCTGATACGTGATACTGATATCCTATCCAACAGCGGTGAATTCTGGGACCCCAACGGCCGTCGCAAGTCGCTTACCGAAGAGGAAGTCGACGAGATCACCATCCCGGCTGGTGGAATCGGTGAGATCAACGCAGCTGGCCGTGGTCGCCGCGGCAGTGAGGGTCGCCTCGATCTTTTTCATGACAATGGCAAAATCTGCGAGATCCACTGGGAGAATCGTGGTGGAGAACACGTCAACCTTGTTGAGACCGTCGACCCCAGTGATGGGTATAGAGTCGAGTACGGAGGATGGAGCTCCGGCGAGGGCCCCCTCGGACACGTCTACATCGACATTACGAAGATAAAGAAATAATGATAGATACCACTGGAGAGGAGGATAGATACTAGAATCCTCTCCTGATTATACCAATTTTTAGTTAATGAATTTTCAATTTTTACCAATGATCACTCTCCGTTAAATGCCTCGTAAAGCTACTGGAACTTTAAACAAATTTAATACAAAGTCAAATTCCCATGAAGATGCTACCCTTTGGAGCTTTGCAACAGCTTTGCTCTGTTTTATTCTTTCTTGTCCAACGAACCTATAAAGCCCATCTTCCGGCTGTAGGAGCCGATGCCGACTATTGAAATGAGTGATTCTTTTTCAAGGCAGACATATTGTTGAACCTTCGAGTTGAAATCAGGTGGGACTTGGAGCAGATACTACTTTCGTTGTGTCTTCCAACAAGTTCAAGTTGCTCAGCCCCTTGAAGTTCGAGTTCCAAGGTTGGTCCAAACTGAACCTGCCTCGAAGTCCACACTGGAGATATTCATTGCTACATCTAGCAGTCTTTGCTTCAGGTAGTACGTAGCGATGCACACAATCGACAAGGACCCAGCGAGCCGAGCCCACAGTGGCGATTCTCATAAACCCGACCCGTAGCAGAAGAAAGTCGGTGCAAAACACTAGTCGAGAGATGGGTATGAGCTACTTTGGTCATTGGGAAATCAATTGAATTTTGTGAATAATAGATAATCAAGTCATAAATTGGGTATGAGGGTCTATATGATATCATTGAATATCACCTGCACGACCAAGCAGGCAACTTGAACCACATAAGTGCAAGGCATCAGCCAGCGATCACAGAAAAGCAACCAGCCATTACCTAGACATGGGTAAAATATATTTGCAATCACGGACATAGTCGCGTGAAATTTGAAGCGAAAAACCGCTACAAGGGCTAGGAGTGTCTGAATTAAACATCCACACCAGTCGAAGAACCATTCGGTGCGGCGGTCGAATAACGACGTTTATCGTTTCCGCCCTTGATCCGTCCAATCCCGACCAGTTGAAGGACCTCCCTCCAGAAGCCGACGGGTGGATCAACGAAACTTGCCTCGTAGGCATCGATAAGTGGCCGTTCCCAGACAAGATCGGCCTCGTGGGCCTTGATGAACTTGGTCTTCTTGAGGAGCTTCCAGATGAGGAAGAGCGGCGGGATGACAATTTGCATGGTGTAGTCGGACCAGAAGGTCTGCACGTTCCACGGCTTGTAGGATGGGTATCCGTAAAGGATAGTAACGATCACCATCCAGACAAGTGCGATATATGCGCATCCGGGCTGCAGCCAGGCGTAGTAGGAGAACTGACGGCGGTCAAGGTTTTGCGCTTTGCAAGCACGGTGGAAGAAGATATAAGTGATGCAAATAGTGATATAGTTAATTAGGCCTAATAATGTTAGCGGGGTGATCTACAGAGATGCAGGATTGGGTGAAGGGGAGGAGAACGTACCACCGGCGGTGACCAGATTAGCGAACCAAGTAATGACGATGGAGGAGCTGTTCGACACTTGAAGGAAGGAGAGCAGGGGGAAGATCATAACCACGGCGAAGCAGTAAATTGGCACACCCTTGCGAGTAGTATGGGTGAGGATGCGGGGCGCGCGGCCTTCTAACGCCAGACTGTACAGGGTACGGATGGCGCAGTAGAAGTATGTGTTTCCGGCGGAGAAGATGGAAGTCAACAGCAGGCTGCGACGCGTTAGCATGTGGACTACAAATCATTTTCTCGCACGATTTCTGATTGTCTGGAATATACTTACGCATTAACGATCGATGGGAAGATTTTGATCCCCATGTTGGTCATGCCAATAACATAAGGCGACGCAGACGCGGAAGAATCAGACTTCTCACCAGAAGCCACGGCAACAAGGGCGGGATCGCGGCAAGAGCAGACAATGCCGACAGCCAGAGCACCGCCCATGAAGAACAGACCGAATCGAATGTAGACCGTCTTGAAGGCGTTCTTGATATAAATGCGTGGGCGTTTCGCCTCAGCCGCGACCATGGAGATATACTCGGGTCCGACGACGGCGAAACAGGCAGACCATAATGAACCAAGATAGCCCTCAAATCGGCCCAAGCTGCCGGTATTCAAGTACTCCATGAAGGAGCCGGGGTTGTTCCAGTACCGGAAACCGTAAGCGTCATGGTCCGGGTTTCCTCCCACCATCGTGATGAAGGTGAAGAAGAACAGGGAGAAAATTAGAATTACTTTGCCGCCGGAGAGCCAGAATTCAGCTTCTCCGTAGGCTTTCACGGCTAACATATTCAAAGTACTAGTACACGAGGTTAGTATAAACTACACATTTTTGATGCGCTGCGGGGATGGGGGTCGGAGCGGGGCCGCAGTGGGGATGGTAACGCAAGGGCGCGATGGGTGGGAGTTAACCAAGTAGTGGTTGAGATGATTGTCTTACCCATAGCAAATAATGATTCCAGCGACAATACCCGCGACCGAGCCAGGCTCAGACACCTTGTCACTCCAAAAGGACAAAACAAGGGTGAAAGCGGAGATCTCGAAGGGGATCAGAAGAGCTTCATAGAAACTAAATACGGCCAAGTTAGTTTAGGAATGGTCTTTTGGCGAGATCGATGCGAAATGGCATGATTAAAAATGAAAAAGAATGCAATGGAACCACGAACAAGAAGTTCCAGCCAACCATAAAACCGAGGGCCTCATCGACCCATTTACCAGCGAGACGAATAAAGCCACCACTAACGGGATAGGCAGTACTCATTTCTGCGAGGCAGTTGTTGACCATTGCGAGGAAAAATACATTGGGTTGTGAAGGCCAAGAAGAGCGAGCCCGGGCCACCATGGTATAGACCCGTGCCGATGCTCACGAACAGAGCTGTACCGACAGCTCCGCCGATGGCGATCAGTTGGATTTGACGATTGTCTAGATGACGCTGGAGGCTATCGGCATTATCTGCCATCATACCCTCCTGCACGTCATGGTGGGGGTCAGACTTCAGGCCCACGGAGTCTAGGACACCGGTGGTTGAGCCGCCTTCCTTGTCTTTGCTGCTCAGTATAGCCATTTTGGTGGGTGTTGGCGCGAGGGTTCTGTACTATGGGTTATACGGAGAATGGCGCGAGGGAGAGACAGGCAAAGGGTGCCTGTGAGTTCGAAGGATTTGGTTAGGAAACGGTGGGTTGGCGCATGGGTTGAGCTGGTGGTGAGATCCGGTCCGATTGGAATGGGATGGGATGCGACGGGGTGGGAGATTGGCGCAGAGGGGTTGAAGTTGTCGCAACAGGGTCAATCCGATTTCAAACTGGGCGACTGGTGATCCGATGCGCGATTCTAGAAAATTTTGGCGGAGACAAACTGGATATGGTGCAGTTCTACCGTGGCCATTCCTTGTCGAGAGGCGAGGGGAAGATCCAGAGGAGAAGAGAAGAAGAAGAGTAAGCAAAAGAGCTAGTCAGATGTGGGATATAGTAACAGTATCCGAGCGAAACAGTTGAGTGAACAGCTGAGACGAAGTAGAAGTGCAAAGAAGAAGAAGAGAGAAAAAAAGACGACGAAAAAGTGCGGGTTGGCCAGAGGTTTAAAAGGGAATAAGTCTAGAAGCGAGAGAGAGAGAAAGTGCTGAGGTACTCGGTACCCCGTTCTCTCCGTACTGTAACTATGTATGGGGAGGCGGCTGCACTCTGCTCTGGGCGTATCAGTGCTCGCTGCTTCCTGCTTCCTGCTCTGTTATCTGCGGTACTGCGTACTGCTGTACCGTGGGACGGTGGGGCCAAATTGCCCTTTCCTAAAGTAGACTAGCGTTGAGTCCCAAGCCCACGGGATGCCGTCTCAGCCACGTTTCCCACGATAAGCTTACCCTCTGATTGGGTGAAATCCACTCTTCCGGTAGCCAAGACCCCGGATCCAGTCACGCTAACCTTCTTTCGAACACGAATCTCTTTTCGCTCGGGGCCTCCGATTGCGTTACATTTCTGCGGTAGGGACACCTCGAGGATACCCGGGCGCAAGAGGCGTTAGGAGGCTGACTCCATAATTCTGAATTACCCCTATCTGATTCGATCGTAGCAAGCCTCTACCGTGCGCCCGCCAAGGGCCAAGCGTCCAAGGATTGAGATTTCGGTTTTTTTGTACTATTCCGTTCCAGTTGTCCCGCACCTACCCTCGTATGGATGGTATTGTTGGAACCTAGGGCAGAGCTGACCGACGAAAGCCGGTTTCTCTTTTATCTCAGTGGGGGCCATTTTGCGTCAAAGTGAATATTCTCCTTTGAGACATATTGCCATAATCCGGATCATTCCGTGGGATTGCTGCTGTTGCTACGAGTATGCTCTTACGAGTAGAATACTCCTCGAAATATTAGGCCAGATTCCTTTACCCCTTAGCTGCCCCGCGTGGTCCTGATAACCTCGTGGAGCAATGACCATGTGGAGGGGTGGGTCAACCTGTCAGAACCTGCCATTGAAGACCGCTGAAGCACATCTCCCGGCGTGGTCACCCATTCGTAGAGTTAAGGTTAGGCAGATGTCGTACGGCGGCATGAACACGGCATCTAAATGATCCTAGTCGATCGGAAACTATATTGGTACCTGATAACCGTTCACGGGTTATTTACCGCCGAAGGCTGTTTCACTGTCTGTCAATCACCTGGGCAACTCCATCAAACCGCCACATTGTTTTAGCTTTGACTCGGTTCTTTTTATTTGTCGATTGATCATAATACTGACTGCAGAAGTGGCTGACATTCAACAGGGATTAAGCCTTCAGAGGTATTAGTGCCTTTTCTGTAGGGAGAAAAGTTACCCATGCGAGCAAAATTATACTAATATACTAGTAACGCTCGGATAGGTTTCTGACTCGCAAGCTGCCACTGCTGGCAACTCCACGACGAGACTTTTACAAACGATATGGAAAAGGGGTAAGTGTATCAATTTCGAAGTGTCGTTAAGAATCATTTTTTTTCGCAAACAACCTGCTGCCAAGCAGCGCCTGGAAACTCTTATTTCCACACCTATGAAGCCGCTATTTTTAAATTGGCAACCTTTGACTTAAGCCCCGAGACGATGTCAACGTCATACGGCTCTCTAATTTTGAGAACCGTTGGGACGGAATGGTCATTGTATGCCGATGTCAGCCGACCCAATGACTCCACATCGACATGTGCTAATATCTCACTAGGTGAAGATGTAGCGATAGAGGAGCCACGAGGAGCTCCTAGCAGCGAAGCAACAAATAACGCCGATCCATATCTGCTACCGAGCTGCTGAAGTGAAAAGATGCAGTGAAGCAGTCGGCGAAGGCTGGCACCGTCTGCGTACGAATCGGCGGAGAAGACCTCTTGTATATGAAGGAGTCCCATCCGCAGAATCATGGGAACGCTAGTCGTCGTAAGATAGGATGTGAGATGTTTCTCGTTGAGATCTTGTAATATTGCAGTGAATTCCACTGCGCTTTGAAGGACCGGACAGTTTGGTGACTCAAGAGATAATTGCTGGCGTGGGCTATATTGTTCGGACAGAAAGTCAAGTTGTCGATGAAGGGTACTATGCAACTCGAGGTAAACCATTTTCAACCAAGCGGCATGGGAGTAGAGAAGGAGGTCGGATTCATTTGTCATAAATGGGACAGGCGAAAATGAGATGCTCTTAGGCAAGGCCTGGAGCCAATCTTCCAACTCCAGTTTTGAGAGCCAAAGACATGACCTGCGAGGCTGCGAAACAATTGGCCGCGTGTTTATAGACTGGCAGTCCCAGGCGTAAAGATCATCTTTGATGCAGCGACAGAGGTTAATTTTCTCGATAAAGATCCGAGCTAGCTTTTCGTGATTGTCGCCGTAGTATGAGAATCCAAGACCAGATCGGAATCTCGGTGTCACTATATCATCTTTGTCGATTCCAAGCACCGGGATGGATGACTGAAATTGATCTTTGATCATGGGAGGTTGTTGTAATCCCAGCGACATCAGCCTATCGCGTGTGAAAATGCTCCACCATAGAATCCTTCGGAAGTTCCAATCGGGATGATTTGAGTAGTCGAGATGGAGCTCCGACTTGTATGCGAGAGATATGCAGACACCAATCCAATGGCGCCCATCCTTGTGTCTGTCTGGATTTTCATACCAATAGGTCATAAGTAGAAGACTCTGGACGGCAGCCAATTTGTCATCTTCGGCATCAAGATCATATAGAACCTAACATTGACTCAGCTTTAAAGAAAGAAGTATGTCCAGACCTGTACCACTTACTCGTGCTCGTTGGAAAAGGGTATCCAACGCACTCCGCCGAGAGAGAAAGCCAGCCGCGTATAAGTATTTCAAATCAACAAAAAATGCACCAGAAAACATAACCGCTTGGTATAAAAGCAAGCTCAGTTTCTCCCCTTTATAATTCACGCCTTGTGAACGGGGTGAACAATTAAAGATGATCGCTGAAAAGGGATCTAGATCAAGGAACGGAACATGGGGATGCACATGTCGAATATACGCTTTGAAACATTCTTGTGAAAAGAGAGGATCTAGAATATCAAAGGCGCCTTTTCGAACAAGAAAATCTATATCATCCTGCTGTAACCGCGACGAAGGGGATTTCAAGTATGACGGGAGCAAGAGGTTGTAAGGTGGTAAAACCCATGTCGGACCCAAGAGTCGATGAACCTCGGTCATCATATTATCCAAGGGGTAAGTGGACAGGACTGCCGGTTTCCGGGTCATACCCCGACTGGGCCGGCGTTGGATGAGGCTCCGTTCCCTCATTTTGGGAATCGCACCATGTGTTGATGCAGAAACTGGGAAATTGGCGGGGGTTCAGAGCGAGTCTCGGCTATTTGAAAGGAAGGGGGAAGGACCCCTCGGTATTCTCGGTATCCTCGGAGATCCCCGCGCGGGGTGGTCAATGCCAAAGTTGTTCTTTATTTCCCGGAACCCCAGATTCTCACCGCAACTTCCCCACAAGTATGGAAACATAGTGCGACAATGTTTACTTGGGGACATCTCTTGTCTCTGGAGCAATCGGAGTGTTTTGAACCAAGTGGTCTCTTGCTCTCAGCTAAAACTGACACAAGGGCCAGTCAATCGCACCGAAAAGTACCGACCTTAAGAGATCAGGCCACTGAGGAGATTGAACGGATGGATTGCTTTAAATGCCGGACCATACACTGTGCTCCAATACATGCAATAACACTATGAGAAGGACCAATAAAAAATGTGCGACAAAACTGGAGACCAAAATAACCTAACGCGCCATGTGGATCGAATCCTCTCTCTCGGTTTATCTCCGAATCGGACCAAGACCTTCATCTCATCCAATAAATAAATAAAAAATAGAAGCGATTGACACCAAGGCTCACATGCATACGATGAAACGTAAGGAATAAAAGCAGTCGACGGCGAATTAGCGATTGCTATTTTTCAATCAGTACTGCAATGCTTCACATCCACAGACTTCTTCGGATCACCTACCGTCGACCAAATCGAAATGAAAATGGTATGCGATCCAAAGCGACTTGAGATCGGCCGACGGAACGTGGGGCAACTGAAAATATCAAACTATTACTCGAGCGGTCGTATACGGTGACTCCTTGACTGGCTATGGCGTTTTCGGGGGGTAAATCTTTGGAATTCTTGATTGGGGCATTTATAACTTCGATTGGGAAATGGACGCGGCGGCCCGACTTTCTCGTCATTACAGGAACTTTGGCTGCCTCGTTTGGGGTATTTTCCGTGCTGGTTGAACTTGAATTTGAACCTGTCGACGATTCCTCCGAGCTTGTCTCGGTCGCGACGGAAGACTCATCCTTCGCGGTGTCTCCTTGTTTGGATTTTCCCTTTCCACTTCTTTTTGCTGCGCCTAGGAATGCTTGGTTCGGTCGCCAGTACCGTTGTTTCATCGGACCTTCGCGCTGAATCAACAATTGGAGCAGGCCGATGTAGGTAGATCCAATCCTGCATTATTTGATGGTAGAAGCCCACATCAGAAAAAGAGATGAATGGAAGTTGTGGCAGCGGCCCACTTGGGCAGCAAGGAATGATATTTACTGTCGTTCAAGATAGGTCATGTGAAAAGCCACCTTCATGCATGCGTTGGTCGCCCTGCAATGATTTTATGGGGCAGCAAATCACGTTGCACAGCATCGGATTGGATCAAATAAGATGCCTGCTCCCGCTGCCCGGTTATGCACAACGGGAACTACCGGACTTGCGAATTTCTTCTTTCTATACGTCGAAGTTAAATAGTCGCCAGGTCCCTGGACTCACCATTGAACTTGATGAGCCCCATATTATATTACAGCCACCCTTATGCGGGTCGATGCAGTGACACAGACAGAAGCTAGAGGTCTACATGAGGATTTACGTGTGTTCAGTATTGCAGAAGGTTCGAGTTACTAGCACTCATGAACCGATTAAATCCTATTATGTTCAATTCGCATCACGGGTTATCAACAAACAATTAATCACGAAAAAGAAGTTCCCTTGGAATCAGTGTAGGACAAGGCGCTATCAAGGGCAGTGGTCAAATCAACATGGAAGAAAGGCCGGTTCACGTTCTCAATAATGACCTTCGAGGACGAACCCTTTCTTTGTTGAGCCTTGTCTGTCGCGGTACCAGTGCTGATACTATCATCCACAGACTTCGATTCCAGATCCTTTGCCTGCTCAGTGGACAGGGAGTAAGGCTCCTTCTGCAGACCACTCTCGACATCCTTACCGTCGAGCGAGTCAAGCTTGTTCCTAACAGCTCGGGGGTCGCCATGCATCTCTGCCACACTGAAGATAGGCTGCCACTTGCGGTTGGGGTCCATGAGTTGACTTGTGGGCTGACCGAATCCAGCGGCAGCCAGAGCACGTTTGGACCATCTGTTGTGCAAGTGTGCGAAATGCCACTGGACACGGTGAGGAGCGGCATAGCGATCGAGTTGATTTCTCACATCGACGAGTGTCTGAACGCAAGTGACATCGAGGTTGTTCACAGAAGCGCAATCTAGGATGACTGCTTGAAGGGTCGGGCGGGCTAATAATGCTTCACGATCGGCGAGACCGCCCTTGCCAGGTCCGGGGTCATTCCATGGTCGGTCGCCAGGGTTGTTATCCGCATCCAGATCAGACTTTCGAGTGTTTTGGAAGATGTGATCAACGAGGAAATCAGTATAGTGGTTTGCGTTAGGGTAATTGAGACCCTCTGACAGTCGGTAGATGAAGATGCCTGGTGCTGGTTGCTGAATCTTCACATGGGGGTTGGAACCATCCTCGCGCGAGGTCGGCAAGTAGGCACTTCGTGGGCCAATGGCCACTCCCTGAGGACCCGCGTGCTCTTCCAAGATATGGTCTCCGACGACAGAGTGAACGTTGACTTGGCCCAAAAATTGGCCACGGGCCTTGGCCAGGCGGAACAGGAGAACAGCAAGGGAGACACAAATCGTGCAATAGATTCCAATCTCAATTGTGGTGAAAGTGATCACGATGACACCCATCAGGAAGATGATAGCATCGATGGGTGATACTCGCCAAAACTGGTAGGTCGTACTGGGAGGAGTGATAAGATCACCGACGGCGTGAATGATGACGCCTGCCAAGGAGGACTTGGGGATGTAGAAGAAAACGGCTGGCAATGCATAAATCGCAAGAAGAACGACAACAGCAGTGATAACTCCAGCAAGAGGTGTTCGTACACCAGCCTTAGCTTTAATAGCAGTGCGGGAGAATGAACCGGTAGCAGGGTATCCTCCCAAGAAAGGACCAAGAAGGTTGGAAACACCGATCGCAATGAATTCTTGGGACGGGTCAATTTTGTAGTTGTTGACGCGACCAAAAGACTTAGAGATCGCAATATGTTCAATCAGAAGCACGATGGTAGCCGCGGGTAGCTCACTCGCAAACGAGGAGATGATTTCCTTGTTCAGTTTTGGTACCTTGGCGTGCTTAAAACCTCGGGGTACAGTTCCCAGAATCTTGAATGCAGGTTTGTCGCGGCGATGTAAGTTGACAGCAGCACTGATCATAGTGTAGAAAAGGATCACGAATGCGGTACGCAGAGTAGAGATGAAAAAGAAAGTCTTTGCCTTCTGAGGATACTTCTTCGCGGCCCAACTGCATGAGAAGCGAATAATGTACAGCATTGCCAATGCCGTAAGTCCCATTGCCGCATCCATCTGAGTAGTTGGCAGGTATTTCAAGCTGTTTATAATCATCTTGTATGATGCATCGCGTGTTGAAAAGCTGGCGGTTTCACCAAGGACTGTTTTGACTTGGCCAGATATGATATTGATTGCAGATCCGGTCATGAATGCCGTGATCGCAGGCAAGGGGATGAAGTCGACGATGAATCCAAGTCTGAGAAACCCAAGGGCGGCCACGATAGCACCGCAAATAATTGCTAGCGCTGACGCAATAGTCGGCCCATCGAGCTCTGGGTGTTCCGCCAGGGTCTTGGTGATGATATTTCCGACGAGGGTTGACATCACTGCAACGGGCTGATTCCAATGCGTTAGTTTTGAGAGGCAAGAAGATGAGACGGGAATTTTGGTGACTCACTCCGATCGTAATATCTTTGGAAGTAGCAAAGAACCAGTAGATTAAGACACCCATGAAGGAAGAGTACAGACCATACTCAGGAGCCAGGTTGGCGAGCTCGGCGTAGGCCATACCCTGAGGAACAACAACGGCGCCGACGGTGATACCTATAGATGACATCCTACATTAGCCTCTGGTGATACTTGACGCGTAAATAAGTCCCAACATACCGGCAACCAGATCTCCGATCAGCCACTGCACGTTGTAATAACCGATCCAGTGGATGAAAGGGAAGATGTTGTAAAAGTATCGGCCAACCTGCTGGCGTGTCGGGGTGTGAGCTGCAATCCATTCACCCGTCGTTGGATCCGGATCGACATATGCGTGAGGACTATTCGCCTCAGCGACATAGTAATTCTTTTCCTCCACGTTGATGCGGAGCACCTTTGCCAGGGCATGCCCGACTTTGCTGCGGGTACTTCCAGACATGACTGAGACTCGCCCTCGGCTTTTAGGAAGTATAAAAGGCTAGAGGGTCCAGTTTCTACTGAGAAAACTGGAAGGTCCGAGGGGAAGTGAGAGGGTTAAGAAGGTAAGAAAAAGAAAAAGAAGGTTGCGACCAGTTGACCGGGATTCAGCTAAGCACGCCTCCCTGTAAATTATAACATGCTTCCTCCGGTCATGTTTAGCGTGATGTCGTGATTTTGGAACATTAATGCAAATATCGAAGTCCGTCCCGTCAGCCAATCACAACCCCCCAGTGGGAACCCTCTCAATCCGATTCAAACGGAAACTGATGACTGTTTAATTTGTTTGTTTTATTCTTTTCCATTCTTTCGCTTAATTGATGGACTTGCATGCGCTGTCAGACGCCTCCCGAGGTCAGAAGGAGTACTCTTTGATATACCAAGCCTACACTGAGCGGATGACCTCCACAATGCAGTACTACAGGTACTACGAGTCTATTTGACTTAAATCTCATCGTATACTACATACTCCAACACCTGTGGATGTCAATCCGGACGGGGCCGTTTCAAAGGCCCATCATCCCCACCTCGAGTACATAAAAAAGGAGACGGCTAGGGCTGAAATCGGAGTCTCACCGAGGCAATTATATTCCAGTCTATTGTAAGATTTTGCGATCTTGAGATCTATGTGATCCCTGTTAGTACTCCGTACCTTCAGTACTGCCAGTTTCCAAGAAAAACGTGCTTTTTTGCCGAGTCTGTCTGAACCGTATTCTTCTCGGCGCCTAACCCTTGGCAAGCCAACCAAGCCAAGTTCCAGAAAAAGGTCAACGACTCACAGTGAGCGAATTCTGCGCCTAGGCCTGTCTGTTTCGTAGCGTGACTGGCTTCCCAAGCATTGGCCCCAAATTGAGATCCATTCCCGGCAAGATCGATTGCGCAACCTCAAGTCTCATTCCCGTTGGCCATGGCACGGGCTAGTCCGTGGCACCATCTGTATCAGGGTTCGCCCTAACTTCGGTGAAACAAGGTTGCGGCCCCCGGCGTGAGTGGCAGTGCAGTTCAATCCAGCCCCATGTTTACTTATTCTTCTTCGTCGCCTCTTCGCTGACAATATTTGCTTCTTTCTTGGAACACTGTACTTCTTTCGCCCCAGAGTCTTGGACCGTGCATATTTATTTTGTTTCAAAGCATCTTTTTTTTTACTCTCTTAAAGAAATTCGAGCTCTATTCCAACTCTGAGAATACCAGATGGTCTTATTGACTAGCCACCTAGTGCGTGCTAACCATTCTATGTACAAGCGCGACAGAACGCGATTCATCCCGGCTCTAAGTTCGCCAACATGAAGAAAAAGGAAAAAGGAAAAAGCATCCTTGGAATTATAAGCTCAAAAGGCAAATGCAAGATGCAAAACGTCATTTCTACACATTTCGACGTGATCGCTCCGAGCCCGTGGCCTTGGCCCAGGCGACGAATACGAGCCTCAGGAAAGCCCAACCCCGCCTCCTTATTTCCCGCGTGGCTTTCCCCAAATGCAAGACCCTGTTCGTCGTGGACTTGCACACCATCATGGCGGACCCTCTTTCGATCCTAGGTGCCGCGCTGGGGGTGGTATCTCTTGGCCTACAGGTACGCGAAGAGATCACCTCATACTGCAAAGCGTGGCGAGGCGCAGAGGAAGAAATCCAAGAAATCGCCAATAAAGCCGAAAGCCTCGAAGGCCCACTCAACGCTCTGCGAGAAATTATTCAAGAATCACAGCTCTCCGATCCCGGTATCGCTTACGATCTTCAGAATAAGATCCAGAGTATCCGCGGAGGTATACTGAAGGTTCAAAATGCGGTCGATCGGTGGAAACCCGCCCTATCCGCCGAGGGCTTCGGCGAGAAGATGCGTGCGCAAAGAAAGAGGGCCGCATATCCATTTCGGAAAGAGGCTTTGCGGGCTTTGGCCAATGATTTGGATAGTCTTCAGATGGGACTGCAGACTACTCTCCACGTGTGAGTGGATAATATGTCATTTCTGATAGCAATGGAAATTGACCAGCGGGGACTTCCGTTCTGCGATGTAGGTTTTCGGCTCAAAATACGCGACTGATCCCGTCTTTGGTATTGGCCCAGGGGAAATTGCTTAGCGAGGTTCAATCAATGGTATGGTTTGTAGAAGCGAGATGAGGCAAAAGAAAAGCTTGCCTTCAGGTCTTTTCGTTTTTAATTTTATTTTCTAAACGAACTCGCTGATGATGGAATCAGCACCTTGAATTGCAACATATATCGAAACTTTCTTCGCCACCACCGCCAGAACTACTGCAAACTTGGTGTGATGAACAAAAGCACGCGATCACCACAAAGCGAGAACATGAACATGAACTCGGAGAGGCCGTGGTTGATTCAAATTCAAGGAATCGAGGAGAAAAGTCCTATAGCTATTATAGCCGCCTCTTGAATATCACTATATCGGCCTCCTTTTTCATGACTAGAGGCGCTGGAGGATTTTCAATCGCCCCTTCGCTAACTCTCCGCGTGCCCCTGTCCCCCAATCACCCTGGTTTCTTTTCCATTTACATACACGGGCTTAGCGCGAAATCCCAGCGCCCCGAGGAATTTGTCAATAACATAATAGACCTGCTAAAACACCTTTTCACTACTGGCCAAGCGAGTCCATTGGACCTAGGGTCGGACGGAAATTCCTTTCTGGACGTACGTTGCGATCGAAATCCTGGTTTTGCCTCTCCCTTCTTTAGTAGCAGGCTAGAAGCTGCCGAGCTAAATATTTGCCATCTTTTATTTTCCAGTATGCTGATATTCACACTCACCCAGGCTGCGTGTTTTGCATTCTCGTGTAGTTCGCAATGGCATCCAGATGCCTATGTTCATTTCGCAAGGCTATTCGCCTTCCTGATTAACAGTGGCGCAGCGCTAAGCACTTCCACCTCGCTGGGTGGAACGGGGTTGGACAAGTTCATCGGCGCTGTAGAGCTCAATGCGGAAAAGTCTCGGATGCTCACGCGTCTCGCTCATCGTGGTGGCATTGTCACTGTGCGTGGTGCATTGCAATCACCAATAAGCAAAGCGAACTTACTGCAGGTTCTCGTTGAAAATGAAGAAGGTACCCGACTCATCCAACACAGATTTCCTTTAGGATGTTGTGACTCAAGGCAAAATAATAACAGAGAATTCCTTTCTAGTCGTCGATATTCCCGACGTTGCCAAAGCTATCATCCAGGAGTCCGAACATGACCTCAATGTCGAACTTCTCTCCGGCCGCGCTTCTCCAAACGATATCATCGGGAATACCGCATTAATCCAGCTCGCCGTAGGATGGCCCAGAGGAATAGAAATCCTAGCAGACGCCGGAGTCGATATGCATAGGAGATACCCATTATCTCCATTGTACATGGCAATGCGCGAACGTAACTACCAATCAAGCAAGGCATTGCTAGAGGCCGGCCATCCACTCAAGCCAGATGATATCTGCGCAGCGGAGACTCTGAATGACGGTAACAAGATGACAAAAATTCTCATTGAAGAATTATCAAAGCGACGCAAGCGACTTGCCATAATTGCTCAAGCTAGCATGTCGCAGATCGACCTTGCGAGAATCGAAGTAATTGCCAGTGCCAGTGTCTTCCTCCCTTCATCAGTTCCCGATATCGTCGCGTCTAGAATATGCCTTGCGTTGAAAGAACGCGGTATCAATATTGACCCTTCACTCGAAGTTGCGGAGCCTTCGATCTCGAAGTCCGTATATCATCAACCTTTGCGAAAGATAGACACACTTGACCTACTCTTCGAACACGGCTTCGAAGACATCGACACAAGAGATTCATCCGGCAAAACACCCCTCATGACAATGATTTCCTCATCGGGTATTTACGAATCATCGCATAAGAGACGGCGATGGCTTATTTCGAAAGGCGCCGATCCCACCAGGTCACTTCCTTGGGGTAATAATAGTGGAGGAACCGTTCTCCATCTACTCGGAACTTGTCTAGCCAGCATGTTAGCTCGGGAAATAACGCATACATCTCTATCAGAGCTTCGGCAATTCCAAGCTCCGGATTCCGACTCTGAAGAAGACCCTTTATTTGACTTGCGGTATACCCTCCGGGCCCCTTGTCGAGATAACTGTTTATGTGCTTGTTCGATGGACGGGTGTACTCCGCTACTAGCGGCTCTGCGACATCTTCTTCTCCGCTACACGCCTAGATTTTACATGAAAGGCGGGGTAAATCGACTACCCGGAGCCATAAACTTCCTTATATCGCGAGCGGAGAAAAGTGTCGATATTCAGATTTCTATTATTAGGCTGGTCACGTTTGATGCATTGGATCTTACACATACATGTTGTCGCAAAAGTGATACTTTCGCCGACGATCGGCTCCAATACATGGATAAAGCTGAAGTTGATGAAATTCGAGACGAAGAGTCTCTTCTAATAAAAGAATTCGAGTCTCTGCTCGATGATCTTGTTGCTGAATTCCGGCGACTAGGTGTTCCTATCATGGAGTTTTTGCAGGGGCCTTGGTATAGGATGGTCTTGGGACATATTAACCGACTGGGTATCTACGATCAAATTCACATGAGCGAGGTCCGGGGATTGGATTGAAGCTGCAGGCAACAGATGCTGTGTCGGGAAAAGTATCCCTGATGCTAGGGTCGAAAGTGTTAGAAATCGAGGACTGATCTCGGGACCGCGGGAGGAGCGTAAATACGAGGAGCAGAGTGGATCAATCATCCCGAGGTCCTAAGATAAGACTTGAATTCTACTAGTACTTACTGGGGCGAACCTAGGTACCTGCAGCTACTAGTACACGTACTGCACTTACGTACTGCAGGCAACACATAACCTTAAGGAGATTTTAGCCGTTGGAATAATAAAAAATAAACATTTGCAGTGTGGCTTAGCCAATACATTCGTTTGTTACATATCCGGAGCCAATAAGTAAGACAAAAGGCAGATGTTGTATGCTCAACTGAAAGCGCAAGGACACAAAAGAAACCCCCGCAAATAGAGATAAAGGAACTTGAATAAGAAATATTAAGTTGCCAGTAGGCATAGAAGATGAATAGAGAAGAGAGATTCAATAAATGTCAAATATATGATCTGTAACTGCATTCGAGACTCAAAATCCGGAGATATTCAAAACAAAAACCAATGAAAAAGACAACCAAAAGAAAGAAACAGGGTATCGATGGAATAATAAAGAAATGATAAGATCCAAAAATGATAGTCAAAGAAAAACGGTCAAGAGAAAAACCAGAAGGACATGGAAAGTCAATCCGAAATCAGAAAAACGATCAAAAAGGTCCATCCAGGTCGGCGGACGCAGAAGGAGGCAACGGTCGTAAATAGCGTCTATCATCGTTACCATCGCCGTTAGACTTGGAAGCACCAACGTAAGAACGATAGAAGAAATTGCAAAGATAAATCGATATAAGAAATTCAGAGAAGGGAAAATAAGAAGAGGAAAATTCCGAGAGGAACTCTATGCAAGTTCCACTTTCCCATTATCACTCCCGAGACGCCGACAAATCGGTTCATCCTCCCATCAAACGCCAAGTATGCATTAAGTGATATCAGAATGCAGCCCAAGAGTCAAAAGTTGTCGAAAATCGGAGCGATATTAGGGATTCAGCCCTGCTCCAATCAAATCAAATCAAATCCAAACTCAGTTCATCTCCATGCCGTACTCATCCTCCTCCTTGAAGCTCATGGCGGCATGGCCGGCACTGTTCCAGTACTGTGGTTGACCGGGGTTCCCATTCGAGACGCCATGGAAGGAGGGGCTCAAGTTGGTGGAGTCAGAGCATCGGCGCCTTGTGCAGGGTCGCCGGCGAGGTTGGTGTGCTTAGGAACGCGGAGACCGCTTCCGGGGCCACGGGTGTAGGCGAAAGAGGTAGGATCGTTCTTCTCCAGGGCGTCGAGGATCTCGCTGCGCATGCGCTTCTCTTCCTCAGTAGGCTCGAAGGGCCAGGTTCCACCGAGGCTGCCGATCATCTCGGCTAGCTCGGCTTCTTGCTGGTACTTGACGTGAAGGGCCCACATCAGATCGCGCATCCAGCTGACGGCGCCGTTGAGGATGTCACCCTTGTTGGGCCCTTTCTCTTTCTCTTCGATGGGTAGGCCCATCGTGATATTGCCTGGGGTAGCGCGACGTCCATTGCCGCCGGCCAGGAGAGATGTTGCGGCATTTCCACCGGCACCGGCCATGGAGAGGGCACTGTTGTTGACGAGCTGCTTGCGCACCTTGTCATCCTCGAGACGGTGCTGTGGTACGAGGTGGGAGAGATCCTGGATGCGCTCGTTGATGTTGTCGCGGCGGCGGCGTTCGACGAGATTGTGTGAAGCGCGACGTCGGCGCCGCTTGGCCTCTTGAGATTCCAGGTCCTGGCCACCCGGCAGGTGGGAGTCGACTTTGGTCGGGAGCGATGCGTGTTTGCCCGACTTGATGATCTCGGAAATGCCGGCATGTTGGCCGTGGTGACCGGGGAGGGAGATGGGTGAATCGACATAGGAATGCGCGCTGCCGGGAGTTCCATCCCATTGATTCGACAATGTCTTCTGGTGGCGGTGTTGCAATCCACTAGTTCGGATGGGTTGACCTGGGAAGCTCCCGGATTCCGGAGTGCCCAATGTCAAGGACCCCAGAGCGGGAGTCTTCGGGGTCATGGGACTCCGAGCATCCGAGGATGTACGGTCCATCGTGGACAAGCCTGGGCGAGACTTGCTGCTCAGGTAGTTCTGGTCGAATGAGCCGCTCTGGACATGGGGGTTCTGTTGGTTCATGCGGAACTGCTCGTAGTTGAAAGAGTTATTGACAAAGGGACTGGCCATCGGGGCGCCATCGGGGGTGTTTGAGTAGAGATGCGACATTTGACTCTGGTGACTCATGGCGATACCGCCAGCGGACTGGTCGTGCATGTAGTTAATATTATTGTCTCGCTGGACGCCATTTTGCCCGCTGATTTCGAGGTCCAAAAGTTCATCGGTGTCGATTCCAGAGTTTCCAAAGTTGAAGCTGGAGCCCATATTCTGTTGTGAACCGTACGAGTATGGCATGAAGCCGCCCTGTTGCATAGTCAAGTCCGAGGGGTCTACCCCTTCATTGGGGTTCCCGAACTGGTTACCGCCCATGGAGTAACCGGAGTGAGACATCATAAATGGATTGCTGCGATCGTCAGATTCGTGCTTGATGAAAAGACTTGCTTCTGCCATTGCCCCGACGGTATTCCAGTGTTCAGGTGAAGCAGCGACAGGGGAGGGGCGTGGAGTCGAGGGAGAATAGTCGTCGTTCCGAATTACTGACCCTCTCTGGTTCAACTATTGATCGGCACAGCCAGGCAGCCGTCAATGCGGTATGTTATGTGGCGGGAAAGATGTGAAGTCTGCGTGCGCAAGCGATGTTAGCATTGACTTTTCCGGAACGCAAACATGTTGGGGAGGGGTCGGCTAATCGGAATCAGGGTTGCGCAGCCTAATGCAGCGCGGCCTAACGCAGCGCAGTGTAGCGACGAGGCGCAACAAGGCAACCCAGGGCCACATGGTAGGCGAGGGGGGAACAGAGCAGAGTGACAAAGAAAGATCTCAAGAATGCCGGGGTGGGAGGGAAGAGAGGGGGGGGTTGTGGTTGATCCTTACCTTTCAGCCGGAAGGGAGGTTTGTGAGGGCGACACTCGCCTCTGAGTCAAACGAGAACGAGGAAGAGGAAAAGGTGGGATGGGTGGGAGTTGGCAGAGTCGGAAGAGAAGTTGAAATGTCGGAGGTTTGTGAGTCGGGGGTTAAACCGAGTCGAGTCGGTAAAGAACGGTAAAACAAGGACCGTAGTCTAAGACAGCGACAAGGCGATTGTAAGCCGGATGGAAGAAAGAAGATAGGGATAGGATGAGATGAGATGAGATGGAGGGGAAGTGAAAGAGGTAGAAGAAGTAAGGGAAGTGCCAAGTCAAATCGAGTAAAGGGCGAGCGTGGAAGGCGATACTGCCAGTTCCCGTCTCAGCCCTGTCAATCGAAGACGAGCAATGAAGTCAGAAATTCACAAGGAACCAGATGAAAGTGGGGGGGAAATCGGGGAGAGGGGGAAATGAAGGAGGAAGACGCGGAGGGAGAGCGGTGAGTGAGCAGTGGCGATGCTAGTACTATGTTGGTACAGCTAAAGCTCAGGCCGCCGCTCGGATTGCAAGAAATACGGGGGAGAGGGGAAATGGGTGAGATGAGGTGGAAATGGGTGGAAATAGGAGAGAAGATTGAATGAAAAAGAAAAAGGGAATTTGAATGGGATGGTGATAATGGACTCGGAGGTATATCTCAGGGTTGTGTAGTATGGTGGATAACCTACCGGAAGTATATAATCCCCAAAGTATAGGAATATATCTCGGTATAGTTGTAGTCCAACTTGAAGTTGTAGTAGTAAATCCTGCCAAGTATGATCTTGTTAGTATACTAGAAGAACACTTCAAGTTATTGTACCTAGTAGTAGGCACCAACAGTAAACAAGTACTGAGCACCCTAGTAGGCATCTAGTCACCTAGGCACAAAGGCATCTGCATCCACCACTGCTAAAGCAGAGCCCCAACCACATGGCCAACGCAGGAACATCGATGGAAATCATCCAGAACACACCAAGTGGATGTTGCCAACGTGGCTCGACATGATAAGTGAGAAAAAAAAAACCTAACCTTTCCACGTACCTGCGTATGATCGTGATCCACCGATCCTGGCAAATCATGGGTTCAACAGTTGTAGAAACTTCAGCTCAGATAGTACTCCTGACAACGTCCTCGTATTTTCTCTCTAGAAAAATCGATCCAACGGTAGATGCAGTGACAACTCAGCAAAGTGGGTTGCAGAAAATTTAAAAAAGGGTGAAATCACTTGCAGACAAAAACGAGGCGGAGGCAGACTTTAAGAACTCGAGCCCCTCCTGCATCTCTCATTTGATATATTACAACATCGGTCATGCAGCCCGTCGATCGGTGGGAATCGATTGAGGCTTGCCGGGCTTCGGCATCGGGCGCTAATGCTAGCACTACGTAGTGGATTTGCAACTATGGGCTGTTGGTGGTGTCGCTTTGGGTCATTTTTCGGGGGGTCCCAGCTGCTGGGGTTGTGGATTACGGGTGGTGGATTCAGAGTTATCCTTTTTGTTATTATGATTATTCTTTACTATTTTTTATTTCCTATTTTACCATTCTCGCCGGGTCGTAGTGGTGTGAACGGTGGACACTTGCGTGGGAACGAACGCCCACTACGAAGGGCGAGGAGGCGTGTGCGTGAGTGAGGGGTGGCAACGATAAACCCCGAGCCTCTGTATGGAGTATAGAGTGTATTATCATTTTTTATTTTTATTTTCTATTTTATTTTCTATTTACCTTTACGGTTGAAAAGAGTAATACCCTCAGTACTGGTGTTGGGGAGGAAATAAAGAAAGAAAAAACAGACTAGGACGAAGGGGCGAAGGGTGATACAGCCGGATTTAGTAAACGGCGCCCATCCCATGATGCCATGGGTGTTTGTCACCTGTACGGGCGAGTCATGATTCGGAAAAAAAAAATAAAAGATGATATGATGGCACAGGCGGAAGGAATGTATCAGATGGTCCCCATGGGTTACAGGCGCGCATTGTTAGGACGGTGATGCTGGAGGAAACTCTGCCGTGGAGTCCATCTAGCGTGGGTTTTAGTTCAATCTCGTCTCGAAACGACTGCATTAGTGTCTCCGAAGGCTAGTGGGGGAGGGTGGAGGGTCAACGAAGAAGGAGATCCGCCAATAATAGGACCATGTGGATGTAGATACCATGACCACAGGGAGGGATGATCTTCGGCAGGCATGCGGCGGTGGATCTTTGAAGTTGATAACTGGGCTATGAGAAAGAGTCAGAAAAGAAGATGTGTGAGAGAGGTGGTAGAGGTGGTAGTCGGGTGTATGGGAAAGGCCGGAATTGGTAAGATCGACGAAGGCGAGGCAGTTCCTGACGGAGGTGAGGGATTAGATACGAATCGCAAGTCTGATCCGGAGAATAACCCGGGGGGTTGGTTTAGAAGGTAGGGTATATGTACGAAGTAGATAAGTAGATATCCACCTCGTCAGATCCCTATATGATGTAGTTCAAGCGGGAGTATGGAGTACGGAGTAAGGTCTGTTCGTTTTCTGCAAATGTCGTGCAGACGTGCAGACGTGCAGAGAGTGGCGATCAACTTGGGGACGATGATCGACGAGTTGGGCCGTGCATCTGTTTTTCCTCCGCAGCTGCACCTGCACCTGAACCTGCACGATGGTGTGGGTGGAGATGCCCGGATGGTCCGTGTACTCCTAGGCTAGGCTCCACGATAACAAAAAAAGACAAGACACTATCTCATGGAGATCCGTTTTGAGCCATCACAGCGCTGTGACCTCTTCTTCCTTCCTCCCCCCCGGTGGCACTGGGGATTGCGCGAGACACTGATCTCGGGAATGTGGCGGAGACATGAGAGGGAGAAAGAGGGAAAAGAGAGGAGGGGGTGGAATGTGTCTGAGACGACCAGCCAATAACTATCAAAGAAGGACCACCTTGATAGGAGGAGCAAATACCGGTTTTACAGGCTGAGCCATACAGAATCGACAGAGTTTCCCATGTGCATCTAAGCCACGGAGCTAGTAGGAAGCTGAAGCGGAGAATGATTCATAATCGACAGGCAGATGCAGGATGCACATCAACTAGCCTAACAAGACGAGCTAGTACGGGATAGTAAGGAGTACTCCGTAGTTTCAAGTCTACTACCAGTACGGAGTAGTTGATGCTAGTTGATGTGCATCCGAAGTGGAGGAAGCACCGTGGATCCTCCCCGCGCCGTCCCGTCAAGGTTCGGAGGGTATCGCCGAGGACACGGTTCACCTTTGACGCAAGGAGGAGACTCTTGGACAAAGACAGAGGGGAGAGGGGAGAAGGGAGGGAGTGTATCTCTACATGACCATGGAAATATCTTTTTTCACCGCTGGAACCGCGAGCATTACCCAAACCCGGTGATAGCAGACGGGTTATCCCCATTCTACAATATCAAAAATGATAAAATGACGTCGGGTATGGGTCGGACATAATACGGAGCTATCCAGCATTCAAGTGCACACTATTCGATGGTACAGCCTATCAGATATGCGTATCAGATGCGTCTCGAAAATAAGAAAGAAGCTCCCAGCCGAAGAAAACAAAATTCCCCCTTTGTGTTACCCAAGTCCCCCCCGCTGTCGGACAATTATACGTGGTCGTACAAGCGGGTAGCCACAGGGCAGTCCAGAGAAGGTAAAGTAGGCTAGGGTAGGGTAGGGGAGATATCGGCTATGCAACCTCACAATGGCAGGGGAGGAGATCCGATACGGTAGATGGGTTTCTGCAGACCGTGAAGATGCTCGTGGGTCAGTTCATCTATTTTCGATCGCCAACAGGGTGCGCACCGGCCAGAGATCGACGGAGAGGGGGTAAAGGGTAAACTTTGAGCGGGAAGTCTCTCTCGGGCATGCCGTAAAGGGGAGGAATAGGAATAGGAATAGTGGGTAGTGGGTAATGGGTAGTGAATAAATAGTGAATTATCAATAATAATAAATGATTATTCAATAGCGTGTTGAGTAGCGAGCATAGCAGTTATAGAGGTAGTGTGGAGTAGAAGTGAGGTTGTTGTAGAGGGAAAGTGGAAGTGGCCCGTGTGTTCACCTCTCCATCTTGGCTATCTCCGTCTCTCTCTCCGTCTCTATCACATCCCCCCTTCAACTCCACACCTACACCCACACCCACATCTACCATATCCCCTTCCCGCTACTCCCTGGTATGTAATGATCCCTGTTTCCTGGCTCGGTCCGAGTCCACTGTCATCTGACAGCTCTCCAGTCTCGCCGATCCGGGCTGGTCGCATCGGTAGCTCCACGCCATCTCGTCATCTGCCATCTTCCCCCCCCTCGATCCTCCTACCCTCCTATACGAGAGTTCAGCGCTTCTACATCCAATCACCGCCCCGTTCCCTCGCTGTGATCGTCCCCCTTCTGTCGTGGATCGGACTCTGAAGGTTCAACGTCCCTCCCTCCGCTTGGCCCGTCCACCGCGTCCCTTGACGTCGTACCCTCTGCGCTCCCTCTATCTTCCATCCGCTGCTGCCGCGTCGGAACTGCCTTGGCTGGCTCGTCCCGCTTGTCTTGTTGCATTGTGCTGTGCATTTGCTTCCCGAACCGTTGACAAGCCCCTTTTACCCGACCCTGCTTGGTTACGCGCATCCTCCACAAGGCAACCAGAACCGTCCCACTCTTGATCGACCACAAGGTTTCGATCGGCTCGCCTTTCGCTCGCTCTCCATATCTGAGCCGCCCCTCGTCTCCCGCACCGTGCTTGATTTGCTGGCCCTGCTATCCGTAGGGCTAGACTAGTCTCAAGCTAGTACCCTCCCCTCGCCGTCGCGATTCACCACGAGCCCGGCGCAAAGCCCCAGGTGCACTGCACTACCCAGAACCCCGAATCGGTGTTTGGTTTGGCCTGAACGTCATCTGCCTTAACAGGCTTGAACTAGTCTCTACTCTCTAGCCAATCCTCACAGATCAGCCATCATCTGGCGTAGATCATCTGCACTCCATCGTGCATAGTCCCTGCAGGCCTCTCTTCGTTGCTGAGCCACAGACCTTGTGTACAGCGGCCGTGCACTTCTGCCCTTTTACCGTTTTCTCCATTCAATTGGGAATTTAATCAATCTAAGAAGCTAAGACGAAAGTTCTTTCGACCATGGCCAACAACACCTTTCGAGACTCTGTCAACTCCCTGGGCTGGTCGCGCAGAGACCCGGATCTCCCCGTCCGCACTAATGCCGACACCTCTGTTTTCTCACGCCTGCAGTCTTACAATCCTTTCGGCCAGGGAGGTTATGTTCAACTCCCCACTCACAATGAAGGCCCCGGAGCACCCTTGCCAGCCGCTACTCGAAGAGAGGAGGAAGAAGGATTCTTCGCGCGTAAGTTTCTCCGTCCCATATCCTCGTGACCATGCCATTCCCATCATCGTCCCGTCCTGCTCTCTGCCGTCCCTTGCCCCCCTGATCCAGGTGACGAGTGTGAAGTGCCTGCGCCGGGACGGATTCTCAAACTTCCATGCTTCTCACTTCTGGTTGAAATCCGACAGGAGTAGATCGCAACCCACGCTAACCACAACCGCGTATAGTAAGTCGGTGGGATCGAATGCTCGTTTTTGCGGCATGCAACTTGGGCGCCGCCATATGTTTCATGCTCTGTTTCTTCCTTTTCCCCGTCCTCACGCTCAAGCCCCGCAAATTCGCCATCTTGTAAGTTGCCTCCCCTAGTACATTCAGCTGTAGGCTGCATCTTGATCGACTTTCTCCCTCCATATTTCCCATTCTTCAGCCTGGACTCTGAGAGGACCAGTCAAATCCCGCTTTGTCCTGATCCTGGTCATGGGCGGCTTCTCGCTTGGACCATGTGCGCGTTCATGGCTCACACGCAGCTCACCTTATTCGTTGCCCTCGAAAGCATAGCCCTGCGCCTCATGCCAACATAACTCTTGTCGAAAAGCCAGATATTGAATGTCTAACTAACTCGCCCGTTTTCTTTTCTTTGTTTAGATGGTCTGTCGGCTCAGCCCTGTTTTTGCTATCATGGGCCGTTCTCATGGGACCGTGGACTTACGCTAAACATTTGATCTCGGGATCACGCTTGCCCTTCACGGCCGCCTACTTCGGCTCTATCGCGTTAACTCTCTACTTCGCCATCGGGGTAAGTCTGCTTCCTTTTTCGGATCGATCTACATCGATCTACTACCCACTCCTGTTCTTCCCTTGTTGTACACAGCTACGGTTGCACCCTGCGGCCGGGAAAAAGAAAAGGGGATCTCGCATTCTCCTCTTCGGGTTGTCTCCTGTACGACTTGAATGGCGTCTGGCCTATGCTTCCGCCTCACAAGGGCCTCGGGGCAGGGGAGGGAAGGGAGCAGATATCGCCGATATCACCCTATATCCACCGTGCAACCATGGTTCCACCCTTGGGTAACAAGACAAGAGCGAAGCCTCCGGACGCCTAAGGTGCTTGTATCACAACCTCCAACGGTTGTCCTGACCGCTCGCTTCATGTCTCACTGTGCCTGACCTGCACCATCTCTCTATCGCATCTTGGAGCCTCCCCATCACCATAACTACTTGTCGCATCATCTTAGACTCACCATAACTCATTGCTGACTTGTTCTGCAGCTCCAAAGCCTCATCCTCACTGCCATCTCCTCCGTCTTCCAGATCTGCGCCCTGGTCTGGTACCTCGTCAGTTACTTCCCCATGGGTAGCACTGGCCTACAGTACATGAGTCGTTTCGGTGCTTCGCGCGTTACGGCTTGGATGTCCGGTTGATCGAAATTCGACCGTCCTCCCTTCTTGTCTCTTGTCGCCCTATGATACCCTGGGTATTGGGTCTAGCGCAGTTTCTTGCTTGCATCAGGTCCTCGCGTTGAGGTCGATTCACTCTCCTCTTCTGTATATGTAGTTTTGCGGATAGATAAGAACGATCTCGTTCGTATGATAGCTTCATCTCATTTGAATATACTTAATCTGAATAATGATTTATCTTCATGCCTTAATGTTGTTCGGTACTCCGGAGTATCTGCGCGCAAGAGGGTCTCGAGTGTAGTAGCGCTTATCGTACCCTGTCTTGGGATGGAACTTGATTTTTAAAGAATAGCTCGTGCTAGGTGTGGCATATCTGATTTTATATGAAGAATACTATACTACTTGGTATCCTACCTAGCTATATAATCAGTACTCTGGGCTGTTAGGATAATGAATTTCAAGTTGTATAGGTACAATAACATCGCTGAGGGATTGGCAGCTGGGTCGATTGCGGCTATGGAGTGCGGTAGTTCAACCACCAGTGCAACACGCACCTAGCTATTGACTCCCACAACACGATCCGTCGATTCCGAGTCAATGTCAAATCAGCTCCCGAAGACAATAAATGAGAATAGCCCCGCCTCGCCGAATTACCCCATCTATCAGCACAGGAATGCACTAAAGGCCCATGGAATAGGGGGAAGCAATGCATGTTGACGCATCCTCCGCTTTGCTCTCACAGTGACCTGAGCACAGCCTGAGCACGCTGAGCAGACTCAACCTGTTTATCTAGTGGTTAATGAAATCCGAATGATGACATGTTTCCATTGGGCGATTGCTTATTGCTGCTTACTGCGTTTCTCCTGCTTCAGCCGCATTACCCCGCCTCCTCATCTCCCAGACACACTTGCAATGAGAATCGAAAGACGTGAGACGTGAATCCAAAATTGGAGGGACCACAGCGCTCAAATGGCCCGTCTTGCCCATGTCGAAGATGACATCACGTTCTCTCTGGCAGATTATACTGTGGCATGTATCTGTCCCCTTGGAGTTGAGTGTGCTGCAGTGGAGGCCATGCTAGATGAGATCCATGACCCCCTACCAATTAGCAGTGACCGTAACGCGTACACATTTGGTCGACTGGGTGCCCACAATGTTGTTGTGGCGGTGATGCCGGAGATGGGGAACAATGCGGCAGCTACCACAGCTACGCAACTTCTCAACGACTTTCCTTCCTTACGATTCGGCTTGTTGGTCGGTGTCGGAGCTGGCGTTCCTGGATCGGAGACTGGCGATGATGTCCGATTGGGGGATATCGTCGTTGGTCAGCCTACGAATACATTCGGTGGGGTGGTGCAGTATGACATGGGCAAGAAAATTGTAGATGGCAACTTTCTGCGAATAGGACACCTCAATAAGCCGCCTGAAGTTTTGAGCGGCAATGTGAGGAAGCTACAGGCGCAGCATCACAGAATGAGTAGCAAGATCAGCTCTTATATGGCTGAAATGATGCAGCGGTATCCAAAGATGAAAGACAATTACCAGCATCCGGGCCTTGAACAAGACAAGCTTTTTCGGTCGGACTACGCGCACCAGGGAGGGTCTACATGTGAGAATTGTGAGCGAGGGCAAATCGTGTTGCGTTCACGAAGGCGAAGTATCGAACCCAAGATATTCTATGGGACAATCGGGTCAGCGAATGTGGTGGTCAAGGACCCAGTGGTTCGTGACCAACTGAAGAAGGATATGGGAATCATTTGTCTCGAAATGGAAGCAGCTGGGTTGATGGATGCTTTTCCTTGCCTGGTCGTTCGGGGGGTCTGCGACTACGCTGACTCGCATAAGAATAAACGATGGCAACCATACGCAGCGACCACGGCAGCAGCATATATGAAGGAACTGCTGATGATCATCCCTGCTCAGCAGGTAAAGGAAACAGTGAATGCGCGGGAGTGCACAAAAGCTGGTGAGTTCAGACCTCGGCTCTTTTCATATAATGAGAGTTAGTTCAACTTACAAATGACTACTAGTTCTTGATGCTTTTTTGGGCGCTGTCGAAGAACCTATCCGCACGACCGAGGTCAAGGTGCGGCAAATTCATAAAAGTCAGGAAGGTGAGCTGGACTGAGCCTGCAAAAATTGACATATTGCGGACCACCGGTCTCATTATCTTCTCAGAGAACCGCGAATCCGAGATCCTTTCGTGGGTCTCAGAAACACCATACGAAAAGCATTTCAAAACTGCCAAAGATGGATTGCTTGCAGATTCAGGCCGTTGGCTGTTCGAAAAGCCGGGGTTTGCAAAGTGGCTGCAGTCTAATCAGTCTGAACTGTTTTGGTTGCGTGGAAAGCGTAAGTATTGCCATAATCTTCTATTCAATCGAAGCACTGCTAATAAACACCCAGCCGGATCGGGAAAGACCAAGCTCTGGTAGGCAGGACATATCCCCGCTACAAAGAACTCAAGCTAAGGCCCAATAGTGCAATGGTAGTAGATACATTGATCAAACAAGACGCAAACGTGATCTACTTCTTCTGCAGTCGCACCTTAAATAGCCCAGATCGCCAGGATCCAAAGTCTATTCTTCGATCACTACTCCACCAATTATCATCAAAGCCTCAAGACGGAATTCCAAAGTTACTTTGCGATGCATACGACAAAAGATACTCAACTGGAATGGCCAGGGACGGATTGGACTTTGATGAGTGCCGTGAGTTGATCGCTGTGCGTCTCAAGGACCATCCTAGCACCACGATTGTCATCGATGCGCTGGATGAATGCGACGAGCAAAAGAGGAGCATTCTATTGCAGTCTTTAAGACGCTTTGTGGATGACTCTAATACCAGTGTCCGAGTTATGATATCGAGTAGAGACGATCGTGATATTGTAGTCCGGCTCAAAGATCTGCCAAATTTCACGATCAACGAAAGTGTCACTCGGACAGATATAGAGCGATTTGTGGAGCAACAGGTCAAGCAGAGTGTTCAAACCAAAAACCTACTCTACGGTGAAGCCACATCCGAGCTAGAGAGCAAAATTATAGCTGAGCTGGTCGCCAAAGCGGGTGGAATGTGAGTCACAGAAGCATATACCTTGCTTTTATTCCGAATCACTAATGCCTTTCAAGGTTCCTCTGGGTTCGACTTCAAGTTCAACGTCTATGCCAAATGCAGACTGAGAACCAAGTGTTATCCCTTTTAGGACGCTTACCACCGACGCTAAGCGAGACATACGATCGAATCTATGAGAAAATTGAACAGAGCCCGAGTGCTCACGAGGCACATAAAGCTCTGGCGTGGCTGATGGGTGCCAGAGGGCCTCTTCGTCCCACTCAGTGGGCTTCTGGAACCTCATGGGCTGTTAACAAAACTCATGCTTTGGGAGATACAAAGCCAAGTCACCTCAGTGCTGAAACCCTGCTTGGTATGTGTCAGAACCTGGTCGTGTATGACGAACTACAGAATCAAATTGTCTACACCCATATTTCTGTTCTTGAATATCTTGAAAAGAAGCCGCAGTTCTCTAAGCTGTATCTTGATACACTGGTAGCTGAGACCTGTCTTCGATTCATGATTAATACACGGCTACCAAGGCCATCGGACCTGGAGTACGACTTTTATAAATATTCCGCACGACATTGGATCAGCCATGTCAAGGCCAGTGGTCGGTACGTTCCCTCCGAGCTGGATAACTTTCTGGGAAGATGGGAGGCACCTACAATGGCCTACCGCGAGTGGAAAGGTGCTGTTGAGCTCTTCGGGCGTCGCCATCGAGAGTACAACTACGCAGATGAGATTGCGACTCTGACGAACGGTTTGCTGCTAGCAGCGTATTACGGCATCCGACACACAGCTCTCTGGAACCATTCTCGATATGATCCCAATGCAACGGACGAGCGTGGAATGTCCCTGCTTGCTTTAGCCAGTCAGAACGGGCAGCAAAGAATTATAGAGCTGCTGGTGCGCAACGGGGCCACCGTAAACCCAGCTCGCAGGCCTATCGATCCAAGTACAGCAATGTGCGCTTTCAAGAAGCTCTATTCGTATGCAGGCCATTTTCATGTGGACGACTGCCACCCTTGTTTCTCGCCATTCAAAGTGGTCGTCCCGAGGCCGTTCAGACCCTGCTAGATTGCGGGGCGAAGTTTCACGATAGACCCGTGCTCGAAGTTGCTGCACGTTGTGGCCCCCCGAATGTACTTTTTCACATATTGGGGGGAGAACCTGGTTGTAAAATAACGACAAAGACTTTGGTAATGGCTGCGATGAATGAAACGCATCCCCAGATACTCCAGGCTTGTCTCAGAGCGTGCCGAAGTTCTTCTATCACCGGGGAAGTACTTGAAGCAATCTTTGATCATCGGAGTGATAGAATGGATATAGTGACGCGGCTTCTCGCCCCTCGAATTACTGCCAGTGTGCTTCAGGGGATCTGGCGTCGAAAAAGACTGGTAGTTCTCGGATGGCTACTGGAATTGGTACCGGGCCTACCTGTTAGTGAATATGTAATTGAGCAGCTGGCCCTGGATACTCCAATTCGCAACGACTGTGTGGTTGAAGTCTTGCGATCCCTTGTCCCTGGTGCTTCTATTACCTCTCAGACACTGGAAGCTGTATTCCGCGTGAAGCCTGGTGCTGTCAAGCTTCTGAAGGTTCTCTTGAACAGTAAGAGTTGCCGGACTTCAAGTACAGACGCAAAGCCAAAAAACGTCAATATGGAAATAGCCTCCTTGGAGCCACTGGTGGATCTTTTCAATGATAATATTGACATTTGCCTAACCGAGGAATTGATTCTCGCTGCCATGTCTAACCTTGAAGAGGCTCTCAGTCTCTTGGAGCTCCTGCTTTCGATAGACCCTTTCATTCCCATTACTGAGGAAGTTGTTGCAGCAGTTCCATTGAAGAAGAACATCATTGAAATGCTCTTGTCAAAGAGTCGGTACATAGCGACTGGAAACAAACGTAGCAGTAAGGTTTTGCTGCAGCTACAGGAGAAACTCCGCGCTATCGACTCATCGAAACCGCCTCTATCCGGACAAACGGGCTCCAGGAGCACAATTCCCGAGAAACCTATCCCCAAGAAGCCTCACTTTGCAGTCTTCGAGATTCGTGCCGCTGCCATGGCCGGTCAAGAGACTTGGTTCGGCCGCTGCTTTTCCTCGGCCATTCAGTACTATCTTCCCAACGAGCAATATGGGTCAATATTTCTGGCTGCAATCGAAGGAGGAGACCCTGGTATAATACAGCGATGCATTGAATATGGAGGTATATGGCCTGGAACCGACGAACATGGTTGGAATGCGGAACTCATGGCCTTTTACAAATGCAACAACAGTCTATTGTCGCAAATTAGAGCAGAATTTGGGTGGATACATACTTCTCCTTTGCTTGCGAGTGCATGGGCAGAGGACGGTGACTCTTCTCCAGCGCGATCTAATGGGAGAATCCTGAGACTTACTAGTAGTGGTACGTGCTCTTGTGATTGAGAGGATTTGTATACTCACAATTGTCTACAGAGCAAGATAAGTCTCGAAACTGGGTTCGGGCCAATCATCCCTTCATCCCAAGTGGCACAAGCTACTTCGAAGTTAAAATCAAGGAGCTCAAGGAGCCTGAATATAAGAATGAACAGTAACTGGCGCTCGTCCCTATTTAAGCTCTAAACTAACCGCTTTTAGGTGGATTCAAGAACGGGTGGAGATCGGCGTCATTGACGAGTTTCTACAATACAGGCCTGCATACTATTCCGATACTGGGTATGTGCACGACTTATTCCTCACGTGGGAAGTAGATTGCTTCAAGGAAGGGGACACCGTGGGTTATGGGATCGACTGGAAGAGGAAGCAACAGTTCGTCACTGTCAATGGAGTACGAGGTATGGAGTAGTACCAACAGACCCACCCACCCCCTCCCTTCCGGTGCTAATGTCCGAGTCATGTAGAAGATGTCCATATGTCCTTTGATCAGCTGCACGGGAGGCGACTATTTCCCTCTGTCCGTGTCTTCGAGATGTCTGGGAACTGTGAATTAGAGGCCAACTTTCAGGGCCCCTTTATGTATCACCTGCTGCAGGAGCATGGAGTTGGGTGGTAATGGATGAGCAGCGGTAGTTCAAGATTTATACGAGTTGTTGTCATGTAATGGCTTGGAATGCAAGGCCAGGCCTGTGCACAAATCTAGATCGGGGGTTCATCAGCTACGGAGTACAATCCGGGGAGTTTTCGGAATAATGCGCATTGACCATGGTGAAACTCAAGAGGCGGAGTTCCATCGCCTTGTTCTCCGTCATGCTATTATGCATTAAACCTTCAATCGAAGTGGTAGTTTTGCCTTTTGCCTGATGTCATCGCTGTCGATGTTGAATTTGGACCTCGTAAATCGTGTGAAGGTCATGCATACCCAATACTTTTAATCTCTCAAAATCAATTTGCTAAAGGTGGATTAAAATATGCTCCGGTCATAAAATTGTGCATTTGCCAAATGCGGAGCCGCACCATCGCATAAATCTTCCAACTGATCAATCAGAGAAGCACTTTCTTCAAGCCCTCGAAGAGAATGAATGTGGCAGGTGGACGCTATTGAATTTCAAGGTTAGTTCAAAAAAGAAGGCCCGCGGGGGAAGTTGCGCTCGGTCCGGGGGCTAACAAGCAAACCTAAATTAGTTGAGCTATAGCAAAAGGTTATTCAAACACCCCCTACGGAGGAGGCTGTTTTTACTATGCGATTTTTGTTGAATGGGCTATTTTTCTAAGTAAATATCTTACTTGAGGCTGAGTTCAGACTCGCTCATGCCCAACTGTGGAGTTTTAGCTTCCTCAATCACTTTTTTGGGTCCATTTTGCGTTTAAAATGACGAAGGTGGAGACCTTCCTTTTTGGCACGTACCGCCCCCAAGCCCGCTAACCAAAGTGACATTCTCTTTGGGTCAGCTTCTCTGCCAATCGGTGATCAGCTAACCAAGAATCAGCTTAGTTCCCATTCTCCCGGGAGGCCTATCGAGTTCTAGAGGAAGGGGGCGACATTTTGTCTCACCTACGGAGTACTGTCGGTGAAAGTGATGATGCAAGTACCGTTTTTGAGTGCGACGAGCCAACCTCTCCCCCCCCCCTGAACTCTATTTCGTCTATCGCCTCTCTTTAGGGAAGTCCGAAGCCCCAATGGCCCCTTTACAGTGCAGATGGGCTATTTTATCAAACACTCCCCTCTCTTTTGAACTCTTTTGTATTATCACCTCCTATCAATAGGAGAGACAATGCCGTCTTGCTTCTCGGCCACGCGATTTTCTTCAATCATGGCTGGCGCAAAGCAAACACCACTGTGAGATCGCGACCGATCGAATCGAATCCCCGACTGGATCCATCCCAAGAAGAAGTTCACGAACGACTTGGTTTTTGTTTGACCTTTCCACCCGCTGGCGGGGTAATCGACCATCATGGCAGGCGAAACGGGACCGATCACTGTGTCGCGGGCGATAGCAATGGTCATTGCGGGATTATTCGCTTTGGCTTTATTTAACGTCCTCGAGATCATGATTTCGACTTTGACGACATTCAGGCGGCGTCGAGGATTATATTTTTGGAGCATGGTAATAGCTACATTGGGAACTCTTCTCCATGCCATCACTGGCTTTCTTCGCTACTTTGCCCTCGCCCCAAACTTCCCCATGTGTGTTTTGATTTGCATCGGATGGTGGGCCATGGTTACTGGCCAATCTGTCGTGCTATATTCAAGACTTCATCTCGTGACTAGTCACGCCAATTATCCTCGATTCGTGTTATACATGATCATCTTCAATGCCTTCGCTATGCACATACCGACCACAGTTCTTTTTCTCGGCAGCAACCATGGCCTCGATTATTTAATTGCGCCCTTCAATATCTACGAGCGCATCCAATTGATGGTGTTCTCCGTTCAAGAGACGATAATCAGCGCTCTCTACATCTGGGAAACCCTTACCACCCTCCGACCTATCCTGATGCTCAAGGGAGAGCGCGGCCAAAGAGTCGTCATCAGTGTCATTCTGATCAACGCGATCGCTATTCTTCTTGACGTCGCCCTCTTAGCGACCGAATTCACCAACAATTTCTCTATTCAAACCTCCCTCAAACCTTTAGCCTACAGCCTCAAACTAAAGATGGAATTCACCGTGCTGAACAGCCTCGTTGCCGTCATCAACACAAACCCTTCAACCATCCAAGAAATTCAGCAATCCCACACAGAGGATTTTCATATTCAACCAAGATGGAGTGCCGATAACACCCCACCCATCATGTCTAGCACTGACTCCGATATATTTGATCACCGGAGACGATCTCTCAAACCACAACCTGATCGACAGGATTCTCGAACATCTGATTATCCCATGCTCTCGGTCAAATCGGCTGTATCATAATTTGTACATATTTTTTTCATTCTGTCAGTCCATATAGACTCATTTGTGGAATTCAAAACTATAAACTATATGACTTAATAATAGAACGTCATATCGCTTGAACCAGGTGGTGTTTAGTACAGCGCAAGGTGTGTAGTTTCATTCACCGGGTAGCGTTGACCCGGAACGTACGAGAATGGCTGTGAATATTTAGATTTCAACCGCTCATCCCACACTGCTGGTGTTTGATGCCAGTTCGTACGTCCAGGATGAGTAGGTATTGTACAGGGAAAAGAAATGGTAAAATTGAGGAACCAATAGGGGTAAAGATCAATTAAGGTTACGCACAGGAACAGCTCTGATTAGTGCATATGCAGGTGGTCCAGGTGGTCCAGGTGGTCAGCCGCGTCAAAATGCCCATTGCGCAGCCAGAGAAAGTCTTGTATGAATGCAGCACACAAGTACGATCAACAAATTGAAACTCGAATTTTTGAAGACTCTTCATTTGAATTTGAAACGCTGAATAGCTCATGTCAGAACATAGAGTCTCTGTAGAAAACAGGGAAGCAAGCTGCGGGGCCTATCGCTGTTGATTTGGGCAAGGAGCAAACCATATTTCGTATATTGTAGGTTCTGAATGTTATTATATTTAAGACTAGATTGTGAGTAGTAAGCAGCAAAGAGATACACAAGGCTTCACCGATAGATAACATGAGATGAATCAAGACAAGGAAAATCCCTGGAGGCCTAGAATTCGCGCTATGGATGGAAGGGGGATAATAGCGGACCCCGATCTCATGAAAGGTTGGAACAAGACAATTTCAGTAGTCGGTACCCTCCCTGCTAATATGAACCATCTGCACATGAGCCCTAAGATTATCTTTCCGATTGAAAGACTTATTGCAGTGGGCATAGTTGCACTTGAAAGATCCACGGTCAACATGCTGCGTCAGAACGTGCCTCCGTAGTAATTCAACCCGCTCAAACCCTGTGGAATTTGAACAATTTCTCCACTCACATAAGAATGGACGATGGCTCCTATCTCTTCTATAATTTATCGGTATTAGCACCCACACCCGGGAAAAATTTCCCGATCTGTCTAACTCACCTTGAGTCGATGTCTGCGGGTTCACGGCGGTCGGAACGGGATGAGCCTGCGCCTTTAGGCTGTAGTTGATTAGGAACATTTGCAGAAAGAGGAAGCTCTACAGGCATAGTTCCGGGAGTGTAGTAATCAATCTCCATCTCAGACCCGTACGCATTGAAAGGATGCGTGGGTGTCAGACCAATATTGCCGGACCAGAGGTCCGTGTTAGGATTGAATTGGGGCTGGACAGAATTCTCGTGGGGGCTGAAATTATTCATGCCCTGTGCCAGTGAGGATGTGTGATTGGCAGGATGTGGCCTGCGCCTTAACGTATCCCCAGACATAGTGAGATATTCCTGGTGTCTATGGCGAGGTTGTGGAAACATCGACCCGTTTGCCGAGCGGATGTCTCGGCTTATGGGCATCGTGAATAAGCAAGGTCTGAGTGGTGTCCCTTTCGTGAACTTGAAGGTGAGTTATTAATAAAATAAACAGAATAGTATCACGGATCATATAAGGGAATATGGGTCAGTTATAACGAATGGCATAGTTCCCACAGGGAGTGTATTGTCATCAAAGAAGGTAGCGCGCGAAGCGTCAGGAATAGGAGGAGGTGGATCGGGCCGCGATCTTATAACTTGGTAAGAAAGAGAGTATACGTTTGGAACTTCCCTCGCGGAACGAAGTCGGGAATCTGACAGGGGGTATTTGATTTTCTTTACATGGGAGCAGTCCGCGCGAGGCGCCCGGACCAGACGGAGGAAGGCTGAATAGCGAATGAAGCACTGCCAGATGACCAAAGAACAGCACACAGCGCAATACAACGCATCAAGTGGCATATTTTGTTTGACCCTGATCGCGATTCGCCTCGGCTATGCATCTCACTCCCTCAATGCTGATGCCTACTCAAACACATGGCTGCTAGTGTCATAAAGCCAACCGGGTTCCCCTTGATTGTGATCGGTGGAGTTCAAGGAGCTTGAACACCCCGGTAGTTGCACATGGCCACAATTCACCTGTTTTGAGCCGCAGTACCTACTCGGCCTTGCCGATGTGGTTTGAGCGTCTGACATCCTGCGCATCCTGCGAGAATCTGGTTGGGTGCCTCGATAATATCTATGTCACTGGACGAATCATCCGCTTCATTTGTCAACGCCCCTGCGCGACCCCGCGCAGCCTTGCGGAGCAAAGACGCCCGACTCACGTTTGTTCACATAGCTTTAATCTCCAGGGCGCTTCTGGCGCTTTCCTCCGAAGTAAATTTCGATGTTAACCCAGCAATATGCGACCGGTCGGTGCCCATGATGTCAATATCGCGAGTGGTCATCCGTTGTGCAGCCAAGTTCCACGATGGGCTTATGTGATCGGTCAAGGGACGGCCCAAAGAGCCTAAGGTTGAATACCAACTATCAAGGATCTCTCGTAACTCTACGGAGTAGCCTGCGCGACTATAACAAGATAAGCAACCCCGCGACCTATGGTAGTGCTACGCACATCAACCTCAAGTTGGCGATAGCACAATCTAGTGTTAGGCAGAAACGTTTCCTAATCCCATATGCGTCCTAGCTACTACGAGCAGAGAGGATACAGTTCTATCATTAAACAATGCTTTTATCAAGGAATGAGACGAAGGAGCACGCAGGTCGTGATGGAATGACCCTACCCGAGATTATCTAGAACGACGAAACGAAAAAATGTGATTCGAGACCGATGCCTGAGTGGTAAGGCCCCAGAACTCGGATTCTTGGATATTGAGCCAAGCTCTGTGAACATTCAATGAAACAGCACTCTAGATACGAACTTTTAACACAAGGATTTGCTAGTAATCCTTTTTTGCACTGAAGTTAATTTGAAATTTGGCGTCCAAACCGGATGACCGCCGCCAATTTAGGAAACGCCACATGACGCATGCCGATTATTGTCACAACCTTGTCCCAAATTCGTTCGTGGTTTTGCGATCCGCAGTTCTATATCTATGTCAAATTACAATCCGCTTGCATGTAACCGACTGCTATTCTCGGTATTAAAAGAGATAATAGAATTGCGAATGGATCCTGACTAATTAGTAATCTTAGCCTACCTGCTTTGATAACGGTAGCGGTGAGTTTTCCCAACTAATGAGATCGATTGATGCTGAGGGAAATTAGGTAGTGGTTGTGGCGCAGATCGCAACCACAATTACTTTGAGCGGACTCTGCCAAAATCACTGGGTTGGTCGGAAATCATTCACAATAAGCCTGATGACGTCCCTATACGCCGTTCCATGCGCAACCACTTCGCGCATATTTATTGCGCCTTTGGTTCCGATGATGCCTTGCCTAGATGCGATACATCCGTTAATATGGGCACCCTGGTTATCAAGGAACGAAAGACTCCGTCTTTGCGAACCCAAACGTGGACTGGAAACGACTAGAACTACCAGTACGAGTCCCGAGTATAATAATGTGAGGTCTTGGACTTACAATGCAGATGCCTAAATGCCGCTGAAGATGAAGAGTATCTGAAACATACAGTACCTTTCCGGTCGCTTTAATTTTTGGTGGCATATATTATATCTCTGGTTAACAGCCTGCAATTTGCGGTACATTAGAGCTTTATCAGCGATACATAAGTAGTCATCATTACTATACGAGCTATGAACCATAAATCTGATCCATGCCCAGGATGGTGGCGATAGGAAGCCTGATGATCTCCCTGAGCTGATGATCATTTCGAATATATGGTTAGATTTCCGCAAACGGTTGTAGTCCTACTGGGCCTTGAATTGGGCTCTATCACGATAGAATGTTCCAGCCTCGTAACCGAGTCATGCATTTTTATTCAAATCTCTGCTTCCAGAGAACTCCGGGTTCTTTCATTTCATACCTGCTAGAAAACGCACTACTGTGACAGGATTGATTCTAGGTTTCTTGGCAGGGTGGAGAAGGCTTAAAAGAGTAAGCGATGCTTAAGTGCATCTGAACCGTTAATGATGGTGGGTTATCAGCCTTGAAATGTACTCTTAACTTCAAACCCCCCTAATAAATGCCCTTCAATCTATTTGCGGGTCGTTTGCCACACCTCTTTGATGGTAAATAGTGATTCTAGTTATCAACTGAAGCGGTTGATTCAAATCGAAGGAATAGGAAGATGTCGATACAGCCTACTGGGTAATGGCTAGCAATTGAAAATAGGTCTTAGAGTCTAAGTATGCGAACCTAACAGGTTCGAGGCCGGTCTCAGATAATCAAGATCAAGTTGTGCCAACTACGTCAATATAAGGTCTAGAAGGTCTAGAAGGTCTAGAGACGGATTATCCTCATATGATACTTGTCTACAGATCTATCGAAGTGTTCAAAAGAAAGATACTCGGAAATTGCGGAAGAAATGAATTCTATAGACGTCATGACATTAAGGTCAGAAATCAAATATAAAAGTGTGCGGATACGCACTCCATGTCTTTAATTGAGTCACTCAAGAATTCATTCATACAATCATTCTACGTAATCATATTCCAACAAAATGTTCTTCGCCGCTGGACTTCTTCTCATTTCCCATTTGGTAGCTGTGTCGCTAGCAGACTGCTGTGATGCGCATTTCGACTTCACCGATGGCAAATGGATTTGCGCAGATGGTACTGTGGCTACTCCTGCTGTGGAAAAGGCCCATGTAATGCCTTCTGCTGCGATTGCGGTATGTTTTATTCTGGTCTGTTTAACGGGTTCTAGAGATAGAATCCTAACCTTATTCACAAATAGATTGTCGATATCCGAGCTCCAGGAAGCGAGACCTACCATATTTAATGGAGCGGGCTGATAATATTGACTCTCTGTTCAAGTCTGTCGACGCCGATGGTTCTGGAGACGTGGATTTGGGAGAGTATATTGCATGGCTGAATGATAATGTGGGCCAGGATCATCCAGTATCGCCCAGCTTTTATCAAACCTATATCGACTATTTTTATTCGTGAGTATATATATGTACGAGTCTGCAATGATGGCGTTACTAATAGGTGCAGATTTGATACGAATGGGAATAAAAAGCTTGATCTAGGTGAGGCTCAGGGTGCAACATAAAATGTTGCCAGTAGTACGTCAGTAGTACGTCAAAATTGGTTATGGGTATTGAGTTAGGATTTTGTTGGGAACTCACAGTCAAGACAAATTTGATCCACTAGGCAGTCCTGGGAAAAATTGAATTTTTGTTTAGTCGGCAGTAGGTAGTAATAACAATATTTTCTTTTTGCCCATTCGTCTATCCCGTTATTCTCTTTCATCACGAGTTGCCCGCTGCTAAGATCGGCGCTGCATATATCGCGGCTCATCTTAACCAGGAGAACATACGACGGGCCTTGCACATTGGGCCCTTAGCTAGAACCTAATAAAATGGAATGTCTTGAGTTCTCCAAAAGATCTTCGATCGGATTGAGGTTGTGCGAGTATGGGGGAAGGTTACTCCGGCATCCTGATGCTCGATGAACGGGACCGCCCTATCCCAGCCCAGGTACTTGCGCGGAGTACAGAGGAGTACGGAGTCTATGCATTGAGAGCCAAGCCTCGATGCAGGTTGACTTGTTGAGAAGAAAAAAAATGAACCTGAAAAATCTTTATTAGGAAAGACCCATCACAGACCAAGGAAAACATCACCCTGCAGCTTGCGTTTTTACTTCATTTTTTATAAAAACAGCGGGATGTTCCAGCGGCAAGAAAGTGAACCGTGGACTTGTGACGACGTAATGGAGGAAAATCCGCGGTGTGAACCGTTTAGGGACCATCGTGAAGGGGGTCAAGTATTGAAAGCTTGGAGCATTTGCGGCAGAGCTTCCATGAAGATCTCCCCATCTTTCATCAATCGAATTCCTGCCTACTCAATTGCGAATGGCTTGATTCGTGCCTTGTGAAAGATTTGACTTGTCTGCACAATATCGACTAAGTTCTGCGAGAGACGACCGGCAGGATTCTTCAGCTGTAAAGTGGCTTCTAGCTACGTAGTCGCCATATTCTGCAACTGTAAAGAGCTCAGGTACGACGAAGCTTCCAGACTCCAGATAAATCTTTTTTTGATGCGACTATGATAACAATTTCTTGAATATAAAATGTGAAATCCTTGAATAAAACCTTGAACATGGGCAAGGGATGGGTGACAAAGTGATTCATGTATCACTAACAAAGTCAAGAAGAGAAAAACAAGAATGATGACAGGAATGACAGGAAGAAGTATAAGCAAGGCCAAGAAGAAGAAGAAGGAGGAGGAGGAGGAGGAGGATGAGGAGGAGAAGGAGAAGGACAAGCAAGGCCGGGAATGCTGGGAGCCTGGGGCTCCCAAAGCCTTGGTCATCCCGCACCACACCACATAGTAACTACTAGATAGAACCCGGCACCCTAGATAGCTTTATCTGATAATCTATCCATTGCTCTATTCCGTTCCTCCCATGGTACCACGTGTAGTTTGCCAGCAGAGAATGAGAAGAAGAACGTGGAGACGGCGAGGGAAACAAAAAGAGAGTCCACACCAGGGATCGTGGTCCGTTAAAAGTCAACTCAGGTCCTCCGATCCGGATTAAATTGGCATCTCGGCTTGTGAACATTTCGATTGTCTCTTCTGTTGAATGGAATCTTGCAAAAAGGGCACAAAAATGACCTGGGAGACACATGAAGTGTATCAACATGTCGTCGTAGACTTTCCACTCCGCGAAAGCCACGATCATGATTATTATCGCATCCGATCCATAGACAGTTCCGAATATCGTGTTCGCAAATTTGGCTATTTCTAAATTGATGGTCAACTCTGGAAACAAGACACAATGAGGAAAAAGAACCTTCGAAGATTGCATACCCGACATTTGGAGTGTTCATGTCGACAGCTGGGGTAGGGAGAGAACTATTTTCTTGCGCTGATTGCTGAAAATTGGAGCGCATCTCGGGACTTCCATGGGGGACATGTAGTGGAGGTATTTCGGTTTCGAGAGCCGCCAGCCAGTTCAACCTTGGGAAGTCATTGCCATTTGCGATAGCCAGCATCTCTGCGATACCAATGGCTGGCCACAGGGACGGGTTGCTCCCATAGCACACTGACATTGACTGCACGAACGAATTCCACGGAAAGTTGACCTCGTTCTGAGCATTGGTCTGCTCTGTAGAGGCAGCATGATGGGCGGTATACCCCTGGTCCATGGGAGAGAACGTCTGGCTACAGGACCCTGGAGTCCCATCTGCTGACATGATGGTGGGTTATCAGAGATACGAGAAGAAAAGATGAAAAGATGAAAAGTGATCCTATCAAGTTACAGAGTCCAGTGACATCTAGGTCCTTTTATACCGTCAGTGAGGCATTGATGCGGACCCTGAGCCCTAGGCGAAAGCCCTCCGAAATTCCTTGCTGTGTCACGCCCTGGATGTGATACTATCAGTACGCAAAATCCATCATATCTTCATTGCTGCACGCCGCTCTAACGACCATTTGATCAAATGTCACTTTTTCTATTCGTTGGTATTTACTACAAGTTATTAACTAGTAAAGCATGTAATAAAGAATAGCATCTCAACGACACTCTTGGTGTTAAGTGAGTTCCTTTCCGCAACATTGATCCTCTTTCCAACATAGATTTCGTCATGGTCGGAACTGAAACAGCCCGTAAAAAAGATTGGAAAGGAATGTGGATAGATCGCTCGCCGTACGCCATGCGGGTGAGAACCAATCAGCGACTCCCGATCCAATCATCCAATCCTCCCTTCATTCCGGACCCTAACTCCTGTCATAGTGAGAAAGCGTTCTTGAGATTTGATTGTATGCAAAATACTAGGCAGTCAGGTGTCAGCTAGAAGACTGGACCCCTAGCTTTGTTGTATCATACCATGAGGATGCAGGTTACCGGTTTTATATCAGTACTAGTAGTGCATCCAACGTCGGCACAAGAAAGCAGTAACTTAAATTAATACTAGGTATACAGCCCTCTCCCTTGACAGCAAATTCGTGATTTATTTAATTGCAAATTTAGGGTTTTTTCTCAGGGTGGAAAACGCAATTAAAACGACGCAGAGTTCTTGATTCGAATCCTTGATTGTCATGAAAAATGGGGAATATTTTCGTCCTTGAGTCTGCTCTCTTGGCGCGAGCCGTTGCAGTTGTCCAGGAGTGCACGGATGACAACAACCCCAGGTCACTGACTTGGAGTCGATTTATGATCCGTCCGTCACAGTCGATATACGCGCCGGCCTACGCTACTACTACCAATGTACCCTATTATATTGCCTTCTCAACTCGCAAGGGCGTAATTGCTCTGGGTTTACTCTATCTCGCTGTGTAGGCCCTGATTAAGACACTATGGAGCACCACTAGTACTGAAACCAAAAAAAAATAATGAGACATACATATGTAAATGCTCAGTACAAAGAAACAGGCTAGTAGAAAATGAACATTCCATCATAAAGCTATTCACCCTAACGGCGCATCGTAACGTTAATAGTACCCTCAACAACCTTAACACCAGGAACCTCTGCCTCAAAGATTCCCGTATCACCACCAGACCCAACCTCCAGCCAGCGTTTCAAGAGATCGTTGCTCTCCTTCGGCTTAACACTCGGTGCGACAGTACCAACAGTAACATGAGGAATGGCATTGGCACAGGGGAAATCCGACAGTTCAGAGCTCTCACCCTGATCATCGAAGGGCAGAATGCGCACCACGAAAGCCATGATTCTGGTATCCCATACCAGTCGCTCAAGACGGACACGGGCCAGGCCCAGCTTAGGTGGGTTTTGCATCGCATCCGCGACAGGGTGAGCGGTCAGCGTGTCGATATACTGCTTCGTATACCGGTTCCAGATGGCGTTTTGCTCGTCCTTGGATGCGCGGTGGATGAGGGTGACGTGGAAGGCGGGCTGGACACGGCGGCTGTTGACGAGCTGGCGGTAAAGGCGGGCGACTTCGGGGGTGGAGGATGTGAAGAGGGAGTGGAGAGTGGAGGTGACTTCACTGGTTGGAATGGCGATGTTGAAGAATTCAATTTTCCGGGCCAGTAGGGGTGGCTCGAGGCGTGTTGGCCCGGATTGGACTGTTGGCGAGCCATTCTTTTGCTTTGGGCCCTTGGCTCCCTTTGTCGAGTAACCGGCGCTGAGATCAACCTTCACCTCGTACTTATTAATGGCCTTTTCGATGGCGGCGTCAAGGTCCTCTGCGGATGGGATTTCAGGGACGAGGATGGGGTAGGCGTCATGCATGGCTCGGACGATGGTCTCGAGGTTCTCGCGAGAAGAGCCGCATACGTCGAGGTCAATGACGAGATCGAATAATTCATCGGGGTGTCGATTGGTGTTGATACCCTCGAAGCGGGACAAGAAGCCATCCATAATTCCGATGATCTCGTGAGAATCCTTCGTGCCTGCGCGAATGGTCTGGTGGTTGTCTCCACGATCCAAAATGCGCTTTCGAGTTACCTCCTTGATCGAAGGAAGTAGGTCACCCTTCGGCTCATGAACGTAATGCAAAGCAACGAACTTGGCATCTCGAAGGACCGGACGAACATCGTTGAACAACTGCTCTCGCTCGCGTCGTTGGTGGGTGTTGCGGTCGGCAATGACAACGGGGGCTGTGCTTAGTTCATTTGTGATTTGGAAGGCGAATTGCTTTGGCTTATTCTTCTGTTTGGGGATGTTGTCGTTCTGAACGTGGCCCCATCCGAAAAGGTGTACCAGAGCCAAAGCAACAGTAGTCTTTCCACATCCTAGAGATGCGATTGGTGCGAGGATGACGTTCTTGGAAACATTCTTGCCCTGGCCCTCTTGCTCTTCCATGGCGATGATCTCCGATCCATTCAAGCCACGTTCCTTCAGGAATGCTTCTCGCAGAGAGATAATACCGTGGTTGTAATTGTATTCCCGCGCAAGAGTCTTGTCTTCCATGAACCTCCTCCGGGCAAATTGAAGGTACTCCTCGGTGATCTTCTCGTGCTTTCTGATCTTCGGGAGTCGTCCGCCAATGACGGCCTTGGTGCATTCACGCCATTGGCGGTACATCAGATAAGGTTCTTCAAACTTATACTTGAAGAACCAATCACGGTAGTCATGACCGTCCTTGGCCATTTGGCATCTCACGACGAAACCTTCGGTCTCACGACCATCCCAGGTTCCGGTCTCCGCACACCCATCAAGGAAGCTCTTGACGGACTCGATGTCGTCGCGAACTTCAAACTTGGCCTTCTTGAAGCCCCAGGCATCAGCGAAATCATTAACTTTTTGGCTGGACTGCGTGGCGAATTCGTTGAGATTGTAGTTGAGGCCGTGCAGGTAGATACCAGACGATGCTTCATCGTAGGCCAGGACATGCTCTTCGAAGGAGTCGTCGCAAAGCTCACCGACCGCGGTGACATTCATTTCACGGAGTGTCCTCGCGAGATCTTTTGTGCTTTTGCCAACAGACGCGACATGCTTCTCGACCCATTTTTCACCGGCTTGTGCGTGGCTGATTTCTGTGTCGTGACGGACTCCGGTGGAGTGCTTGCTGCAGACCAACAACTTTCCATCCTCCATTCCGGAAATGAATATGATACACCCATTCTCCTTCACACTGAGTTCATAGGGCCCTCGTGTATTGTGCTCGATATTCCTCCATTGTGTGTCATTTGTCTCGCCGACATTGAAGAACTTGTCGTAGCCGCGCACGGCGATCTCGGGGTTATTGTTCTTCAATCGCGTGGTGAAGAGGCCACGGGCATATGTGGGAAGGCCATCGCGCTTGTAGTCCCAGTCCATAAACTTCCAAGAGTCAACAGTGACATGGTTGGTCCCGGCAACCTCGAATGTGTTCTTCTTGCATGTGAAAGCTCGTCGTTTTTCGCTCTTGTTTTGCTTCCGCGCCTCCTCCAGGTCTCTCACCAGCTGCGCAATTTGCTGTGGATTTTGGTCGTATTTCCCCATGATTTAGGATTTAAATTGTTCGTCTGCTTGCTGGAGGTTGTGGGTCGAAATTTATAGGATAGAGGGGCAGCGAAGGTGGGGCGTAGGTGAAGAGATGAAAGAGAGAGTCGCAAGGAGCGTAGGTCGTGGAGGGCTTGAAATGTCTCGGGTCCTTTGACAGGTATCGTTAATTTGTAGTCAGAAGTTGGCAGTAAGCCACGCTTATTGGTCTTGAATCATCGTCAGAGTCAATAAGAGTCACACAGGTCTGTACGAGGTTAAGAGTCAGAGAGGACGGCGGGGAGCAAAAAGGGAAAGGTCCAGCCTTATCTTATCGCTGCCTGAGGTGGGAGTTGCCGCAATGAAAAAAGTTACCATCTCCACCTCCACCTCCACCCGTCTTCAAGGTCAAAACGATCCCTCATACCTCTCGGTGACTCAGACATTATGGCCCAGCCCAATCCCTACCTTCTGGCTTGCGACAATCCCGCCGCCCTCATCGAACTCCTCCGCTCCAACCCCACAATCGCATCCGGTCAGGACGAACATGGCTATTCCCTACTCCACGCCGCCGCCTCCTATGGTCATATTGATCTGCTCCGGGCTCTCGTGAAGGAGTTCAATGTTGATGTCAACCTTGTCGATGAAGATGGCGAAACTTGTCTGTTCGTCTGCGAGAACCCCAAGATCGCGCAATGCCTTGTGGAGGAACTGAGTGTGGACATCAACAAGACCAACGACGAAGGCCAAAGGGCAGATGAGAAGCTGGAGGCCGATGACGAGTTTCCTCGTGTCGTCGACTACCTCCGTCAGGCCTTGGGACTCCCTGCCTCTGCCCCGGCCGACTCTGCTCCAGGCCCTCTGAACGCACCGGGGCCCATTCCTGGCAACATGCAAGTGAACGTTGGAACCATGTCAGAACAGGAGGCTAGTGCTGGAGAGACCGAGGTTGACCCCGAGTTCAAGCGACGCATCGATGAGCTCGCCGCTCGTGAGGATTTCCACAGTGAAGCTGCGCAAAACGAGTTGCGCGACTTAGTTCGTGATGCCCTCGGTAGCACTAGCATCGAGACTTTAGAGCGTGAGGTGCGAAGGAGGACCGACTAAGAGGCTTTTAATCAGCGTTGAGGATATTGTCCTCTTCTTTCCACCTCTACTCTGAAGTCCTATTATACCCACGCATCGACTTGATCACTCTGTGACAGGTACAGCAGAGCAATGCCATGAGTCGCCTTTGGTGACCTCGCATATCCTTGGTCCATTCACGGCCCCGTTTGCCTTCCTAAAGGCAGCTATTCCCACTGAGCATTATCACACCGGAGCCTTCCTCCGGGCCGATGTTGGGTGGATGTTGTATAGGTCCATAGACTGACATTAAACGATGAAACGAATTGAATATATGATACCGCATTGATGATGGCTACCATTCATAACCATGTATTTTCAGCTCTTTGCATTCATAGACAGTTTGTAAAACAATAGGCGGTACTACATAGTAGCTCTAAAGTGGTCTAAAGGTCCGGCCCACGCCGCAACCGCCAACCGCCAAGCTCCTCGGCGCATCTCCAACTTCCCTTCTCCAACCCCACACCATTCTCCTTCCAAGAGATCACCATGTCTCAATCGGCGTCGCCTTATCCCACCCAGGCTACCTTCTACTCGACACCGCCCATAATGAACCCATCTATCAACCCTGACACCCCTCCACCACCTCCGCCGAAGCCCAGTAGCCACGAAGCCAGTCGCGGAGGCACCCCGCAGAACATGTCCTCCATGCCAACACCTCAACCACCCCAACCACCCCGACCAGACTCCCAAGCAACTCCACAATACGCCTCATATACGCCGACATCGCTTCCTCCACCTCCCCCAATCGAAGAGGGCTGGCTCCCAGATCTCGTGAAGGACAAGAGGTAAGACCACGCCAAGCCGCCCCTTCAACAACCAACCTAACAGCAATGTCTCATCTCACAGCACGCTCGACCTCCAATCCATCCTAAAAGACCCATCCCTCATATCCGCCCTCTCAAGCCAACATACGTCCCATACAGCCCGCCAACAAAGCCTCGAATCTCTCATCCATCTGAACAAAGACCTCGCAACCCGCCTCCTAGCCATGCAAAAGCACGTCGAGGAACTCCGCGGCTCGACAGAAACAATGCTCCTTCAACACCAATCCCTCGAAGTATCCTGGCGCAAGAAGCAATCTGAAATGGACGCCGCCCTGGCGCCCTGGTCGCCCAAGGCCTTGTACCAACGTCTCGGCGCGTCGATCGCGGAACAGGAGGCTGTTTGCCAGGCTGTTGAAGAGAGCTTCCTTGACGAGGATCATCACGGTCGGCCCTCCGAGAAGGAGATTTCCGATTGGATCCGGCGTGTTCGGGGCGAAGGGTCGAAGTTGGCGGCGAGGAAAGAGGCTAAGGCGCGCTGGGACGAGGGGCGAGTTGGTGGGTGGAGGTGATTTGGTGTGTGCTGGTCTTGTCTTTGTTTAGATTTATACCCCGTCAGACTCGACTCGGAGCTCTAGATGACCATTTTACGATGAGATGTTGTCTATGAATATAAGCATTGTCATTTTGTGATCTTGTTCGAACTATATTTGCGATTTACTAATATAAGACTTGGAGTTATCATATGTTGAGTGGGGTATCATTGATGTTTTTTTCATAATGTACATGAGAGAGGGGAATTTCCAACATTTACTACTTTTGGTAGTTCGGTCGTTATAATAACGGATCAGTAGTTCCCAGGCAGAGTTTCACACCTTCGTAGGAACCAATGTACATCGCACTGCACACTATTGCTGCAATGCAGGTCAACTTAGAACCACGGAAGAAGCCCGGGATTCCTTCTTTGGCGAATATATCTTGAGCAACAGAGAGTGCACTTGGTCTCACCGTGACCCGTACGGAAGAATGGATTTCAACAGTTCCGAAGCCAACTTTATCCACGGGCGAACGGGATAATTTCATCTCATCCCCCAGAGCCAACCGCATCCGTGTTTTGACAACGTCGATGGGAACAAAGAACCAAGAAGAGCAGCCGCCAGCAATACCACCACATAAAACACTAGCTTCAATTTGTCCCATGGTAGTATCGGCGAGATGGCGCTGTTTTTCGTATAGCGATTCTTTGAAGGACTCGTACAAGCAAAAGGTCAGACAGACACTAGGAAGTTGACCAGCAACAAGCATCCAATATCCCGACCACAGTGCTGAAGGCTGCTTATAGAAGTTCTTCAGCATTCTTATAGAGGCAGGCGGACCTCCTTTTGGCAAACCTGCGGATTGTTGAGAAACTTGCGCATTTTGCTTCAATACCTCTGCGGGATTTAGAAATGCACAAGCAACAAGCTCAGCCACGGCGCTGCTAATACCATGAAATATCGACTTCGGAACTCCTGGGAAATATCCAGCGCGCTGTGCTCTTTCAAATGATGTTTTTGACACTTCGTATGTGGCGAAGAATGCGGCTGAGGAAGGGATGCCGGCAAATAGTGTTGGACCAAATCCCTGATAGAGACCGGTAAACAAAGCGCGTCTCAGTGACCCGTTGCTGTGCTTATACACTGTGCTGTAGTCTTTGCATTGCATTCGGGTTATCATCGTATCTAGTGGGTGGAAAACGACCTCGCTGCTCAGCGCGGCGATTGCTGCTGCCTGTTTGCCTTAGTTACGAGTTCGATCTTGAAGAGTGAGGTACATACTGTGATCACGTCGAGTCCATTGCCAGTCAACATTCTTCACCATTAACCTTCGACGCAGTATAAAGGAGCCTTGGAGGTATGGGATGAAAGTTTTGAAGTGTGTGTTATGTTATAAAATGCCCAGTTCAGTCGAGGTGGAATTTAGGGTTTACTCCTGGACTCGGCCTCCGCGGAACCCGACCTCGGCCCTAGTACTACCAAGTTCCACTCTATTGGATCGATTGGCTAGCCACACTTTCAATTCGCTTTCTTCTTTATTCCTTTGTTTTTTACATGCTTCATTGTTTTCGAGTGTTTTGACGAAACAATATGAGGCTGCCCCATTATCTCCGGCAAAGGCCTCGACAATATCTATTCTCTGGACAAAAGATTCTCGTGTCCTCCTTGTTCTAGTTCGATAATGCTCTGTTCAAGTTTATCCCGATGAATTTCCATTGTTTGAAATTGAAATCATTATCTCTGGTCGAAGAATTAAGTATTTCGACCGGTGGACTCGTGTCTATATAAACTGTACCCTGCCTCGACATTAGACTCGACATCACTAGCAGCATCGTCTTCTACAGCAACCACCCAACTAGGTGGCCATACTACTACTAGCATAGCTTATCATTACAGTCGCACCGTTTACAGCAGTACTTATATACAGCCTGATCATCCATCACTTTCATCATCATGATGGACCTCAGTTACGAAGAAGAACGACACGTCGTCGTCGGCGACATCGAATGTTTGTGCGAGATCCTCAACGCACCACGTGCTGACATCGAGGAGATCGCACAGCGTATGGAACAGATTGCCGAGGACATTGTCCTCATCCTCCTGCCTACAGGTAATAAACAGGGTTACAAGGCTTACGGTCCTCCCACCCACATCCCCGAGTGTTTTGAGGAGCGTTGCCGCATGCTATGTCTTCAGATTAAAGAGTACGCTATGGAGCTTCGTCACAGCCCCAACCTGGCATATCATATTTCATGGGCACTTTGGGGTATTATGTTTCTTGTTGCTACTCTTACCATTTGTAAATGCAACAGCTGCGATGAGTATGCGAAGGATAGTGAGGTCCGTGTGTATAAATACGCTCGCCAGTCTCTTCAGGCCCCGTACTACTTAACCCGCGGTCTAGGGCCGATCTACTATAAGATCCATACTAACTTCGAGGTGCTGAGGTTCCGTCCTTCGGATAGCGAGTGCCGTTGTCACCAGTGCAGTACTCGTAGCATTATCCGCTAAGGTTTCCTGCCACCTCCCCCTTTGATCTCATATATAATGTTCGCTTTAGTTGGTGGAAATAGGCTAGGTAGGGAAATCAATTCAAATCGATCTTTTTTTTCAGAAAAAGAAATAAAAAGAAATGTAGAGATGTAGAAATGCGTTCTTATTGTCATAAGCTCTTTCCAAGCGGAGCGATGGGATATGTTCCATTATATGACTCGGGGTAAACTTAAATAGCTTTGTTTGTTGATACCAGCCACTCCGAGTCCTTTAATCTATTTCAGGCGTGCTCCACGTGGCACTGGTCGGGATAAAGGTAAGGGATTTTGACTCGGATCTCCTCTCGCGTCGGGCGAATTCTGATACGTCGGGCGTGAACGGCCGGCTGCCTAAAGCCATCTCTCTCGGCTAGTAATCTGACAGCATTGCCTACCAGTTCAAGTTCCTGAACATATCTAGCAAAATTTCTCGGTGGGTTTATTGTCGCGCATCCAATAGCCCGGAGCTAGCAAAAAGTGGCATCGATCGCACCATCACGGTTAAATCTGAGCACATCCTGCCAGTGTCCCCTCCGACCGTGACCTTGAGGACCATCGGGTTTCTACTACCCTCAAGATGAAAGTCGAAATCCAACCTTACAACCCACAGTGGCCAATCAAATTCCGCGAGATAAAGAGCAAACTCCAACAAATCCTGGCTGATGTGTCGATTATTTCAATCGAGCACGTCGGAAGCACTTCAGTCCCATATCTCCGAGCTAAGCCTGTCATCGACATCGACATCATTATCCAACCGGCTTTCCTCTCAGCAGCACGGAGCGCTTTGAGTGATTCGGGGTACACCGATTGCGGGGAGATGAATGTCCCAGGGCGATTTGCCTTTCGAGAACCAGGATACGGAAGGTACGACGGCGCTCACGGCTTGGGTAGGAACGGCGAACTGCGACATAACACATATATCATTATTGAAGGCTGTCCCGCTTTGAGAAACCACCTCGATGCAAAACGAATCTTGCTTGAAGATGAGAACCTGCGCGAGGAATATTCTACGGCCAAATGTATGCTGGCAGAAGGAGATTTTGAGGATATCGGCCAGTATGCTTGTGCCAAAACGGAAATTCTCTGCAAGATTTTGCGGAAGGCTGGGTGGAGTGAAGAGGATTTGGAGGCTGTGATTCAAGCTAACACCTGAGCTGAATGGTGCCAAGATCCTTTCTTGTGCATTTTCATGCGATGCCAATATTTTCTAATCAGAGCGATTGGCATGTTCTTTGATGGAGATTGGTTCTCTAAATCACGTCTCTTTTATGGCCTCCGGGGCTTTCTTTTTCTATAGCCCCATTCTGGGAATTAAGTCTGGGGATACTTTTATGTACGCGAGTTGTGTGATGGTTACTTGTTGCATAATTCTTTTATCATGAATAATACTGCGGAACTCATCCAATGCAGATTTATGCGACTCGAAAAAGGGCTTTGTCTGGTAACAAAGGCCTTCTTTGACAAGAGCGTTATTCCAATGTCCGTCGAGGACAAAGGAAATCAATTGAAGATACTTGGAGGCTCATATCTTCAAGGGATATTATATAAGTCCCGAATCCCCTCCAAGCAAATACTAGTAACTTATCAGACTACCGGTTTTGCATCAATATTTACGATGGCGCCTCCCAAGAAGTCACAAATGCCTGTATCAGGCCAGGCCCCTAGAGGTGATTCCGAAAAGACTTATTCCGCGAAGGTGCTTTCAGATGTTGAAGAATGCTCTGAGCCTTCCTCTCCCACGCTTCCCGGTTCAATGGGAGATATTTACAAGATCCGACTGGGGCAAGCTATCAAAGAACTCCAGGGGCTAATTCAGCAAATCAGAATGCACGAAATCGATATCTCCGAAGTCGCGGAAAGCCTAGCTCGGTTTGCTGAAAAGCAAAATATCCTCCTTCAGACCGCGGGCGATGATGCATTTCTTGCTAAGTGTGGCAGTGTTACTGAATGTTTTTGCCGTGAGCTCATGAAGCTAATGGTCAGAATCAAAGCATTAAGTCATATACTGTCGCTAAATGCTGACAGACCCCATGTCGAGATTGTTCCAGTAATGCTAGAGCGCGTCCGTCTTGACATGATCGACTTGAAATTGGTAAGGTTTCTTAATACCAAGAAGACAGGACGAGAGATATGTGCCACCAGCACAGGAAATGAGGCTTTATAAGAGCTAGAGGAAAGTCTATTCGAAAGATATCCAATTGCTAGACAATGTTTTGACGCCATTGAGTCGCCTGAGGTCAGTAAGAGTAAAGATCTAAAATGCTCGTGCTGGAAATGCATCCTACGGTACGTTGACATCCAGCTTTCTTAGTCAAATGGTCGCCTTATTCTAACTCCAATTTAAATTAGAATGATTCCATATTGCCCCTATGGACCTTTTGTCTTGCATCGCTAACAATCATCCCCTGTCGAGAAATGGAGAGTTTAGTTTTGAATGCCCCTCAATTTAAGTAGTTTAACGCATTTCGGTCAATAGTTGCTGTTCTAAAATAGGAGTGATAATATCCCTACAAACCTGCTGTTGCCTTGCTCAAAAGATAGGTATTAAATAAAATTGTATTTTCGATCTCTTGTGCTATTGTGGTAGCCACTGCCCTATCTCTTAAAAAACGTCCTGGTAGCCTTACGCGATAGAATTTGTTCTAGGAGCGGATCTTTCCACGTAAAAGGTCCGTCCGCTTTGTTAAGCTCCCTTATTCCTACATTTTGGCCCTATAATAAATAGCCCGGTTTGACACCATTTGGCGTGTCATGTAACGTCTTCTGCATCATATCTCACGTCATCACCCAACCCCTCATAGACATGGAGTCACGCAATCTTTAAAAGAAACTAAAAGGTTCCGATATTTTGAAGAAACAATTTGGATAATTTAGGTCAAACCCAGTTCTCACATTGACCTGCCTCCTAAGAATGGCGGCGTCCCAACAAACGACAGGGGCCTTCAGCGCCGAAAAGCTAGACGCAGTGAGAAAGCGATATACAGAAGAGGCAAATAAACGTCTCCAGGCCGAGCGACTTACGCATTTTATTCAATTGACGCAGACGGACGAGAAACGTCTGCGGGAGCTTGTGGAAGATCCGTGGGCCGATCACGATGCCTTGAACCGAAAGGAATCACCAATAAAGGAAAACGGTGTTTATAAGCACTTTGTCCTTGGGGCTGGTTTCGGGGGCATCCAGTATGCTGTTCGCCTTATAGAAGACGGGCTAGCCAGTGCTGATGAGATTCGACTCTTGGATGCTGCCGGTGGATTTGGCGGTACTTGGTACTGGAATCGCTTCCCTGGCCTCCACTGTGATGTGGAAAGTTATGTTTATTTGCCTTTGCTGGAGGAAACTGGCTATATTCCAAAGAAAAAGTATGCTCCTGGTCACGAAATTCGTGCGCATGCAGAACACATTGCTGCAAAGTGGAATCTGGAGAATAAGACGCTATTCCGAACCGATGTTGAAGAGATAGTGTGGAACGATCGGACCGAGTACTGGACTATAAGAGTAAAACAGAACCGCGGTCCATATCAACCTACAGTGAAAATCACTTTCAACGCTCACTATGTTTATCTTGCGGCTGGAGTCCTAACGAAACCTCAAATTCCCGACATCCCGGGGGTACTTTCTTTTTCCGGATCGATGTTCCACACTGCACGGTGGAACTATAAAGCCACCGGGGGTTCCCAGGAAGACCAGATACTGTCCAAACTAAACGGGAAGCGAGTCGCTGTTGTTGGTACTGCTGCAACAGCTATCGGGGTAATCCCTGAGGTCGCCAAGTACGCAGCTGAGCTGTATGTGGTTCAACGCACACCAGCATATGTCAAACGTCGAGACCAGCGCCCGACTGATCTGGGTGAATTTGAGACTAAAGTGGCACGAAAAATTGGATGGCAGTATGAGCGTCAAATAAATCTTAACAAATATCTCACGAACTCTGCGGCACCTGGAGAGGAGAATTTGGTTGGGGACGGCTGGACTGATATGCCGGCGTATTCAGCTGTCCTTGGATCTCCTGGTCACGGACTTGAGGATGCATCACCGGAAGCCTTGGTTGCGCATGTAGACAAATTTCATGCTTTGGATCTGCCGCATATGGAGGCCGTTCGTGCCAGGGTTGCAGATACTGTCAAGGATTCAGAGACGGCTGAAAAGCTCAAACCTTGGTTCCCATCATGGTGCAAACGACCAACCTTCAGTGATACCTATCTCGAAACCTTCAATCGACCAAATGTTCATTTGCTCGACACCGATGGCAAAGGTCCTTCGAAGATAACAAAAAGTGGTATTGTTGTAGGTGAGCAGGAATATCCGGTCGACATAATTATCTTCGGCACTGGGTATCAACCACCCAGCTCTGGGCTTGGAAGTCCTGCAGCCCGAACCAATGTCAAGATTTATGGTCGCTGTGGTGAATCATTGAATGACAAGTGGCTGTCTAATGGAGCTGCAACTTTCCACGGCTATGCAACACATGGATTCCCCAATCTATTTTTCACAGGGATGAATCAGGCCACCATAACGGGAAACAACGTTTTCATGCTTGGGCTTATTGCAGGCCATGTGGCCTATTCCATTTCTCAGGCTGAGCATCGAGTGGGACCAAACAAGCGAGCTATTGTTGAGGCAACAAAGGAGGCGGAGGAATATCACACTTCAGAAGTCCTCCGACGATCTGCATTTTATGCACCTTCGGTTGGATGCACCCCTGGCTACTTCAATGGCTATGGTGAAGGGAGCAGAATCACCAATTCCGAGGAGAAATTGAAGCGGGCGAGAGGAGTCCCATGGTCCGAGGGTACCGTGTCCTTCCTCGAGTATATACAGAGCTGGCGTAATGAAGGATCCCTCAAGGGTCTTTCCATTACTTCCGCTGCAGATCCCAAGGCTAAGCTTTAGGATACTTTGTGAATCTGTTCTCAAGAAACTGGACAGAATTAAATTGGAAGGCGTCCTATGAAAGCTAGCTTTCCGTAGATTGACTGCATAGTGGTAGTTCAGTTGATGAGAATCACAATCAACAGACTCTTGATTCCCGAGTGATCAATGTAAGAATTCTTCCTGGTTGACGAAGATGTTTGGGCACTTTGAAAATTTGTTGCTCGTCACTCCTCGCGCTCTCCTTTCTGATGTCGCCCACGCACAACCGTACTGAGATCACCGACTGGCAGTACAATAGGAAAGTCAACAGTCTCGAAAAGCTGGGCGGCGAATAGGTACCAGGCTGGGATACAAAGAACGAGGATGAATGCCCCGGCAGCCTATAGTTGATTCCATTTGGTCAGTACCTACAACATTACTTATTCACCAGTAATTTTGCAAAACTGCATACCTTTTGGAGCTTTGCAGCTTCAGCCATATGTCCTAGCGCAATCTGAAAAAAGACCCCAGCCAATAGAGAGAACCCGGAGACTATGGACAGCAATGCCACAAAAAAACAAACATTTGTGCGAATCGAGCAAATCAGATAGACGAACGAGATGGCCGCAAGAGTCATGTAATAAAACCCCAAGGTCGCGTGGTACTCGGCCGTGTGCATTCCCTCGAGAGAGTTTCCAGTTGGAGAGTAGTTCTGTCCAACTGCGTAGAAGGGCATGTTCATGGTACCTTGAACGACCCAGAATGCTCCTGTGGAATGATCAGCTATCAATCCCTCGGATAATGGTGTTCTCGTCTGTACTAACCGTAGGTGAAAAAGACCACGCATGGAAATGTGTTTCCAATGATCCATTCACCAATAGCGCCCAAGATCTGAACAAGGCCTCCGAAGAATATGTAGACAGGTCTGTTCAAGAGAAAGCGACGATCAGTATCTCTCTTGCGTCAAATGGTCCACAGGTGAAGACTTACAATACGGCACCACCATTTCCACCCGAGCCTCGCCAGCCCATCGTGATCATCGCACACGGTGTCGCAGCGACCAGGAACCCAAGAAGGCAAATCGGTGTCGGGTTGCCGAAAGTGCGGCGAAGATTTCCCGCAATCGGGGTTTTGGGGGTCAGGTAAAGCTTTTCGAAAACATCGCGGGGGATAGGCATTAGAACGTTCTCGGCAGTCTGGATACGACGCAGCATCTCAGCGGTAGAGTCTCCCCGCTGACTGACGATGTGTTCATCAGATGCCATCTTGGAGGCCATGGTTGGCTCAGCGAGTAGCCGTGGAGTAAACGTGCTGCGGCGCGAGAGAAAGAAAGAAACAATGGTATGAAGTTACCAAATCTTAGAAAGATGGACGAAGTTTGTGGAGAGAGCGAGTGTATTGTGGGTGGGTGAGAGTGAGAGTGAGAGTGAGAGTGAGAGTGGGAGTGAGGAAGAGAGAAAGAGAGAGAGGTGGTTGCGGCTCAGACATGCCCGAGGCCGAGTCAACAAACGCTTTCTCGGACTCGATGTCGGCTTGCAAGTTACTTCACCCCTTCCTACACAAGATCTTATAAGTAAATTGTCATTTTCATTTGCCATTGTCTTCCAGGGGACCCAACTCTGGAACCTGGAAGCCACTAACCTATCTTTTAACTTGTCTGCACTATCAAGGTGGCTATTCTCGTTTCTTACTAGAACATTTCAGCACATCTCCGAGTCCAGAACTTCCCATACCTGCTTATTAAAGCTTGTACGCTGGTTTTAAAAGCAAAAATATTAATAAAATACTCATAAGGGATTATATTACATCACTGTACAGGAAAAGGTAGCTGCTATGGCTGTTGATATGATACCACCGGCAACCTCCTTCGCAATAAACTTGGTGAACTCCTTCGTCCGTGTACTCGAAGACAGGCCAAGCTTCGATGAAAGCGATTGACTTGATTTAGTCACGTTGCTTGTGATGACTTGAATGCTCGAATAGTCGCTCAGAATATTCAGAACATGCCGTTCCGCGAGCGCGCTAGCTCGAATATGCACTACGCCATCGGCGAGGGCGATGAAGAACTCGTTCGAGCGATATGGATTTAAACAGACAAACTATTCACAGGTCAGATCCAGCTGTGTCCTCAATAAAGTGACCGAGTTCTGTACATACCACAACATCACCTTGGTTGGTGTTTTGAAGGATCTTCTCCAGCTCTGGGTAGTTGTGATCAACTGCCCAAGTGACAGCCCCATCGGCCCATAGAACAACATAGGCGTCATTCTGTCCGAGAGAGCAATGTTTTACCCGTTTTTTGCCCTTAAGAACTCTGCTTTCACTAATCCCCGTGTGTTTCCACTTCGCCTTTCCCGTCTCTGGAAGGAAAACAACAAAATCTCCGGGGTCGGGTCCAAATGCTACACGGCACTTCCTCTTTCCGTGTTCCTCGACGAACTCGTATAGTGCAGGGTAATCACGCTTGAGACCTCTGTTGTAACCTGTGAAATGCAAGATAAGTTAACCTATCACTCAAAGAGCTTGAGAAAGCGACTGTTAGGGGCGGGGTGCTTACCACCCTGTCCACGACCATCTCTATCCTCCCAGCACATGAAAAGCGTATCGTTGGCATTAGCCGCGAAAGAGTTCACTGTTTGGATGGGTCGTGTTTCTGTCCATTCGTAGTAGCTTTTCGGTAGTCTTTGCCTATTTAAAGAGTTAGTCGAAATGTACTATCGGAAACAGAGTCGTCCATCTGCGGAAACTTACTCGCAGGTATCTTTGGTGTGGTCCAGGAAGTATGTCCCTGGTTTCCCGAATGCAAAGAAGAGATCATAAACAGACATGATTGTTTATTGTGTATTGGAAAATTTCTCAAAGTTTCTTGGGCATACGTAGTTGAGTTAAGAGAATGGATGATGATCCACTCTGCAGGATCTCGGGCGGGAACAGAAGATATTAAGCTCAAAATTTTGCCTCATCGCCTTACCTTGACCCCGACGCTGCTGGTGGCTTCTCAGCTGTGGCTGGGTGGTTCAATTTGGGTTGCTAATACGCGCTAACGGCCTGTGGTTGCTGACTGCATGTTTAGCCTCGAAAAAGACCGATGTTTAATTGGTTGAGAATGCACCAGGGATCCCGGTCTTCCGCTAGTTTCGGGTTTTATGAGCAGACGGACTGCCAGAAACGCCTTGTTCGGATTGAAGTTCTTGCAAAACATGACCTCGCCGGGGTTATTCCCGTCAGCCACCTTTATGTCTCTTTCGTCGCCTGTGGGGGCTGTCAATGAGTGAGTGGCCTTCGCTCGCTTTGTCTCACTTATCCTACGTGGCTATGGTCTTGGCTTCATGGACCCCGGTGGTGGACCCCGGTCGGCTGAGCCTCATTTTGGCAATTCTCGCCTGACATCTTTCTTTTGAGATAGAAGGTCCTCCGAGACGAAAACCCCCACTGGCACGAATTCATTCTTGTTCAACATTCCAAGATTGGAAGCGCTACCAATAACTTGGAATACCCTAGCGGGCTCCGGGAACCTCGGGAAATAAGGTCCGCCTGGGTATAGGATGAATATAATGCCCAATGGAGTGGGTTCTCAAAGTGAACTTGAAAGTTGAATCATGGATATACTTCGTCTCCCTTCCAATCCCAACACTTGCCTCTTCCCCCATCAAAATCCGGCGACATTCCGATTAGGAATTTCAAAAGTCGCTCCGCTGAATCTGATGGCTCTAACATTTCTCTTCCCTTCCAAAAGTCCTTTGTAAAATCTGTTCGAACAGTCCCGGGATGTAGAGCAACAGCTAGAGCCTTTTTCCCTGACTTAGATCGCAGGTACAAGTCAAATGTCTTTGCCAGTTGAAATACCGAGGCCTTGCTCGCACGATAGGAGTACCAGCCACCGGAAGAATTATCAGAAATCGAGCCCACTCTTGCAGCCATCATCGCATAAACTGCATGGGATGGTAGCTCTAGTTGGCTTTCTCCTCCTGTTCCTGACGTGCTTGTACTTTGAAATTCAGGCGTAGACTTAGCCGGAAGAAATTGAGACAGGTGCTTCATGAGCAAAAGCGGACCCAGAGCATTCACCTGAAAGCTATCTAGTGCGCTTGCCGCATCGATTTGCGATGGCGATTTTTCAACATGAAGAATTCCCGGGACCGTCAATGCTAGACGAAGCGGTGTATCTGGATAATCCCTCCGGATTGCGTCTGCCATTGACGAAATCGTGGACTCGTCTGTAGCCATTAGAATTTGCCTTGTCCCACAGCCTTAAGAGAATGGAAAGCTATCCCAATTACCTTTCACGTCAACCTCAAACAAGCGTAGTCGCCTTTCCGCACTAGAAGGTACATTCTTGCCGGTAAGAATTCGGTCTCGGACTCCAGCACAGTCCTTGCGCGTTGTTGCGACGACTGGAAGCTCGGTTCTCGTGAGCAATTGCTGGGCGAATGCGAGGCCTAGCCCCCTCGAGGCTGGTGCTACCAGCGCAAAGCCATGGGAGCCCCCTGCCATTTTGTTGATAGAGTTTATCGAATGGTTGAGTAGATGAGTGCTGAAGGTTGCAATTCGCTCAAAAGAAGGAACACTCTTCCTCGATCGTGATGACGTCATATCATATGGCAAGGAAGTAAAGAATGTGTAACGTTGAACACAAAACTAAAATAAAATAGAAGCTTGATTCCGCCTCACTTTACTTACATGGGCATTCGGTGGTTCGTTTCACCGTCAGCAGGAAAAATAATATCAGACTTTGCATTAACTAGTTGACCCGAACACCCCCCCCCTTTCCATCGTCCGGTTCGGTCTATTAGAGAGGTATCCAACGTACCAGCTAAGGTAAATACTATTCAGGACGACTTCTTTACTATCATTCAATTTATATATAATTATATATCTATAGGAACTTGAATAAAGTAATCGCGTTAGCTTCAAAGTTTCCGAGAACTTCAAATGAGTCCTATCATCCCCTCCTAGGATTGACGGTCTCCTCTTCAAGCGGAATTGGCGTTTATGTGGGCATCATTCTTATAATTATGTATGATATAACAATTCTGAGGGCGCTATATCGGTTAGTTGTATCCTTTAAAATCGCAGAAATGACTTGTAGCCGATGCTTGGACATCAGCTCGGCGAAAAGTCTTTATACCGTTGCTGCTGCAAGAGCCCTTTGCCACTTACGTTACAATTTATTATAGGTTATCAATTAGAGTGTATTACGAGTCCACTAGCAACCAATAAGAAAATATCCTTTCATCATAGTAAAGGGCTTTCAAGTTGATTTGCCCAGGTGCCTGGAGTCAGTGCCCACGCTCGGTATAAATCTAGGTCACCGGCGGCCGTAGAGCGAATAGTAATGAATCAAGGAACACATGGGGACCAAACATCCAATCCGTTCTCAAATAAGGAATTCTTTTCTTTTTTCCTGTTTTATGTACTTTGTCTTCAGTGTCTATTTCTGTGGCGTGAAATCCATCAGTCTCTCCGCGTTGAATTTTGCCAATAACGATTAATCGTGTTATTTGGTTCAACTGAAAATGTCGTTCCCCTCAGCCTTGACAAGCTTGACTCAGAATCCACAATTACGACTGCTGAATGCACTTCGAGAAAATGCCAAGCCGATTATGACCTTCTTGGGCCTTCCATCGTTTCGAACAGCTCAGGTGGTTGCGTTGACTGGCGTCGATGTTAGTATCGACCTTTCATTTTACATAGTTCATAATTTAACTAATAGAAACAAGGGCATTATCATTGATTGTGAGCACGGCAATATCACTGATGATGGTATGCATAGCTCAACTGCCGCTATCGCTGCTCTGGGCGTGTCGCCGCTTGTCCGCCTCAGAATGACTCACTCGGATTTGATCAAAAGAGCTTTGGATGCCGGTGCACAGTAAGTAATACGAATTTTTGTTATTCCAATGCTAAATTATCTTAAGTGGCATTGTTGTCCCTCAAATAAATACTGCTGAAGAGGCAAAATTCGTTGTTCAGTGTTCAAAATTCCCTCCACAGGGACTTCGTGGGCAGGGCTCAGCATTCCCAGCAATCGCTCACGGCATCGATATTCCAACATACATGAAAACTGCGAACGAAACTATCATCACATGCGTTCAAATTGAATCTCAAGCCGGAGTCGAGAATGTTGACGTTATCTGTGCTGTACCCGGTGTTGGTTAGTAACAGAATACACACCCGCATGGATAACTTCGCTAACCTCGGTCAAGATATGATTTTTATCGGGCCAAATGACCTTGCTCTATCCATCCTTGGGTACGTCCCCGCAAAGGGTAACGAGCCTGAGTTTGTCAACGCTATCGAACAAATCGTGGCAGCTGCCAAAAGGCATGGCAAATGGGTCAGTCGATTATCGAATGACGGAGCATCTTGCAAAGAGCACTTGAAGATTTTTGATAGTGTGGCTATGAGCTATGATGTGCGAGCGCTTCAGAATTGGTATATCAGTGAGTTGCAGGTTGCACGCTCGTGATTCACTGTAAATAAGACAAGACATTCTCATCTGGAGTAAATAGCCAAGCCGCGGATGGTCAATGCCAGCATGGTAGCTTGGGCCCAATGAGAGGCAAGTTTCGTTTTAAAGATCACCACGATCTACATCGATCATATAAATGCTAAACCCGGAATGTTTGGCGTGTCGAGATACTCAGCTGCGTTGCTCTCCTTGTTCTTTCCCCATTAACGATCTGCATCGGTGACACTACTACTAGTAGTATCCCTGGACCATCTTGGTTGTCGAACTTGGTATAAGTTATATTGAAGTCCTAATTCAATCGTAAATATACATCTTCCTTCGCCTTTGGCCTAGAAAAAAAAAACAGGAAAAAAGGCAAAAGGGTAATCGAGGTAGGCCAAGCCTTTTCAAATAATACTACTCTTTCCCCCGAATCCAGCTTCTTTGCCTGAAAATGGGTTCAAATATGTTCTATCCCTTGCGCTGCAACGTGTGATAACCGAGCTTTTCCCTCGCCTCCGCAATTGAAGCACCCCCAGCGATCAATTCTCGAATCTCATCTTCACTCATTTCGATCTTTCGTGCGATCTCAGCAACCTCACGAGCTCGATCTCGCGGAACAATAACAACGCCATTTGCATCGGCAACGACAATATCGCGAGGCTGTACACGCACCTTTCCGATGCCAATTGACTCATTGACTCCCCCAACTTGAACACGATCTTTACCGGTTCGCATCCAACGTCCAGCCGTAAAGACCGGGTAGTTCTCGTCTATCGCGCGGTTCACATCCCGACATACTCCGTCAATAACTGTTCCAGCAATTCCACGTAGACCAGCATACTGGGTCATTATATCGCCCCAGACAGTGCAATCAGTGCGACCACCGTTGTCAATAACCACTACGTCACCAATAGCGACGTCGTCGATGAAGTCACCAACACTTCCTGGTGGGTTGCTGGCGGGAACGTAGCGAACTGTGAAGGCCGGTCCGACCGTAACTCCTTCGTAATTAGCCAGAGGCATGATGTTGTATGCCTGGCCGGGGATTCCGAGTTTATCAAGCGCATCTGAGACTCCGGGGGTATCTGACTTGGCGAAAAGAGCTGACAACTCTTGATCTTCGAGACTAGCATCCTTGGGGTTGCGATTGGGCGCTTTCGCGACGGGTATGGCGGATGCTGTCTTTTTATTCTGTTGAATGGCCTCGAATTTCGTGTCATGCATGACCTCAGACACGGGTTTGCCGGCCAGAACTTCCTTGACCATAAGGGCCTGACGATGGTCGATTCGCTCTCCCAAGTCCAAAACTTCTTCGATGCGCTCGGCTGGGACGAACACTGTTCCACATCTATCGGCAATCACATAGTCTCCTTCGCTGACCGTGACACCCCGGACCTGCAGAGACGAACCGGAGTTCAGTTGCACAATCCGATTACGTGCGCTAATCATGGTCACGCCTCGACCATAAACGGGATATCCGATGTCTCGACTACCGTCAATATCACGACTCATGCCATCGATGATTGTTCCACGGATTTTTCTCATTTGTGAGGCATTTGCGACTATGTCTCCCCAGCAGGATACCCCTTCTGTACCACCGGAGACAACGAGGATCCGGTCATCCGTTGTAACCGCATCTATAACTGGCGTGAGAAGATGCTTCGTGGGTGCGGTTTGTTTCTTGATGCCCACTTCCACTGTGCTGGCACGTCCAACAATCTTCGGGCAGTCCCAGAGGGGTCGTAGTCCGTATGTAGCGCCTTTGAGCTGGAGAAAATCCAAGGCGTCAGACACTGTATTGGTGTCAAGTGCTGAGAGTCGGTCCAAATGCTGGCTTGACTCATGGTGTCGGCTGTGGTGATCGGTAGGTAATGGAAACACCCGGGCAGTAATTTTTATTCAATGGCTTTCTTGGATTTGAAGAACTGTAGAGGCGAAAGACTCTACTCCGCCCTGGCTACTACCTATATGTAGGGTTCAGACAGGCGGGGTTGTCATTGCTCGAACCATGCGATTATGGTAGGGTAGGTAACGACAGTTGCACAAATGGCCCTAGAGATCGGGAATTATCCGGTATGCCGTTCACTCGCCTTTCCATGATTGTAGATCATGGAATCGGCGAAAAGGGAGTTTGCCGATGTTCAACCGAGCTTCCCCAACAACCAGTGAACTCTTTAGGCCTGCGGGAACACGCGATTACACCGATATTAGGGTAATCTCATACTTGAATAGTTTTATCAAAATTAAAAATTAACTCATCTCGGGCTTTCGAGATGTGACTAATTTTTGTTTGTAAATCCAAACGGTATATTGGTAACTCTCCGATATCTGCCGCTTTTTGACCCCAATGAAACACTCGGCAAAAATCTGAGATGGCTGATACTAAGCTTGAGCATAGGCTTCGCTGCGATTCACTGGACTTATGATCCTGGCTATATAATGTTCTCTCGACGTTTGACTGCTTCGAGGTACACTGACTTTCCAGGTCGCTTCCTCGGTACACGCATGAGACCTCATTCACGCCATCTCCAAAGAAGAACGCTCACTGTAGGAATTCCATCTCAGTCATTAAATTCCAAAATGGAAACACATTTGCTTGAACTTCCCATTCCTTCTGAGGATATTGCTTTCGGTTTAATGGGCGATTTCGAAGCAGACACTCATCCCAACAAAGTGTCTTTGATCGCAGGAACATATCGTGATGAAAATGGAAAGCCCTGGGTTTTGCCCAGCGTTGGAATGGTACGTCCACTAGGACTTTGAAGTTCAACCCCAGGGCCTAACGACCATTATAGGCAAAGGAGCGCCTTCGTGATGAAAATCACGAATATTTGGGAATAGCAGGCTCGCCAAAGTTCATCAACCTGGCAAAGGAACTTATCTTCGGGTCAGTTGCATCCGGCTTTGAAGATAACATTGGGTCAATCCAAACAGTGTCCGGTACAAGTGCAAACCACCTTGCTGCCACATTCTTGGCCGACCGACTTCGCCCAAACCGCGTTTTCATTCCATCGCCGACCTGGATCAATCACAAATCTATATGGGAGGCGACCGGGGTCACAGTTGCAGAATATCCGTACTACTCTTCCAGTACAAAACAAGTGGATATGGCTGGGATGATGGATACCTTGGATCAGGCCGAGCCCAACGACATTGTCGTTCTGCAAGCTTGCGCACACAACCCCACTGGTGTCGACCTGTCGCCGTCTCAGTGGCGGCAAATTGCCGATTTATGTCATCAAAGGATGCTATTTGTCGTCTTTGACAGTGCATACCAAGGTTTTGCGACTGGCGATGTTGACGGTGACGCGTGGGCGGTTCGTCATTTTACAGAAAAGGTTCTCGCGTTCGAAAACCATCCAGGCTTGTGCGTTGCACAGTCATTCTCGAAGAACTTTGGGCTGTATGGTGAGCGTGTCGGTGCTTTACACCTGGTCTTACCACGGAATGTTTCGGTACAGGGTGCGCGTGGTGAACTGATGGCAATTGTGCGAAGGGAATATTCCAATCCACCTCGATTTGGAGCAAGTATAGTTCAAAAGGTCCTGGGTGACCGTGGTTTGAGGGTACAATGGGAAGATGATTTGAACATCATGAGTTTACGGATTAAGAATATGAGACGGGAGTTGAGGCGCGGGCTGGAGAAAGAGACGCAGCAGGACTGGTCGCATGTGGAAACGCAGATTGGAATGTTCAGCTATACGGGCTTGACGAAGGAGCAGGTTTCTCGACTTCGACACGAGTTCCATATCTATTTGTTGCCGTCAGGCCGCATCAGTGTGTGTGGGTTGAATGAAGGTAATATCCAATACGTGGTCCACGCTATTAGCGAAATTACAAAAAGCTAGCTGCACACATGATGATCCTGAAGGTTTCACGGTTTGCAGTGCGACACGATGAGAAGAATGCTCTTTAAGTAATTACTTCAAATTGTCCTGCCTTTTGATTGAATTATCTACATATCCCCCTGATAACTTCGATAACTACTCCATATCTCTCACTTTACCTCAATATTTACTAGTTTCGTTCACTTATATTCTAAAACCTCCACTCTATCCAAGGCCTCTTGCCATATTCATAGGTATGCTGTAAGTTTGATCTGAGTATGCTGAACCGGTAGATTAACTAAAATATCGAAAGGTCGACAACTTTCCATTCCAACTGCCTATGATCAAATCTCTGGTTTAAATTATTTCTACTATTTGTTGGCATTCTGTGTCGGAATTTAAAAGATGCTACACATGCCTATTTTATGGGTTAATCGATTTGACAACAATGTCTCTTTTTAACTTCTTTGCTATGTTGATTGAACTTGGACTTCTTTCAAAAAATGACATATCCATTCATTCATCCCAGTTTCCTACTAGTTCTAGCCCTGCTCTATTCCAACTACCACCAACTAGAACTTCTCTCGGTGTTTTGGCTTCCCTTCGCTCCTCCGACCACCAACTACTCCGAGTCCGAGTCTTGAGGCTGCAGCCTCTCAGCCTCTCTCCGTGCTTTAGTTGCCTTTAGCTCCTCGTGTCTTTGCCAGAAACCTTGCCAGTTTCGTCTTCCTCGACTCAGAAACTCTGCGTATTTGAATGTTGTTTTGACCATGGGTATTATGAGACGAGAAATTGCGATGAACCTTTTTTGCCTTTCGAAGTCGAAACAATTCTCAATATCAAACCGTACGTAAGCCGAGTCTTCATTTTGAGGCCAGGCATACTTCCGCTTGATCTGTCTCGTTCCTCTTTCATGTGCCCCCAGAATAAAGTATGCAATCGCCCTACCGAGCGGAGAGCCCAAAAATGCATCATATTGCGGCGAAGCAGACTTCCAGGTGAGCAGCCCACTTTCCCGTCAGGGCCTTTCGCTAGCATCAAAATTGTCCAGGATACATGTCATTGTTTGTTGGCCCACTTTTACACGCACAAAGATGTGCTTCAAAGACTCGAGTGGATGGTCGCGCTCGTATACAGCCTGGATAACTTCAGACACATGAGGAGCCATGGATGTCTTCGATTTGTAGAGATTTTCAATGATTATCACACCTGGTCCAGTGTAACCCGCCCAGAGAAAATCATCTTTGTTCTGTCTAATCAGAATCGCTGCCAAGTAGTGTCTCCAACATATACTCAAATGATCTCTGTGGGTGCTCTATCGAGAAAATCTGCCTTCCTAGACAGAAAGGGATAAGACACAGGTTCACATTTAACCATTAGTGATTCATCTTCATCGATATTCTGAAAGGTAAGACTTGATCTGCCAGTGGGAATCCGAGAATCGGACACCTTGGTATTCTCAATCAATTTTCGCCATTTCTTCCCCGCCTTTCGGCGCTCGTGGTACGGGTTAGGTGGTTTACTTTCTTCAAATTCACCTTCAAACCCACCATCCGTGGTGAAAAGGCTCGTGTTAGCCGAACTTCTCTCGATGTGGTTCAAAAGTTGCGTGAAGAACCAACTCAAGCCTATCACAAATGGGGCGATTGATGATAAAAAATCGATGATTTCCATTTTGCCTCACTCTTCAGGTATACTATCTAGTCGCGATATTTCTGATGTGGGTTTCTTGGGTTTTTAAGCTGCTCTTCCTGGACAAAGAACAAAGAGACCGCAATCAAAACTTGGGTCGTACTACTTCTTTGTCTCGTACAAATTGAAAAATATCCCATTCTCCATTACCCAAGCAGTTTATCTTCAAGCTCCAAATAAAATGGGGATATGAATACTAAAGCACTTTTGTATTTGTTGTGGGGACTTTATGAAGAAGAACGAAAATCCACTCGCTTAATGAACGACGAAAATGCAGGCTGCTGATACAAACGTCAAATACGGTTTTTTAGGGAAGCTGGGCAGTCTTTTTCATTCAACCCTGTATAAAGTTCTGCCAACCCAGTCAAAATAAGATTCCCCCTTCACTTTCTGGGAAATATACGGTTATATCGGTGTAAGCCCCATTCCTGTGGGTAGTAGCAGTCAACCCGCGTTCAGAGTCTGCCTTGTCCGATGGGCTGATTACCTTCAGCAGCCGCCCGGGGCCCTAGCTGGCATCTAGGCCCCACTTTGACTTCAAACAGGTCAATTAATGACTGCCGTTTGTTTCTGACTCGGGCGTAAAGACAAGTAAGACGGCCAAACCTCGGGGCGGGCGAAGTACGATGCCTCTTCGCGATTTGCTTATAGGCAGAGCCAATTGTAACTTGGCGATCCGTAAGCCAGTTCGGCATCTTTTTGGCCCCAGTCAAGGCTCACCCACCCTCCACTGCAAGTTAAAGAGGACGAGTTCATATCAGAACTTGGACTTTTTGATAGTCTTGCGTTCTTCGGCCATACCACAAAGTCTTCTAAGCCCAGCTACCCTTCTACCTGGCTTTCCAGTCATAATTCAAACAAGAAAACCAAATAAATTCATCTATCGTTCTTCTCATTGCTTTCGTCGCCTTTACCACTGCAGAAAGTACAACCTCAATTTGGTTTTTCGGAAACGCATACCTCTGGAACTCTCATATTCCTCGCTATACAAGCGGCGCTGCCAGTGTTGCCGGCATCAACGCAGACGCTACAACATATCTCATCAGCTGTCTGAGTGATGCCCCAACTACTGACTGCCATATCAAGACCCCTTTCACCATGATCAGGGGTCCTGATACCTTCAGCTTCATCGGGGTCTATACTGCCGAACGGACAGGTGGATTGCAAATCACTGCCTCCAGAGACTTTGACTGCACTTTCACTGCTAGCTCTCTATCTGCGTCCTGCTCGTTCAGTTATTCGGCCACGGGCTCCGCCTCTGGCATAGAGTATGCAACCTCGACCTCGGCTACTACTTCCAATATCCCTTCGGAATCTGTCACCTCGTACAAATTGACTGTCATCGGTGGTGTCAATTCATTACATACATCTGCAGCTACCACAACTTCCAATGTAGCCGCTGGTCCTCTCCGACCGTTAATTACTGCTGCGCCTATTGGGGCAGCTGCTGTTGCTGTTGCGGGTTTATTTTGATTATTGTGGTAGAGACTTCATTGTTTTCGCATTCATTCCTGGTGTTAAACTACTGCGTATCGCGAAAAATAATTTCAAATCCGAGTGTAGACAAAAACTTTCTCAGGCCTTTTCCACCCATTCTTGGTCGGCTTTCAAACCTCTCGACGGCGCGGGTCTATAATCTAGAATCAGAAAAAGTAGGATCACTTAATCATCAGAAAACAACTCACGTATCTTCGTTGGATTCATCTAAAGGGCCTAGGGGCTTAGCAAGAAGAAACAAGGGGCGTTCGAAAATTCTGTTTATCTCTTCAAGGCTCATTCCAGCCGTTTCAGGGATAATGAAATAAGTGTAGATGAATGCAACCACACAGAACCCAACAAATAGGACGAAGGCGCCCCATTGATGAAGACTAGTAAGTAATGACGGGGTGGCTTTGGTTATAGCGAAGTAGAATAACCAATGGAAACATTGTGACAATGCGCCGCCAAACGAGCGAATTTTGTTAGGCCAGAGCTCTGCGCCAAAAAGATAAGGCAAGCTGTAAAGACCTACTGCCCATCCAAATGCATGAATATAGATGAACGCTAATGCTGCATCGGTTGAACCCTTGCTCATGCTATCGTGGTGGCTTTGGTATATTTTCAGATAGCCGGTCAAGTATGAGTGACAAACGATTTGGACCGAAATACCGATCATGAGCGACTTCCGGCGTCCAACGACGTCAATAAAGAACAGCGATGCAGCTAAGCAGCAAATCAATTTTGCAATAGTGTAAAGGCCAGTTGAGTAAACCTTAACATCTGAGCTTGTGATTCCGACCAGACCAAAAATTGTAGGCAGATAGTTGGTGATGGCATTAGCACCGGACATTTGTGCCAAGATGTAGACAAAAATAGTCAATTGCACCCGTCGTAGATTTGACTTTACCAAAAAGGTCTCTTTGATAATACTGACCTTGATGTTGTTTCCAAGGCCAGCCTCTCGATCTTCCATACTAGAGACCATCATCTGGAACTCGGTGTCCACACAACTCGAATCGCCTGGTGATCCACGAAGCTTGATCAACGCAGCAAGGCATTGTTCTTGTCTGTGATCAAGTAGCAGCCACCGAGGAGACTCCACGGTAATGAATGAGAGCGCAATGCTAATGGCGGGGGCTAAAGTCTGCGAGAACCAAGGAGTTTGATACTGTAGATCCTTCCCGGGCGCAACATGGATAGAGCAGCCGTAAACAATGAAAACGCCAAGTGATTGGCCAGCGAGCATGCATATATTAAACCACAAAGCCATAAGTCCCCGAACGGATTTGGGTGCAATCTCCGAGATTGCCATTGGACAAACAACTGAAAGAGCGCCAATTCCCAGACCGGCAATAATTCGACCAGTATAAAGAGCCCCGGCATTGCCTGAGGAGAAGCAAGATATGAGAGAACCGACAATATAAATGAGCTGATATATGCGAAGCGACATCAATCGACCAATTGCATCATTTAATAAGAACGATAGCAATGCCCCTACTCCGGCACCTAGGTTGACAAGGGAAACGATATTCGATATGGAGTTTTCCTCAAGTTCATACGTGTTTTGGAAAGATGGAAGCTGCGTAATGGCAGCGGCAGATCCTTCATCCCAGCCTAGACTCATAAGCTTCGAATTTCAAGACTAACTTGAAGGCAAGCCTACCTTTGGCACATCCCCCAAGGGCAAATGCAAATGCAGTCAGGAAAAGCCGCCAGTTGAATATCTCTCCTGGGGATTCTTTGATGGACTGGACATATTTTGCCAAGGAAGACCTTTGCTTTAGCATATCCGATGAATTGTGATATTCGCCTTGTTGGGTCATTTTTGCCTTTCAACATGCTGTATTTGATATGCACGTTACGTGGTTTTATGTGATGATGAGGCTACCCAGACCCCAGGCTCCCTGAATGTGGGGTACCCATCCTCACAATTCCATCGGATGCATCCGATTAGTGATGACAAGAGCAGATTTCTCCCAACGGCTCGCACCGAAATTTGGAAGTCTAATTTTTCGGAACAGCCGATTGTCTAACTTTCCATCTCTTCATTCGGGGACGTACGCATAGATGTCATTATTCGAATCTATCATTGTCGGCTGCATACCTATCCCGGTAATATGCTCGTGGAACAAAATATCTAAAGGAACGTTTTGTGCGCTGTGGAAATTTTAAGAATCTCTTCAAGTTTGTTTTATATAGTAGGTACTAATATGGCCCTAACATCTCAACCCATTAAAGTGCCAGTGGAATCAAGCCGTTATAATTCGGTGCACAAATCAAATACCGGCTCCCGAGGTCCAGCCTTGGAGTAGTAGGATACTTCAAAAGTTTCAGTTTGCAAGAAATATATATCATAGATATCAAAATAGCATATTACAATCTATATCACTGTTTTGCCATCATATTCAATGCACTTCCGGCCTTGAAGTACTCAATCTGTTCTAGAGTGAAGGTGTGGTTGAGATTAGTTTCCCATTCCCCATTGACCGACATTCTCAGAGGTTTACCCGGCTCTAGATTAGCGAGTCCCATAAGACTGATCTGATCCGGGGATCGAATGCGATCATAGTCGGCCTCATCCGCAAATGTCAAAGCAAGCATGCCCTGCTTTTTCAAGTTTGACTCGTGGATGCGAGCGAAAGATTTGGCGATGATAGCCTTGCCACCAAGGTATCGGGGCTGCAGTGCCGCATGTTCTCGTGAAGATCCCTCTCCATAATTGTGGTCAGCAATCACAACCCAAGGCTGGCCATGAGCTTTGTAATCTCTTGCAGTCCCAGGTACGTCACCGTCCTTCTGAGATATATGATTACGCACAGTATTGACCTTGTCGTTCTCAGCATTGATAGCCCCGATCAGAGTGTTGTTTGAAATATTCTCAAGGTGACCGCGGTATCGGAACCAAGGCCCAGCAGGAGTGATATGATCGGTGGTGCATTTTCCTTTGGTCTTGATCAAAATCAGACAGTCATTGAAGTCTTCTCCATTCCAGGGCTCAAATGGAGCTAGTCTTTGCAACCGTTCCGATGACTCTAGAATCTTGACTTCTACGCCACTTCTGTCAATGGGAGGGGCTTTGTATGCAGTATCGGAATCCAAATAGCCATTTTTGGGAAGGGTTTTGCCTGACGGATGTTGAAACCTGAATTCCTCACCAGATGGTGTTTTTAATGCATCGACAGTGGGGTCAAAATCTAGATCGGTTGAGAAGACCTTGGCGATCACAATTTCGGGCGATGCAAGGAATATATTCGTTTGAGGATTGGAATCCAAGCGACCAGAGAAGTTCCTATTGTAGGATGTGATGATTGAGTTGGAGGTGCCCTGCACATAATCAGCCACCGGCCTGGAGGAAGGAGATTTGGTTATGCTATGCAAACCTTGGGCATATCAACTCGATCCCACGATCCGCAACATGGACCACATGCATTTGGAAGCATTACTGCTCCCAATTTCTCAAACACTGGTAGAATTCCAGCATCATTCAACGTCTCACGCGTTTGGAGACTACCCGGTGAGATCAAAAGAGGCATCACCGGTTTCAGTCCCGCATCCAACGCTTGCTGCGCGAGGCTAGCGGCACGACCCATATCTTCAAAAGACGAGTTTGTGCAAGAGCCAATCAAGCCAGCCTTCAGATCCTCCGGCCACTTGTTTTTTTTCACGGCATCGCCAAATTGTGCCAGTGGAGTAGAAAGATCCGGCGTGAAGGGACCATTTATACGTGGCTCCAATGTCGACAAGTCAATTTCGATCACACGGTCATACTCCGCACCCAAATCTGCTTGCAGCTCCGGTGCAATTCTTTCAATCGCTGCAGCCATATCATGACGATGATTTGAACGTAGATAATCGACCATTTGTGGTGCATAGGGGAAGATAGACGTCGTAGCTCCTGTCTCGGCACCCATGTTGCAAACAGTAGCCATTCCAGTAGCTGATAGGGACTTCGCGCCATCACCAAAATATTCTATAATTGATCCAGTTCCTCCCTTGACTGATACCAATCCTGCTACCGCGTTGATAATGTCCTTCGGCGAGGTCCATCCAGAAAGCTTACCGGTCAGGCGAACACCGAGCACCTTAGGTGCCTGGAGCTCTAGAGGAAGACCAGCCATCACATCAACTGCATCGGCACCACCAACACCAATGGCAACCATACCTAATCCACCCGCATTTGGCGTGTGAGAATCTGTCCCAATCATCATCCCACCAGGAAATGCGTAATTTTCCAATACAATTTGATGAATGATTCCTGCGCCCGGTTTCCAGAATCCTATGTTATATTTCTGGCAGACAGTTTCCATGAACTCATATACTTCTCTATGAGTATTCAATGCTCGAGGTAGGTCCTCTTTTTCTCCGTCTCGGCTAACAATCAGATGGTCGCAATGAACCGTCGTGGGTACCGCGGCTGATTCCATTCCTGCGGACATAAATTGGATGAGGGCCATTTGGGCGGTCGCATCCTGGCAGGCTATGCGCAAAGGGCGTAACTTGAGCTGGGATGCGCCTCTTTCGACAGGTTCGTCAAAGCTGTCATCCAGGTGGCTGTACAGCACCTTCTCTGAGTACGTCAGAGGTCTCTTGAGCCTGAGGGAGAGTATGGTTGTTAGTTTTGATCGTTAACTTTGGATTCATTTCACTTGCCGATCCCTGAGCGATTGGACTTTGGAGGGGAATTGGCTCAAATTGATGGTCTGTGATTCAAGTCGACTCAATGGGACTCGGGCGAGAGAGGCGAAGCCTCGAACTAGACGGAGGTGGCCCAGTCGTGCCTTGAGCATGTTGATACAATTCTACCAGGCAGTGATGGGTTTGCACAAAATTTCAGTCTCCTCATGTTTATCTATTTGATCTCTAATCATCACAATCTGAATGGCCCTCTTTTGGATTTTCGGATGCATCCGCCGGCTAAGCCGATGAAATTCGCCGATCGGCACATGGGAGTGGGGATGAGGAGATGATAAGGGCATGGCCCCGACGGCGAGAGAACCAAGAGCAGAACGACCATCATTGATGATAACTAAGCGAAGGAGAGCGACGTTGCTGTATGTTTATCGGATGACTAGGGGAAAGGGAGGAGAGCGAGGCTGTCTAGACGGAAGGACGACACAACAATCTCAATGCCCGAGGCACCCATGCCTCAAAATCACCACGTCGCAAATTTTTGAGATGTAATTCACTAATTATATGCCATACTTGACTAGTTACTGCGTGGCCTGGGCGAACTTAAGTTAATATGTAACTCTTACCAGTAGTAGATTTTCTTGCCGTATCAAACTTGCAAGAATTTCATAGGCATTAAGGGCTTACATTGATGGAAGAAATTATCCGGGCTCTCACTGGAACGGCAAATTAGATGATGAGATTACTACAGCAAAGACTCTATTTGCATACTGATCTACAATCTAACTCTTCCAGTAAATGTTACCCTCTAATAGGCGACGCGCTGTTCGGAACACTGTTGCTGCAACCAGCTCGCCCTTATCAAATTGAGCTCCAACAAGCAAATTTCCACTTGCGTGGCCTATCGTGATACCTGCATCACTTATTTGATTCTTGCAGCTCTCAGCTTCAACCGTGCTGCCAGCGACCCGGGCGGCAGAAGAAATGGCTAGTGCAACAGTGATTGGCACAGCCTTGTGTGGCTGGCCAACAGAGATGGCCCGCACAAGTAAATCGACAGGTGCGGCCGGACTAGAGGATTCTGGCGCAGAAACCAAGCAAATCTTCGGAATACTTCCAGGGACGGACTCGGTTGACGTAGCGATGCCCATTTTGACTCCAGCTTGGCGCCGAATCGAATCAAGTCGGGTGAGAAGATCCGGGTGAGTCGTTATTTCCTCCGGCGTCAGGTCTCCTCGAACGCCGAATTGACTTGCTTGGACAAAAACGCATGGATTTGCAACATCAATGCAGGTAGTTGGGATACCGTCAAACTCGTCTATCGCATTGCCTGTTGGTAACATCTTTCCAGTTACTGAGCCGGCCGGATTCACGAAGTCTAATTGGATCAGAGAGGCTGTACCGGCAACACCATCAATTGTAAAATCTCCACAGGACGAAGCCTCCCCATCAACTACGGGGAAGGTCGCAGTGATTATTTTTCCAGTGTTGGTGTTATGAATGCGAACAACGGCCGAGTCTGAATTGTTTGGAGGGACAAGGTTTTGATCAATGGCAAATGGGCCGATGGCACTTATCATGTTTCCGCAGTTGCTGGAATAGTCAACATCGGTGCCCTTGACACTTAGCGACACGAAAGTGTAATCAACGTCGGCATCGGGGTGTGTAGATTCCCCCACGACACAGACTTTGGACAGGCTAGAAATACCTCCACCAAGACCGTCAAGCTGTCGTCCATATGGATCGGGACTACCGATGACACCGCGAAATATATCATCCCATTGAGGCCGCGGAGGGAGATGGGCCTTATTGAAGATCACAGCACGAGAGGTTCCGCCACGGTAGTAGGCTGCTGGGAGGCTGTGCTGTTTCGACACGTATCTCCTACTAGTGGCGCCATAGGTCGCTCGTTTTTGAAAATAAAACTTGAACATTGTGAAAATTGCAGCAAGGAGTAAATCCAAGCGGACTGTGACATATATCTAACCTAAAATAATTGTGGGCGTATCGGAGTCAGACATCGGATGCATCCGATCAGACACACTACTTGCGAAGTCGCTTGATTGTCGGACCCATCGGCTCGCCCGCTCGCAAAGCGGCAAATGTCTTTCCATCAATCTCAGAGCGCTCCTGGCAGATCTCCACAACTTGTTCCATTAACGATGGGGGCACGACAACTACTCCATTCTCGTCACCGACTAGTATGTCGTTCGGGTAAATCCACAGGTCACCTTGAAACTGCAACGCCACGTTGATTTCGGAAGCACGCGTGAATGTGTTCGAGCCCAGGACGGAAGTTCCTCGGGCAAAGACCTGTTTATCAGTTGACAAATTGCTATGGCGATTATTTTCAAAGTATGGCAGCCTCAACTTACTGGGAATGAAATGTCCCTGTGTTCTTGCGTATCCCTCATTCGGCCATCAATAACGACCCCGAGCGCGCCCAAATTCTGAGCACGCGTGGACATGAGGCCTCCCCAACATGCTGATGGCAAGCCCTTTGGCTGCTGGATATACATCACATGGCCTAATTCATTGGCATCTGCGAAATGCAATGGCGGACTTGGTTCCGGGCTCTTGGTTTCAACCATCTTCACAGTGGTGGCAGGGCCGTAGATACTAGTACCTGGTTTGGGTGAAAACATTCTGAGACCATCAAGAAACCCGCCATATGGCTGCTTGAGCTTTACAAGCGCGTCGCCAATCTGGTTGATTAGAGGGAATATCGAAGCAAAAATCTTGGGTTAGAACGTACATCGCAGGCTGAGAATCGTTTTAGATGTTTCAAAACTTTGGAAGCCATCTTTTTCTTTGACTTTGGTTTTTCTATACGTGGCTGATTGATAGAGCACAATCGACAATGGCCCTATGAATTGTTTAGTTTCTATCTAGGTGAGCTATCGGAACAAGCCGGTCGGTCCAAATTTCGACGATCAGGCTCAGTGTACTTAAGCAGCATCGGGCTTTTGCAGTCCTCCGCTATTTCTCAATCTAAAGCGCTTCATGTTTTCAAAGATGCCGCAGCTCCCAAAGGATCAGCCAACTTGAAAATCAATCTGTTTTCGTTGAAATGATCCCTAGTCTACCAAGACTTTCGAAACATTTGCAACTATCAAACTTCACAGGTGGTCCAGATCAACCAAACGGTATTTAATTGAATAAGATATATATTACATCAAAATAAAACGCTCCACACATCTGCAGTGCCCATGTCTATCCCTTGTGTAAACAAATCAGTCCACGGTAGATCAACTTGAACATCAGGAAATTGCGGTGATGGATTTTGGGCATGAAATCCCAAAGTTGATTCGCTCTCGTCGGAGGGAAATGTGTGCGTTTGAAGACCAAACCAAGTCTGAAATTCCGAGTCAATTCTCGACTCGGCTTGATCTTCATTCTCGAATAGTGACAATATGGAATGGCCAAGTCTTTCAACAATACCACAGCATTTCTCACCCACGGCGCGCCCGTTGCATATTCCACGGAAAAGTGTCAGAAATGTGAAGATATTAGTCTGGATAACAGGTTTTGTCAGTTCTCTTCGCAGGGGCGCAAATGCTCGCAAGGAGTAAAGCATCGTCACTGCTGCCATGAAAAGCGAGTGTATTGCGACAAAAGTATACTTGATGCGGTTGCGCGCATACAAGGCACTGTATGAGCTAATGAGGCCAATAGCTGACTCGGTACAGATTCCTAAATTTTCTGGAGAAGGCATCGGAATCGCGCGTGATGGGCGATAAAGTGCTAAAACAGCATGATGAAATGCGATCTGAAACCATTCAGTTGACTGAAAAGTAGACAAAGTCTGCATATACCGAGGGGCAGTAATCAGCCACTGATTTAGCTTCACAAAATATTCGCTGCGAGATCGATCCAGTTCAGAGGCCTCGGTTGACCCGGATCCAATTGAATGGAATGTTGCGTACACATCCGCATTCATACGACGCAACTTGATGATATGTATAAATGTTGAAGTATCATTGACTTGGGGTATCAAGGTCTCTTCAACGATGGGTGTATGGATAGATTCCTCGAGCTGAGTATCCGTAAGCTGTAGAGGCAAGGGCATGCTAATATCTGATCCCTGTATTCCAAGCGGTCGACCCATGTTGATTGCCATGCTGCAGTTCATCACGTAGGCGCACCAGAAGACACGCTTGTATAACTCTGCGCTTTTTGTATCTTGCCCGTATACGCTTTCTTTGCGATGTAAATCGAGACCAATGGCAAGGTTTAGAGCAAGTCCGGTTGTGTACCACATGTTGACAGACTGAGGCTCGTTGTGGCCATACATGCATAGAAGGAGAAGACATTGAACGCATTCAAAGTTTTCAGAGCTCATTACCAGGTGCAGATCCTTGACTGCATCTCTAAAAAAGACTCTATGATCTTTCTCGCCGTTCTGCTGAGAGGCTTTCTCCGCCGAGGCGATGGCACAAACAATATTCACCACGAAATTTGAGAGCGTACCTGTGCCTGAATTTGTCAAGAAAGCGGTCATATGTTCGTTGAAAAAGGTCTGTTTGTGTAGCACAGGTAAATATGGCCATCGCCTGGCGAAGAATTCGTGGGCCAGGTTGAGATAAGCGTCGTGATTGAGGTCCGTTCCGTTGGTCTCAAACTCTCGAATATCTGTATCGTCTCCCCATAACTCCCAAGCGCTGCTCATAGCACTACAGTTAATTCCTCTGCTGTTTCGCCTCAAAGTGAACGTTGGTCTCAGAATGCGACTGGCGAACTGGTGGTCTGGGTTCCCACTCAGCGGTTCAGAATGGGATGAAGTTTCTGCGCTGGTCTGGGCCACTGAGGAACGTCCAGGAGTCAGAACCGCGGAATGAGTATTTTGGGCGGGCTGGGTAGAGTTGAATGCCTCCGAAATCTGCCTTTCGAGTTGCTGACACTTTAGAGTCAATTCATTGGCTCGTTGCTCTGCAGTAGCAAGTTGAATCCGCAGGAATCGCATTCGCCAGTCCTGTCTGAATGCTGGATTACGAGTCTGTCTGACATTATGCAGTTTTCTTCAATAGCCTCGCAGGGGCCACATGGAAATTTTCCATCGCACTGATGCCTATTAATGATTGTTCGCACGGTTGCGGATCAAAACCGACCTTTTGCTTTCGCCGACGGCATCGCTGGCATGCCGCCACGCTTCGAGTGGTACCCCGGCGATGGCGACGACGATCGTAGTGAGCTGGTGAGCTCTCACTCATTATGGTGATGCATACGTCCAGATAAGAATACCAGGATGTGCCACAGAACTAAGTTATCTGGAGAAGCAGGCAGACGTTCGCCGCTAGAGCAACCCCAGGCTTGGCATTTTCTTACTAATCGCCAGAAAAGAGAAAAGAGATAACTTTTTGCTAAGACATAAAAGCATCACATAGGGTTGGTTTGGCGTGTTAGAGCTCCGTTATATCTGTATGTAATCTCCTTGTCTTGATAATGATTATCCAGTCTCATATTGCGGAATCTCGCCCTTCGGAGAAGTTTTAATCGAATTTTCGGGGCATTCTACTATAAGCGGTCCGCATTCAAGCATGGTACATCTAAAAATCAGGGTCAATCGTGGTCTTTCCGTTTCTTCTATATATTGAATATTCTATCCCTACTGGATATTCTCCATTCCAACTTCTTTCGTTCATGACCTAGGTATACAGGCGACCCGGATTGTCCACCAACATTTTTCTATACACATCACCGCCCATCCAAGTCTGCAATTGCTCCATAATAGCATAATTATCAATAACCCTGAATGTCTCTTTACATTTCAATTTGTCCTTTGATCTGTTCTTTCCATCCCCGGTGTGTGGCCAATCGCTTCCCCAAATGACTTGATCTGGAATTTCCCGGGCAAACGTCCGAACGATGGGTTCCAGGTCCCTGAAGTTCGACGAGAGCTCATTGGACATGCGGTATAGCCCCGAGATCTTCACATATACGCAGGACTGTTTTGCGAGCGATAGCAGCGATTCGAAACCGGGTTGTGATGTCGAAGATGAATGCAAAGAAGAGGGCAACTTGGATGGGCCAAGCATGCCACCAAGGTGGTCTGCAATCACCGGGACTGGGAGACCAAGGATAGGTTGATAGAGAACTGTCAAATTAGTATATTTTCGATTTAAATTCCTCAACATAATTTCGGAAACTCACGATCCCACGACCATCCTGGGACAAATAGTTGAATGATCCAGCCAGGCAAGTGACAAATTCGATCGGAAGTCTTTTGCAGAGCGAGCACCAATTTGTCGATATTAACTTCTTTCCCATCCGCCTGTAGGTTCAGCCGAACACCCCGCACACCAAGATAATGCATAGTTTCCAGTTCTGTGTCGGTAGTTTTGTCAAGGTCCAGCACAACAATACCAAAAGCGCAGGTATCTTCATCTTTCAGTCGCCGAAGGGATTGCATCATGACTGAACAGTCATTCTCGTAAGGGGATGGTTGAACTAGAACCAATGTGCCTATCTCAGAGTCTGTTGATAATTTTTGATTGAACGCTATCAGTTCCTCAAGCGGTGCATCCTCGGGCGTGTATGCTCTTCCGGAGGCATATGGGCCCAAGCTTGGGTCAAAGACGTGTGCGTGGGTATCGATTGCTCTAGGGGGAATCAATGATCTAGCACGATTAGATGCAATCCAGTGTGAGCTTAAATACTATTCTTACTGGTTATTTGAGTCATTTCTATGGCAGCTGATTATTTGAGTTGCCATTTTGCCGGTAAGATGTAAGAATACACTCAAATCTTGGATTGAAGAAGCAACTGACTTGGTTGTAACAGCACTAAGTTCAAAAATCCAGTTCTGTGAAGCTGGATCATTTCGGAGATATCGGAAATTTTCGCTATTGGGTCTGGAGGTAATTTTTAAACGCTTGGACATGTAAACATTGTGCCATCGGCAAGTCCGAAGCAGTCGGCCGATCGCGGTCATATCCCGAAATTTCGGATATATCCGATGAAGACACCCACTAGCCTCTTGACACAGTATCAGCTAGGTCACTTATATCTTCTAAAAAGCATAAATCCAAAAGGAGCACAACATTCTAAAAAATGTCTGAAATAGCACTTGATGGTATCCCAGGCTTACAAGATGCTGTTGATCAAAAGCGACCAATTCCGTATAAGAACTTGGCGGTCGGGGCATTCATGAACATTTTCCAAGGCAAGTCTACCACTCATGATTATGTAGGAAGCTTGATTCTTTTTTCTAATTGAACCAGTCACTACTCTTGGCCAGCCCATGGAAGTACTCAAGACCCATGTTAGTTGCCTTGTATAATAGTGGACCCATGCAATTCATCTACTGATCTCAACTATTCTAGCTAGCTGCAAATCGAACAGACACCTTAAGACAGGCAGTTCAAAAGACTTGGGCTCGCGGAAATGTTACGGCTTTTTATCAAGGACTTATTCCATGGGTATGTGTCTGTTTCTTGTTCTGCAGATCGGGCAATTCTAAATGCAACCATTTTAGGCGTGGCTGGAAGCCTCCACTAAAGGTGCCATTCTGGTATTAGTATCAACAGAGGTAGAGTACCAAGCTCGCACAAAGCTTAGCACCTCACCAACGCTTTGTGGTGTTCTCGGTGGTATCACTGGAGGCGTCACACAGTCTTATCTCACAATGGGAATGACAACATGCATGAAGACGGTCGAGGTAACCCGAACCAAAATTTCTGTTGAAGGTGCCAAGGTACCAGGAACGATGGATACATTCTTCCATATTCTGCGTGAAAAGGGAATTCGAGGTGTGAACAAGGGTGTCAATGCCGTCGCCTTGCGACAAGTGACTGGTTGGTCGTCCAGAATCGGCATTTCTCGCTTTGCCGAAGAAAGTATTCGATCTGTAGGTGGGAGAGACAAGAACGAAAAGCTCAAATTTGGCGAGAAGATCTTGGCATCAACAATTGGTGGTGCGCTCAGTTGCTGGAACCAGCCATTTGAAGTGAGCTCAAAATTGCAGTGGTGAAGCTAGCGCCGATGATAACCAATTTATAGGTCCTCCGTGTGGAAATGCAATCTATGAAAAGTGATCCCACGCGCCCGGTATCTCCGACAATAATATCCACTTTCAAACACATTCTTGCAACCTCTGGCTTCAGGGGATTATTCCGTGGGGTAGGTACCCCGCATTGGAGTTGCGGCGTGGGCTACAATATGTATGGTAGGGTTCGGCGACACGGTGAAGGATATGGTAAACCGCACATGATTTCTTATAAAGAATAGAATGTTCATCTGGAAATCACTCCGCCTTGTTGGCGAGTATATTGAATTTCGTACTGCTTTCTTTGTGAATATCAGACTTTATCTTGGGTTATCAAATTCTGCTTAAAGTTTTCACAACCTCAGTACCTCCCCCGCTGACCAGAGCGGACGGCACCCTCCATGTACCCGCGCCAAACAGTAGCAGTTTCAGTTCCCACAAAATGCACATTCTTAAACGGCTGGGTGAGGTTCTCTCCCACGCTCGTGAGGGTCCCTGGTGTCATGACTGGACAAGGGGCACCGAGGAAAAAAGCTTGCTTTGACCACTCTACCTCCAAGTGATTCGAAGGCGCAGGGACACTGTGAACAAACTTCCCAAAAGACTGACTTATTTGCCCCCATGCCTGGTTATAGCGAGCTGATCGAGAAAGCTTCGACCATGCCCTTCCACGCTCCCCAACGATAAAGCAGGTAATTGACCACTGATCATCGGCGGGGATGCTGGTATCTCTGGTAAAGCTAATGGGCCCCGTTTCGGGACTCAAGACACCTGAGAAGCCGGCTTTGCGCCACCAGGGCTCTTTGAAGACGAAGATCATCTTACTGTAGTAGCCCATTACTGCATTGTCACTCAAGATGGTCTTCGTTGCAGGCAATGGTGGATTGAAGGATATTGTGTGATATAATGTTGTTGGAATCGAGATAATTGTTTTGCGGCAGTAGATTTTTTCTCCGGTTGCTGTGCGAATTACGCATTTGTCCTTTTGAGACTGGTCGATCGAAACAACTGGTGTTTGCAGTTTCACGGTGTTCGGGCCAAGCTCTTCAGATAGTTTCTTCGAGATTGTTTGGTTTCCTAGCTCGTTAGCTTCAAAGTTACGTTGACTTAGATTCGTTCGACCACACCTTGCCTATTTCTCAGGTACTGTCCTCCATCTTTCCCGTCGGAGAGTAAATTGTCGATTCCGGTGCCGCACTTGAAATAATGGAGCATGTAGAGTGCACTGACTTCATTGCTCTCCACTCCGAGCAATGCTGCGCAGACGGTATCTGCGATCCCAGATGCTTCTGCATTTTCCGTTCTTTGGACGCAGAACTCTCGAAATGTCAATTTATCGATGTCCTTGGCACCGTCAGAATCACAGGGGTTGTTCAGATTTGCTTTGGACGCTTCTGTCCGGAGTAGCTCCAGCAGATCTTGAAGTAATTTTGGATCACCCTATATCCGCATTAGCAACGAGAATATCATTTGATAGGAAAAGGAACAGACCGGAAGCTGGCCATAAGGGGTCTTTATCACAGATCCGTCAGCCAGCTGGATGACATCATAGCCACAGGCACGCTGGATCTCTGCGTCTATGCCATATCGCTGGAATAATTTGAACATTTCGCTCTGGTTTGTATCGTTTATCCATGCTGCGCCCAAATCGTTGAATCCTCTCTCAGTTGATCTCATTGTAAGCGTCTTTCCCCCCACCCGCTCGGTGGCCTCCAAAACACAAACGGTCAGTCCTGCTGCTTTGACCACATGAGCTGCTTGGAGACCACTGAGGCCTGCACCGACTACTGCCACGTCAAAAACAGGTTTGATAGTCATATTGCGCTTGGAACTGTGTTGTTGAACGTGGAATGGCAAGAAAGGAAGCAGGTGGAGAAGCTGAACGTTGCATTTGTCTGTACCGCCGAGACCGCCGAGGCTGCAGTCAGCATCAACCCATCAATTGCTGATACTCGTACTGAGCCACTGAAAATATTATTGTTTACTAGTATTTACTAGTACCTCCTAGGAACACTCCGTCTGACTCGACTAATTTATCTCGAATTCTCAGTCTATGGGATATCGTGGCTTCGTATTCAATCGAACCGCCTTTATTACCAACCATCTAGCATCCTGAAACTTTGGGAGACACCATCTGTGGTTCTTGCTATAGAAATCAAAATTTTTGACAGTTTTCCGTACCAAAAGCACGGTGCAATTCATGATCAATTGGCAAGTCCGGTGATGGAACGATCAACCTTTTGGAAAGCGAGAACTGCGAACAAATTATCAAGGACCCGATGACAGTAAATTAGCAAAGCCGCCTCCAAGAATTTCTGTCTAGGTACTGGAATGTGGGATCATATTTCTTTGGATCGGAAGATACCTTGAAGTATGGAGAGTAAGAGAATGAGAGACAGACAAAGAGAACAAGCCATTTGGGGGTGTTTGCCAAGTTTGTCCGGTTTGTCTGGTTTGCGAGTGAAAACTGCGTGTTGAGCTTCTCCCGCCCGCCGTACCGCAATTTATAACCTGATTTTCCGCCCACAATTTTTTTCTTCTCTTTTGTGCTCGCCAAACTTTTTTTTCTGAGCTTTGCAGTGAGCTTGGAGCTCAATGCTCTTCAAGCTCCCTTTCGACATTCCCATGGAGACACCAGGGACAGTATAATGATGGCTGTTCCTGTCTCTTTCTCTTTATTATGAAAAATTAAAAGGTAAGGAATCCCTCACGCATTGCGCTTCGCAACCTACACCTTCCCCCTCCCCCCTTTGGATGATGATCATAAAGACATGCAAAGGCATTCCTCAATCTTAAGTTATCATGTGGAATCTGTCATACTATTAAGTTTCAGCCTTGTCTGACAAAAACTCAACTTGCCTCCAATTTTACATCAGCTATTTTTGGTGAATCCATTGCTAACAAAATTACTTGGATAGGTACACATCAAATCATCTCCTCCCATCTCTTCCTTGCGCGGCCTCTATGCCTTTACATGAAGATAATTTGAACGAACGGGCGGACATAACGTATCCACCAACCTGCGGACATCAAAACAGAGCGTACAAACTCTGGGACGTATGGAAAGTGGAATACTTGTTGAGAACTCGTCACCTGATCCTTTGCCCATATGCACTTCTTGCTGGCGTCCACACAATATTTCTTCACTGAATGATTTGTCTAACAAAGTGCTTATAGGTAATCACATTCTTTCTTCGTCTTGCGTCGTTGCACCACATCCACATGGCCAATGTTTTATGATGAACTTTTATTCACACTGTTTGACCTGGCACTTCGTGTTGGGAATGAACATTAAACAAAAATTCTGATTTAATGAGGTATGTGTCGTTTCTCCCCTGCTATTGACCCGGACTCATTGCTAACTCTTGTCAACAGACTGATATAATTGCCATGTTTTGATCTTGCATATCAACAATTTTGCATTTTTTTTTCTGAATGCCGTTGCTGACCAGCATGATCAATCTAGGACTTCACCATCCGCAATAGATGCTCTATTCATCATGATTAATTGTAAGACTGTCACATTCCCCTACACTCTACCCCCGCCTACCGTGATGACAAACACTTTTTGCTGTTACTTCCGAATTCACATTGAGGAAATAAACCACAATTCACCTTGGAGAACTGACTACCCTCTCATCTTACTGATGTTGCCACTCATTATCTATAATGATCCATTGCTAACAAGCTTTGCAGTACTATGATACCCCTGAGATACCCATATAGCAATGCTTGAATACATTTACTCTTGTCTTGAAAATTTCTTTTTTTGTAATTTCATATCCGTACTCCGGAGTCGTAGTTGTTGCATTCCTTAAGCCCACGCCTAGTACTAGCCAATGCGTAATCTACTCGACCCAATGCCCATGCTTCTTATGCCACCCCTCAAGACTCACTCCCCCATTGTAAACATCATACACAACCTTCTTCCCTTCCGGCCATCTCGCCCAACTAGGCTTCGAGGCATTCATAATACAAACCATTTCGTCTGGCACGGGCAAGTCGGTATCAATGGCCGAAGCAAAAGGGTGAATGAGTTCGGGCCAGTGAGCGTCCCATAGCCAAAGCATGGTGCTGCAGTTGGAGCAGAAGTTCCGCTCTGAGGAGCAACGCTCTTCGTTCGAGGTGCCACGGTCTTTGATCGCTTTGTACTTCCTGTGTTATAGAGTATCGGGTCAGTTATAATGGACATGATTTACACAGATCTTTGGGGATATAATGAATTGGACTGTCCAGATCCACTGGTGATAGTTAGTAGTAGTACTCACTTGATCAAATGCTCGCCCTGAAGTACTCGCAAACTATCCGCGATTCCGCCCAGATTCACCGCACCCATGTGCCCGCCCACTTTGCGACAAATGCTGCAAGCGCATAGTTGATATGGAACAGGAGTGTTCGATTGCAGGGTGAATCTCACGTCGCCGCATTGGCAGCTTCCGTCTAGTTTCCTGTTCAATGATCAGTGACACTCTTCGGATGCCCAGGCGGGAACGCGGAATGACCGGTACTTCAACTTGTTATATGAACATACATAGGCATTCTGGACAAGATAGATAGCTTGGTGTGAAGACTTGGCAAATGGCAATGTAACAATATCGGGAAGAATTCGAATCTTGGGGTAAGCAAAGCCGCAGGTGATGTTGAAAGGTTTCGGAAGGCGTCGGACGTCACCTCAGTGCAATTATATACTTCCCGAGCGGGGACGTACACCCTACCAAATTCGAGTGCAAAATGCGAAACAAACAAGACATGCAGACACGAGGTGATTCAATCGTAACCCCCCGATATTCTTCTGCGAGATTATTCGACAATTGTGTAGGTCCGAGTGCGAGTTGCTGTAGAACTACATCATCGTTCTCGAGGTGGGCTTCTGGTTGGCTGAAGGCGGTGTTTGTCTGCTTTGCTCGGTTTGCTTCCCGCCGCCTCTGCTGCGCTTCTTCGTTTTCGACGAAACATCTCCGCCCCCCAGCCAGTCACTGCTTTTCCTGAGGAGACGAACCTCTTGATCTATATAAAAATGAGTTTCGGAGCCCCCGGAGGTGGTTCGGTCAATTACAAGCCTACCCCGTGAGTGTCGGTGGTCAGGATCCGCAATCTTGAGAAATGCGCTCCGCTCCGCTTCGCCCGAGATGGGCAGATACCCCCAATCGTCTATCGTTGAACTTATTCGCTGACCTTTGAATATTCATTCCTCACAGGCCTGAGCGCGGTAGCTTTCCTCTTGATCACGAAGGTGAGTTCGAGTCTGCAGTGCCACATCCTCTACACCCTCCAATTAGTCCCCTACACGTCGTCCCACCACGCCGAAGACGGACCATGGCTAATATACCACTCGATTGATATAGGAGAATGCAAGCATATCATTTCCGGATACTTGAAATGCATCAAATCAAACCGGGGCACCAATGACGAAGCATGCCGGAAGCTGGCTAAGCAATACCTCACCTGCCGGATGGACAAGTACGTTGCCTCCAATTCCAAATCGTGACGGCGAGAAAGTAGCTCCTTGAGCGAGGCATTATTATCAAGAGCAGTTGCGATAATTTGGTGGCTCTCTGGTCGAATGAATGCTGACAATGTGGTTCTTTTCTCGCAGGAATTTGATGGCGCCGGACAATTTTGAGAATCTCGGGCTGATCTTCAAGGAAGATCAAAAGAAGAGCAGCGCCCCAGAAACGCAATCAGCACAAGGGACGGAGAATAAAAATTGAGTTCGGAGACACTCAAATGGAGAGGAAGGGAAGACGACTTGTATGATATTGTAGAAACCAGTGGCAGCCGCATGAGGCCGCGAGTTTGCACTTGAATGGCGTTGATTGGAGGCGTTGTACATTAATGAATACACTCAATTCTATTTCGATAGTCGAAAATAAGTAGTTATCGTATCCTGTTCTACTAGACCTTACCCTCAGGTATGAGCTACTGAGTAAGGTATCACTGAAGCACTTGATAATCACCCCATCCACCGATTGGCCCGCGCATGCGGGGAAGTCATTTTGAACTCCGCCCAAGCCTCACCAGCTACACCTCTCCAACCCCCCCATCCCCATGTCCTAATATAATGTCATCAATCGCCCGCCCACCAGACCCATGTCTGGTAGCGATAATATTAATCGTCCGATCACGCACCGGCCCCCGACTCGTCTTCCACTACCCACCCAAACCGCTCAGCGAAAACCGACTCAAGACAACGACCAAGGGCGGCCGCCGCATCTCCCGCACGCGCAGCAGACAAGGCGGCAAGAACACCGACTCGAGCTCCAGCGACGAGAGCGGCCTCAGCTCCGACGACGAGGACGATGACCGCGAGCGCGAGCGCGACACACAGCCACCCACCCAGAATTCGTCGAACTTCCTCAGCGGGAGCTCACATGTCAGTGCAAGCCTCATACCCGGTCGAAGGCCGAGCAACTTCGGGCTCGACGAGCATGGCATGATCTCCGCATCGCCGGGTGCGATAGAGCCACAGCGACCGGGATCACTGGGTTCTGGTCGGGGATCGACTCGGAAGCGTGGAGGTGCAATGTCCGATGCGGAGGATGATGGGGCCTCGGATCAGCCTGATGGGTCTGGGTCTTCGTCGCGCGCGCCGTGGGAGTCGCTTCTAGGATTACCGGGGAGTGTGTGGGAGAAGTTACTCAGTCCTTCGCGGTCGTGGCATAAGCGGCGCTATGAGGTAGGCATTAATGATCTGGCATTGATTGGGTGGCCGGTCTTTGTGCGTGAGGATGGGAATTGGCGCAAGCAGCGCCGGAAGAAGAAGAAGAAGCCTCGTGCTGAATGGGAGGGTGGAGAACTCGGTCATAATGAGAATGCGGATGAGACGCAGGTTGAGGATGGGGTCGTTTCGCCTGACATGGGGGCTAGCATTGCTTCTATTGCGGATTCGCTGGTCTCGCCTACTGATACTAAGCGGAACTCGATGGCCAGTGCGAAGATCGGGAAGACTGTTGATGATCATGATGATGACCCGGAAGATAAGGATCATATGACGATGTTCAATGTCGTTTTTGTTATGGATCCGCCGCTGCTGGAGTATTCTGGCCGCGTCAAGGAGATATATGAGAATATTATCAAGAAATTCGCCAAGGCGCTTAAGTGGGAGCAGGCTCGCACGGGATATGTGTGGAAGGAATCCCAGCACATACTTCAAGTGCGAAGAAAAGCACGAGAATCCAGTGAGATCTGTGATTCTTTTCTCTTTGCAAACTTGCAAGCTAATGGTTCTCTAGAAACATCCGTCCATAATCTCTACTCAGACTTGATCAACCAGTCTTCTTTGGCAAGGGCTATATATACGGTCTACACAAGCATCTCAGCATCAAAGATCGCTTCTGTCTCGCTTAGTCCGGATGTTTCCATCTCACTGCAGATCCCACCGTTGACATCCACGCCGTACCTTGCTGGGCCGACGGATAAGGCGTATCCAGGTCTCTGGCTGACAACTGCAGATAGCGCTACCCCTGTTGATGACCCTGCTGCCGATGAGAACAATGCACCACATCAGGTTCTGGCTAAGCACTTCGCACTGCTTCTGCTAGACAGCGAGGCCTCAATAATTAAGGATGTCGAAGCTTCCGGGGGCACGCTAGCCCCAGCACTCGCCCATTATATCCGATGTACGAAGCCAACCAAATCGTTCGCCCAAATTTCCGCCTATTCGGGAATCCCACTGCATACCATCCAGATGTTGGCCAGTCATCTGGTATACTGGCGCCGTGCCCGCGCCATCCCTCCAATCCACCAACGCGACACTTACATCGTCTCTCCAAACTGCGACCTGAGCAAATTAGAAATCGCTACAATCGCCTACCAAACAGCATTCCCGACCCTACCAAGTCTTCCCAAGATGCTCTCCACCCTGAGCGGCACGCCCCGCCCTTATGGGAGTTTTATTCCAAGTAAAGATCACAAGGAAACCTACTTTGCCATATTGGCATGGCTACTCCGCGGCGGCTGGGTGACGCAGCTCAGAACATTTGCGCGGATCAAGGTAACCCCAGAGGTCAAACTAGCAGTTGAAACAGCCCTGCGCAAAGAAGAAGTGGACCGATATCTCGCCAAGGGCAACAATTCGAATTCCACTACCACCGACGATTCAGACTCAGACAGTGAAGACGACGCGTCTTCGTCGTCGTCGTCCTCCCTCGCCAGTCACGGCAGCGGAGACGAAACGCCCATGCCAGGCCGATACGATGCGCATGCCCAATTGCGCACCTCGCATAAACTCCTCGATCGATCGACCGCCCTCCGCCTCTCCTCGCTAATTCTCTCGCCGCACCGCGCATCACCGCTGGAATCGCGATGGCTGGACGAGATCGTTGCGCGGTTCCCGGACAAGCCTGGACCTGGGCAGCAGATGATTGGAATGAGCCCGGATATTGCGCCGAAAGATTTGCAGACTTTGTTGAAGAAATACTGGCCGGTGTTTTTGAAATATTTTAATGGTTCGGATGCGTTGGAGAAGATTCCCGTTCGCGAGAGCTTGAAGCGTAAACTTGTTTGGCAGGTTCTTACGCGGTTGGGGTTTGTGACGGGGCCGGTTGGTTCGCTTGAGCTTGATGCAAGAGAGCAGGTGCTTGTCGGGGTGCGACACTGGTAGTTACTAGCTTGAAGGAAGTTATCAAGTCTTTTTTCTAAAAACAAATTAATTACTTGAAGTAGGAGGAAATGATACATTGGGAAAAAAGCTTGGAGTCATGGCTATGGTTATGTTGTTTGGCGCTGTGCTTGATACCACTGTTGTTTCTACTTTGCCAACCAAGTTTCATGCGACTATATAAATGAGTATCTAATTAGGTATCTATACCTATATCATGAATTTACTAGTATATACCAAATACTGCCCAGGTGATTTAAGACATACTCGTATGTAGTACCTAGTAGTACAGTCCGAGAAAAAGCCGTAATACCGATACCCGCCCATCCGCGACGCCCAGCCGCGGCGTCGCAAAAAGGCCGGTCGTAACGCAATTACAAACCCACATCCATCCCGACGGATTCCGCGTGCCCTCAGCCCTAATCGCGGTGCCGAATTAGTAGTCTGTGGGCGCGGAAAAGAGCAAGCAAGCAACATATCAAGAAATATCAGAATTGGAACCTGAATATCATGGATTACGCCTGGGAGCATATAGGGTTAATACCAACACATGCTTGGTCGCTACCAAGTATGACAAGGCATGGCCATTGCGATCTCCAGGGACCCTGCGAGAAAACCCTGCAAGCACAGGGCAATGCAGAGAGAGGGCGCCGAGACAGTCCCAGCATCATCAGGGACCCATCACATTCCGTCGCACCGAATTGGCGGAGGGATGGGATGGGAGGGGATGGGATGGGGTTTCTCCAGGGCGGACTGTACTTAGTACATAAATTACGCTCGTCAGGTACCCGAGGCCGGCCGGATCGTACTGCCTGTACGGTTTGTATATCCGGTTCTCCATCCTGTGAAGATTCGGAGTGCGAGTGTCCAAGTTCTTATATAGTTGGACTTTGGTATCTACATCATGATCATGGTATTATATGGAACAATTGATAAAATTCAATTTCTTGGTATTCTCTGCCATTCCTAGAACCACAGACCTACTTCCTACCTTGCCTATTCAACATCTAACAGTACCCTGAAGAGAACCTTGGAATACTGTCGCACCCGACCCCAGCCAATGGTCTTGAATAGAGGGGCGCCGGTGGAGCCCCGCGACGTTAGAAAAAAATGGAAATGGAAATGGAAATGGAAATGAAAATGTGCCGTTCATGTCCACTTTTTACCCAAGATCCAGGGCTATGGACTGAAAAGTCTGACACACAATACAGTAGTGAGTGTATACTCGTATGCCCTTGGTCTCCCTTTATTCAACACAGGGGGACTGGACGCGAGGATAAGGTATCTCTTTGGAGATAATGTATCCATTGGTACGAGTATACTGCTAATATCAATAATTGAATGGGCGAGGGACTCGGAGTGCCCGAGGAAAACTGCAACTGCAAGTGGACCACTGTCATTGGTTCGACTGACATTTCTTGAGGCTCGGTTGTTGGGTCCAGCTCTACTATACTGTACATCCAAACTTTAGCGACTAGATATCGACGACATTCAATAACTCTACCACAGAGGAAAAAGAAAACCTTGGAAGAAAGAATGAGAATGAAGGAGAAGGAGAAGGACTTCTTTATGTGCCAGTTCCTATATTGAATTTCTCTGTGGTGTTGCAGTACCTAGTGTAACGGTTGGTAATGCTCCAGCATGGAGATGTACGACTAGTACACGTCGTGGAAACCTTGGGCTGTGCAACATCGTGAGAACAGGAAAGGGAGGAGTGAGATTTTCAATGTTTTGATGGGTAATATGGAATAGGGAATAGATAATAGATACTCAATACAGAATCAAAAGTACTAGTACTAACTATTTACTGTTCCTACTGCAGTCAGTAGGCTAGCAAGTAACTAACTAGGATACTGTAGGGGTATACCTACGGATAATACGGTAATACCAATACCCCACGTATGAACCCCCGCTACCACAGCCGGCCCTGATTACCAAAAATTATTATTTTGCACTCTTCTCATCTTCACCACTCCCCTCTTCCCCCTCACCCTAACCTCACCTTCTCGTGCGTCTCCTTTCCACCCCCGGTTTTTCTAACCTCCAAACTGATTTTTCTAGTCCCCTGCTTCCCTTGCAGTGGCCTCCATTCCTCGTTCGGCCTTCCGCGAACGTGTTTCCCTCCCCCCTCCAGTGAGAGCTTCTCCGAAACTCTCCTCGGCACTCCTTGAACGTCTCTCCAAGTGAGATCTGAAAGGACCCGATTTCTCTCCTCCTCCCTTTTCTCCGAGACTACCGGTCGTGGTGGAATTTGGCGCCTTTCTCCGGCCCACAATCTCTTTTTCATCCGCCAAAGGATCGACCTGTCTGCCGACAACCGTCCGGACTTTTCGTCGACCCTCATATCCCTACTCGCGTCTTCGCCTTGTCTGCTCAGCGGGATCTATTCAGTTGTCGACATCTTCTTGAAGGATCCGACAACACTGGACGCCATCCGAGTCATTTTTTTTGGTTGCGACTTCTCAAGCGGATTGATTGTGCGGGCCACCCAGCTCATTTCTTTCGCAACTTGATTGTTTCGGCAGTAACAAGGCAGCGCCTGTTTCATTGTCCGGATATTTTTCCAAAGTAGCTTCTCGTTTTTTTCAGTTGATCTGTGCGTCTGCTAGCTGTGAGGTTTTCAGACCAACAATCACTTGAACAAGTAACCAAACGAGGCTACACATGCAACCTGTGGCTTAGATCGCCAACTCTCACATTCCTCCCATCCTCGCGATCCGCCGCTTCAACAACGTTCCTCGCGAGAAGTTTCATCTCTTCTTGCCCTCCTCGAAATTCCCCGAACATAACACAGCGTGGGAATCATCGTGAAAAGAAGGGATCACATTTCCTGGTGGGATTGCAAGAAGGCGAAGGCTTTCTTTTCAATTTACCACGGTTCCGGAGACCCGCGCGTCAGCGTTTAATCGAGTTCTCCAGGATCGCCAAACGGAAACCAGAACTCCGCTCGTGAGCAGAGTAATTCTGATTCCAATCCGGAACTTTTTCTGCCTCTTCGCATTTGACTCTACATCCGAGTTTTGTTACGCTTCGTCAAGATGAGCACTTTCTCGTACGCGCAAGCCGCCAAGGGCCCCTCTGGATCACCAGTACCAGCCAAAGCCACACCCACAGACGTGCAAAATACCGAACCCAAACCCGAGGAATCGAGCAACGATGCTACTCCTACGACGGAATCAGCGACCCCCACCTCCGAGACCGAGACACCGAAGGAAGTTGAGAAGCCCACACCGAGCGTGAATAAGGACGAGGAATTCACCACCGTCACTAGCAAGACCCGCTCGAAGGCCGTCCACTCGAGAACCTCTTCCCCAAGCATCCGATCTACAAAGGAGTCGAAGGAGGGTGACTCCTCAAATACCAATGGCAAGGCTGATGCCTCGTCAGAGAAGAAGTCCCAGGACGCCAAGGCTGAGAAGTCTGAAAATGGCACCGAGGGATCCAAGGACAAGTCTGAGAAGACTGAGAAGGCCGACAAGGCCGAGAAGAATGAGAAGCCTGCTCCCCCCCAAGGAGCTGAAGGCCGCGCCTCTCCCCAGCGTGAACATCTGGCAGCAAAGGAGGGAAGCCCAGGATGCCAAGGTCAAGACCACACCCGTTACAAAGGCTGCCTCTGCAAAGGCAGAGGAGACTCAACAGGAGTCCTCCAAGCCTAGCTCGAAGAAGAAGGGCACCGATGGCACAACAGAAGGTGCCAAGGGCGGGAAGAAGTCCGACGGTAGCAAGGGTCGCGATGATCTCCCCGTCGCCGACGCCTCATCATGGCCTACTCCCGAGGTTGCTCTAGATGAGGAGAAGAAGAAGGCCCAGGAGAAGACCGACAAGACCGAAAAGTCTGAGAAGAGCCCCGTCATGCGCACCCACGGCAAAGAGAAGTGGATGCCCGTCGACTACGTCCCTACTGCTGTGTTCAACACCCCCCCTCCCCCCATCTGGTCGTGGAGGTAGCCGCCGAAGCGCCCGCGGAGGTCGCGAAAATGGTCGAGGCGCTGCTCACGCTGCTGGTGAGAAGGCTAGTTCTGGACAGCCTGCCCAAGGATCTGCTGGCAAGCAAGCCGCTGGAGAGCGTGGCCAACACGAGGCTGGCCCCAACCGCGCAGCTTCGCTTCCCGCCCAGGCGCGTCGCTCGACCAGCGCTGATGTCAACGGCCCCGAGGGTCGCAAGGCCCAGCCCGCTGAGCGTGGCCGTGGAGGTCGTGCTGCCGAGGACACCAATGCCAATGGAAAGCACACCAACGGTGAGAATGTCGCTCGCCCCCAGAAGCAGTTCGGCAAGAACGGTCAGGCCAACTCCAAGAACCCCAACCTCGCCGTTGATGCTCAAGCCGCTGCTCGTAACAACGATCGCCGGGCCGAGTCCGGCTCCAAGTCGGCCGACCCCACTGGCTTCGAGTTCAACCGCGGCGGCCGTGCCAACCGTGGTGGCCGCGGCCCTTTCAACTCTTTCAATGGGCAGAACTCTCAGTTTGGCAATGTTGCCAACAACGGTTTTGTTCCCAAGTTCAACGGCGGCTTCAATGACCGCCAGCGATCGCACAATGGTCTCGCCAACGGATCCCAGCAGGGCAACCGCATGCCCATGCGCTCTCCCTCCCTGCCTGCCTCTGGAAACATGTACAATGTCTACCCCTTCCCCGCCGAAATCAACACCATGTACGGCTACCAGGCTGTTAACCCCGCACCGATGAGCGCTATGCCTTACCAGGGATACATGGAGCCCTTCACTCTCATGAACATGCTCTCCATGCAGCTCGAGTACTATTTCTCTGTGGACAACATGTGCAAAGACATGTTCCTGCGTCGCCAGATGGACTCTCAAGGGTTCGTTCCTCTGGGTGTCATTGCCAGCTTCAAGCGCGTCAAGTCTCTCACTGAGGACTTTGAGCTTATCCGTCACATCTCTCGCCAACTCCGAACCGTCGAATACCAAACCGGCGAGGATGGTGTGGACCGCCTGCGCCCGAGGAGAGAGATGGGCTCAGTGGATTTTGCCCTACGACCAGCGCGAGCCCTCTGCCCAGCACGAAGGTGCTGCTCCGGCTACCCACTCTGGCAAGAATGACGAGAACGCCCCTTTCAACGCCCACGGTCCCAACGGCTCAGTCCCCAACGGAGCTCAGCAGTTCATCCCTAACGGCACTAGCCTCCGTGGCTCCCAATCGCTGTCCTCTACGGCCCCCGAGTTTCAGCCGTCAATGCCTCAAAATGAGATTGCCAATGTAGGATACCCCATGGATACTCATCGCTACCCCGCCGAGAGTCCCCCGCGAGAATGCTCTTCCCATCTCCCCCTTGGATCGACCCAGAAGTTAACAATAGCCCTGCAGCGTGCGGACTAGATCCAAATTCGACGAGCCCACCCTCCATGTACTCCGGTTGTGCGGTGTTAGCTAACAGGTATGATGAGCCGGTTTCATGAGATTCTCTTTTTTCCCGAAGAAACCAAAAAAACCATGAAAGAAACGTCGCAGCAACGCCAACTAACACTTTTATTTCTTAGCTCTGAAAGTGTTGAAGATGATGATGAAACCATCCGCCCATCTTCCGCAGTCCGCCAACACCGCAACCAGGCGTGGAAGGGCAAAGCAAATAAATCCTACCAAAAGTCCCTTAATGTCAACAATTCTTCCGAGCATTTCTTATCAAATCATGCATCTGGGGGTCGATCCAACAAGAGACCCCCAAAACCAGGCCTTGTCACTGGCCCTCCCTATCACTCATGGTCAGATTATCTGACCCGCACTTTCGACTTGTCATTGTACAATGAATTTCGGCGTACAGCCCTTGATGATTTTTTCACACGACACGTCGACTATGGATTCAATGCTCTTATGTGGTTTTACAGAAGATATCTTTACGGTCGCTCTCTTATTCCTGAGCCGGTTATCTCAGATATCATTGGCCTGTCTCGGAGTTCACATTTCATGCACCATTCAGCTGTCTATGATATCCTTCGTACAGCCATGAGCAGCGGGAAAATGGAGCAGTCTAATCTGGACAGGACTGGCATGTTCCTCAACCGTGACCGTCAGTCAAAGCCGGCGTGGCGAGATCGCGCGCGTTGAACACGTCTCTCCTCGTCGGGCTTCTCGAAATCGTCTGTTCTTCGTCTGCTCTTCTCCCTTCTTCTTGTTTTTGCTTTCTGGGATCCATCTTCTTTTTTATTATTTTCCTTTGCTCCTTCCATCAAATCATGATCAGCATTGTTGTGTCCAAAGGTTTTTGCATGCATCTTCGTCCACTTCTTCTCCCTTTTGCCCCCTACTAGAATGCCAAGTGGTCATTTCCATCGCAACAAACAACGGCTTGGCTTTTCCTTCCTATTATGAAGCTCCTACAGCTTCTCTCGCCCTATTTCTATCTCCATTTCGCCCTCCCTCCCTCTCTTCGCCTCGTCGTTTGTGTTCCGCAGCTGCTTGCTTTGATCATGGGCTCTTTCGTCTTTTTTTACTCTCTCAAAATGTTTAGGAGTCCGGGCATGATATTATGGGCAAAATATCCTCCCCACTTTTCGTTTCGATGCCTGGTTCTACGGTGTCCGGGGCCCCAAAAATGATTCAAGTTTTTTTTTCTTCTTCTTCCTCTCTTCATATCCTCTTTTTTCCTTCCTTCCTGATTATAGAAACTTTTTTTGTGATTCATTTTCCAATTTTCTTTTCCCCTCTGTGCCTTTGTCTTCATGTCCTTTTCGACTGTTTTTAATTGTTCTTATCTATTCCTGCCTGCTGATGCCGAACATCCCGGCTCTGCATGCTGGATCTTAGCGAGTTCAGCATGATGGTGCCTTTTTTGACCCCGAGAAAAGCAAAGGTCGAGCCCAAGAAATGAAAAAAAGTGTCTTGTATGATGTCAACTACTGTGCTCTGTTCCCAACGAGTGTCTCCTTCCATCGAAGAACAATTCCCAAATTCCACCCTGAGGCACTCCGAGTCCCTTGCAGCTTCGGCTCCCCGGGGATTTAGGATTTATCTGTCGCATCCATTATGATTATTTTCTTTTTCCCCCCTAATGCGAAGACTGAAAAGTGGAGAGGGCCAATTTTTCCTTTTCAGTTTGGTTTACTCTTGTGCATAAACCAGGTCGTCCCGAGCTTTTGTTGGTTTGTTTTTTTCTCTCCTTTTTTCTTTTTTTAGTCGAGGATCCAAGGAAATTCAATACATCCATGTGGATTCGCCGATAATTTCAACCCTTCCAGTATACCCATGTAGCTGTATATTCCGACTCCGCACGTTAGTGGCCTGAGGCAGCCACACTTGGACCAACTGGAGTAACGACGATTGGCAATTGGCTTGTTCCGCTCCGACAGCTCTCGCCTTCTTCTCTTCTCTTCTCTCATCTCCCCCGCCCCATCTTCCCCTCTTCACTCTACCCCAGATTTCGAAAATGGAGGGAGCTTCTCGCCAGACATCGAGACTGTTACGGTCTCGCGGTTCATCCCTCCTCCAGCAGCGCAGCCGCCTGTCACGACCAACCACCGCATCATGCGTGACCACCACGACACAATCACGAGCCGTGTCAAATTCCCCTCGCAATCTGGCCCCCGAATCCCTCTTTGGTGGTTTCGCAGCTGCTCCTCAGCAAAATTCCGGTGGAGCTCCCACCTACTTCAATACCCGCCCCTCTCTCCCCGCAAACACCGTCGTGCGATTCGTCCCTCAGCAGACAGCATGGATCGTCGAGCGCATGGGTAAATTCGACCGTATCCTGGAGCCGGGTCTAGCTATTATGGTCCCATTCCTCGACCGCATCGCCTACGTTAAGAGTCTCAAAGAATCCGCTATTGAAATTCCTAGTCAGAATGCAATCACAGCGGATAATGTTACACTGGAGCTGGATGGTGTGTTGTATACCCGAGTGTTTGACGCCTATAAAGCAAGGTACGTTCTTCTGCGGGGGCGGATCGAATCGGATTGGATCTTCAATATTTGCAACAAGGCCAGTCGCTGACTATCATTTCTAATTTCATAGCTACGGAGTCGAGGATGCTGAATACGCCATCTCACAGCTGGCGCAGACAACCATGCGATCCGAGATCGGCCAGTTAACACTCGACCACGTCCTCAAAGAGCGCGCCACCCTCAACACAAACATCACACAAGCGATCAATGAAGCCGCACAAGAGTGGGGTGTTGTCTGCCTCCGTTACGAAATCCGCGATATCCATGCACCAGAGGCGGTTGTCTCGGCCATGCACCGCCAAGTCACCGCCGAGCGATCGAAGCGCGCCGAGATCCTCGACTCCGAGGGTCAACGCCAGAGTGCCATTAACATTGCCGAGGGTCAAAAACAGTCCGTCATCCTGGCCTCCGAGGCTGAGCGTGCGGAGCGCATCAACAAAGCTGCCGGTGAGGCTCAAGCTATCGAGCTCCGGGCTTCTGCTACAGCTCGTGGAATTGAATCTGTTGCCAAGGCTATTCGTGAAGGAGATCAGCACGCCCACAGTGCTGTCAGCTTGAGTGTTGCCGAGAAGTATGTTGATGCTTTCTCCAAGCTCGCTCGTGAGGGTACGGCCGTGGTGGTGCCGGGTAATGTTGGTGACATGGGTGGCATGATTGCCAGTGCCATGTCCGTCTACGGCAAGATTAGCGAGACCCAGGCTAGGGGTATTGCTTCCAAGGCTATTGGTGCAGAGCAGGAGCAGTCGACGCCACAGAAGACTGTTGGCGATGCTGCACAGGTCGAGGAGGTAGCAGCCCGCGATGGTGTTTCCGAGCAGGTGATGAATGAAGTCAACCAGGACAACCAGTTCAAGCAATAAGTTACTCGTTCGAGGATTCTCGGAATGACCGTGACAGATGATCTCCCCTTTTCTTTCCTAATGGCATGTGCTGTTCCTCTTCTTTGTTTGCTTTCGCATCCCACCCGCCATCCGAAGCGTGCCTCGCCCCTGTGGTGGTTGTGGTGGCTTACTCTGTATCACTCTCCTCAACTCATATTCAGCATTCTTCCACCAAGGTTCGAAGCTACGAAGCGGCTGTTACTGTTTCGGAACCAACGGGTCTGGTCTATCCTTGATATGTGTACATATGTACTAGGAAGAACCCCGGGGGGAGGAGTCGAAGATGGGGAAAACTGGAGAAAAGAAAGCGGAAAAGAACTATTGTATGATAGCCTGTAGAACCAATTGGAAGTCTATGAAATACTAGCACTTAACCTGTGCAATTCTTACCTCTAGATATAGCTATACTCGTAGTTTATCGCTAGTTATAGATATGCGCAATGCAAACGCGGAGCTCGGGCCACGCGCCAATCTGGAGATCGCGACTTTTCTATCGGGCGCGCCTCTCCCCGACTCCCCGACTCTCTAAACCACACTCCTTCCACCTTCCATCTTGCTTCTCCTTCACCCCCCCCCCCAAACTCCAGATTGACCCCCTCCGACTTTTCGCCTCAACATCAGGCCCCGACACCTGAGCTCTGGCTCTGCGATGCCACGATAAACACGCAACCTCGCCCCACCTCACGTCCTTCATTGTCTCCGCCTCGAACTCGCTCGTGTCGTCCCGCATCAAACCCCTTCCCCCAATCGAAATCGAACACTCCCGATTCCTGGACAGCCTTCCATCCGATCCATTCGCTCTATACATCCGTTCAATAAACTTCTCGTATTCATTTCGAACGTCGGAGTAGCAGCGCACGCTGCCAGCGCTGCGCAATGCATATCATCAAGCCTGTCTGGCTCACACATGGAGGTAAGTCTGACCTAAAGCTTAGTTTCTACACTAGACATGAGGGGAGATGGATCCTTTACTCGCCAAGCTCCATATTCGTCCTATTTCTCATTACTGGTTGCGAAAGCTTCATCGGGCTAATTTGAGGATTCGTTTGGCGCAGGTGAACGGAAAGACTTCGAGGTTTACAGTTGCGATGTGTCGCCAGATGGGAAGAGGCTGGTAACAGCTGCTGGAGGTAAGCTCTTTTCCCCCATCGTTTCTTTTCGTCTATTATCTCTCCCTCCGGACGACCGGGTAGGGGAGGAAGAATATGGAAATTCGCAGTGAACTGACACATGCCTCGCTCCTTGCGCGTAATAGATGGATACGTTCGAATCTGGTCCACAGAGTCCATCTACAATACCGGCAACCCCGAATTCGCCAGCAAGCCAAAACAACTGGCCTCGATGAGCAATCACTCCGGTACTATTCATACCGTGCGCTTCTCCCCAAATGGGAAGTATCTCGCTTCTGGCGCGGATGATAAGATCGTTTGTGTTTACACGCTTGATGCAAACCCTCCTACACATTCGACATTCGGTAGGTCCCAACGTGGCTGGACTATACAGGTGGATATATTACAGGCGAGACTAACGAGTTCGGCGTGTACGATGTGTAGGTTCAGACGAAGCACCTCCAGTTGAGAACTGGCGCACAATTCGACGATTGATCGGACACGACAACGATGTGCAGGATTTGGGATGGTCGTTCGATTCGTCGATTCTCGTCTCGGTTGGCCTGGATTCCAAGGTGGTGGTATGGTCTGGTCATACATTCGAGAAATTGAAGACTATCGCCGTGCACCAGAGTCATGTCAAGGGCATTTGTTTCGACCCGGCGAACAAGTACTTCGCGACTGCGAGTGATGACCGAACGGTTCGCATTTTCCGCTTCACCTCTCCGGCACCGAATTCAAGCTCTCACGACCAAATGAACAACTTCGTCCTCGAACAGACCATCACAACTCCCTTCGCCAATTCCCCACTCACTGCGTACTTCCGTCGGTGCTCCTGGTCGCCGGACGGTATGCACATTGCAGCTGCGAATGCCGTCAATGGTCCCGTTAGCTCGGTTGCTATTATTAATCGCGGCTCGTGGGATGGCGATATCAACCTCATCGGTCACGAAGCTCCTGTCGAGGTATGCTCGTTCTCGCCTCGTCTTTACTCAAGAGAAAAGCCCAAAAAGAACCAGCCTGATGGCCACTCGGGACAACCACACATTACCGTCATTGCTTGCGCCGGCGCGGATAAATCTCTCAGTGTCTGGATCACAAGCAACGCTCGCCCCATCGTTGTCGCTCAGGAAATGTCCGCCAAGACAATCTCGGATCTAGCCTGGAGCCCCGACGGCAGATGCCTTTTCGCTACAGCTCTTGACGGCACCATTGTTGCTGCCCGCTTTGAAGAGGGCGAGTTGGGCTGGGCTACAGATATGGAAGAAAACGAGAAATCGCTCACCAAATTCGGTACAAACCGCAAAGGTGCCGGTATCACGGAAACGACGGACGGACTACTACTAGAGGAGCAAAGTAAGGCCGGCGAGATCAAGGACGTGGAGGGCCGCATGGGTGCATTGATGGGTGATGCCCAAGAGGCTGCCGTCAATGGTAGCTCTGCTCAAGCTTCGAATGGCACAACTCCTGCTCAAGCACCCTCGCCTGCCCCTGAGAAAAAGCAGCAGACCAACGGAACCGCGTCAACCCCTGCGTCCAACGAAGCTCCAAAACCAGATCCATACCAAGCAAAGCTGGAACGATTGAAGCAACGACCAACATACACAAAAGAGGGCAAGAAGCGTATTGCGCCGCTACTTGTCTCCGGGGCTGGAGGCGGCGAGTCATCTCTTCCTCAGACCCGTTTGATAGCCTCTGTCAGTAACCAAGCGAAGGGTGATGCACCTACATCCATCGTCGATCTTTCGAAGCCCTTCGATGGCCTCCCCAAGGGCGGGTTGACTGCTCTTCTTCTGGGAAATAAGCGTAAGCTTGCCCAGTTAGAAGGCGACGAAGAAAACCAGGTCGAGAAGCGCGTCGCTTTGGCAAGTCAAAATGGTGCTACCCCGATCATGGCCAACACGCCCGATGGACTACTCCCTGCGCAGGTTCAACCTGCACCAAATGGACAACAACCTACTCCGGAATTCATTCGGCCTGCAGTTACGAACCCTTGCATGTCGGTCAGTCAGCTACGGCTTGCAGTTCCTAAGATCCGAACATTTATCCTGCGCGCTCTGGATTCTAGTGGAAAGCCTACAGAGCCACCATCTTCTGCTGCCACTGGTGCCACTGGTGCTACTGGAAGTGAATCGACTAGCAAGTCTCGGGTAGACGTGGTATTCGAGGCTCGGAACCCATCTCCAGCCAGCTTGACCGGCCGTGCTGTTGATCGCGAGCCCGTCCGACTCACACTATCCCGGGGTGAGCAGCCACTATGGCAAGACTTCCTTCCTCGACCTGTCCTTCTCGTTACCGGAAACCAACATATGTGGGCTGCAGCATGCGAGGACGCCTCTCTTTACATCTGGACACCAGCTGGTCGCCGACTAGTAAGCGCCCTCGTTCTGGAAGCGCAGCCAGTCATTCTAGAGTGCAATGGACCTTGGTTAATGTGTATCTCCTCCGTCGGCATGTGTTACGTCTGGAACGTAAAGCACCTCTCCTCCCCACATCCCCCCCATCTCCCTCCAACCCGTCCTCGACGCCGCAATCCACACTCTCGGCGCCAACCCCACCGCGACCCCGGCCATCACAGACGCACGCGTGAACTCTGAAGGCCGCGTGGTCGTCTCACTCACAAACGGAGAAGGATACTCCTACTCCCCATCAATGTACTCCTGGCAACGCATCACAGAATCCTGGTGGGCTGTCGGCAGTCAATACTGGAACTCAACCGATACACCAATCGGCAATCTCCAACAAGCATCCGGTCCCCAGCCAGACAACAAAGACGACAAAGCGGCCGTGGCAGCCGGCATCATCCCCTTCCTGGAACGCAACACAACGAACGAAACCCTTCTTCGCGGCCGGGCCTACTTCCTCCAACGACTTATCAAAGTTCTCCTTTCGCGCGAAGGCTACGAAACCTTCGAGTCGAGTGTTTCTATCGCGCATCTTGAGAACCGCATGGCTGCTGCTCTGTCCTTGGGCGCGAAGGAGGAGTTCAGACTCTATCTCAACATGTATGCCAAGCGCATTGGTGCCGAGGGACAAAAGATGAAGGTTGAGGAGTTACTCAAGGGATTGATTGGTGGGTTGTTTGATGATGAAGAAGGAACTGAGTTTGTCAAGAGGTTGCAGGAGAATGAGCGCGATGGCCGGAATTGGCGCGAGAGTTCGGAGGATCTGTGTGGCTGGCCGCGGGAGACTCTACTTAAGGAAGTGATTCTTGCTCTCGGTATGTTCTTCCCCCTTCCCTTTTCCCCTTATTCCTCTTCTCGTTTTATTTTGCTGACAATTGGGTGTGTTTCTTAGGTAAATACCGTGAACTTCAGCGCGTGACTGTTCCATACGCCAAGTTGCTTGATATGGTGGTTGGAGCTGAAGAAGGTGATGCGATGGACCTATGATTCTAGATCTAGGATATCTTTGCCCGTCTTTCTCCCAGCATTTCTTTCCTTTTCTTAAAATTCTTTTCTTTTCTCTTTCGCTATTCTTATTAAACCCTTTTCTGCTTTCTTTTAAAACGGGGTTCCCAGTCGGCGTTTACACATTGGCTTGTTTGGTCAGGCGGGACCATGGTTGAAAGGTATTTATCCGGTTTCTGCATGGCTGCTTGATTATACTTGATTTTCTTTTTCTTTTTTTACATCCAAGCTAGCAATAAGAGAAGGGGATTTTCGTTTGTATCAATTGTATCATATCATATCTTCAGGGCCTTTCCACCCCTCCAAGTCCCGCTCTGTGCATGTCTTCAAACATTCATTTGAATTTATGCCCTCTCTGTGCCTTGAAACTATCATAATCCTCATTCTCCGTCGCCACAGGGACAAATTGAACTTGAATGCAGGCTATGTCCGAGTGACGACATCATGTATAATCAACCTCATCAAAATCATCAAAAATCCAATTCTCCTCCAACCTCCTCCTCTCCTCATCAGACTCCGCCGCCTGAAAAGCCTCCATCTTCAACTTCGCCGCGCGGGCCTTGGCCTTCTCATACGACGCAATCGGAGTCCACCCTTCACCAGCAACACCGACAATATCCTGACATTCCTGTAATTGTTCATCTGCCTCGACCTGCGCGGCGTTTAATCGAAGACATTCTCCGATCTCCGCGTCTGAAAATGAAATTGGGCAGGTCGTCCCCGTCCCCGTATCCGAATCGGCATCCGAGTCGACATCCGTATTGCCGGTGATATCGGCCCAACGTCGTGATAAAACGATCAAGTCCGATTTCAAAGTAATGGTATCCCCTTCCCACGGATCACCGGCGTGATGCCAGAGTCTGCGACGAAGTTTATTGTATTTCTCAGATAGAGCTGCGTAATGTTCTGGGTTGAGTTTTGCTGTTTGTCTGAGATATTCGCGGTGTAGGCGTCGACGGCGGAAGATTTCTAGTTCTTTTGATGTCCAGTGGTGTCTGGGTTTACTGGTGCTATCGCCTACTAGTTGCAGCAGGTCGTCGCTGTCGTTGTCGATGTCGCTTTCGCTGCCGCTGTCGTTGTCACTGTGGCTCAGACTTGACGAAATCGGTTCCGATTCCTTCGAACTTAATCCCGGCTCAACGATATCTTGACTCTTTACAGAGAGGGGGATACCGGATTGCAAGAAGAGCGGGAGAATAGTGCTGTGTTGCCAGTCGATTAGACCTTTTACTTGGAGGGATTCTGTTACGATGACGTTGTTTGGTTGGAGATCTGGGTGTCGGATGACTGGTCGGTGGAGGTATTGGTCTGTTTCTCCGTTGGGGATTAGGTCGGGCGCTATGGCTAGATATTTCTTTAGATTTTGGATATGGTCTTTGTGCGACTGGGGTTCGTAGGCGTGGACTTCTCGGCGGAGTCGTTGGAAGGGGAGGAGGGGTTTTCCGAACTCTGAGAGGTAGGCGATTTCTTTTGTCGCGCCTGTTGTTAGGGCTGCGAAGCAGTCTTGGTCTAGTGGGGTAGAGAAAGGTTGGATGTTAGATTTGTTCAGGTAGACTAGTAGTGATCACTTACAGGGACCGCGTTCTACGTTGAGGTTTAGTCTTTTGCCAAACCATAATCGAAATGAAGTATCTGGGCCAATGCAGAACTGTTTCGAGTTCTCATTATTCGCGTTGCTGGGTTGAATAAGAATTCGAGGATAAGTATTGGGTAAATCGTCGCAATAATAAAGACTTCCACTTGCGGGAAATCTTAGGGCCATTAATTTGGACTCAATCTGGACGAGATTCGTGATGATGGTTGTCTGTTCCTGCTCGGATAAATTGAACCAGACATCGCCCAAGTTAGTTCCTGTCACTAGTTCCATGAAGATGTACTCGGTCCCCGCGGGGTTATCGGCAGCGGTGGAATAGCCGAAGACCCTGGGGATGGGGAAGCCGTGCGAGCGGAGAAAGTCCATGGTCGCGACTTCATTTGCGATGAGCAGGGATTTTGGTTCTGTGACGGGGAATGGTATGCGAGCGACAAATTGGAAGCCATCGCGCATGGTGATTAGAAAGGTTCGGTTGAAGCCACCTTCGGCGAGCTTTTTGAAGCCGGTCAGATCATTTTCGGACTGGTTGATTGAGTGGGCTGCCAGGCGTTTGAGTTCTGGGATATTGAAGATTTTCCTCCGTTCGGAGTGTCTGAGGGCATCATTGTAGCTGTGGTTCAAGGCTTGTCAGTGAAGTGTGGAGTGCAGAGAAGTTGAGTAAACCTTGGTTAAGCGTACATCCATTTCCCAGTGGTGTACTCGAAGCAGTCATCTGCATTTGCATCTGCATCTGCATCTGTTTGGGGCATTTTAATCTGAAGATGCCAGTGGTATTAGGAGCCCTGGAGTGGACGATACATTGAGTTGCACTGGTGGGGATTCCCTGCTAGATATATAGTACTACCACCAGTTAGTACTACGGAGCACAAGACTACTAGTACTAGTGCTACTATATTTCCGGTCATACGGCCGAGTCCGAGTGAGGCTGTGAGAGGCAGGACGGGATGCGTGCGCGTCCTTTTAGGTTTAGGTTGAGTGTGGCTGGGTAGCCAGTGCGAGTGCGAGTGCGAGTGTGTAGGTACTATGAGTGATTAATCATTAGTGTCTATTAGCAGTACGATGACTGCTTCAAGCCTTATTCAAGTTGCCAGCTGCCCAGTTCATGTTCGTGTACTTCGTTCTTCGTTCCTCGTTCTCGTTCTCGTGTGGATCTATTGGGATAGTGGTACTATGTAGTAGTATATATCCCGAGGTCAACATGGTCACACCACCAACCACCGTGACCGTGACTACGTAAAAATGATTTACCCAAGGGTCAACTTCAAGCTCACTCCTGGGATTACCTCATTAGGTATGGTACTCGTAGTTTAAACTACTTTACTTCTACTTGCATACTCCTTGTATACGTATGAGTAGTGTATGACGTACAGGGCTTGTATATCACGTGACCACTCTGGGCAAAGTCAGCAAAGGCGGTGAGGCTACACCGGCAGAAAACTCCGATGACATCGAGGGAAGCTCCGTTGAGCTCAGGGCAAAGTTGTTCAAGAAGTTTCTCCCTCTCTTTTATCTCCAAATATATACCCTCCTTCATCAATTGACCTCGCTCGCTGTTACCCAGTGGGCCCCGTCATCACGTCGCTCTCCAATTCCTCCCGTTTTCTCCTTCGTCTCGTCGATCGATCCGCAGCTGGTCCTGCCTTGACTTTAAGTACCACTCGCAGCCAACAGAATCAACCCTGCGCCCGCTTCCGCCTTTGCATTTCCCCCCACCTCATCCCACCTTTTTCTTCCTGTCGCTTCTACTCCAGCAAGAAGAAGAAATCCAATAAAATGCCCCCCCAAGAAGGCTGCAACTCAAGAAAAGGTCCTGCTGGGCCGCCCCGGCAACTCTCTCAAGAGCGGTATCGTATGTGAGGACCCCACTCCTTTTTTCTGTGCGATTTTTTCCCTCAGCACAGTCCACTTTTTAATTCCACACAAACTATTTAACCCCATGCATCCCCCTTTCCTCTCTTCCTCCCTTTCTCTCCCATTGAGAATTCTCTTTTCTTCTTCACAGCTCACCATGGCTTGATTCACTCTAGGTTGGTCTCGCCAACGTTGGCAAGTCCACGCTCTTCCAATCCATCACCAAGTCCTCGCTGGGTAACCCGGCCAACTTCCCTTATGCCACCATTGATCCCGAGGAGGCTCGTGTCATCGTCCCCGATGAGCGTTTCGACTGGCTCGTCGATCACTACAAGCCCAAGTCCGTTGTGCCCGCCAACTTGACCGTCTACGATATCGCCGGTCTGACCCGCGGTGCCTCCACTGGTGCCGGTCTCGGTAACAACTTCTTGTCTCACATTCGTGCCGTCGATGCCATCTTCCAAGTGGTTCGCTGCTTCGATGACGCCGAGATTATCCACGTCGAGGGCGATGTCGACCCCGTCCGCGACTTGACCATCATCAGCGAGGAGCTGCGCGTCAAGGATATCGAGTTCGTCGAGAAGGCTCTCGATGCTCTCTCCAAGCAGACTCGCCGTGGTGGCCAGTCTCTGGAGATGAAGAAGCTGAAGGAGGAGGAGGCCACCACTGCTCGTGTCCTCGAGTGGTTGAAGGACGGCAAGGACATCCGTCAGGGTGACTGGTCCCCCAAGGAGGTACGTTTGATCTTTCCATTACCCATTACCCACTACACCCAGCCCACCACTCCTTTTCATGATGAATAAGAGCTATAAGCTCGACAATAAACCCAGCTCGTCGAACGTCCCTCCTAAAGAAGGGGGCGTCTTGAGAAGAAAGTTTATACTGAAAACCATTTGGAGTCTCATCTCGATTCAACCAATCACACAAACCATTGTCCAGCGCATCCTTGCTAACATAATGGTTCTAGGTTGAGGCTATCAACCCTCTCTTCTTGCTCACCGCCAAGCCCGTCGTGTACCTGGTCAACCTGAGCGAGAAGGACTACATCCGCCAGAAGAACAAGTACCTCCCCGGTCTGTTCGAGTGGTGCAAGACCCACACTCCCGGCTGCCCCATTCTGCCCATCTCCGCCTGCTTCGAGGAGCGTCTCACCCTGATGCAGGATGACGCCGCCGCCGAGGAGGAGTGCAAGAAGCTTGGCACCAAGTCCGGTCTGCCCAAGGCCATTACCACCATGCGTACCGCCCTGAACCTGTCCAGCTTCTTCACCACCGGTACGGATGAGGTCCGTCAATGGACCATCCGTAAGGGCATCAAGGCCCCTGCCGCTGCCGGTGTCATTCACACCGACTTCGAGAAGACCTTTATCCAGGCCATTGCCTACAACTACAGCACGCTGCGCGAGCTTGGCGACGAGGCTGCCGTCAAGGCCGCTGGTAAGATCATGACCAAGGGCAAAGATTACGTTGTCGAGGACGGCGATATCCTGCTCATCAAGGCCGGTGCTGCCAAGAGCTAAATGCAAAATGGATAGTTAGTTCTATAAGCTTTGGAAATGATACACTTTGAGAAATCTCAATTATCTGTCAATCGTATACTGTAACCTGTAGAATGTGTTCTCTGATTTTCATATTTGTAACCCGATATGACTGAGCAGCGGTCATCTTTCAATTCAAGCTCGAAACCTATGAACCATGCCATTGTCATGCCATAGTTATTACTACTCGTACTGTTCCTTCGCAGCCCGCCGCAAATCTGATATCATCACGTGACCTCCCCGCGCATCCCACCTTGAACTGCTCGTCCTCGCCGCACCAAGGAACACTCACCAACCAGCACCATGTTCAAGAAAGAGTGAGTAATACCCCCCGAAGCTATATGGGCCCTGAAAATATTTCACTGGGGTCCCGGGCCAGAGAATTGCAAAGGGTGGATGGGTCAACAGCTACCACCGTACCGCACCGCACTGCACTGCACTGCAGCACAAGCTCGAGACCCCGGGAGCCTAAATGAGGATACACGCCACACAAACAAGTCTTCGGAAATTCGAGAGCTAATCATGTCTATCCTCCATTAGAATCCCCACCAGCAACCGATCGAAGGTCAAGTCCTCGGTGCAGCGCGGTCTCCGCCAGAGGCTGCTGGAGGCGTACCCGGGGTTCGAGCCATATATTGAAGAGATAATGCCTAAGAAGGGATCTCTCGAGGCTGTGAAACTGTATGTTGAACCCGGAATCAAACTAAATCACCTTTCGAGCCATATCCTATCCTATCCCATCCCATCGTGTCCTGTCCCGTCCCGTCCTTTCCAACCCATCTTCCAACATCCAACCCAAGCCCCAATCCAACCATCCATTAAACATCCTGAACCTCACTAACAACCCGGCAGCCCAGACAGAGTAACCCTCTACACAATAGACTCAATCCCGCTCTTCTTTCAACCAATCGACGGCCCACCAATCCCACACCTAAAACTAATCCACCAATTCCCATCCGCACTGCCCACAATCCAAATCGACCGCGGCGCAATCCGCTTCGTACTCTCCGGCGCCGCGCTCATGGCTCCCGGTCTGACTTCACCCGGTGGTCGTTTGCCCGAGAAAGAGAATGCTCTTGAGGCGGGACAGATTGTGGCTATTAAGGCTGAGGGTAAGGAGGAGGTTTGTCTTGTTGGTACGCTTAAGGTTGGGACTGAGGAGATGAAGAGTAAAGGGAAGGGTGTTGTTATGGATGAGGGGCATTATCTTGGTGATGGGTTGTGGAATATGCAGTTGGATTAGATGGGTGATGGTGAGAGTGTAAGGAATGTGTACTATAGTACTAAGTACTAAGTACTATATGGATAGATGATTGTCGGGTTCGGATTGGATTGGTGTTGGATATACCTCTGATGAATGATTGATGACTCGGAATTGAAAAGAACTTGAATAATTTCCAAGGTTATCTGTATTTTGTGCCCAGGGCTCTTCAAGGTGTGGCTCCGGACGTCGGTGTATAGATGATATTGAGTTCCAAGGTTCCAAGGTTACATCCCATGATACTATCACCAGTAGTACTAAGTTGCTCACTGGTAATCAAAGTATAAGCCCTGGATGTTGTAGCAGTACTAGTAGGTAATAGTCGTATGCGCGCGTTATCTCGGTTGAAAATATCAATTATTGGATGTATCAGAGGTACTAGTATATACAGTTGCCAGGGTACCATCAATCCCGTTAAAATATGCTTCAAATTTATGAGCCATCCCGACTATCCAAGGAATGGGAATACTCATCCGAAACATCACCGTCTCGCCCAGCATGCTGTGACACAGACGAAGTCGGCGAGAGAGATGACCACGAAGGCGTACGCACAGGAAGACTCAACCCAAGACCACGAACACTAGCAGCCGAACCAGTCCTAGAACCAAGACCCGGGTGCGCCCCATTCGTCGGAGATCGGCGCAGACCAACACGAGAAATCGCTCGCTGCAGCATCTCGCCCGAGGAATCGAGTGCGATCAGGAAGCGGGCTAACTCGGCGCAAAGTTCCCAGTCTCCCTTGCGAGAAGCCAGGCCAATCAGGCGAACAACATAGTCTTCAATCTGGCCGTCGTGATTGTGGTCTTCGTCCTCAAATGCCTGGAGAACAAGGAGATAGCCAACGGCTGTTTTGAGGGAGTCTAGTCGCAAGGCTTGCTCAAAGAGGTCCTTTGGAGGAGGTAGATAGGTGAAAAGTGTACGCCAAAAGCGAAGCTCCGTCTTTCGCGTGCACTGTACTACAATGTCAAGATATTCGCGGGCTGGCAGTGATGCCTGGAGGAAGGCTATGACGGTAGGTAGAAGTGGTCCTTCGTGTGCAGTTGGGTCCTCGGATTTGGTCGCACGGCCGCCGTTGTCCACTTCATCATCGAGGACATGGTGGAGCAGGATTTCGAGGCCGTGGGCAAAGTAGGATAGATGGGAGAAGTGTCGGCAAAGAGAAAGGGTAGCAGGTGTTCCAAGATTTGTAAGACTGTACTGGAGGAAGTATGGGAGGAAGAGATGTGTCTGCGAAAATGTTAGTATCCACGATTCCCGGCATTCAAGAGGTCAGTTAACATACTCGAATGGCGAATTTTAAGGTGGTAAATGTGACATCACGCCGCTGCGTTATTTCGGACTCCACTCCTAACACGATGCCCTTGTTCAACAACACTGACAGAGGGTAGAAGTCGAGGGGTATGTTGAGTGGTGCAGGCACTGTTCCTTGCTGTAGCACATCATGCACGTCATTCCAGGCAAGAAGATCGTGGCCTCGGAACAACCACAGCGAGTCCCTGAGCGAGAGACTGCTATGAGATGGCGCGAGAGCCATGTCGGCGGACGGGCTGTTTGGTAGGGATTCATCTACCGAAGGCGAGAAGTTGAAGGCGAGTTGGTCGCGCATAAGGATATAGTACTCTACATCATTAGAGATGACTCGCATGTCATACTTGAGGTCGCCTCCATCCGTCACCGTCGGCTGTAGGAGAACGAGGTTGCCGTCGACAAGGAGAAGCACAGATGCAACTTTCACGTCTTGGGAAGGGTCGCCATTGTCTGCCTTTGCATCAGTATTTATCGTCTGGGTTGAAGAGGAGCCGGACTCACGCATTTGCTCCTCAGGCAAAACCCAGCTAATGGAACGAACTCGGGTCGGAGCCCTGACAATTCCATTGAAAGCAATCTGTCCGACCGGAACAAGGGTGATTTGAGGCTGTGTGGAGTTTATGACATAGTGGTAGAGGATGTTGTCATAGGTGTAGACTAAGATGGAATCCTCTCCAGAGGGGCCGATAAATACCACCGGCGCGGGAAGATACTCTGTGAATATGACAGAGCTTTCTTTGAGAGCATCCTCGCGCGAGTAGAGACGAATCTATATTCATCACATAAGCTTATCTGAGCAAGACCCGGGAACCATTAGGTCACATACCTCATATGATCCATCGCTTTCAACGGCGGCAATCAAAATGTGCCCGTACCAGCACATACCTCCTCGAATGGCAAATGAGTTCTCCACTTTCGAATCTTCAAACACTTTCCACCTGCCACTGGTGACGCTGTAGTGTGCCAGTCCCCTCCGGCCTGCGATTGCGACATACCGTCCATCCTGGGACACGACGCAGGACCGGATCGGCCATTGCGAGTGAAGGTATGCCGGGGGATATTGGCCATGGTGCCATAGCGAATCCTTGCCTGATATAGTCATTAATTCCGGAAGATCATGTCCACGGTAGAGTATGAACTCGGTCCCGGTCTGCAGCAGGCCTTGGGCGAGATTGGCAGCTGAGAAGCAACCTGTCAAAGCACTGCGAGCTGTTTCTAAGATCCACAGGCGTCGATCATTCTTTGCCGACAGGATAATGTCAGACCCGCCGCCAATCCAGCAACCATTCGAGACTCCTGTCAACCATTCCTCACGGTTTGATGCTGCTAGGGTCGAATCGACTGTGAAGCTGTTACCACCGGGCTTTCCAAAGACACTCCATGTCGTCCACCCATTTTCATAACCGGCGAAGAGACAGTATCCATCCGGCGAATAGTTCATAAAGGTCAACGCTCCTGTGGTAGCTGGTGATGCAGGGAGATGTAACTTTTGAGAGAGCGGTACATTGCCTGTATAATCCTTGGCAGTGTAGACCAAGATCTCCCCATTGGCGCAATAGACGGTTAATAACGAGAAGCGAGCATTAACCGTTACTTTCAAAGCTTTCTCGCCGTCGTCCTTGGGATCGTGAAAGCAATGCCCGTGGAAAAGCTTCTTGGGCGACTCAGGTTCTTGCTGTGTTCCAGGGAGCCGCTGTACTGTATATGCTTGACCATTGCTTGTGAGCCATATCAGGAGATTCATAGCCCGGTCATAAACCATATCAGTGATTGTGACTTTCTTCGGCACGTTCAGAATATGGTTCAACACCTCCGACGTAGTCTGGGAGCCCCCGGACTCGGGTGTCCATCGAATACATTGTATGGCCGACGGTTTCTGGGTGGCCACGACCAGCTCTTGATCCAGCGCCAGCGCCTTGACAATCCCGGACTCAATCTTGATTGCCATACGGAACCTGATACTGATATCTCCGACGACATTTGCGTCTTCTACGGCGGCAAAGTGGGTAAGTTGCTGGCGGCGAGGGTTTGTACTGTGGTCGAATTGCTGCTGGTAGACTCGAGTTGCTGGGTCCGAGGCTACAGAATACGTGAGGAGGTATCCATGTTGTGTCTGAACGACGAGAATTGTCGAATCGGGGTGCATGAGTAGGGCGACATTTGGACCATAGGTCTTGAGAGAGAACGAGGAGCGAGCTATAGCGGCTACCACCGCGGTTGGCTGCCGGAACGTGTTAGTTCAGATCCCAATGCTGCTGAAACACCACACGGGGTTTCTCAAGACGTACCCTCGTTTGCCATAATGAAATTGACGATTCTGTTATGGTTGCAAACATATGCCCTGAGCGTGAGACACAAAGGCCATTGATTGCTTCATCCTCCCACTTTGGGGTCTCCGTATGGGGGGTTGGTCGATCATTGTGGTCCTTGCTTTGGTTGGTTGGAGCTGCGACTTCTTCGGTATCATTATTCTCGCCAACCGAGTTTAGTTGATCAGTCGAAGGAGGGTCGGAGGGACCACGATCCTCGGAGACAACAATGTTTGGACCGTTGACCGCGTAGACCCGGGGGACTCCATTAGGCCAGTACATGGCGCGGCGAAGGAGAAAGCTTCAAAGCGGCAACAGCGGAGGTCACCAGAGGAGAAGCATGAGTCATCCGGGTCATCTGATTAAAAGGAAAGAAGAAGGGAAAAGAGGAAGGCGCAACCCAAGACCAGAAACAAAAACAGAAGCCGCGGCCATTTGAACTGGGGAAGCTGCGACCAACGGGGCCGATAAGCGGTGTCACGTGGGGCTGCTGCTCCCCGCATCAAAAAGCATCCATTCGCTTCTTTTTTTATCGGAGAGCCCCAGCCTTTCTTTCTCTTCTTCTCCCCTTTATTAAATATTTACACACCTTTCAAAAAAGGAATATCTGTTTACTATGGTGAGACCGAACAGTCCTGCACTGAGGAATGGGACTTTTACTGACTATGCACCGCTGGTAGGCCCCCACCGAGAGCAACAAGCGCCTTGCGCTGGCTATCATCGACTTCCTCGGCTCCAGTCTGAAGGATGGCACTCTCACCGCCGACGATGCCGAATCGATTGAGATCGCCCAGTCCTGCATTGCCGATACCTTCAAGGTGGATCCCTCCAACGAGGCAGCCGTAAAGGAGGCCGTTGGTGGTCAATCCCTCGCCAATATCTACAGTGTCTACGAGAAGCTGCGCAACAAGTCCACCCCCCAGCCCGACGCCGGTGCCGCCCAACAATCCCAAGAGCAAAAGCCCACCAAGGCCGGTACCCCTACCGATGAATCCGACAAGCTGAAGTCCGAGGGCAACTCCCTGATGTCCAAGAAGGACTACCCCGCCGCCATTGAAAAGTACACCCAGGCCCTGGAGATCGCCCCCGCCAACCCCATCTACCTCTCTAACCGCGCCGCTGCCTACTCCGCTTCCCGCAACCACGAGAAGGCCGCCGAGGACGCCCTGCTGGCTACCACTGTCGACCCCAAGTACTCCAAGGCCTGGAGCCGTCTGGGTCTTGCCCGCTTCGACATGGGCGACTACCACGCCGCCAAGGAGGCTTACGAGAGTGGAATTGCCGCTGAGGGCAATGGTGGCAGTGATGCGATGAAGCGCGGTCTGGAGACCTCCAACCGCAAGATCGAGGAGGCTAGCCGTGCTAGCGAGCCCCCCCTCTGAGGAGCTTGACACTGCCTCTGGCGCTTCCCGCGGTGGTACCGGTGGTATGCCCGATCTTGCTTCGCTGGCCGGTATGTTCGGCGGTGGCGGTGCTGGCGGTGGTGGTGGCATGCCTGACCTGAGCTCTATGATGAGCAACCCCATGTTCTCCCAGATGGCCCAAAACCTGATGGGTAACCCCGACATGCTGAACAACCTGATGAGCAACCCCCGTCTGCGCGAGATGGCCGAGAACTTCGGTCAGGGTGGTGGCATGCCTGATATGTCCAGCATCATGAGCGACCCTAACCTTGCCGATATGTAAGTTGATCCGTCGCCTTCGGCTCCCCCCTGATCATAAACTAACGATTTCGTACAGGGCTCGCAACATGATGGGTGGTGGTGGCGCTGGCGGCGCTGGTCGCGATGCCGGTAACCAGCAATAGACGTTTTTGGATGACATGTATGACCGTGGAAAAAGACACGATGATGATGCTTTTGTGGCGATTTCGATTTGCAGCAGCGTTTCTTAGACACGAACACATTTCGTTACTGATTCTTCAACTCTCTTCCTGTTCCTTAAAAAGCTCTAACTACTATGAAAAGCTCTAAATACTATGATCATAACTTGGATGATGGGGAAATTGGCACAAGAAAAAGAAAGATAGAAAAAAAAGAAAAGGAGTTAGTTGGTCGCCAGCAGGCGGAATCGAACGGTCAACCTGGAAATTCCGCAAAAAGGCAAAAAGATAAGCCCGCAATTCAGCTTCTCCTATCCCGCATATGGACTTTCCTAGAGGAACCAATTGTTCCCCTAGACCATAAGGGTCTACGTGCCAAGACTTTCACTTCTTAGGAAATTCACCATGCAATAGATCACCCAGTACTGGTTATGCATACTCACTCTATTGTTTTCTTTTGCTTTCAAGCAAAGATATGCACCAATAATCTACTAAACTGCTCATTTCCGTTATCCTTTCACAATTTCAATACAATTAATCAGTATTGGTCATGCCTTCTACGATTTCATGAGCAATGCCAAATCTGAATGGTCACCAACCTCAGTCTCCATCCACGAAAGAACCTTGGAAAGCGGGCAGTAAAAGATCATAGGAGAGACAAATTAAAATGGTTACCACAAAATACATTCTCCTTGAATAATATGTACACGACTTCAATGCAACTCCAACAATTGCCTTCCGGATCTCCATTATCAGGAAGACCCGCAAGCCACAGCACACAGCACAGCATAGCAGAGCACAACCAAAAATTCAAATGACCGATAGACGGCCCACATGCAGATCAGACGGTGTCGAGGGGAGAGTGAAAATGCAAGAAACATATAGGACGCCGCGAAACACCTTCAACCCAAACGCGCAGTCCAAGTCTATGGAGAGGGGGTTTTTCGTTTCCAATTCGCCCGGGGAAGGGGGAACTGGAAAAGGGACTCGCGCCATAAGGAGAACAAAAAAGGGAAAAGAGACAAAAGTAAGAACATTAATACATGAAGAAAGAACACCGACCGCGCGAAGTCAAGTGGTCGGGTACATAACCGTGAAAAAAGATGCCAGATCCACGTGGCTAGATATCAAACAGTCATATTGTACAGTTGGGGGGACGGATAAAGAGTAGGGAAACGGGTAGAGCAAGAGGTTGAGAGGCCGAGAGGAGTGAGGATTGCACACTGAGAAGCAGACCAGCCTGCCACCTTAGATGTAGTCACGAGCAGCCTTCTGCAGCTCGATCAGTCTCCAGCCGCGGGTCTCGGGGTTGTTGACCTCTTCGGGGATACGGGTCATGCCGATAGCGTAAGTGACCAGTTGGACCTTGTCCTCCATACCGGCAGCGAGCTTGCCAGTCTTGACGTTCTTGTAGACGTGGATCTCCTGGGCACGGCAGGTGACAACGAAAACGGGGATTTCACCGGGGTCCAGGATACGGGCGTGAGAGATATCAACACCACGAACATCCAGGATGCGGCCGTCGGACTTCAGACCAGCGGTGGTGTATTGTTTGGCGAGGGCAGCGTAGACGGAGAATTGAGCATCGGAAAGCCAGAGCTTAAGAGTCTCGACATCACCCTTGACATAGGCGTCCAGAACCTCGGGAAGCATGTATTCGCGCAGCTCGCGCTGGAACTCCTCCATCTTGAAGTTGGGATCAATCTCACGGAATCGCTTGATGACTTGAGCAGTCTCGTTCTCGGCAAAGAAGCCTCCAATCTTATCGGTGATACTGCGGGCTGTGCTGATGAGGGGGTTCTCGGATTCCTCGTAAACGTCGCGGAAGGTGAACAGCTTCTGCATCATCGGGTTGGAATCCTTGAAGTCGCGCCATGACTCCTTCCAGGCGGCGTCCTTGTGCAGAGTAACGTGGGTACCGGCGCTAGAGACAAATTAGTGACTAACATCCTCGGAGGGGCTTAATTTGGAAATGCAGAATTGAAACGTACTTGGGGTCCTCAACAGCCTGCTCCACCTTGCGCTTGCCGGACTTCAGCTCCTGCTGCTCGCGACGCTGGCGCTGTAAACGACGCTCTTCCTTCTCAGTCCATCCACCATAGCGGGAGCTGCTACCGTCATCAATGGCATCCTTGACGCTCTTGTACGCCTCGGTTTCACGAACAGGTCTCGTGACCTTGTCCAGACCCTCTCCAGTGGCGTTGACACCCTTGCGAAGGCCCTTGACGGCAGTAGTGTTCCAAGTCCACGAAGCACTCTTTCCAATGACCTGACCAGTCGACTTGAGGGCGGCGGAAGTGCGGCTACCGGCGGCGCCGGACGCAGCCTCGTAGGCGGCACGAGCACGCTTGATCCTCTCGTTCTCACTGAACTCATGGGCAGAAGAAGCCAGAGCCTTGGTAGATTCCTCCCACTCCTTGGATGCCTTGAACTCGGTCTGCAGAGTTTCGCGGAAAACTTGCCAGGGGGACTTGTCGCCGTGAGGTGGCGGTGGAGGAGCTTCCTCCTTCTTTTCCTTGTTCTCATCCTTAGACTCCTCGCCCTCTTGCTCCGACTTGGATTCTTCTCCTTGCTTCTTCTCGTCCTTCTGCTGCTTCTGCTGCTGTTGCTGGAAGAGAGGGGTGGCGACGTGGAAAGATCTGGTCAAGGGAAGGGCGGCGAATGGCGAGACCAGTTGGGATACAGGAGAACGGGTCTGCTGAAGGGTCCTTTGACCTTGGATGGAAGTCTTAAATGTCTGCGCAGGCAAAGCCGAGTATGACATTGCCCGAGATCCTGACTTGAGGACCGCGACTTGGGACCGCAAGGTCGCCGCACGCGCGGCAGTGGACATCTTAGCGGAAATCATGCTCTGAGGGTAGGGAGAGGATAGAGGAAGGGAAGAAAGAGATTAAAGGTCAAAGAAAAAGAAAAGGATGAAAAATATAATCCAGCCCAGCCCGGACGGCAAATGAGGAGAGACGGAGGTTGGACCGGGGAAAGTAGGTTGGGTTGAGTAAGGGAAAAGTCGAGATGCCAAGACCTTCGAAAATCTTCCAGTTCTCCTTCCGCCTCTCTCGGTCCGTCGGCCTACGATTCAACCCCCCCCGGTCGCGTCACCCTCGATCAATTGATCCTCTGATCTTCTCAACAATTGAATACCGACATATTTCCATTGCCATTGAATTCAGAGTGGTCAATATCCCCGGTACCCCCCTTCTCGTGTCCCCAACGTCACCGCCGACACATCGGCACAAGCACTCTACGCCATGAGTTCTTTCTCTATGAACGCTCTGGCCAAGACGCTACCTTCGGTATGCCGGCAAAATATCTCTCGCTCGGCTGGTCTTAGCAGTGTCCGTTCCATCACATCCTCCTCCTCCCAGCAAGCAGATGGCAGCTCGAGGGCGGAGCGTACGCGATCCCTGGAGAATCAAATCCTCGACCGAGCCCCCAGTAGCGCCGATAAGGCTTCTCCTCTGTCTGCCATTACCAAGATGATGCAGGGAGGCCAATCTTCCTCCAACTCGCGTTTTACATCCGACTACAGCAGACTGGCCGAGAGCTTGGAAGCCGATATGATGCGACACCCTTACGCCGACCGCGCCCCTCCTCATCACCTCCACGTCTACTGCCATAAACACAACACAATTCTCACTCTGACACGACCGAACGGTAACCCGATGTTGTCTATGGGTACCGGTCAGATTGGTTTCCGCAAGGGTGGTCGTGCTGGGTTTGATCCCGCCTACCAGTTGTCTTCCCACGTTCTGTCGCAGATCCAAGAACGTGGCTATCTGCTGGAGATTAAGCGGCTAGAGGTTGTTTTCCGTGGATTCGGTAAGGGTCGGGAGGCTTTTACCAAGGTGTTGCTCGGAAATGAAGGTCGCAATGTGCGTGGACTGGTGAACCGGGTGACCGACTCTACGCGTGTTAAGTTTGGTGGTACCCGCAGTCGCAAGGTCCGCAGACTGGGTTAGTTTGGAGATTTGTGGTAGGCGTGAAATGATCTTCTATAAAGAAGCAGAAGCAGAAGTGAAAGCAGATCTTGGAGTGCATGTGAAAGCTCTAGGAAGATGGGGAGTATATTGGGGCTTCTTTCGGGCCTAGGGCCATCATCTATTATTTGTACCATTTGTACCATAGTAAAATTCAAGCACAGCATATGCAATTCTACAATATTTTACTCTACTTTTACTACAAACATCACCTTCACCTTTAATCGCTAGATATTACTGAATGCACCCTGAACATCCCAAGGCGGTTAGCGCAGCAGCTCTCCCGCAGCGGAGCGATCACCTTCAAGTTCACCTTGGAATCTCCCTGTGACTGTCAAGACCACTTCACGATTGTCGCTTCTGTTCATTTCATTAGCCCTCCTTTCCATTTCGACTCCTCTCTCCCTTTAGAGTCGAATACCTCTGTCTGCCGTCTCTTCCCTTCCCTTCTCTTTTATTCCATCCTGGACCTGGACTGTTGCCTGCAGTTGAATGCGCCGGAAGCTCTTCCCCGCGAAACACCCGTTCACCGCGCACAATCCCCACGTTTGCGTTTGTCATAGAATCCGAAACGACTTGACTTGATGATTGCTGGTTTTCTTTTGCTGGGCCGTCCAATACCGTTTGGATGCACCCTCTAAATCCCTTCCTCCGTGCCTTCTTTCGAAGCACTGTTCCCGGGCAGTGTATACCCGTGGAGAACCATGTAAGTCTAGCTTCTCCAAACCCCCCTCGGATCTATCGGACTGGCTGACCAGTGGATCTTCTTTTTCTCTCTTCTGCACAGGTCCTCCTTGTTCCTACCACGGAGTCCCTGACCGGTTCGCGGGACCGCGAATCCAATATCCTCTACTCCGACCTCGTCGCGTCAGAGGAGTTTCTGGGTAGCCATGTGCTACGGATTCCGATCAACTCGGGCTCTACGAATGGAAAGGACGAGTCCAATGTGCGAGATAATCGAGGGAAAGCGAAGCAGTTGACCACCTTCAACGGAAGAACTGTTATAATCAAGGAAAGCTCTGTCTACAGCAACAAAGGTACGAAGTCCAGCAATTGCTCGGGAATACTGTCGCGTTGACCATCCTATCCCTCTAGGCTTCAAATCCCTCACTCAGGCTCAGCTTTTGTCCGACGCGCTCTACTATGCCCCTTCTACAGACTCTCGACCATGGCTTGTCTACTACATTTCACGCCCATTGATTGGAACGTTCGATCCATTCAAGATCATTTCCGCTGTCGTCCCTGGATCAATACCCCGAAAGATTGAATCGACCCCATCGGATAAAAAGGGCAGCAATGGCGAGTCCACAGTCTCTCCGCCGAAGCAGGAGATCAAGTCTTTCGGGGAGCTGCTAGCCAACTTCCCGATGATCGCAAGACAAATGCAGCCGGGGCTGGAGAGATTGTTTAAGGAATTTGGAAAAGAGCTTGGAAAGCCGCTGCCACCCCCGCCTTCCCGTTCACCGTCTGCATCAGGCAGTGAGAGTGGCAGACGGTTTACACGCGCGGAGTCTCTTGCAGATGAAAGCTCGTCTATTCGCAGTTGGTCGTCGCGTCGGGGCCGATTACCATTCAACTCCGATGAATATTTCGAGGATGATGAGGACCTAATGCGCCGGAGTCTGGAGACTGCAGTCACCGCTGCCATTGATCTATTCCGACTGGTCGACAAACAGCAATTATCGCTTCTCGGAGCGACTACAGATCTAACCGGTCCGCTTGTTGAAAGCCTCATCGAACGGTATGTCGCCGAGCAAGTTCATGAACCGCTTCTCTTCCCCCGTCTCTGCGCTTTCCGACAATCCGAAGATTCAGAGCTGGACTCTAGGATACGACACATGGAAAGCATTGATGTGACTCAAGTCGGAATCTCCGTGGACGGCGGGCGCCAAGGTAAAAGAGAAGTGATTCGTCGCCTCACTCGTGGCGTTGAAGAGTTTCGCAAGATTGGGGATGCCCAGGGGCCACACGATATGCTAATTATCCTGCTTCAAACCGTCAAAGTGATCTCATACCCCGGAAGCTATGATGGGGTAGATGGCCCGGCCTCTGAGAAGGGGAAATCACCCTTGACGATCAACGCGGATGTACTGGTTTCACTGCTGTTGGTCGTGGTAATTAGATCGCAGATCCGGCATCTTCAAGCTCGCTTGTTGTATATGCAGCATTTCATCTTCATTGACGATGTAGATAGCGGCGAGATGGGCTATGCCCTGAGTACATTTGAAGCCGTCTTGATGTACCTCGTGACCGATTCTGCCGGTCTTCGACGAGCTAGTGCTCGCAATCGACGCCTATGGCAGGCTACCAAGGGCGGGAGGCTCTCGGACATGAAGGGCATATTGGAACCCAACGGAGACCATGACTCTATCGATGAAGATGTCACTCCTGAGCCTGAACGAAAGTCTGTATTCTTCCAAACGGACAGTTCGGATGAACTGGAGGAGTCACCATTTGAAACATCCTCTGTGTACAGCAACTCGGTAATCACGAACGGTGACTTCGCCCCAGAGGAGCGTGACCCTGAAGCGCCGCCCTTATCACATGTGTTTCCTTTCCAGACCTGGGGTGGAGCCTCGCCTCGAAGAGGCTCCATTCGGCCAACTAAAAGAGTTTCAATGGATGTTCGCAGCCTTTCAGAGTCATCTGCAGTATCATTCTTGTCAAGAACCACCACTATCGGGTCCATGGCCAGCAACATTGAGGGCGACAGCTCTATTGAAACTTTAACCAAAACGCAAGACCCAGCAGGGGACTCAATTCCGATGATGGCAGTGCAGAGCCGACAGACTGAAGCCCTGAAATATCTTTTGAGCTTAGAAGAATTTTATCCCCTAGAGGATGTTCTTGAGGATACAAATGCTGACGGCACGACCCTGTTAAATGCAGCCGTCCAGCTCGCGCACATCGAAGTCGTTGGTATTCTGCTGGACTTTCTATTCAGCAAAGCAGACGAGAGTGTGGTTTCTATGTACCTAACCAAGTCAGATGTGCACGGCCGTACCGTTGCACACTACCTCTTCAACACGCCGTCTCTACTCGATAGGCTCAGCAATATCCTCCCCTGGCAGCAACGCGACAAACATGGCCAAACCCCACTTTTTGCCCTGTGTCGGTCCTACGATCACCCTGAGTACAAACCTATGGTACGAGCCGCGCTTACGGCTGCTCAAAAGGCCCAACGCAATGGAAAGCCCCTTCAAGTCGATGCACATATTGATGCAAAGGGCAATACCCTCCTGCATATTGTTGGAGACCCCGAAATCACAACAAGTATCCTCACCGAGAGCGACTGTGACCCGAACGCCACGAACGATAAGAGGTTCACGCCATTGATGATGGCGAGCAAGTATGGCCGAGTTGAGCAGGTCCGGATTCTCTTCATGGACCCTAGGGTCGACGTTCATGTCAAGGAGGCACGTGGATTGACGGCCGTTGAACTTGCAAAAGACGACGAGGTTCGCAACCGTATAGACGATTTGATTCTACTGTCTCATCCGCCGTCGGCCTGTGGAGACCCCTCCGGTCGAGTGACTACCGTGGTACGGTCGTTCTTCGTAGAGGATGCCACAGTTCGATTCATCCTGAAGTCGGGTGCACCATACGGACCCTCGCACACAGTGGCTTCTTCACGACCGGGCTCAACAACGTACACTGTGACGACCTGTCGTCGCAGCTTTACTGACTTCGAGAACCTTGCCAAGTGGCTTGCAGTCGAACATCCCGCGTCTTACGTGCCCTCCTTGGCTGATTTCCGGAACCCTTTCCAAGTCCACTCCAAACCTTCACGATCTATCCTCCATGACCTCCAAGACAAACTTGACCGATTTCTAAAAACGCTCCTGGCCCATCCAACCTTCGCCACGCACGAAATGCTTTGGGAATTCTTTCTCGTCCCGGAGCTACAGCCCGAAATGATGGCCGATCGGTCTCGCAGCAAGGCAGCTGTTCTCACCGAGACAATCAGCGATGAGTTCTCACCCGTCACCCTTGAAGGCATGCGTGATACCGAATCATTCGTCACACACGCCCAGGACATAGTCCGCGCCGCCCACGTCAACACAAAAAGCCTCATCCGCCGCGGCCACGCCCTTCAAAATAGCGCCTCAGACATCGCCGACGCCGTTTCACTCTGCGCAACCGTCCTATCAACCCTCCGTGAACCAACGAACGCCCTCCCCACATCTCACATAACCGCCTTCGCCCGCTACGGCAACTGCCTATCAACCTCAAGCACAGATTCCTCTCCACTACTACAATACATCGCCGCACTAACCTCAATCGACAACACAACCGCTGCAATCCTAAAATCCCTCTCACGCCCTCTTTCCATAATGTCCAACCTAACCTCCACAAACCGCACAATTGGCCGGTCCCGCTCATCCCTAATATCCTCCTCCTTACCGCGCAAATTCAACCTCAACTTACCCGGCTTCGAAGAATCACGACAAAAGTCCGTCCGCGATCTGGAAAAGAAGATCCGCGACGGCGAGGCCGAGTCAAGCCGTCTTGCAAAGGAGATTTCATGGAACAAGGATGTCGTCGTGGGCGAATTAGCCGGGTGGACGACTTGGCGCGAAAAGGTCGGCCGTGAGGCTATACGCGCTTTTGTAAAGGATACCCTTGTGCGAGAGAGGGAACGTGGGAAACGCATGGAACGCTGCTTGCGTAGTGTGCGGGAAATAAAGAAGTTGTAGAAAAAAGGCTGCGAAGGCTACTACAAACTTCTTCTACTATTTCCGAGTCTCTTCGATGCATCGGGGGTCTTCCCTCCCCTCTCCTGCCACATCCAGCTCTCTCTTGTGTTTCTGTTTATTTTCTTTTTTTAGCGAGATGTTCCAATTTTGTATATTTTCATGACGGACATGATCCAGGGCTATACATTTTCTTTGCGAGAATTTTTTTCACTTCTGGTGCTAGTACATCGCTCATCCCTGGCCAAGGTCTCAGGCTCCGGGGCTTCTTCAAAGTTTCAAGTTCCTCCGATAGACTCCCTCGCTCTAGCTACTAGTATTTACATGGCAAGTCTACTATATCTTCAGAGCTTCCAAAGTTGGGCCGAGACGTCGCCTGCTATGGGTGTTATCATTCAACTTTCGATTCTTTTATAATATTAGGTCTGTAGGGCAAGGGTTAATGACCATGCAAGGTCGACTTCCTGTTTGAATTATAGACTGTGCAATGTGAAGATACTGCACATCCCGTTACCAACTGCATGAACACAGAACTGCTACCTAACAAATACATTCATCAGTTCTTTAGTAATGCAGACCGTCGAAGCACGGCCATATACCCATCGATCCAAGAGACTCCAAGGAAATAAACGATTCAAAAAAAAGCCAAAAACACCAACTCCAGTAGTATTTTTATAACACTGTAGACTACCGCCAATATCATGAAGCATCAGAAAACCGGAACATCGACGCCGGTGGCGCGGTACCCAAAGAGTCAGGAGACTCCTCAATGGGCGAGATAGTCATAGACCGGCTACTATAAGACCTGTGGTGATTGCGACGAGAGTTGCCAGAATCATTGATCATGCGGGGCAAAGAGCGAACGGTGTTCTGAACGAAATATCGACCCGAAGACTGGGATGCATTGGACGCACGCTGGGAACGAGAGTAAGAAGGGACCAGCGAGCTCACCGAACTAGGTAACATATTTGAGCTGTAGGAACTTGAAAGCGAGGAACGCGGGCTTTTCTGGTCATTGCTGAGAAGGGAACTCATTTCTGTCGTCTCGGCTGATGTTGTTGCCCAGAGTTGTGAGGATCGCACAGTTGGAGGGAATGTGCTTGACCCCACTGATTCTCGCGGTGAGAGTTGTAGAGATCCACGAGGTGTTGCGGTTGATACTGTTGTTGGTGGTGTCGAGTCGCTGCCCTTTGAATCAGTTGAACCACTCTTCGAACCACTCGAGCTACTACTCTTTGAGACGGTTTTCGAACCACTGGAGGTGGTCTTTGAGCCGGAGGAATCGGTCAGATCTGAGATTATGAAGCTGGGTCTTGCTCCATCTGCTGATTCACGAGCCAAGGGGTCCATTCTGAGTATACTGTTGAGACTCGCCTCGTAGCTGTTTCGAGAGGCCTTGGAGCTTGGACGATCGGCTTGGTCCATAGCGTAGGTGATGGATGGTGAGCGACTGCGACTGAACATGATGGACGTGCGCTCTGGCTCGACATCCTTCATGAGAAACTCATCCAGCGCCTTGCTGGCCTCTTCGCCTAGTGTGAGGGAAGATTGGTCGAATTGGTTGTCATTTGCACGAAGTCGGCGGCGGCGGCGCGTTTTGCACTCTCTCGCCACGTACCAATATCCCAGAAAAGCGAGACAGGCGAAGGTCAAGATTGAGATGATGACGACCGCGGCGATGGAACCCTTGTCGAGGCCCCATTCGGATTGGGTGGACTTTGTAACGGGGACGGTTTTGGACTTTGCGGATGGAATGGGGCTGGATGCTGCTTTGGAAGTAGCGGCGTTTTCACTCCAAAAACGCGCCTTTGATTGTATTTCGTCCTGAGTTGCGTCTTTTATGTCCTCTGTCTCTTTTGCAGCAGCATCGCTTCGGAGAGGAGCGGGGGCCTCGCTTTGCTCCTGGTCTTCTTGTTGCTCTTGCGAGCCAACCTTCTCCACGATCCAGGGGCTGAGTCGATGGTTCGAATCCAAGCCGTTCTCAGGCTCGGGGAAGATTGTGACGGCCCGGCGAGGGTAAACTACGACGGTGATGAATTTATCATTGATGTGTTTGTCCAGAGGATTTGGGCCGGTTGTGGTTGTCTCGGACCAAATCGGTAACTTCATGACACCATGCGAAGAGGAAGTCATGGCAGATATGTCCGGTGGAGTGATTGCAAGTGAGTCTGTGCAAGATGTGGGAGATGTGAAGCATAAAGAAAGGAAGGAGGAAGTAGAAGAGGAAGTAGAAGTCAACAGCCAACGCAGTCAACACTACCAACAATGTATCGCAGCTGCCATCGCTGCCTCACGCAGCTTCCCTTTGGCATCATAAACTATACACATTACGAAGTATACTACTAGTAGTATTACGAGTAGTTAAAATTACTAGGGCTATTCTTGGCTTTCTAGGATGTGATGCCTACCTTAAGGTAAGGTTAGAGTAAGGTTCTATCAGTAACAAGTCCAGATAAGATGACATCAAGCTTCCCTGAAGGTCAAGCGACAACACATCACCTTAATCTATCTCCGACCATGAGCCAATGAAACCCTTCTGGAGACGTGAACTCGGAGTTCCCAGAAAATCTCACGAATCTCACGAATCTCGCTGGCGGTGCAAGTGACTAAGCACTCTTGACACCTACGTCATCGTCATCGGGGTTTATATAGATGCCTGCCCACCTTGACGTAGCACTCATCATCTACAACTACTGGTACCTCTAGTTATATCTGACATCCCATCAAACATCCATCAGAAGACCAGAATCTCAAGTTTTAATTCCATTCAACTCACAGTCCCATCCGTCATGCCTCTCGTTGTTCCCGGCATCAACTCCGACATGGGCGATAAGTCCGAGTGGGTCAACAAGCTCATGGGCAAGAAGATTGGCGACACAAGTAATGAGGTGGTATGTTTGTTCTCGGAAAGTACTGCAGTGTTTGAAATACTCTAACACCACCTGCTCTACCAGTCCTTCGCAAAGAAGGACCTGCCCGAAACTCACCGCGTCGTGAAGCCTGGTGACATGCAGACCATGGACCACCGCCCCGAGAGGTATGCAAACTATTAGATCGTCTTGGTATCATTCAATATTTCAGCCTAGTACTTGCTAACTGTTAATCTAGACTCAATGTTCACGTTGATGAGGATGGAACTGTTCGAGATGTGACCTACGGCTAGGCGACATCATGCCATGCCTTATTATTATTTGTAACGATGTAACGGAGAATCTTCAGGCCTAGAGAAATCTAGAGATTGAATGAATATTTACCATAATCCCTGCTATACATATAAGATGAAGAGACTATAAGGTAGTGTTTATTTGATGCGTTTGATGTATTTATATAGAAAAATCACGAACTTCTAGGGCAGTCTCACTCGCAGCACATTTTTACTCCGCCTTCCATCTCAGCAAAGTAACCGAAAGCTTAGGGAAAACATAAGATCCCTTTCCATCCCAACTGGATTCTTTAATAGCAACCTCCTCCCGGCCCTTCATATTAGTAGCCGCAATCCCCTCACCAGTAACAGTGTAGACAACAACATCACCAACCACACCATCGACCTGACTTTCAAAGCCCTTCTGCTCATGAATATTCACAACAGCCAGATTGGCAAAGCCATCCTCACCAATCGTAGCACTCACATCCAACCAAGGTGTCTCCATCGCACTCCTCAACCACTTCGGCGAAGTTTCACCCTCATAGGTACCGCAAGAAACATGCGACGCGACAGTCCAGCCGCGCATGAACTTCGAAAACAAATAAAGCGGCCACCAAGTAGTCTGCTTGATAATACCCTCCTTCGTCGTCATGAGCGGTGAAATCACATTGACGCTCTGGGCGATGCAAGCCATGCCGACATCACGACTCTTCCGCACGAAGACATTCAACCAGACGGCCACAGCCAGCGCATCGGAGAGCGTATAGCTTTCTTCAGCACCCTGGCTCCCCTCTGCGCGAATCGGGTCCCAAACGTTCCATTCATCAAAGCAGATCGTTGGACGTAGCTGCTCTGGCGGAACGCCATTTTCGATACGGGCTAGGTCGATCAGGCCTGAGGTGATCTCGATAGCTCTCTCTGCGGCTAAAGGCGCGGTTGCGTTGGGGAGGTGGTCATTTGAGCAGGTGTAAAGGTGGATACTGTGCATGTCGATTAATGGAACTGCGCTGGTTGAAAGTGCCGAGTGGGCTGGCAGCAGGCAGTGCTTGAGAGTGTAGTAGTCCCAGGTTGCGGTACCATCTTGACCGCAGAGAATGAGGATTAGGCTGGGGTCCAAGAGTTTGAGAGCTAAATGTAAAGGTTAGAACGGTTGTTTTTGGGTCTTTTGAGATAATCTCACCCTTGGCCCACTGCAGTGCCTTGTGGGCATATGCTTCCTTCGTCATTTGCTCGACTTGCCAGGGTCCCCATGTCTCATTTCCAAGGGCCCAGTATTTGACCTAAAATTATAAGTCTTTGAACATGGACGATGAATTAAGTTTGATACTTACGTTGTATGGCTCCTCGTGACCATTCTTCCGGCGAAGGTTCGCGTAGTATGTATTCCCAGTACCATTGCAGTACTCGACCCAGGCAAGAGCTGATGGAACAGTCAATAAACTTTTCGGGATTAATGATTGATGAGTATGAATTACCTTCGTCCAGAGTACCAGTTCCAAAATTGAAGCACAGATATGGTTCCGTGCCGATCACCTCGCACCATTTCATGAACTCATCCGTTCCGAACTGGTTAGTCTCAGTTCCCAGCCATGCAAGCTCCGGTCTAATAATATATTAATACGGGAGATTTTACTAGAGCCATTTAAAAATGGAACAGCGGAATATAAAGCTGGGGTAGACTTACCGGGATGGCCGTTGGTCCTTCGGGCCAACTCCGTCGAGCCAGTGGTAGGTAGCACAAAAGTTACCACCGGGATACCGAACAACAGGGATGTTAAGGTCCTTTAGTGCCTCCAATACATCCTTCCGGAAACCGTTTTCATCGGAAAGTGGACTTCCCGGTTCGTAGATGCCTCCATAGATGCATCGGCCCATATGCCTAAGGTAGCGTCAGCATACGTTGTCTCCGATATCGTGCCATGCGCGGTCTGGCGGTTTTTAATTGACCACACTTACTCAGTAAAACCAGCATAGATGTTGGGATTAATCTTCGAGATCCGACGCGAAGGATGAACGGAGATGACAGGGGTGTCCTGGTCCCCCAACTTGGTGAAAGTAGTCATGCTGGCAACTCAAATCGCGTAGAAGCTCAGCGGGAAGAAGCTTTGTCTACAAGCAAATTCACGTCTGTCCGATGGCTGGAAATTATAGCTTAGGAAATTCGAGCCAGGATGATGTTTTACCAGGGTCAAGCGAGCGGGGAAGAAATGTCGCACGAAAAGTACACTCCCTTCAGTCCAATCGCCAGATTCCATCGAATCCACACTCACCCCATAATGATAGGGCGTACATATCGTGCTTCATCCATTCTATCCAAGACGACCCAAGTTATCGCCTTGAAGCGGAAAATCTCCTGCGGGGCAGAGTCGAGACCCTAGCCAAGCGGGGTGGACAAAAAGAGCTGGCACAAACGACGATGCCCGTTTGGTGCTAGGGGCCGGTCATTTGAAGCGCTCAAGTGGGCGAGTGGGCAGGAAATGGAGAGGCTAACAGTTCGGGGGACCGATATCGCCCAATGACTCGGCATTGTGGACTGATAGATTGAAGTGTCGCCGAGCCCTGGAAATCTTCCGTCAATCACGGCGCAGCAAGGGAAACGCAGCCACTACATAGTACGAACGGCAAAAGATCACTTGATGCTAGAACTCGCGAACCATTTTCTGACAGCCAGGCTCGGGAGATAGTGAAATCTAACAGCTCTGCTCTTTTTGTTCCGTAAATATGCCCGGTTAATAAGACCTGGGGGGTTCGGCACGACCTCGGGAGATGTAATTCGCGGAGGTGGATTTGCGGGTTAGCGGGTTAGCGAATGGACTTCTTGACCATCCACTTGGAGTATAGCTCCATCCCGGATATTTCTGACAAAGGTCACTTTTGTCGATGCCACACGATGCGATCAGCTGTGTGGCTTGAGTTAAGGAGTTTTCTCCGAACCCTAAGCGATGCAGCTCGCCTCGTGGATTTTCTGCCGTCTGGACTCGGAATGGTAGTATATGTAGACGACAGCTCCCCCCGGTGGAGTTGATGTTTTTTCTGTGGAGATCCCCAGATTTCGTTCCCCGTCCTTTGCTGATCGTGGGTCGTCTCTACTAATCAAATCTTTTAACTTCGTTGCCAAAGAGCATAGTTCACCATGCGTTTGTCACCGGCATGGTACCAGGTATGGAACACAGCCATTAATATGCATGTCAAAGTATATTGAATACTAAAAATCTAAAATAGTTCCTGGTCGGCGTGTTCGCCTCTGTTGGGTCTTTCCTTTACGGATGTAAGTACCCGTACTTTCTCATTCTGCAGCTGATGTTCATAGTTCATCTCAGCTAATTATTTCCAGATGATCTTGGTGTTATCGCAGAGGTTATTGTCTGCCAGTCGTTCGTGGACAAGTTTGAAGCGAACTCGACGCAAAGGTGAGCTTCCAGTCAGCCTTGCTATCTGGTATGGGTCCTAACAGTAAAAATAAAAAGTGGTCTAGTTGTGTCTATGTTTACTACAGGTGCTTTCTTCGGAGCTTGTTTCGCTGGTCCTGCTGGTGATTACCTTGGTCGTCGCCGCACCATCTCGCTAGGATGTCTGGTATTCTGTCTTGGTGGTGCTCTCCAGACGGCTGCGAAGACCCTCGCCTATCTTTACAGCGGTCGATTCCTTGCTGGATTTGGGTATGTGACCTCTTTTTCATCTGTTAAAAAGTAAATAGAAATACTAACGGCTTTCTACATCCAGTGTCGGTTTCTTGACTATGATTATCCCTCTTTACCAAGCTGAGATCTGTCACCCTAAGATTCGTGGCCGAGTGACTGCATTGCAACAGTTCATGCTGGGAGTCGGTGCTCTCTGTGCTTCATGGATCTCATACGGCACTTATGTTGGGTTCGACCCCACTAACAGTGCGCAATGGCAACTTCCCTTGGGTCTGCAAATCCTCCCTGCCGTGGTGCTGGGCTTGTTGATTACCTTTTTCCCTGAGGTATGATATCCTGCGGTTCACCTAGAATCCTTACAGTGTTCTAACATGTTTTTAGTCACCCCGTTGGCTCATCGATCATAATCGCTCCGAGGAGGGTCTCAAGACATTGGCGAAGCTGCACGCTCATGGAGATGAAACTGATGCTTGGGTGCAAGCCGAATACGCTCAGATCCAAGAGAGTATTACTTTCGAGCACGAACACGAGGCAAAATCTTACATTGAGCTGTTCACGAGCCGATCTTCCTTCCGTCGATTGTTCCTCTGCTGTGCTCTTCAGGCATCTGTCCAGATGACTGGTGTTTCTGCAATCCAGTGAGTATAAAAGATATCGTAAACTTGAAATTAGACTTGTCTCTGATTATCATTCTCTAGATACTACTCTGTTGATATCTATTCGCAAATCGGTATCTCCGGCGCCGATACTCTCAGATACCAAGCTATCAACTCGGTTATCGCCCTCATCGCACAATTCCTCTGCATTCTGTTCATCGACCGCTTCGGTCGACGATGGACTCTTATTGGCGGCAACCTGGGAAATTGTGTCACCTTCATCGTTGCCACAGTCCTGATGGCGAAGTTCCCTACTACCAGCACAAACTCTGGAGCTCATTGGGGCTTCATCATCATGACCTGGCTGTACAACTTTTCCTTCTCCTGCACCTGCGGTCCGCTTTCCTGGATCATCCCGGCTGAAGTCTTCGACACTCGTACCCGAGCCAAGGGTGTCTCCATCGCGACGGGTATCTCGTTCGCTTTCAACACGATGATCGGCCAGGTGACCCCCATCGCCATGGAACATATCAAGTATAAGTTCTATTTCGTTTTCGTGGTCTGCAATTTCACCAATGCCCTCTTCTTCTATGCTCTGCTTCCGGAGACGAAGAAGGTGCCGCTTGAGGAGATGAACTATATGTTCACCCACGCTCCCTGGTTTGTCCCGGGAACTAGCAAGGAGGAGTACCTCACCCATGATCTGGAGCGCAAGGTTGAAGAACAAGAGGTGAAGTTGCACACTCAACATTATGAGTAGTACAGCGAAAGAAGCATCGTACTAGTAATTCTTTTGCTGGCAAAACTTTGCGTCATTCATGCCAATAGGCTTGGTATCCATGGATATGTCCGGGATATATGCAGATCTAGTCAGTCCATACCGGTATATCTAGTTCTTTGAGCCTCAGATACTAGTAGTACATCCATTCTACACATATCTCATGATTGTCTCTCTCGTCCTCCGTTGGTACATATGGATACTAGTAGTACGGCCCTAAGCCACGATTAAGCTTTAATAGGGTCCAGCCTCCCTCATTTCATCAACCTTGGCCCAGAGTGCTCCTTCCTTAGATGCTACTAGTAGGTACTAGCACGTAATAAACATAAATCTGATTGGGGCGTGGCTGCCACGGGTATTCAAGGTGCTGTGCCTTCCGTGCCTACATAGCTTCGTTCTCTTTCCCCTCACCCATAGCACCGATTTCTCATCCTCTTCAACCTTTCGCATTTGCTAGCATGGATGAGACAGAGTGCGAGACACAGCCTAGAGCTCCTTGAAAGGCGCATACGCAAAGTATCTTGCCGCATGAAAATCCAAGCCCTCAAACAGAACAATCGAACCCTCCAGGAATACATCGAGGAGGGCCGTAAGCTTGAGCACTATATCACATTTCGGAGACGACTTTACAAAATTTGCATGCGTTATTCTCTGGGACGCGTTGTGAGTAGGGCTGTCGGCCCCTTGCGAAGTCTGTTCTGGCTGGTTGGATTTGATGATGAGATGGTTCACGCGATCGATGATCCAGTAACCCGAAGGGCCTCCAGGACAGACTCCATCGTTATTGTGCTATCGACTGTGAACATTGACTGGGTTATTGAGCGGCTTGGCTTCGAAGGGATGCTCCCACAAGATGTTTATAACCAGTGCCTTGGATCGTTGTGAAGGCATGTTACTTACATTTTCCCTGGGTCTGAGAGCGAGGGGATGAAGCAGCATTTGAAGATTGTGTAGAAATGCTGTAATTAAAGCTTGCTGGTGGTTAATCGTTCATTTTATTGATTTAAACCCGAAAGATTCAATATCATTGACCTACAGCAGATAAAAGTATTACTCTCTTAGGCGATAGAGAAACACGATATTAGTGCGGAACCTTCCAAGGTTGGAGGACTTGGAAACGAGACCTTAGACTCGGATATCTCATGACAACATTCTTTGTATTGCTTTAGCCATTGGCGCAGCTGTTAACTAATTGGAAGATTCGAACCTACTCATGTAGGTACTAGTACTAGATATTATTAGATTATGAGTGACAAATTCCGACCTATACTCCGAGTTGGACTCTCATTGCCATAAGGGTGGGTCAAAAAGCGGAACATACTACAACTCCGTATCGCACCTCGGCCAAATTCGCGCACGCACAGTTTGGATATTTGCTTGTGACAGAACATTCGTATTCTAACTACTAACCGGGTGGGGTTGAATGTTGACCACCTTACTTCTTGAACTACGATCGTCAGGAACATAATCCAACCACCTATTTCCTTTCATGCTGTTTTAGGCCTCCACAGATCATTCGATATGTCAATTTCGACTTCGGCGTGCTTACTGCTGGGCTCGCTGCCCTTACTGGTTCTCTCAGAATGGAAATCCAGATCACACGCGGGCACAGCAGTGTTCAAGATGCTCTCTTCAGTTGCTTTTCTTAGCAGCCCACTCCTCTTACCATCTGAAGAGTGGTCAGACTATCGCCGCCTCATTACCATCGGTCTTGGCTTCTCCATGTTGGGCGACTTCTTTCTGATTCCTTCACGGCGTGAATTCCACGGTATTGACAACAACAATTCAACCTCTGAAAAATCCGAAGCGCAAGGAAAAGTATCGATATCTTTCCAACTCGGTATCGTCGCCTTCGCAGCAGCCCATATCGCCTATACTGTAGCCTTCTTGCAAGATTCCTACAAGACCTCCTGGACGGCTTTTGCCCTCACTTTCGCAGGGACTCTGGGCGCTGCAAAGTGGTTGGGTGTCATATATCCCCAGCCACACTCCTCACTTCAGACCAATGTTCTGAACCTCGGTATTGCTCCGGATATGAAGCCATTGGTTTCTGTTTATGCTGTTATCATTGGTACGATGTTTGCTGCTGCTACTTCCACGTCCCCGTTGATCGTTCCAACCAACTGGTTGGCCTCGCGAGCTCTAGGAGCTGCTATGTTCGTTGTAAGCGACCTTTTTGTCGCGAAGAATGCTTTTGGGAGATCTTCTGGGCCAAAAAGCCCTGGATGGCTCCGGATCTTTATGGGTTATGCGCTTTATTTCTGGGCCCAAATGGTGATTGCTGGAACAGTGGGGGCATGATGATGAAGTTACTATAACAAGAGGTGCCACAGATTATCCGGGGTATATGTACATTAAAAGGTGGTTAGTGTCACTCAAGAGGTCGGCATGCGCCGGTGCAAGCCATTCCAATCATAGCCGCGAGTTTATATGCGATTATTTTTATTCCGAATCGGAATCTGACCCGTAGCCGACCAAACCAAGCCCCGCCGGAGCTGGAGCTGGAGCTGGAGCCTGCGCTTCTTTCTTCGGTTGATTCATTTGTGATTGGCCCTTGTCGGTCGCATCTGATCTCCCTTGTGCGGCTGATGGCCTCGAGGCATTACTAGCGACGTTGACGCTTTCAGTCTGCTCTTTAGGCGATGACTTCGGTACCGCACCAGTAGCACCTTTCCCATCTTTTTGGCTCGATTGATTTGTATTCACGTCTGGAGACCCAGCTGTATCCTTTCCTCCCTCCAACGAAGCCTTCCGTCTCTTCCCGGGCAGAAGAAAATCTTTCTTATCCCTACGCCGCTTACGCGCCGGAATCGCCCATTCCTCCTCCTCCGCAGGAGTGACATCTGACGCCGTGGGACCCAGAAGCGCCTTCTCGGCCTCCTCGCGTTGTTTGCGAAAGACCTCCAATTGATCGGCTGTATCTTTTTTGACGGCAGCCTCCTGGGCGCGAGTGGACTCGAGGACGGAATCAAGGAAATCGACTTCATCTTCGTCGAGGGAGCGGAATTGGTTCTTCAATTTGGTTTTCTCCTCAAAGGCTTCTTGCTTGGCCACTGTGTTGTGGAACGATCATCCTAACATGTTAGCCACGTTCGCTCCGCGGTAATTCCAGTCCATTCGGTACAGCACCAGTGGCGAATTGAGTATACTGTTCTAGGTTCCCTGGTTTCACTCACTTTTGTTCTGCTCCAGCACCTCGAACAGGCTCTTGCCGTCATTCTGCTTGCCGATCTCTGCCTTGCGCCGACGCTCTTCCTCCAGCTCCTGTTCGGCGCGCAGCCAGTCATCATCCCGCTCTACCGGCTGCTCGTTTGTACCGGATGAAACAAATCCGGAGGACATTATGTCTTGGCAATCGGGGACAATTGGGGAGGGCAATAAGAACTTGAATGAAATATGGGGTTGGTTTCGAAGTGGGGAGAGCTTGAGAGGCTCCGAGGCCGAGGGCGGTGAATTTATCCAGCCAGACTGACCAGCCCATCCAACTTGGAATTGGTGAAATGTGTTCAAGCCTGAAAGGTAGATAAAATTAATATTTGATATATTTCTGGTATCCATAATGGATTCATGGTTGTGTGGTAATAATGAGTTCAAGTTTAGTATCGTGTACAGAACAGGTCAGAAAAGTCCAAGATTCGTGTTTATAGTCGTTTGTCCAGGTGTTCAATCCGTAGCAAGTTGAACTCGATAGTTGCAGCTTCGGGTTCCAGGATTGCCCTTTATATATGTCAAATCAAGGTATATCCATCTATGCAAGCCACATTCTATTTGATCTTACCTGGCAGGGGTAGGGGGTTACAAATAACTGTTGAATTACCAACCCTAGCTAGTTATCAACGGTTAAAAAAATTATAACAGTTTCTATTGACAGTCTAACTATAATAATGGTTACTTAATATAGCTAGTCAACAGTAGTTTAGAATGGTTCCAACGGTTATAAATGGTTACAAAAAGCTTTAAGATAATTACTCATTTATGCAGTTGTTATTGGCTACTATTGGTAATACTATTAATGATGTAAAAGATACTACAAACCAGAGCACTAGCAAAAACAATATGTGTTGAAAACAGTGTATTGAAAGCAGCGTGTTGAAAGCAGTGTGTTTAGTACAGGGCGGGCTGCGGCCCCCGGCGACGTCCATGACAAGGACGGTTTTCCGTTGCCCTTTTGCGCTCGGTAGATAATGCATACAGCAGTTTGTTCTTGGCGTGGAAATTAGGTCAAAAGTCAATGATTGACGGTCATTGAGATCCTGCGTGGTAGTGGGGGCTCATGGATTATTCCCATTTTGCCATTCGCCGGAATTGATCGTCGTGATGATTTCCGTGGGCTTTGCAGAACTTGAAGATGCGACTTCTGTACACGTTCGGAGAGGAAAGGGTTCTAACGAGTGTGAAGGCCGCGGTGCTCAAACCCTGCCCCCAAGAGATCGAATGGACCTGGGCTAGTGAAAAGCATGACTGGGGTGGGAATACTGCAGCCATAGACACATAGTGATTAGTTCGTCATAAGGTTGAGATTGGACCTTCATTTTGACTTCAAAAACACAACCAGCTGGTCTCCTGACCCTCGACTGGAATGTACCTCTATTTCCCCCAGGGAGGCTCCGAGAACAGTCAGCTGGAATAGGTCCACGGGGAGCTGACAGGAATGGGCACGGGGGCAGCAGAGTTGGGGTTGGCGGGGTTGGCGGCGCCAGCGCCGCTGGAGACCAGACGAGAAATCTACGACATCCCGTTGAGGTCGGTCAACTTAATATTGATTTTGGGCTTGAGTCGCTAGCAGCTATCGAGCTGAGACGGTGGTTTCGGGAAGCGTTGGTCCCCATATCGACACTTTGGAGGTGGTGGATTTCGGGAATTCGTCTCAGTCAGATAACCTGGGGAGAAGGTGGCTGATAAATTGAAGCGGCAGCATGGACATGTCCATGGACCGCCATTAGGCTAATTCTCCGATTGGTTGAGAGTGGAGACAGTTCAGTTGGAGAAGCCCTTCGGTAGAATTGGAGGAGGCCAAATTTACCCGGCGTGGAGTCGTGGATAATTTGGAGCGTTACGTGGGAATACGAGTCTCCCTTACTCTGTTAATTGTAGTAATGTCTTTAAAAATTAAGCGCGGTGGATACAAAGAAGAAGATCTGCGAAAAATGAAGATTCAAGGCGCATCCGACAGGGGTGATGCACACTAATAGTAGTATTTGCATCGAGGCTGATCGCCGCATGTGGTACTTTATAAGTGTGGTTTTATTCCGGCTAAGCTTGCCCCTCTATCCACGGTTAGTAGTAGTGATATGTACTAGTTAGTAGTTCAAATTGATTTGGTGCAGTACGGTCAAGGTTATGTCTTCCTTTCTAAACTTGGAAACTTCTATACTAATTCGACCTATGTAGTTCAAGTTGCGAATCCTTTCTTGTTTCACCTACAAACGAAGTTTCTAGAATCGAGACTGTGCAATTAGCAGGGTTCACTGAGAGTGGAACCAGCGGCCAATTCAAACCGCTGATTGGCCGATATTCTCTGCATTTAGCCGGAATACATTCCCCATATGGCATCATGATGTGTTCAGGTTCCGGAGCCCCGCGATGCTCAAGGGTGCCCGCCACTACGGAGATCGGATTACCGTAGTCCATCCGCTCGGCTGAATTGCATTCGGTTCACCGATTGGAAAAAAAGCGCATAATCCCGGGCAACGTGGCAGCCTCGAGTAAAAGGAGAGATACTCGTAGAACCCCCCACATTCAAAGCGGGGCATCATCACTGGTTGCGACATCGTGGCTGCTTGGACCTGCCCACTTTACGTCGCACTTCCCCCTCCTATAAAAGACTCGAGCCCCGTGCTTTGTTGGGCTTAATCCTATTTACTCTACATCTCTCTGATTTCCTCTCTTCTCCCTTTCCCTCTCCTCTATCACAAACCGTCACAATGGCCAACCACACCCAAAAGACCTACACTCTCAACACTGGCGACAAGATCCCCGCCATCGGTCTGGGAACCTGGCAATCCAAGCCCAATGAGGTCCGCGTGGCTGTTAAGGATGCCCTTCTGAAGGGTTACCGTCACATTGATACCGCCCTGGCCTACGGCAACGAGGCCGAGGTTGGTGCTGGTATCCGTGACTCCGGTGTGCCCCGTGAGCAGATCTGGCTCACCACCAAGCTGGACAACACCTGGCACCACTGTGTCGAGGATGGAATTGCCTCCTCGCTGAAGGATCTCGGTGTCGACTACGTTGATCTCTACCTTGTTCACTGGCCCAGCTCCACCGACCCCGAGGACAAGTCCAAGCACCTCCCCGACTGGAACTTCATTAAGACCTGGTAGGCATTCTTCTCACTTCCGCGATGATAATCCACACGAACCTCCTTCTAACCCATTTTGAATTTCACAGGCAAGAGATGCAGAAGCTCCCTGCCACCGGCAAGGTCCGCAACATCGGTGTCTCCAACTTCGGCATCAAGAACCTCGAGATCCTGCTCAACGACCCTTCCACCAAGATCGTCCCCGCCGTTAACCAGATCGAGCTGCACCCCAACAACCCCTCCCCCCAAGCTGGTTGCCTACAACACCTCCAAGGGCATTCACTCCACCGGTTACTCCTGCCTGGGCTCTACCAACTCTCCTCTGTACAAGGACGCCACCCTCCTCGAGCTCGCTGAGAAGAAGGGCAAGACCCCCCAGCAGGTCCTGCTGGTCTGGGGTATCCAGAAGGGATGGAGTGTCATTCCCAAGTCCGTCAGCAAGTCTCGCATTGACGGCAACTACGAGATTGACGGTCTGACTCTCTCCGATGATGAGGTTGCACAGCTGGATGGCCTGAAGGACCGCTTCAAGGTTTGCGGCGACGCCTGGTTGCCCATCAAGGTTTTCTTCGGTGATGACGAGTAAATTCGTGCTGGAATTTTCCCTGGCACTTGATGATGTTTTTATGAGTACATAGGTTTTAGATACCAAAATTGATTTCTTTCTCGAATATTTACTATCTTAGAACAATCATCGTAGTGACTCGGAGACTATTTGGAGCTCTCTAGATCGGTCTATATGCAGCCTCCCTCCTCTGTTTAGATTATCACCACACTTTCATCATCATCATCTCTCTCCTCCCTCGTGGTATCATTCGGCTCAATCATCAAACATTTTCAAAATATTGATGACTTAACAAAGGGCGGCAATAAATAGGATCGAAGTCTTCTGGTCCAGGGATCTAGTGGGTGAACTTGGGGTTCCTGGCTAGACGACATGGACAATCCATATTGCAATAAACCAGCCTCGTCGCTAGGTTAGCATTCACACTCCATTGAAGTACTTTTGTCTAGGCCTATAATGGAAATCCAAGTAAACTAAACACTTTTTGGAATACCCAATAAGCACGCTGTAGAAACCTAGTATCGGCGACCATGAACAGGGCTAATCAAAGATGCTGACAGGAATTATCTATTTCCAAACCTAACCTTGGAACTACAGTACTGAAAGGAATAGTGGGTCTTGAGAGTGGAGTTCATGCGAGATGCTGACAGCTTTGCTCTGCTAGCTACTACTAGTATGTAGTAGTACGTACGGGATTCAAGTCTTTAAGGGGATTCAAGGTACTCCTATTATCAATTTCTATCACGGTACTATCACAGTTGCCTTGTCGGCGAGAATCGTGACACCATGTTTTCGAGTTACGGGCCAATGAATGATTAACGATACTCAATTCTCCAATTTCAAAGGGCGGAAGTATTCCGAACTGGTCAACCTGATTTCTAATGAACGTCAAGTTAAAATGTACTATTTATGGACCCTGTTCAGCCACTAGATTCAATCAAAAATAGAATACAGAAGCAAAGTTTAAATCATGAAATCCATTAATCATAAGCCGTGCCATCGACTATCCAGCTATTGAGCTAGTGCGCCCGGAGACTTCTAAATAGTCCAAGTTTGCTCTCAACTAACTAGTACAAATCAGGAATACAGTGGTGCAACTTTTCGATCTCTTCTACTTCTTTCCCTCTTGCTGAGGAGCATTTTTCCGACCCAGAGATTTGCGAATCATAGCCAGAATACAAAAGGCAGCGAAAGTAGCAATAAGGAAGCCAGTGGAAGGAAGAGTAAAGGGCGGGTCTGTGTCGAGATTATCAGTCGTGAACGGAGGACTGGTATCTGAATTTCCTGCTTCCACTGCAGCATAACAAGAACGCACAAATCCAGCTTCACACATTGCTATCTGTCGTTCGCTGTCGTCTTTTCCATATATCACAGGTTCTTGCGGTGCGTCATTGTGAGAGAGTAGTCGGCCCGTCTCTGGATTGCCGTCGGTATCTCCTTCGGCTTCGGGAACCAAAAGTAATGGTTCGAGATCGGTATTTCCTGTTGGAAATTGGGTTGGAGTATCGGTTTGTAGATAGGCCGATGATGATGGCGCCGCCAAAATGATTGGGAATGCGCAGGCGAGGAGGAGAGGAAATGACAAATGGAGGGCCATTTTGCTGTTCGTTTGAATTTGATAATACGATAGAATGGTTTGCACGGCTCCTCGAACTGACCATAAAAATAGGATATCCTTATATAGATAGCATGGTCGGTCGCTATGGTACCTTGATTTAAAGAACTACTGTCGATCACCAAAACGCCGAGATTACGTCTTTGCCGAGAGATCGAGACCAAGTGTGGAGTAAGTCATCAAGTGCAGTATGATGAGCAAATGATATTGTGTCTTGGAAGCTCGAATGGCCAGTATTGTTAGCACCGGAGTTAAGTGGTATGATCTCCGAAAAGCTGACATGACCAAAAAGCAGTAGCTGCGCCGCGGACGATCTTGGCATCCGCTTGGCGGCTTTGAAATAAAATCCAAGCCACACTCCTTCGCAGGCAACATCATTTTGGAAAAAAGAGAAGGTTTACGGCCGGTTCCGAAGAGAAGAATCATTGAATGATATGTCAGCTAAATTTTTCAGAAATATAAAGGGTTTCTATTCCCAAGCAGTAACCTTCCGCACCATTTTACTCCCCACCAATTTGTTGTGAAATCAAGTTCAAATCAAGTTCAAATCAATTTCTGAAGATTGTACGATTTTTGGATTCTTGCGTCCGGGAAGTGTCATTAACTTTTCGGATGAAGAGTTTATACTGCGTGTGAATAGCATTATTGGTTCTGCAGACTGATCTACTAAAGCCACCTAACCATCGGTGATGGTTCGGCAGCAGAATGGGTAGATTTGCGTTAGCATAATACGTCTAATACGTGCCATAACGCCAGAGGAAATGAATTGAATTAGCATGTTATAGAATTCTTATGCCAGGGCATTGAGATGGGCGATTGAGGCTCCATAACTCGCTCCATAAATAACAGTCTAGACTCTCGGTTCGATCCGAACTACTATTTAGCACTGAGTTTTTCTTGACGATCACCAAGTACATTACTCAGAAGTGGGTCGATCATAAAGAACTCATCAAATTCTCGAGCAAAGGATATCAAACAATTCCGATCAATTATTAACATGTGTAATATCATGCGCGTCTTCACGTCTCATTTTCATTTGTATTATTTCGTATTAATATGCGGCTCCGAACGATCAAGGCTTCTTCTCAAGGTCGGGATGTGTCGAATCTAGTTCATATCTCTCCGTATACAGCTCATGTCTTTCGACAACAGGTGAATGAAGTTCGTGTCTCTCAGTCCCAGGCCCAATCTCCGACGCAGCGGTCGATCCCTTAAGTTCCCGTAGTGTCTCCTGTCGAGATCGAGGTTTTTCTGAAATGTATGAGTGTTCTTCCTCGGGGTGAGAACTAGGAAGCTCCACCATGCCCGTTGCTGATTCTGTTCGGGTATTGTCGATTTTCTGAGCATTGTTTTTTTCGTCGTCGCCAGCACAAAAAGAAGAGGATAATTCCAGCAATAGCCACCGCAGCTAAAGCTCCCACTACTATTCCTGCAATCGCACCACCCGATAAACTAGCCTTGCTATTTGAACCTGTTGGCTCGCTGGTCGCTGTGGCAGTGGCGGCAGATGGTGTGGTGGAGGTTGCTGTAGATGATATGGAGGTACTAGTCTGGGTTGCTGATATTGACGATGTTGCCGTGGCGCTGAATGAAGAAGTATTATTTGTCACTTGGAACGATAAAATGTGTTTTGTCGAGGCATGACTCGCCCACTCCCAGTCTTTGCACGTATAGCCAACATTTTCGTCACTGCAATTTGAATTTGAGTACATGAAAATGCACCAGTGCCCATCTTGGGGCTCCCAGTTAAACACATTGCCAACTGGATTGTTCATTGATTTGCAGGCCAGAGGCTCAGCCCCTTGATAAGAAAGCAGCGTATCATTTGGAGAGTGCCAAGTATATATCCATGCCGAGGCCAATGGTGAGTAGGCGAGGCATGATAGCAATGAGAGAATCGAAGTGGCCCTCATGGCTTCAAGCTTGGGTTAGAAAATGCACACGAAGGTGTACAATCAGGTTGCCGATGCAAAGGTGAGTTTTTAATTTGAGTTGAGCAGACTTTTGCGGGGCTTTCCCATCTTATGTTTAATTCAGCCTCAGGAGCTTTTCCCTTAATGGCACCTCGTGTTCGCGGGATGAAATTTGGTCCTCGCGGACTTAGCCGCATACGCCAAGGGCCAATACGGCAAAGGTTTGTTCAGTGTCCAATTATCACCACCTCACAATTTGCTAATTTCTTGGCACCGAGGGTTGGAGTGCTGCGAAGGGGTTTGTGATGCCGCAGGGTCCACCCCGAAGCCCGGGGAATACGAGGGGATCGGCAGGGTACCGCCCGTATTCATTCATGCACGGGGCGTTTGCCCGCATGAGGAATCCTGACATTGATTGTCGGCGTGTTGAATAGCTCCGATGCCGAATTTAGGACCGTAAAGGCCAAACAGAGTGGAAGCGTCGTGCAAGGTGCCCCGCTGTATAAGATAATTTAAGATTACTACTAATATCCTTTGGGTCATGGAGAATCCTTCCATCTTTGGATTGATTTGTTTGCTAAATGATTGTACTTCCGCCTACTTCATCCAAGCGTGGATCGATGCTGTCCTAATAGTAGACGCCAACCAGATTAAAATGTCGATCCTTGTTGCATTCATAAGAAGCTAAGGCTTGATTACCTCACCGCGGAAAATGGACAGGTATATTCTGATGATTTCAAGTAACATCCGTACCGGATTCGCATCGTCTTGATGGGTAAATTATGGAATTACTATGCTGCACGCTACCACATTTTGAGCGCTGAGCTGTTTATTTTTTATTTTTCCAAAAAGATATCTCAATGTCAGTAATGGATGGATCGGAATCCGCAGGGAAAATCCGTGCTTTTCAAATTACTCCTAAATAACATTCACAGGCGATGATTATAGCTCTGACAGGTGTCGCCCGAGCGGATGTTGAACGCGATGCAATGGGATCCGGAATGGACTAATTATTACCGTGCCTGTGTAATTGAATACCATCTGACAAATTGTTCGGGATGACACAGCAATACGTTTGCCCTTGCCGCGAGGTGAGAGGTATCTTGACAGCCCGATGACAACACTTGAGCTACTTAGGTATTAGGTATACTGGGAGGCGTGAAAGCTCATACATGTATCCATTTCAGCGATCTTTATGATTTGTCTTAGCTAGAACGAAATTACCGGTAAACTCTCTGCCAATTTATATACTGGCGGTATTAAACAACATTAACCCCTTAACTTCACGTTCCCAATTTGCCATTGAAGGGACCGAGTCAAGTTCAGTGCTTTGTACGTTCTAAAACCTTGTCAACATTCTATTCCCATTTAACACCAGATAGTGAGCTATGACTTACCCTTGTAGACATCGGCCTTGGTGTCATGTGACTTCTCGTCCTTCTTATCAACGATGGCATCCTTGGCAGCACTGGCGCGAGTGCTCAGCTTGGCATCGCCATCCTTAGCAACCTGCTTGTTGGCTTCCTTCGAGGCCTCGGCTCCAGTTCCCTGGATTGTCTCCGAAACGTAGTTGGCGGCGTTCTGTCCTGAAAATTAATCGATGTTACTCTTTCGTTTCGCTGGTGATTCCACAAACCTTAACAGTCTCCATAATGATTGATATATTTCTGGACTTGGCGTAGTAGAGCTTTGAATAGTAATCAGTCTGATTATTTAGTATCTTGTGTATAGTAAGAACTGGTTGATGTCTCTCGCGATGGGTGTTTATATACGGGCGAGGGGTCACTCTACGTCATTGATTATATACGCCAAACCCTGTTTCTTCGTATCGTAAGTTGTATGTACCTCGTTTATTGACTCCGGTTTTGGGACGCCAAAACCAGGGACTAAACAAGTGACTATTGCCAAACTAAAACTCAAATAGATCGGCGTTTCTCATCTGGGGAAATAGTGACGAAAATAATGGAGTGAATTCAGTTGTTCTAATCAAATGTGGCTATGTACAGTACGCCACATTCCACATTTTCTTTCTTATCCAAGGTCAAGGAGAGGTCCTAGGGTCGCTTCTACTGCCGCTAGTCCGCATTCCTCATAGCTGGAATATGACGTCATACAATCTGATATCAATAGTTCAACCGAATCTCATTCAAACAAGACCCACCATCAACATCACTGCTAGTCTCGCAAATATCGACGATCATAGCCTGCCCCCCTGGAAGCTCACCAACAAGATCGTCGTCTACTATAATCTTCAAATCATCGTTGACGATGCGCAGTAAGCGCTCAATCTTTGACTGGTCAATATGATACTTCTCGCAGATCTTCTTCTTTAAATCTTTGGCCGTGCGTTCCGTTAAGTAGATCGCACGGAAGACCTTGCTTGGCTCGTTGCTGGGTCGAATAAAGAAGCAGACAGCTAGATATTAGTGAGTAAAAAAGTCGATGACGTGTGGAGAACAGATGCCTTACTTGGTTTCGACGGCTGCTCAGCTGCTGGTGGACCTGACAGGTCAAGGCTTTGACCTTCAATACTTTTACCTCTCACGTCCTCCGCTGATTGTTGGTTTTTTGTCAAGTGGATAGGGTACTCGTCGGGGTCATCCTCTTTCTCACCGCGAAGAGTCAGAACGCTGATCGTATGAGTTGATGATAGCATACTCTGGCTAACAGCCAGTTTCCTCCGCAGATCGTGCTCAACCGAAGACTCTCCAAAGCTCGACCCGATACGCCCATGGTCCAACTCACTCGAGTCCCTCATATCCGTCGAGGTATTATTTGCCCGCCGACGTTTGTTAAATCTCCCTCCTTCTGGCACATCTTTGATTTGCTGCTCTAGCCTTGTAATCGTCTTTTTGACATGTCGAAGGTCATTGTTAATTTTGCGCTCTGCACCATGATCCCGGAACAGTTTGAGTTTGCAGTAACACATTTCTGACCCAAGCGGATCACTGGCACTTTCCAGTGACAGAAGCTCGGTCTTCGCGCAAAGTCGGACCGGAACACCCTTTACTCCTTTTGAATGACTGAAATCGGTGGATAGGAAATTGAATCGTAAGGGTATAATGCAGCATTTGGTGCTTTCGCCTCGTTCGACAGTCCAGGTAACACAAAATCCGTCAATGCACACTTGCTCAAGCTGCATATGGCGATAATCCTTATCTTCACCAGCAAATTCAACTGCCAAGAGATCGCTACCGCGTTGCTGCGCCTCGGTTGCGCCGCGGCTCTCTTTCCACAACTGCCAGGATAATGCAGGATTTGATCGTTGCTCTTCATCATCGAAAGAAACGCGGACAAAGGTTCGATATCGGAGAACTTCAGGGGTCATTGCAGGCGGATTTAAATCCATGACCATAAGACCATAGGCCTGTCCCTTGTTCAAATATGATGTTGGATCTTCATCTGCGGACTTTACCATAGCGGTCCGGGCTCGCAGAGCTACATGGTAACGGAAACTGTAACCTAATCAGAAGGGTGATCAGCCGCATAAAGGAGGATTTTAAAACTAACTTTTTGCCTTGGGAGTGTGACATTTCATTAAGAGTAGCCTCGGGGGCTGAATCCTCGGTGACCGTAGCTAGATTTATGGTGGGATCTAGTGCCGCTAGTGCCGAATCAAACGAGAAGTCGTCGAATGTTGGGTCGGTCTCAAATTTGTCCAGTACTCCATGATCCCAGCCCTGATATGTGGATTCAATTGGCGCATATGTTGGTCGTTGGATATCCGGAATCGTCTGAAAGTTGTGGGGCGCTGTGTACTGCATGTCGAATTGGTTAAGGCCTGACTGAGTATTTGGGACAGCATGTGTGCGAGATAAGGGATTCGCTGTCAAGTAAAGACTCGGGGAGTGCAGATTGCCGGCCTGGTTATGGAGAATTGCGCCCATTCCACTTGATTTGGGTGTATAGCAGCCCGGATGCTGACTGGCCAGCAAACCCAGGGGCAGTAATCCAGAATCTCTCGATGGGGAAGAAAAATCGAGGCCTGGCATGCTTCCTAGGTCTAGACTAGGAGAAAACTGAGAGTTTCTGTATTCATCGTGTTAAAGCACAATAGTCTACGGGTGTACGTGCGCCATGGACTATGCCAGTTCCAAGTGGGCGCCCTATATCAAGTACGGTCGAAGGAGGGTTCAACCTCATACCTTCCAGGTAATTGAATGTCATCCAGACTACAGAGATGCGTCGGGTGCGGTCCATCGCTATTTCGTCGTTTGATAATACCGCCAAAAGATTGTTGGAAATGATCGATTAGTTGACTTCCCGGCTTTTGGGAATTTTTGCTACGTGGAAACCATGTTTCAGCCAACCATGTTTTGGTTCATGTGAGTATTGAGAGGAGGAAATGCGGCTTACCGACGATGGAACATCTAGTACAAGAATATACAGTGACGAGTAGATTTGAAATTGGAGGAGATTAGCACACGAAGTGAGGGGTCAAGGTATAGTCAAAGGAAAAGGGACAAAGATTTCATGGTGGGGATGTTAGTATCAAACCAGAGAAGTCGTGAGGCCAAGGCGGTGAATAGACTCGAGTCCGGCTGATGCTCGATTTTGTGTTGGGAAGAGCGAATTTATCCTATAGAAAGATCATATTTTGCAGAGCTATAAGGTAGGTTTTCCAACGTTTCGACAAGTACTACTACTACTAATAGTTATTACTAGTAGTAATCGCACAAAGCCTGAAGTACGCCTAGAGTAAGTAGTACTTGGGTAGGGCTCCGAAAGGAATAAAGGAATGCGAATAAACGACATATTCATATTCGCATTCCGCGAATATGAATATATGAATTTTTTATTCGCGCGAATAAAGGCCTTATTCATATTCGCATTCATATTATTCATATTGTGAAATTTCTCCGCATCAATACTTTGTCCGGTATAGCGGTTATCGTGTTACCGAAATGCGCTTAGAGGTCGATTTCACAATGCCATCACTTCATCAGCAACGCTGGACTGTGAATCTCCGTGGCCAGTATATTTTGAAAGGAACAACAAGCTTATGTAGATTTTAATTGGTTTGATCTGCCGTGGCTGATCTTTGTAAGATATGATACTCATCTGCAAGTGTCTGCCCATAGAGACTTGACAGCGGCCACGAAGGTCCGTGAAGATTATATATATCTCACAGCCCAATTTCGAATCAACCTGGGCAATGAAATGAATAGATCTACTCACTTCCCTGATTCTAGTTCAATGCATTCCAAATTTCGTCCATAAAGTGGCCCTGAAAAGTGGCACGTAAAAACGCGTTTGCCTCGCCATCCAGAGCCTTGAATGACCCTGGATGCATTTTGTTTACGTTCAAAACCAGCGATATCGCGTTGCAGAAAACAGAAAAGAGACCTATCAACTTCCCACGTCAAGGAGGGCATATAAAGCGCGAATATGAAGGGGCTTGTCAACAATCATCCTTTCCTCAAGCCCCCCTATCAGTTTCTAACCCCAGCCCAGATAACTCAAGGTATGTTATGCATCACCGCCGATACCACTTTCATATACTGACATCGGGAAATAGTAGCATGGCATCTACACCCAATCCCTCTATGCGGAGGACGCGCGGTCTTCCACGCCGGGACTATAATGCTCTACACAATGGCCTCGTTTCTTCACCTTCAGAGCAATCTGAGGAATCGCCCTGCGAAAACGGACGCCCTTACTCTCCTGAGCCCTCCCTATCTAGGGAAACTGAAGAGACACCTCAGTCAACGCGGTCTTACTCTTTGCCTAGCTCCTCGCCCTCCCCGTTTGATTCTGCATTTTCGGAGAGCAGGTGCCATGCGAGTAGTCTACACCCGTATAAAAGACGAAAGATCAAGGCGTATTCTAGTTGGACCATTGAGCACTTTTGGACAACAGAACTGGATAGCACCTGGAGTCGGCAGGGCGGTCCACCGAAAAAAAGACCGGCTGCTGATTTGCAAGCATTGCAGCTGGTCCTCCAGAGATTCGGCGCGCTATGGTTCCACTTCGAATTTGTTGGTGCATCTCCAGACCAAGCATCGTATCAAGTCTGGTGCCGAATCTACTTTCTTGCCCGCGGTCGAAGGAAGCCTCGACCGGTTCTTAGAGTCGCCGAGGAAGAAGGCTAGCGTTGAAGAAATGCTAGTCCAATGGGTCATTCAAACAAGACAGCCTTTTACAGTGGTGGAGCATCCGGCTTTTAGGGCACTCATCGAAGCAACAGGGGCTACTTTGCCTATCAAAACCGCTGATACTCTCTTTAACCGAATCAAGGAGGAATTCCGCTCGGGCAGGGCTTTCGTGAAAGATGAACTTGCCAGCAGCAGCCGGACACTCGCATTATCCCTTGACGTGTGGACGTCAGAAAATCATATTGCGATCATGGGTATCATCGGTCATTGGATATCCCCTGAGTTTGAAAAGCGAGAAGAGCTACTCGAGTTCACCGAAATTAACGGACCGCATTCTGGAGAGAACCTAGCGGAAGTTGTGCTAAAGATGCTCGACGAACTAGACCTCGCGCCTAAGCTGCTGACCATCACGGGCGACAATGCAGGCAATAACGGGACGCTCTGCGATAGTCTGCATGACCAGCTCCTCAAGAAATATGATAATGACGATGACCGCTTTCGTATCAGGCCTCTGATGCGGTTCCGTGGACGACAGAGCTTTATTCCTTGCCTTGCCCATGTCCTCAATCTGATTTGCAAAGATGTATTAGCTTCTTTAAAGGCTGGTTCAGCTCGAGAAGCGAAGGCAATACTGGACGACATGGCCGTTCGTACTAGCCCAGCATTCAACTCCCTTCACAGCACGAAAGGAGCAATTATGAAAATCCGATTGCTGACGCTGTGGATCGCCCGTAGCCCACAGCGCCGCCAAGATTGGAAAGAGGTATCACCGAGCAAAAAGGTCAGTTATGACGTTGACACCCGATGGAACTCGACATATCTCATGATTCAAGATGCCCTTCGGCTACAAACTGAACTGGGGCAGTTTGTGCGGATACATCCAGAAGTCCAGGCCCTCCAGCTCAACGATGACGAATGGTCGACACTTCAGCAAGTGGCCAAGATTCTAAAGCCGTTCTGGGACCACACAAACTCGGTTTCAAAGGCATGCCCAACAATTGTGGAAAGCCTACCGATTTACTGGAGCTTGGACGACTTGTTAAATGACGTTCGAAATGCGGAGGGAGATTTTGAAGACGTGAACATTGAAATTCGCGATGCGGTGGAAAGAGGGATTCGGAAGATGAACAAGTTCGCTAGAAAAATGGACGACAATCTTCTTTACTATGTGGCTTCTGTGCTAGATCCGCGCATCAAGTCGTCTTTGATTGTTTCTCAAATGAGCGAGCAGGATTCGGGGCTTATTGTCTCTCAGGTGCGGGAATTCCTAAAAAAAAAATACCCTCAAGAGCCATTCATGTCGCGGGAAGTTGACCATCCACGACCACCGGGGATGTCAGAAACAATGTGGAGGACTTTGCGCAAAGTCCAACCATCCAAAGAGGCCTCTCTGTCGGATATTGATAAGTATTTGGATTCCCCACCGGTCAACTGGTCACACCATATGATCAGTGACGCAGACGCAGAATGGGTTCTGAAGTGGTGGAAGGCTAACGCATTTAATTTCCCACTGATGGCCAAAGCGGCTCGCGATTATCTATCCATTCCTTCCGCAGAGGTTGGGATTGAACGCGAGTTCAGCAACGCTAGAGATGTCTTGGGCCTCCGAAGACACTGTCTAAACGCGGAGACTATGCGGTGGTTGATGTTATTGAAAGGGCAGTATCAGACATGACTTTAGAGGGTGGTGTATGTATGTAAACTCAATGATTGAGAGCTAAAGTCTCGTATGTACATTGTTACAGACCTGAGTATATGAGCTTCGCTGATGTATTGGCATGTAATGAAATGAAAGGTTATGTATAGTATCTTATTATATGAATAAATATGAATTATTCATATATTCATGAATATTGCGAATATGAATAAAGGGCTTATTCATATTCATATTATTCAATTCATATTATTCATATTCACAAATATTCATGAATATTCACGAATAATCATATTCCTTTCGGAGCCCTATACTTGGGTTCCAAGGTTGTCCACCTGCCAAACATTTATATTGGAAGAAACTCTCAAGATAGTGCTTTTGTCGCAGTCAGCTATTCATTTTCCACTTACCCATTAAATCTCATCTCCCAAATCCACTATTTGAAAAATTCCGAAGCTTTTGACAGAATGATGAGTTCTACAATGCAGTCAACAGTACACAATGCCGTTCCTCCAATGAGAGCTGGGGAGTCACGTGCGTGGCAAAGCACCGCCACGTTTATGCCTGAGGCCATAAACTGATAAGCACATCTCCTTCTCCTCCCGCGTCATCAGGCATCCCTCCAAGACTCCTTCCATCAACAACTCTCACTACTTAGTGAGTAAACCCATATTCAATCCATCAGCATGGCGCCTGCCAATGGGCACCTGCTGCTCCCCAAAATATGGAGAGCAGCGAGGTATGTGTGACCATCATTACCCCTAACAATGGATTTCCCCGCTGACGCTACCCCAGGTTTGCCTACGAGAAGGCCTCTAAGGCCATAAGAGCCAAATTACCAGAACCCCAACAAGCTGCGCTTCGTTATCAACCGGCCTACGCCCGCATCAATCCAAGACAACCCATCAATCGAGTTGCCGCAATCCGCCAAGCTCGCAGCCGTCATTTCTCGACCCGTGCTGCCGGCGCTTTCTTCTCCGCTCTTCGATCTGGAGCTCAAGCCGAAGCCAGCGCCTACAAGACCTCCCGCGTTGCGTCGAACATAAGCCGGATCACAAGTCGCGCTCCATTTGCGTCAACACTTCGCCCTAACTTGACGGGTGGCACCCTTGGGCGTACCGCTGGCGGATATGCTGTC